TGTGGACATTGAGTTGACCTCTATAAGAATCCCTAAGTTTTATGATTGTTAAGTCCTTTACACGAAACCAATACTAGACTTAACCTTCATACTAAGACACCTATGGATCCCAATATCCAATTTGAAATTAAGCATAGTACTCTCCAAATATTTGTAACTTTTCACAGACATGCAAATGAAGAGCCACATCAAGACATAGCAATTCTTATATATTTGTGTTATGATGCAAATGCCAAAGATATCTATAGAAGAAATAAGAATGAAATTGTTTCCTTACTCTTTGAAAGAAAAAGTTTGATGTTGATTTCTTCACTATGAAGTCAATTAGACATATGGTAAGTATTAGAGTAAGAATTTCCTTAGCAAATTTTATCCTTAGGGAAAAAAACATGCTATGACAAAGGCTGTCACTAGTTTATTAGAATAACTTGAAGAACCATTCCATGAAGTATGAGGGCAAGCTTAAGGAATTTCTTAGGAAATGTCTATGTCATAGGGTACTGATAAGTCTTCATTATCATGAGTTAATAATTAGTAAATAATATATTTTTAGCCTTAAATCATGATAAATAAACTTATATTTGTGTTAAATTGTGAAAAGTGGTTTTTAATTGATTAACATGAATTTTTAGGTAATTATGTGATTTTACATGAATTTATATGATTTTTACAATCTTACTTTTGAGATAAATAAAGAAAAATAAATTAAAATAAAAATTGCAAAATGGGAGAAACCTGCTGGCCAGCTGGGACTGCAAGCAGGTTAGAAGCACAGTTAGGGAGTAGCCGCAAGTAGGGGCTTGAGCGGCTTGGACCGATTGGGCACATGTGCGCAACCCCCCTTCTACGTCATTGGTGGCTAGCCGGATATGGGTCAATGAGTGGTCGTACACATGCGAGAAAGGGACTTGATGGAAAATGTAATATTAATATATATTCACCAGAAACTTTGGTGCACAACCGATGTGGGACTAAACCCCCATCACACCTTCCCCAAAAAGGGCAGACAACCAGTACGGGTTCGAATCCTCCTAGAGCCAAAATTCATATTTTTTTTATCTGATTATCGCAACTTCTTACAAATTGCCGATGAAGGATTAAGCAACTAGAATCGCTGGATCATCGACGAAAATCTTGTCAACGCGATTTGCAGAGCATTGTTACTAAAATTGTTGAACAATTCGCGATAAAAAGATCGTGAATCCATCAAGTAAAGTATCTCCGATTGATCGATGAACAAGTTGTCATCGAGAAGAGGACGATCCGCTGGAAGACAAGTCGCCACCTCTTGAAAGTATATTGGATGCAATGAAGAGCCTCTTCTTACTACGCGAACCTGAGGATGAAGCTCCCTAACACACGCCCCACCTCCATCTAGCTTCTCTCCGTTGGGTGACAGGTGCTAGAGAGTCGCAAAGTTGCCATTTTTCTGCTTTGTCGGGTGACAGTCGTCGGAGACGATTCGACGACCCATTTCATTAATCTCTAAACTTTGCAAAGAGATCTAGAGATCGCCCACGTCATCTTTGTCTAAGAAGAGCTTTTGAGGCTGTGGACACTACATAATGATCCTCCCAAATACTCAGGATTTTGGTGCATCGCCGATGCATCGCCGTCGCGATGCCAAAACTCTATTTTCCTATTTTCAACTTAATTTTCATTTCATTTAGTGATAATTTGTTGATTTTAAATTTACCAAAATATACTTCGTTCAATTACAATTCTTTCGGCTTTTATAGGTCTTAATTTGATCAATTAAATTACCTATAATGACTTACGTAAGAATCATCGGATGGAACTCTATTTTCACCCGATTCGTGTTTGCCGGGTACTGACGTCATCTTGACGTCCACACCCTTATTTCTTTTTTTCGTGAATTTAAATTATTTTCTTTTTATTTTATAATATAAATTTATAGAAAATAGTATTCTTTGAAAAAAAAAATTCTAAATAATTGTCAGATATTATATTACATCCCTGTGATCAATCTAGATAATTACCACTATTTCTAGAATATTTATTGAATTATAATTGATATATTTGTTCAAAAATACTTATAAATATCTAAAAATCCATATTTTCTAGTTTTATAAATTTTAAATTTACATGATTTACTATATAATGACTAAGTCACGTCAAGTACCAAAATGACAAATCACTAGGGCATTTTTGTATAAATTGATTGAGCATAATGGATAGATAGTTGATTAGGCCTATAGAGTAGTTTCATGAATAAAGATGAAGATGAAGTCTATTAGTTTTATGAGACACTCAATAAGAATTCTACTAATCGTGCATCTTTTGTAATATATGATAGATAGTCAAAATAAATAAAGAAAGGAGGAATTTATTGAAGTATGAGAGTACCATGATTGAGAGCTTGAATAAGAGGTAGATGAAATCTAATAGTATTAGTAAGGGTGAATTTAATACAAGAAAAACTTAAATTATTTTTATGTAAGAAACATAACTCACCTTATTCCTTAGCACAAACTTGTACACATCATTATGGGGCACCACTCTCATCAACTCTCACTACACCACCTTATGTGACATGTTCTAGTTGTAGTGATCCATCCCATTTTGAGTCAAAATATCCACATATAGACCAATCATTTTCACCTAGAGGATTAATTCAAAGTCATCAATGAATATCCCAAACCCACATATGACCCATACTTTAATACCTATAACCTTGGGTGGAGGAATCATCCTAAACTTCTCTTGAAAGAACTTTCTGAACTAGAGGCCAACACCACAACTTCAACATCAAAACTAGAAGCCTATTTAGTTTTAGAGGGCTTCAACCAAATCCATCCATACATCAGCAAATAAAGGATCCCAAGGTAGTGATCAGACCCAAGATATGATCATTCAAATGATGTTGTAGTAGCAATACAGTTTGACACAACTTAGATGCGAAATGAGTAGGATAGTAGAAGTGATTGTAAACAAGGAAAGTGATCAGCTTCCTAATCCAACTACAAGTAATCTAAAGAAATCTTATCCCCCTAAGTTTACATCACCATTTGTCATGGCCCCATAAAGTAGGCTTCTAATCTCACCTAGTTCAAAATGGTATAAGCATGTCGAAAGATGTGACAACCTTATAGAGTAGAATAGTCTTAAAAGACCTATATCAAAGCAATAAGAGTGTTGATACCTCCAACCAGATTGAAAAGTGATTCCTCATATTGGTCACACCTTAACCCCTTAGAATTCACATAAAAACTTTGCTAGTGATGAAAAAAAAAATCTCTCTAAGTTAGGGCATGAGGCTAGTGTGTAGAGGGAGTAGAATCAAATTGGACTACTAAACCTCTAATTCCTTTCCCACAAGCACTTGAACTGTGATCACAGAAGAAACCAACTTTGAATAACAAATCAATGAAGGTATGTGATGAAGTGATTGTGACCATTCTTCTAGTACATGTAGTTAGGCACAACCCATAATATGCAAAGCATTTGAAAGAACTTTGCATGTAGGGTAGAGGACCTAAAAAGGTCAAACCCTTGAGAATGATAGCACAATTCTATAAAGCTAACTCCCACAAAAGGTTAAGGACCCAAGAGGCCCACTAATTTCACACAACATAAGAAGTGTTACCTTTGACTACACTTTACTTAAGATAGTGAAAGTGTCAATCTTTTGATTACCTATATATATAAATATTTTAATATGGGAGAACTGAAATCAGTATAGGTAAAGATAGATGGGTACTACTGTCCTACTATTAGTAGATAGATGGGTATGAGTTTTCTTGAGGATGTAGCTGTTGAAGTAAAGAAATATTATTTTCCTGTAAATTTTATAATATTTTTCAACCATTCATCATCGTGGCAAAATATTATGTTAACTATAAAACAAGAATGGTTGACAAATATATAGCTGGTCACAAAGTACCAATTAGTGTTTGATCATCTAAATACCCAAATAGTTGAGATGAAGAGTGTCAGACTATAGATATTATAAATAAGTGTGTAACAAATACATTTTAATGAGCAACACAGAAGAGATCAATCCATTATTCGATTCTTTTAGGGCTATTTATGACACCACATAGGTTGAGCTCTCCTCAATAGTATAAATAGATACCTTGGACCCGCTTCTATAGAACCCACTAGCTCTAATGTTGAAACCCCTACCAACCTCATGGAAGTATGCATATTTAGGCCCTAGCCAAACTCTTCTAGTGATTATAGCCTCTCATCTCACCCCTCAACAAGAAGTACACATTCTAGAGGTTTTGAGATAATATCATTCTAGAGGTTTTTAGATAGTATAAAAGTAGTACATTTTTTAATAATGGTTGAAGTATTAACTCAAGTATATGTATCCATCATATATATACTGATGATGATGCTAGACCTAGTAGGAAAACATAGAACTAGCTAAACCTCAATATTGTGGAGGTGGTTAAGGAGTTGATAAAATGGTTAGATGCAGGGATAATCTTCTACTCAGGTCAAATCTATGTATGTAGTACTAAAGAAGTAATAAGGCGAGGAACTACATACCAAGCTAAATATAAGGGGGAGAATCTGTAGACTCTAGAAGATTCAATGATGTAGCAAAGAAAGATCACTTCCCTCTCCCATTCATTGATTAAATCTTAGAGAAATTAGTATGCCAACAGTACTTTTTCTTCCTGAATGGGTATTTGACGTATAATTGGGTAGCAATATACTCCTCGTACATTATTGGTAGTAGCCAATGCTTGTACCATCTATGCATGGACAATGTCAATCTATATTAAATCTTTTATCTTGAATTCTTCAATTTTCCGCTTTATTTTTTTCCAGGAATACATAGGACAAGTGAGAAAAATTTACAAGGGTAAGATGGAAAAAATTATGATTGAAAACAACTTATGGTCCGACCAACAAACGAGTATCACATTACTTATTTTATTGAAGTATAAAAGAAAGGCATCGCCATGATTAACACCAAGAGATAAAAAAACAAGACTGTGGCAGATGTTTTCCGTTTAAAGGGACCACTATGTGACGTCGGCATAGAAATCCTTGATCACAGTGCGGACTGCAATAGGACTCCTGACCGTATGAGTATCATCTTTCCAAGTCAAGGTTCCGAAGGTGTACATTCGCTGTATCTTGCGGACAGACGTCAACGTAACGGTGAATTTCTATCTTTTGGTGCGTTCATCAAAGACGAGCTTTGATGGTTGAACTTCCATCTGAACCCCTGGCGGGGGTTCGACGATGGCGATGTAAGTGGTGCCGGCTGGGCTCACATTGATGACGGTCCTTGACACCGTCACCTTGGTTTTGAGATCAGGGATAGAGATGGAAGGCAGATTAAGGTCGTAGACAGGAAGCTGTGGAGTTTCACAAACCAGTAAAGAACTGAAAGAACACTTGAACCCGTTGAAATCTTTCGGATTGATATCATATATAAGCCCTGGATTAGCTGCCTTGTCTGGATTGATGTGGCCGCTGCCGTAGTCGAAAGGGTCAGCGAGCTTGCCGTAGTCGGGGGTGCCCTCCGCCACTACCGGCACACCATCTTTGTCGACGACCGAAGCTGTGAAGAGAACAGATTAATGTTGAGAACGGAAAGACGCACAGTTATTGGGTATTGAGAGAACATACCGGTCGTCAGAATGGCCAATTTTATTGTGGCTGGGGACCAAGAGGGTGCAAGGATTTGAGGAGTGCCACGATTCCTGATACGTGTGGAGTGGCCATAGATGTTCCATCCATGAAACTGTACGAATCCCGTTAAGCGGCTAGGATTCTGACTCCCAGTGCAGTGATGTCCGGCTGCATTGATGTAAAATATTTTAGATCCGGGAACCGTGCAACTCCTAAAATTTGAGGCACCTACAGTAAAAAGTGAATGCCGATGCAGGTCTTTTCAGCGTCTGGGAGAATTTGTGTCCTGTAAAGCCTTTTAACTTTTGAAAACTATTAGACGCACCTTGAGGATGTCGGGGAAGACTTTGTTGGGGCCTCTGGACGAGAAGGCTGCTACTCTGGGTGGCAACACTCCCCCACCTTCGACAGTCCGCGTGAGAGACAGCTTCACCTTGGCAGAATCCCTATGGATAGAATTTCGCATTCCAGCAGCGAGGGGTAAGGCAGAGAGAGAGAGAGTAAGAAGGAAAATCTGTATTCCATCACTGAGATCAGGGGAGAGAGAAAGAGGTGAAGGGTTTAAGAAACGTGGTTACCTGGAGGCTTGACCGTATTCGAGTATCTGCTGAAAAGTCACCCAGTCCACCACGATCGTCGGGAAAACGTCGGGTTGAGGAAGGATGTTAGTGGTGTACTGTAGGAAGATTAGATATAGACCTCCAGCCTTCCGAACGTTCTGTGCCGCAAAAGTTTGCTGGTCTTTCGGTGCTGTAGGTACCGGGTTGCAGAGGACGACTGTTATTCTATATTGGGTGTCCTTCAGTGTTCCGTTGTCACAACTGCATCAGAAGGACGAGGTTTGTTTAAACTAAGGAAGACAAATGTATATATGCCAGATCTAGCAGAAATTAAAGCAGTACGAAAGGAACGGGGCATGTGACCTGCCACCATATGTGATGCCTGGAAACCTGCTCAAATTCTCATTCCCAACGTATCTAGCTTGACCCTGAAAGACATACATAGATTTCCTTACGCTCCTTAAGGAAGACTCGAAATGTCTTTCTATCGACTAGATAGGAAACCACCAGAGTGAAGCAATGGTACTGACCAACAGAGTGACATTGTTTCCGAGGGTGATGGCGGTGGGAAACGACCGATCAATCGTGCTAGCTGCCGCGGTTATAACCCATGGGGAGGTGGTCTCCATCGTCTGAGGAATCGGACCATAGTTTCCGGCTGCGTACACCACGATGATTCGCTTAAGCATAGCCTGCATGGAGCTCCACGAGTCATCAGGTGTCGCCAACGATAAGGAGAGAACGTCCACGCCGTCATGTATGGCGTCGTTAATGGCTGCCAGAACCAATGCGGTAGTTGAAACGGATTCTTGCCCCCACATAACTTTGTATACGGCCAGCCTAACTCGGGAGCCCCACCTCTCGCCCATCCAGCAGCCAGTCCACCTACGCTCACGTTCTGCACGTAGGATCCAGCCGCCGTCGATGCTACGTGGGTACCATGGCCGTTCCAGTCGCGCGGAGAGAGGTAATCCCCTTTTAAATGGACCTCATCCAGACCAGCTGTGTACCATCGCGCGCTGATGCTCTTTCGGTTGCAATTGGAGGCGTTGAACTCCTTCCCCGTCTTGCACGTCCCCTTCCACCTTGTCGGAACTGGTCCCTAGCCCCTGTCGTCGATACTTTCGGATTCCGGCCATATTCCTGCACACCCACAGTACATGCGGTATACCCACTAAAAATTACTTCTCATTAAGATCAATAATAACACAGTAGTACGTCAAACCAAACGAGACGGGGAACGACAACCAAACAAGAGCCAGTTACAGAGTATCAAGGGGGTCTACCTGAGTCAATGACTCCGATGATTACACCGTCACCTAGCCTGGCCTTGTGAAGAAGCTGGGAAGGAGGACTGTTGTAACTGAGCCCGACGAATTCCCAGCTACGCGTCGTACTCAATTGGAGGATTCGGCTCAACGTCACGCCGAGGACTCCCGTCATCCCTGAAATTCGATTTTGTGAGCATCTGATTTGAATGATGCCAATGATGATTATTTCATTACCTAAACAGTGCCTGTATGATCCAGTCTTTGATCCTATCCCTAAGAGTTGCTACTTTTTGAAACCTCCATACGAACTTATTGACGCTCTGCTCCTAAACCCGCTACGCTCTCTCCAACAGTCTCCTATTATCCATTCGCTCAAACGTAAACGCTATCTCCCGCTCTTTCCTTCATCCCTTCTCTGCCTTTCTCTCTCTCCCTCTCTCTCCCCGCAGATTATTTGCTCTTCGAATTTGATGACACACAAAAGTTACCAGCGAGTTTCTTCGCTTGAGAGTCTGTAAGCATGGCGGCGAAGCCTGAGAATCCGTGCTTGTAGCTGTAGACAATCGAACCAAGAGCTTCCTCCTTGCTGCATGTTCGATTAGGGATTCGATCAGTCCGTAACACTACTAAAGCATGGCAAAGAAATGATGCACCGGCGTACGAACCTTCCCAGAATGGAAGAGAGAGTGTCATCGTGCAGAGATGTGACGACTTCGGGGTCCTCGTGGTGCTTCTCGGCGTGAAACCCATGAGCCATCAAAATTCCGCCTCCTCTTCCTGTGAAACTACTTTACCTTGTTGGTCAGCCGTGCACCTACCTTCTTCGTATTGTCATCTGCACCTGATGACACTAAGGCATAGGAAGGGGAACTATGGTGGGGAAAATCCGCGAGCTTCGAAGAGACTACGGCCATCTTTCTCAGCATTGGATACCGAAGGATAAGGTCCCAGCTCTTGCTCTTCCCCTGAGAGCAGACACTCAGTTGACGATTAGATCAGTTGGCTACGGCCGGACCCGACGAGTTTGCCGGAGGAGAGCTGTGAGCAACAGAAGAAGGGTTTCGTTACCACAGAGAAAGCGATCCAGAAATGTCCCTCGTCCTCGTATCGGATGTTGTCTGGAAACCCGGGCAAACTGTCGACGAAGTGATCCACGGCTCCCTTCTTCTCTCCGAGGACGTGGTACCTTCTGCATCTCCTCCAACGAGGGGGAAGTTCGAGGACGAGGGCGGTAGATGGACTGTGGGGACGAGGAAGGAACCGAACGGATGAACTCTAGGGTTTCGCAGATAAAACAGATCTCCCACCGCGATAAAACTTACAAGAGAGTCTCGCAGAAGATCACCGAGTCTTGATCCGGCGACATGGCGACGCCGTTGGGGATGTAGAGTCCGCCGAGGAGCACCTCCGTGCGGGCGGTGGCGGAGTCGGAGCTCATTAGCCGCCCGTGTGACCGGCCCTCCATGATATCCAGCATGTGGGTCGCGAGGTTATGCTTGTAGGATGCGTCGGTGAAGTAGACTGTGCTGTCGGAGGCGACGTCTACGCCGTCTGCCACCCCAAATCTCAAAACCCTCTGCCTCCTCCGCCAGTAGGCGGACCGCCCTGTCCACGCCGACACTCAGCAGCCCCTTGAATCGCCAATCCGAACAAGGCTTACCTATATAAAATATAATATTAGAAAACGTCATCTTTACAAAATAAAAGCGTATGATATGATGACATCATCATATTTTAGAAAAACCCGTCCGGAATCTAACTTATTAACCTAGTAAACCCAGTAACAAATTACTCCATTGATGGTTTGCCCACTAGGGAAAGTAGAGATTTCTTAGTTTCTTGCACGTGCCTGGTGACGTTGAAAGGGGGCACGACAAGATCGCCGAATTTACAGTGAAAAACTTTTATTCAACGACATACTCCGATAATAGCAGAAATGATTGGAATATAGAACTTTCCTATCATACAAATACCTATGAAATTTTAAATATTAATAACTTATTATCCCTCCTGAGCAAAAACTACACAATTAGTAATAAATTAAGTCAAAACATAGTTAGACGGAGATTCTATCAAGATGCCAAGCCCACATTAGAGCACTAAATCCAGATAAGATACTCACATTAGACAGATAAATCCAGAGTAAATCTATGGAGATAATGCATCATCCAATCATATACCAAATCTTCCAAGAATCCTTAGAAATACGCTCCATCACTGCTTTGGAAATGAAGGAATTGAGTCTTATACCTTGTAAGTCGAGGCGACGAGGAGCTACTTGTTGGGGCCGAAAGCAATTCACAGCGGATGCCCTCTGACATATGCCCAATCCTCTACCCCCTCCTTCGGTGTCTCCTCTTCCTTCCGAAGCTTAATCCGCCTGATCCACCCGTCGTCGCAACCCGTGTAGAGGAATCCGGAGGCGGCGTCTTCGGCCAGGTCCTCCGAGTCTTGCAAGAGCCCTTCTCTGATCTTCTTTGACACCTTGAGGATGCTCTCGACGTCCCACTAGGACCTCCAGAGAAAATGATGTAGGACGAATATGACTGACGCGGATGGAATGGGTAGGGAACACAACGGGTAAATAACAAGCCACGAAACTCCCACACGATTGGATCCGAACCTTTGAAAACCGACTGTGATGAGGTGAGAAGACCGTTCCGTTCCTCGATCAAAGGCGGGAGGATTGTCTCAGGTCACCGTGATAAAAGAAGCTCCACATCTAAAAATCTTAGTCGGCCTCCAAACAAGGAAATCGCAGCCCACTCGGCTCGTCTTGATCCCTGGTGGTGGAAACACGTTTGAGGAAAGACAGGATGAAATCAAAACACACGATCACCAGAGAGGGTTGAGAGGGGACCTTCGGCGTTTCCACGCCACAATGTTGACGTCGATGGTAGAGCAGAAGAAGACGAGCTCGTCGTGGATCCAACTACGTGGTTAGTTGGCGGGGGGGAGGGGGGGTCAAGGGGGGAAGCCGCCCCCTTGCGGGGTTCGGGGCAGTGCCCCGAGACCTAAGTCCGATGTTGAGCAGAGCAGGGCGCGCAGGGTGTGCACGGTCGATGTGCATGGTGGAAGGTTGGTGTGTAGGGCGAGTCGCCGTGGCGTGTCCACCAGGCGCGGGACGCACAAGCGCTTGGACAGGATGCACGGGACGCGTGAGCGCCCGCGGGAGGCTCGTACGCGGCGCATTGCCGGCGCTCCGAGGGACGCTGATCGGTAGTTGTCTGGCACACGAGTGCTGACAGAGAGACCCGCCAGCGACGACAAAGAGGGTTGACCATAGGGTAGGGGAGGGGGGGACGCGAGACAGCCGCAGCCACAGGCAGCAGTAGTCACACGAATCCCTTAAGGCACGATCTCTCGTATAAGAAAATTCTTATGAAGATCGAAACCGCTGTTCAATAGAAACCTTAGGCCTATTTATAGGCCTCGGGAGGAGAGAGAGGATTACAACGTAAAATAAATAAAAGAAAATTAAATATGGGTAAATCCTAATAGTAATAGAAGTTCGGATCCGGAGCTCGGGTCTGCCGGCGGCGACGTCGAGTGGCCTCGATAGTTTGCGGGGTCTCTGGAGGAGGTGACATGGAGTCCAATGACATCGTGGTCGCGGATGGGGGGCTAGGGTCCATGCCCCACCAGAAAACCCCGAGATAACTCAATAGCATAGCCAACAAGACTGCGCTTACTTCTACTCTATAACGCATGGGTGTCAACAGCTTGTCAGTTTTCTTCCTGATCTGTTGATCCCTCGTCAGCCACACTGTGTGTGTGTGTGCCTCTCTCTCTCTCTCTCTCTCTCTCACACACACACACACACACACACAAATAGCATCAGGTCTGCAAATTCTTACAATGAATAGGCATAAGGTCTCTCTCTCTCCCCGCAGATTATAATGATTTACTCGATAGATTCACAATCTTTTTAATCAAAATCATTCAATAATTTTAGAAATGATACTTCACGAATTAAGTTTACAAGATTCTTGTCAATGATTAAGTGATTCTAGCAGCTTAATCCTTTAACAAGAATCTGTAAGAAAATTAAGATTTAATCAGATCAAAATATTAATTTTTGCTCTAGTATGATTCAAACCCTTGCTAGTCTCCCACTTGCATAAGAGAGAGTGAAAAAGTATGTGAATACCCTTATAAAGTGATGTCATCATGGTACCTCCTTCTGATAAATAAGAGGTATTTGAGAGATAAAAATGATTAAAATAATCCAAGAAAGGTGTGGCTACCGAGTTAGTCTCACGTCAATTATACATTGAATTTTGAGATGAATATATAGTAATACAATATTACTCGCATGTGTATGACCACTCCTTACCCCACGTTTGACTGGCCACCAATGACATGGAAAAAGAGTAACACACACATGCCCCCTATCGGTCCATCCTTAGTGACTTGAGCCCCTACTCATAGCTCTACTCGATTGTGCTTTTGACTCACTTGTAAGCTTGGCTGATTGGCATGTTCTCCCCTTTTTCTATATTTTTATTTTCTTTTATTTTTTTCATTTATCTTAAAAATAATATTATAAAAATTATATAATTTTGTATAAAATCACAAAATTAATCAGAAATTCACATTAACTAACTAAAAACCACTTTTTTTAATTTAACATAAATATATGTTTATTTAGTTAAGGCTAAAACTATATTATTTATTAATTATTATTTAGTTAACCAACCCACTAGTGACATATGTGGGGCCCTTTTTCAGCACTTTCACATTATAGCCCAAATTTATGATAAGTGAGCCCAAATTCAAAGTTTAGACTTCAACTTATGTCTTGAGCTACATCTCTCTCTCTCTCTCTCTCTCTCTCTCTCTCTCTCTCTCTCTCTCTCTCTCTCTCTCTCTCTCTCTCTCTCTCTCTCTCTCAACATTGTCCACAAATTCTTGCAATGAAATAAACTTTAAGTCACCCTTTTCACTATCATCTAAGTAGTCAACATACATCCACTTATTTTTCCTTCTTATCATAATTCAAGTCAAATCTATGGAACATGGCTTCCTTCAGTAGTTTAAGAATAAATAATGATGCTATTATTCCTCTGATCACATACAATCAAAGCTGATGCACTTCACACAAAGTAGCTCCTCTTCTCCACCCATGTGATATCTTTCCCCAAATCTCTCAAATGTTCTCCCCAAGAGGGAGCATTCTATGAACAATGTTAAACCCTAGTATATCCTCTTCTTATTCCTTTCCTTTCCTTCTCTCATATTTGCATTTATTTCATTGTGAAGTAGGGGACATTTATTTCATTGTGTATAACATAAATACTATGGAGTTCAGCTTCAAGAACGCCATAAGTCTCTCTCACACATTATTCCTTAGTGACATACTTATTGTTTGGATCATGTCTCTATCAATCATTATGTCTCATATTTTTCTTCATCTCTTTTTTAAGTCCACAGTGATCAATTAAGCTTTCATGTCTCTATCGAATAAGCATCACATTGATCCAATATATTTCCTAGAAATAGTTGTGAACTTTGCATTGTTTGATGTGTGTAGAGTCCAAGAGATGATCTACTGAAGTGTATGGTACAATTAAAGACAAAAAAATCCTTTTGTCAAGGTGATACAATAATATGGTGCTATTGTGAATTACCAAAATAATGAACTTAGCATTATGAATGACTTTCTTTAGAATACTTCATTGGGAAAAATATTAATTCTAATGAAGAAGTTATTTCATTGGACTCATGACATCAATGAGAAGCTCAAAAAATAGAAAGAGAGAAGGCAATGAAACTTTTATCAATTTTCCATTTGGCCATGATCACTAGTATGCATGTACTTGAACTCTTTTAGAATCATCAAGTTTCTCTCTAGACACTTAATAATAAATATCTACATCATTGAAAGTAAATGTTTGAGGTAAAGGCCTTTTAAATTCAAATATTGGAGGTATGGATCATGAGTAATGGCACCACAATTTATATTGGATCCTCTAGTAATTCCCTATATAAAACCACAAATAAATCAACTATTGTTGATTTACCAAATGAATGGAACTTTCTCATAAATCATATCTTTGTCTTAATTATTTTTAAAATGAGACCATTGGATTCTTATTTTGCTTTATCATTTTGTGTCAATTTTTTTACATAACGTTTTACGTGCTTCAAATGTTTTATAGACTCATATAATGAGTGAGATTGTGCTAAAATTAGAGCATAATGGCATATACTACATCAAAAAAAATATATCATTGAAGTTTTTCATGTCTCATATCTCTATGTAATGATATTTAAATATCTAAATATTCTTAAATCCTTACTGGTAGTTCATTGGTCACTCTCCACTATCTTTAATTTTTTTACCAAGTTATTTCTAGAGTTTTTCATCTATATAACTGGATGAAAATTTATTTATTTGGTGCATCTTAAAGTTGCAATATCTCCAAACCATTGGAAAAAAATGTTTTTCTTTATATCTTAACAAGTTTATTCATATTGATAATCATGATCTAATTTGAGAATGAGAAAGGAAGAACCTTTGCATTGACTAGAGATTGTTGGAAAGTTCGTTAGATTTAAATTCCTTTTTCATGATTTTTCCAACTCAAACTTTCAAATTATAATATTTATTGGTAGTAGCCAATGCTTGCACCATCTATTTAGATGATTTATGTTAATATGACTTCAAACGAAAAAGACACTATTCATTGATGCATGAAAAATGTCAAACAACATTAAATCTTGTTTTATTCCCATTCTTCAATTTTCCTCTTTACTTTTTTCAAGAAATACATTACACAAGTGAGAGAATTTTATCACAAGGATATGATGGACAAATTTGTGAATGAAAACAACTTATAGTCCGACATACAACTATTCCATTACTTATTCTCATAAAAGTATGAAACAAACATCGGTATTATTCGTACCCATACGTACTAACAAGACTATAATGGATGTCTTCCGTTTAATTGGGCCACTATGCGACGTCCGCATAGAAGTCCTTGATTACATTGCGAACTGCAATAGGTATCCTGACCGTATGAGTATCATCTTTCCAAGTCAAGCTTCCGAATGTGTACACTCCCTGTATCATGCGAACAGACGTCAATGTAACGGTGAATTTCTGTGTTTTGGTGCGTTCATCAAAGACGAGCTTTGATGGTCGAACTTCCATCTGGACACCTGGCGGGGGTTCGACTATGGCGACGTAAGTGCTGTCGGCTGGGCCCACATTGGTGACGGTCCTTGACACCGTCACCTTGGTTTTGAGATCAGGGATAGAGATGGAAGGCAGATTAAGGTCGTAGACAGGAAGCTGTGGAGTTTCACAAACCAGTAAAGAACCCAAAGAACACTTGAACTCGTTGAAATCTTTCGGATTGATATCGTATATAAGCCCCGGATCAGCTGCCTTTTCTGGATTAATGTGACCGCTCCCGTAGTCGAAAGGGTCGGCGAGCTTGCGGGGTGTGCCCTCCGCCACTATCGGCACGCCATCTTTGTCGACAACCGAAGCTGCGAAGAGAAATAGATTGATGTTGAGAACGAAACGACGCACATCGATACGGGATTGAGAGAACATACCGGTCGTCAGAATGGCCGATTTTATAGCGGCGGGGGACCAAGTAGGGTACAAGGATTTAAGGAGTGCCACGATTCCTGATACGTGTGGAGTGGCCATAGATGTTCCATCCATGAAACCGTACGAATCCCGTACAGCGGCGAGGATGCTGACTCCCGGTGCAGCGATGTCCGGCTGCATCGGTGCGAAATATTTCAGACAAAGAACAAATAGCGGAACCTTGATGCGGGAACCTTGGAACTCTGAACATTTGATGCAACTACACTAAAGTGAATGTCGATGCAGATCCTTTCTCCGTCAAGGAAAATTCGTCTCCTGTAAAACCTTATCTTTTGAATACTATAGACGCACCTTGAGGATTCCGGGGAAGACTTTGTTGGGGCCTCTGGACGAGAATGCTGCTACTCTCGGTGCCAAGATCCCCTTACCTTCTACAGTGCGCGTGGGAGACAGCTTCACCTTGGCAGAATCCCTATGGATGGAACATCGCATTCCAGCAGCGAGGCGTGAGTCAGAGGGAAAACGCTGTATCCATCAGTGAGGTGGGGGTGGAGAGAAAGAGGTAAAGGGTTTAAGGAACGTGGTTACCTGAAGGTCTGAAGGTATTCGGCTACTTGCTGAAAAGCAATCCAGTCCACCAGGATGATCGGGAAATCGTCGGGTTGAGGAAGGATGTTAGTGGTGTACTGTGGGAAGATTAGACCTAGACCTCCAGCCTTCCGAACGTTCTGCGCCGCAAAAGATATCTGGTCTCTCGATGCTCTTAGTCCCGGGTTGCAGAGGACGACTGTTCTTCTATATTCGGTGCCCTTCAGTGTTTCGTTGTCACAACTGCATCAGAAAGACGAGGTTCGTTTAAACTAAGAAATGCAAATGTAAATTTACTAGATCTAGCTGAAAATAAAGCAGTACGCAAGGAACGGGGCATGTGACCTGTCACCATATGTGATGCCGGTAAACCCGCTCAAATTCGCATTCCCAAGGTATGTAGCTTGACCCTGAAAGAAGAAGATAGATTTCCTTACTTGCATTAAGAAAGGCTGGAAACGGGTTTCTATCGACTAGATAAGAAATCACCAGGGTGAGGCAATGATACTGACCACCAGGGTAACATTGTCTCCGAGGGTAATGGCCGTGGGAAAAGACCGATCCATCGTGCTGGCTGCCACAGTTATTACCCATGGGGAGGTGTTCTCCACCGTCTGAGGAAACGGACCATCGTTTCCGGCTGAGTATACCACGGTGATTCCCTTAAGCACAGCCTGCAGGGAGCCCCACGAGTCTTCTGGGGTGCGCAACGATAAGGAGAGAATGTCCACGCCGTCATGTATGGCGTCGTCAATCGCTGCCAGCACCGATGCGTAAGAAGCCGTGCCTTTCTGCCCCCACGCAACTTTGTATACGGCCAGCCTAGCACGGGGGGCCCCCGCCTCTCGCCCATCCAACGGCCATTCCACCTACGCTCACGTTTCGCACGTAGGATCCAGCTGCCGTCGATGCTACGTGGGTACCGTGGCTGTTCACATCGCGCGCAGAGAGGTAGTCCTCTTTCAATGTGACCTCATCAACACCAGCTGCATACCATCGCGCGCCGATGATCTTCCGGTTGCAGTGGGAAGCGTTGAACTCCTTCCCCGTCTTGCACGTTCCCTTCCACCGTGCCGGAACAGGACCGTAGCCACTGTCGTCGAAGCTTTTGGATTCCGGCCATATTCCTGCACATCCATAGTACATCCATTTTACCCTCTAAACAATCCTTCTTATTAAGGCCAATAATAGTACACTAGTACGCCAAACTGAATGTAGAGATGATAAACGCCAGCCAAACGAGAACGAGTTACAGAGTACCGAGGGGGTCTACCTGAGTCGACGACTCCGATGATTACGCCGTCGCCTAGCCTGGCCTTGTGAAGGAGCTGGGAAGGAGGATTGTTGTAACTGAGCCCGAGGAAGTCCCAGCTACGCGTCGTACTCAATTGGAGGGTTCGGCTCAACCTCACACCGAGGACTCCCGTCATCCCTGAAATCCGATTTTGTGAGCATCTGATTTGATTGATGTCAATGATTATTATTTTATTAAGAAAACAGTGCATGTATGATCCAGACTTTGATCATATCCCCAAGAGATGTAGCTTTTAAAACTCCATTGACGCTGTGCTCCTAAACCCACTGCGCTTTCTTAAACAGTCTCCGGTTTGTCCATTCGCTCAAACGTAAACGCTCTCTCCCGTTCTCTCCCTCATCCCTTCTCTGTCTCTCTCCTTGTCTGTCTCTATGTCTCTGTCTCTCTCTCTCTCTCTCTCTCTCTCTCTCTCTCTCTCTGCTCTTTCTCTCTGATGACACACAAAAGTTACCAGCGAGTTTCTTCGCTTGAGAGTCTGTAAGCATGGCGGCGAAGCCTGAGAATCCGTGCTTGTAGCTGTAGATAATCGAACCAAGAGCTTCCTCCTTGCTGTATGTTCGATTACGGATTCGATCAGTCGGTAACACGACAAAGCAAGGTAAAGAAATGATGTAACGGCCTACGAACCTTCCCAGAATGGAAGCGAGAGTGTCATGGTGCAGAGACGTGACGACTTCGGGGTCCTCGTGGTGCTTCTCGCCCATGTAAACGATGTACAGCTGCGTGAAAACCATGAGCCATCAAACTCCCCTCCTCCTCTTCCTGTGAAACTACTTTACCTCGTTGGTCAGCCGAGAGCCTACCTTCTTCGTGTTGTCGTCGGAACCTGATGACACTGAGGCATACGAACGGTAACAGGAAGAAAGAAGGGAGAGGAAGAGGACAAGGATTAGAGGGAGAGACCTATTGCTTATAATCGCCATCGTGCTCTATGGCGGCTGTGTGGCCTCTGTCGAAGAGGCCCCTGAGGCTTATTTATAGAAAGTGCGAGACAAGATGTACACGTATTGGACTCGATCTTGGGCAATAAATACCAGACAAATTTTTCATGACATTGTAAACGTATCCTTTTAAAGGTTCCCGGTCAATGATTAGAAATTTACCAGGTCATCCGCTAAGGTCATCGATCTGAGTCAGATGGATGATTCAATCAATGCCGACAAAGGAAGTCTGCGAGTTTCGAAGATTAAATTGGAGGGTCCGCAAGAAGGTCACGCACCTGATCTTGACGTTGTTAGCTCAGTTCCTTTGAACATGCATCAATGTCCAAGACGTCCAGCATACCGTTCCGATTTCATCGAAGGAGTTCACACTGGAGGAGACTTGTTACTCCCGAAGCTTCTCGTATCTAGGCTCGTGGGGTCCTCCTTCCTCCTTCTGTATTATAGGATGAGAGAGAATACATGTTATACATCGGTGAAATGGTCTTCCGCGCGACGTGAAGAGGCTGCTTGGTGATGGCGAAGGCAACAAAGGCCGGTGGGAGGCGATAATCGGGGTGGGTCGATCTTGATCCCGTGACACAATGACTGGATCCTGGGTTCACGTCGTCTCGGGACCAACGTTTCTGCCCATTTTTAAATTCGGTCTCTGCATTTATTCCACAGGGCTTTCATCAGGTTGTTTTTTATGAATAGAATGAAGATGGAAAATATAGTTCACACATCGTTGGTCAGTTCGGCGGGGATACGAGTGCACGCTGTTAGACCTGATCTAATATTCGACATGACGAATCTACCTCCATTTCTTGGTCAAGTAGGGGCCTTTTTATAGAAAGAGTAATGCTACATGCCCCGAAGACATTCATGCTTTTAGCGAAGTGGTTACCGATTCGATTAGTTCTAGTACTTCGTTTAGTTCTGAAGACCGCGATGCAAGATAATATATATATAGCGAGAGAGAGAGAGAGAGAGAGAGAGAGAGAGAGAGAGAGTGTATGATCCGATGTTGACCAATAAATAACGAAATAGAAATTTAACCAATAATTTGTTGGTCTTAAGGGCGGCCGAACCCTCAAAGGATAAAACCGGTCCACCAGGGAACCGTTTCTGACGGACGCCCAGTGATGTTGTCGATGAACCGATCGACGGCTCCCCTCTTCTGACCGTGGACGTGGTATATTCTGCGTCTTCTCCTGCCGTCTTAACGGGGCAGTCTCAAGGTGAGGCGGTGCGAGATGAACTCTCTGTGTAGGGATGGCGGCATCAGAGTACTGAAAACCCACAAGGCGGATTCACAGAAGACAGACCACAGATCCTTGACCCGGCGAGACAACGACGCGATTAGGGAAGTAGAGGGCGCGATCCTCCACGCCCGTCGCTCTGTTTTAACCTCAGCAATTGGCCGTCCGGTTGGTCTCTCTACGTCCTCCGCCAGCAGATACACCACCCCACATCCATTGACGCTTAGAAGCCCCTAGGGGATATATTTACAGAAAGTTGCGGAAATAATGTCATTAGAAATTGGAAAAAAAATGGGTATCACCAGAGCTCAAATAACCAAATGGGAATTATGCATTTAAATGATGATCCTGAAGAGTCGTGATATTGCGGTCCTGGAAATAAAATTTGGCCTCGACAATGTACATTTCAAAATATTATATCGTCAAATATGATGTTTAGCATGTTTTAAACGTCATCATGCGAAATAAATTTATTGTCACCGTTCAACAGTTGAATTGACTTTTGTTCCTTTGATTTCTCTCTACTACATCATCACCACGGTATGGAAAGGTGTCTATAACCTCCCCACCAGGGCCTACCCCGGTGGTCCCATGACACCCCGCCAGCTGGTCCGCCTAAAATTCTAGTCTTCATCGGTAGCTCCTTCCCCAGTCGAGATTTCTCTACACCTCTGGATGCACAACAACTGGCATAAACCGCAAATAAACCAACGGTCAAACGACTCTCGTGAACCGATCAGTAGTTGTGTCAGCAAAGTAAACGGTCTCTGTATCATGTATGCCCAGGCGACAACGAGCTGCGTGTCAGGGCTGACGGCGAGACCCGGCGGTCGTTCTCCGACATACGCCAACTCCTCCACCCACCCCCCTCCCCTTCCCCGTCTTCCCTCCTTGTGCAGCTTATCCACCTTATCCACTCATCATCACAACCGGTGTACAGGAATCAGGAGGCGCGTCGAAGACCAAGTCTTCCGGGCCTGCCAAAAGCCCTTCTCCGCGACCTTCTCCGACGTCTTGAGGATGCCGCTGTGGACCTCCGGGACGGAGATGGTCCCATCGGAGTAGTCATCGGGGAAGCCGAGGTCACCCTGAACTGGCCATGATCCGCCAGAGAAGGGAGTTCGACGGCACGGTTCCGCTGGTCTGATCCCTGTGGAGGACGGGCTGGATGGAGATGGAACCCCCTCCTCAATGTTGGGGGCGTCACAAATACACTTGCACCAGCCCGTCCCTGCCACGAGATGACCCGCCGCGATCCGCAGCCAGCTTATCCCGATCTGGAGCGCGGATCGATTCATATGTCACCAATCATCCTTTGGTTCAGTCCTCTAGATGACGCACTTCATTAGTGACCGAGAGACCATTATCCTCATTTATTTAAAAGGGATGCTTGGGATCTAGACAAGTGTTCAAAGGAGGCGCGTCGAAGACCAATCAGGAGATTTCCTTTCGTCGAAGACCAATCATCCTTTCGTTGATCCTCATTTATTGAGATTGCCTTTTTATCTTCTTCTCGTGATCGCTTCTGCGGACCTTTAACACATCTACTCTATTCTTGTAACTAGTATCAGAGCTAGTTTAAAGGTCTCATGGCATCAACGAAGGCGGAGCTTCATCAACTCGATAGGAAGACAAGTTTTATATCATGGCAAATCAAGATGTGGGCCGTTTTGGGCCAGCTCAATCTAGAGGATGCCCTCTTTCCCACAATGCCACAATCATGGGATGAGGATAAGAAAAAATGGGTCAACCGCAAGGCCTTAACCCAGATCTAATTACATCTTTCAAATGACATCCTACGTGACATCAAGAAGGAGACCGAGGCTTATAAATTATGGCAGAAGCTCAAAGAGTTATGTATGGCTAAAACCATCACTCGACGAAACTTAGCCAAGCAGCTATTATTTGGTCTTCATATGTCAGAAGGTACTCCATTATAGTCTCATCTTGACCTATTTAAAATATACTCGCAGAGCTAGAGGCTCTAGATGCTAATACCATATGGACAAAGACCTATGTTCCCTACAACTTATGTCACTTCCGCCATCTTATTCAAGCTTCCGTGATATTTTATTTTATGGGACAAAAGAGCTTTCTCTAGAAGATTTATATGAATCACTTGTACGAAGGAAAGTATGAGTAAATTTACAGATTCCTCTTCATCAACTCCAACATAACCCATCCCCCAAAGTCTTATAACTACAACATCCAAAGCTTTCTCTTGCCTAAAAGACTTTGAGGGATTTTTATTTTGACATCCTTTTTTAATTTAACCCATCATAAAATTAGAACAGAACCTGGTCTCTACACATAATTATATTTATATAGATATCATAATTGTAAATATTGAAACTTTTATGAATCACTTTAATGGGTATTCACTTAATGATAGCCATAATTATACATATTTATCCACATTGAAATTAAATCCAGCATGACCTTATACAAATGTTACCTGCGAGTTTCTTTACTTGAGAGTTTGTAAGCATCGAAGCGAAGCCTGAGAATCCACGTTCAATTAGCAATGAGATCAATGAGTAACACGACCAAGGATAGCAAATAAATGATGTAACGGCGCGCAAACCTTCCCAAAATGGAACAGAGAGTGTCATGGTGCAGAGACGTGACGACGTCGGGGTCCTCGTGGTGCTTCTCTCCCATGTGAACGATGTACAGCTGCGCAAAACCCATGAGCTATCAAACTCCCCGCATCCTATATCCCTGAAACTACTACACCATGTCGCCCAGCCTTGCACCTACCTTCGTGTTGTCTTCTGGACCTGATGATACTGAGCCATGGGAAGGGGAACAGGAAGAAAGAAGGGAGAGGAAGAGAACCAAGAGAAGTGGGAGAGAGATACTGCTTCTATTCGCCATCGTGTATTATGCCGGCTGTTTAGCCATTGCCGGAATCTTAAGGTTTATTTATAGAAATTCTAAGATAAGTCAGTTGTCCACGGATTGGGCTCAGTTTGGTCAACAGATATTTGTTTACCAATGTTTATACGTTGTTACTCGAAATATTTATGGTCACGGTACAACAAATGAGTTGGCTTTCTTATTGTATAGAGACTTTTGATTTCTCTCTACTACACCAGTGAATGGATCACTACATTGCCTCTCAATCTTGGGATAAATCCAAGGTCCCCCATCCTGTTTATCTACGTTGCCTTTACCTGTCTTATCATACTTCAGCCTCCGTCGACACTCTCCCTCTCATACTTTCCTTGTGAAGGTACTACACAAGGTAATCATGAGGTATTGTAGGATAAACCTTCCCTCCATTTGACGTGCCACCGAGCGACACGAAACAGGTAATCGGAAGAAATCCTGCTATGTAGATGGGTACTAGACAATTTTAAAGGCGGACGGCGCCTTGCCACGGCCTTCGTCCCCACCGGACGGCGAAACAAGTCCACGGTGACCAAACGCCACCTGTTCCCCGCCAAAAATTCTAGCCTCCCACACATCTGGAGACACAATAACTGGCATAAAGCTCAAAAAAACTGACGATCGATCGAATTTCGTGAACAGATCAGTTGTTACATGTGTGAGCAATGAACCGGCCTCCGTCAGTACCTTGTATGCCGAGTTGACGAGGTGCTGCTTGTCAACGCTGACGGCGAGACCCAGCGGCTGTTCTCCGATATACGCCCACTCCTCCACCCCCCTTCGCCGTCTCCCCTCTCCTTACGCGGCATAATCTGCCTTATCCACTCATTGTCGCAATCCGTGCAGAGGAATCAGGACTCGGTATCGAAGGCCAAGTCTTCGGGCCTAGAAAGAGCCCTTCCTCGACCTTCTCCGCCGTCTTGAGGATGCCACTGTGGACCTCCGGAACGGAGATGGTCCCATCGGAGTAGTCATCGGGGTGAGGCGCGACGAGGATGAAGCCGAGGACGGTGGACGCCCTGAACTTGACCATGGTCAGCTAGAGAAGTAGGAGCCTGATGGCACGGTTCTGCTGGTCTGATCCCTGTGGAGGAGGGGCTGGACGGAGATGGTACCCCCTCCTCAATAGTGGGGGCGTCACAAATACACTTGCGCTAGCCCGTCCCTGCCAAGAGATAATCCGCCGCGATCCACAGCCAGCAGCCCATTGAACTGTGGCTGCTCCCGATCTACAACGTGGGTCGATTCATATATCGCCAATCATCCCTTGGTTGAGTCCGTTAGATGAGGCAATTCAATAGTGACTGAGAGACCGTTATCCTCGCTTATTGAAAAGGGATGCCCGAGAATAAGACTAGTTAATGTCGTACTTAACTGATAGAATCACTTGATGCACGATTCCCATTCCATTTTGTTACTTCACTGTTAACAACTAAATCATGATTCAAACTATGATGACCACTTCTTTGCCACGAGAAATCAACTCTGAAATCTTTGAAGGCCAAATGTGTGGCTCATGCCCGCCACCCGGCCACGTTTTCTGTCTTGTCATACTCAAACCTTAATGTTATCTACTCCGAAAACAAATATTTCCGTAGCCTTCGGCTACTCTCCATCCGAATGTGGCCCGCCTTCATCTTGCGGTCCTTCCTGTCGTCATCCGTTGAACCAGCTAGCGGTAACCCTCTAAGAATTGGTCGTCGTCCACCCGAGTAAAAAAGCGGGGGGCGAACCTACGGGGTAGAGATCTGCCCGTTGCTGATGGCGGGGCTTAGACGGCGGTGACTTCAGTGTGTAAGGTTGTCTTGGTCAACCTGTCTATTCTAGCAAATAGGGAAATTGAAAAGAAATTAGAGAAGAGACGAACGCCCTTTTATCTCCGGCGGCAAATAGGGCTCTGGTGACTCTCCACCCTTGGTAACTTTGGTTCTAGTTTACTTTCTCCACCATTTATTGTATTTTGTTTCGTCATTCATTGTGGTCCTTCTCTTTCCTGTTTGGAAGTGGGGATAAATGGCGTATTAACCTCTCCGTCCCGTATTTCATTCGCGATGCCTTTATTCTAGACATTTCTCCTTATATAATTTATTACCTTGTGGACATTATCTCATGCTCCTTTCTTCAGCTGCAATACCAGGCCTCATTGTACGCCTTTTATCCCAACATAGAGCTGCCTACTAAGCCCAAACTAGTGACAGTTTCATAAGACTATCAACTTGATTTTGAAATATGGATAAAGATGGAAGGCAGATGATAGGCAAGGAGCTGTGTGGAGTTTAACAAACCACTAAAAGACTAAAAGAAACACTTGAATTCATCGAAATCCTTTCGAATCGATATCGTCCATGTTACAGCAAAAGCCTAATATAGACTTATGGAACATTTATCTCCTCGCCTGCATTTAATCCCAATATTAATGAGTCATCTAAAAAGACAAGCCACATTAATAATGGTACATAAGCGCTAGATCAACTACCTTCTTGGTTGATGTGGCCACTGTCGTAGACAATATAGATTCAAATAACATTCTCATTATCAGGAATAAATATGTAAGCACATGTTCACAATAACAGAAAATACTTAATTTTTTAAATATCAATGAGAGCAAATAGAAGATAAATCACTAAGTTATTAAGAATTATAATCAAAATAGAACTTTCACCATACACTTTCTAATCCACATCTCAACATCCTCGAGATGAGTCACACACTGGAGAGTCAGCAATTGACTCTTATCTCCTTCTATAAGGAATTAACCTGCAATAGAAGAGAGGAGAGAAATCAAGAAAGAAAAAGATAATTGATGAAAAGAGATAATGGAATCAAGAGAGAGAAAGAAAAAATACAGCATCCGTCATATTCAAAAAAGGAAAAATACATGTCTTATTTATAAAAAATAAGAAAAGATAACCATCTCCTAAAAAGAGATATCGTGATCTACGAGCGGGCGAGCCCACACATCTCGGAGGTGACGGCTTCAACCTCCCTCATTTCTCACTCCCTCTCTCCTTGTACAAAACCGTGTCACCGCCCCTCACTCCTCGGACGTCTCCAAGCGAGTCAGATGGAAGAGGGTCTCTCGCACATATCCCAAACAGTTGAGACAGGAGGAGGCGGTTCATAGCCAGACTCACACCACCAATAGTTACAGTTCTGGGATTTGAGCAGTGCCAGGATTCCTGGTACGTGCAGAACTTCCAAAGATGATATATGCATGAAACCGGTACGAATCTCCCCTCAGACGCTAGGATGCTGACTCCCGGTGTAGTGATTGACGTTCGGCTGCATCTGTGCGAAATATTTCAGACAAAGAATTAGCAGAACCTTCGGCCAGGAACCTTGGAATTCTGAAACTTTGTCTCAACTTCATTAAAAGGAGAATGCCTCTGCAGATCTTCTCCTTGTCCTGTAAAACATTTTATGCCTGCTGAAAACATTGTTAGGTTCCTGGGCGTCTACAAGCACAACTTGAGGATGCCTGCTGAAAACATTGCTAGGGCCTCTAGACGAAAAAGCTGATAATCCAGTGCCAACACACCATACCGTTGACAAAGACGTGGGAACACAGCATTCCAGCCATGTGAAGTGAGGTGTAGAAAGACAGAGAGCCAGAAGGACAGACTAAAAGACTTTCCCGAACATTATTATGACAGTTAACCGCCACGCATGGGAAAATACAAAAGTTATTGCTGGTGACTAGCGGCATATTGTGGGAGGATTAGACCTACACCTCTGGCTTGCTGGAAGTTCAGTGCCGAAGTTCAATGCGACAAACATGATTTTATGCCTTGGTGAAGTAGGCCCCCTACTGCAAACGAAGGCTTTCCATATGTATTGGATGGAATTTAGTGTTGCTTCATCACAATTGTAACATAAAGTCTAGGTTTGACAAAAGTAAGGAAAACATCTCTATATGTATAGAACCCACTTGAGATTAAAACCATACAAATGTTAAGAGAATCTGTTGCAATCTACCGAGCGGCTTCCTTCTAGAGGTACATTAATTATGATGAAAATAAAATTGGTATGTGACATTACCATCTACACGCCAACACCGTGATGAGAAGAGCTTTTTTGAGATGAAGTTAAGATGATCCTATCCAACTCTAGCCTCATGCGGTTGGGTCATAAAAGTAAAAGAAGTATAATCGAGTTCAGCAAGTGACTTTTTTGGTTGGTCGAAAGACTGAGAAATTATAATTCCGTGAGTACCGTATGTTGTGTGGTAATCAATGCATGATGAAAATTAGTACATTTGTTCATATGAATAAGGACGTTGTGGAGTACATTTACTATTACTTTTAAGGTTATGTTCTAATTATTTTGAAAAGTGGTGGAAGGTATTTGTTGACATTTATTGATGATGTCTCAAAGAAGTTCCATATATATTTTTCGAAAAAAGTGGGAGTTTTTTGTCACTTTCAAGCATTTGAAGGTATTAATTGAGAGGTGAACTATCAAAAAAATCAAACACATGCATTATGATACCAATTTGTAGGCCATTTGTTCTAACAAAATGCAATCTAAAACTGTATGAGATAACCATAAATGTGTCACCAAATCTGACCTCGATAATAAATATTTAGATTTTATATTTTTAGAGGAAGAATATAAATAGATTTCATCGAGAAGATAAGAAAATTTTCTAGTGGAAGTATCGCGTAAAACAATAATGTCGACCATAAGTTGTGATCATCTCCGAGGGAGATGGCGGTGGGGAAAGAAGCGATCCATTGTGCTGTCTGAGTCTATTATAACCCATGGAAATATGTTGTGGGACCCTCGTTTTCCAATAGTGTGGAAAGACATTCGATGGCCGCCACGTTAAGGTGTGATAGCTCGGCAGTCAACTAATCACTTGTATATGTTCCAGCCTCTCCCCAACGGCTACATTTGATGTCTAACTCCATCTACAGCACCCAATGTCCGAACTAGAGAAAGTACAGTCACCTCCACGACTGAGGCTTTACCTTCCGGAAGCTCACTGTTTGCCTGCCGCGAGCTCGTCCAGGGGAATCCGGCTGATGTAGCTCTTCACTAGGGAGGCGTAGTACAGATGTCTTCCTACCCTGAGGCCGCCGGTAGACAGCGACAGTTCCCGGTCTGTGTACAGCGCCAGCGGCTCTCCCTCCAAGCTCACAGACAGAACGCCGGCACCCTTCCGCACATGGTGGGAAAAATCCGCGAGCTTCGATGAGACTACGACCATCTTTCTCAGCATTGGATACCGAAGCATGAGGTCCCAGCTCTTGCTCTTCCCCTGAAGGTAGACAGTCAGTCGACGATCAGATCGGAGTTGACTATGGCCGGAGCCGACGAGTTCGCCGGAGGACAGCTGTGAGGAACAGAAGAAAGGTCTCGTTACCGCACATAGACCGATCCAGAAACGGCCCTCGTCATCGTATCGGATATTGTCTGGCAACCCGGGCAAGCTGTCGACGAAGTGATCCACGGCTCCCTTCTTCTCTCCGCGGACGTGGTACCTTCTGCACCTCCTCCTGCGAGGGGGAAGTTCGAGGATGAGTGCGATAGATGGACTGTGGGGACGAGGAAGGAACTGAACGGATAAACTCTAGGGTTTCGCAGAAGACTTACAAGGGAGTCTCGCAGAAGATCACCGAGCCTTGATCTGGCGACATGGCGACGCCGTTGGCGAAGTAGAGCCCGCTGAGGAGCACCTCCGTGCGGGCGGTGGCGGGGTCGAAGCTCATCAGCCGCCCGTGTGGCCGGCCCTCCATGATATCCAGCATGTGGGTCGCGAGGTTATACTTGTAGGATGCGTCGGTGAAGTAGACTGTGCCATCGGAGGCGACGTCTACGCCGTCCGCCACACCAAATCTCAAACCATCCGCCTCCTCCGCCAGTAGGCGGACCGCCCTGTCCTCGCCGACGCTCACCAGCCCCTGTAATCGCCAATCATAGCAAGGTTAACCTATATAAAATATAATACTAGAAAACATCATCTTCGTACAATATTGTAACATAAAAGCGTATGATATGATGACGACATTATATTTTAGAGAAAACCCATTTACAAATTATGCCATCAATGGTTTGCCCAGGAGGGAAAGTAGAGATTTCCTAATTTCTTGGACGGGCCTGGTGACGTTGAAAAGCCGGCGCCGACATGACCGCCGATTTTAGAGTTAAAAAACTATTATTCAATGGCATTTAGGACTCCGATATGGCAGAAATGACTGGAATATAAAACTTTCCCATCATACGAATACCTATGAAATTTTAATTATTAACTATTATTATGAATAGTTCATTACTATTAAAGTCAAAACAATAGATATAGATATTCACATTAGATTAAAGTCAAAAGCATAGGTAGACGGAGATTCTAGTAAGATGACATGGTCTCATTAGTGGGTTAAATCCAGATGAGATATTCACATTAGAGCGTTAAATCCATGCAGATAAAGCATCTTACAATCTTCGAGTATGAATTGCTCAAGCCCTCAGACACCAAATCTTCTAAGAATCCTTGGAAATACGTTCCATCACTGCTTTGGAAATGAAGGAATCGAGTCTTATACCTTGTAAGCCGAGGCGACGAGGAGCTGCTTGTCGGGGCCGAAAGCAATTCCCAGCGGCCGCCCTCCAACATACGCCCAATCCTCTACCCCCTCCTTCGCCGTCTCCCCTTCCTTCCGCAGCTTAATCCGCCTGATCCACCCGTCGTCGCAACCCGTGTAGAGGAATCCGGAGGCGGCGTCGTAGGCCAGGTCCTCCGGCCCCGGCAAGAGCCCTTCTCCGACCTTCTCGGACGCCTTGAGGATGCAGCTGTGAATCTCCGGCACGGAGCTGGTCTGATCGCTGGAGCCCCCAGGGAGCGGAGCCGGGTCCAGATCCTCCGACCGGTAGAGAGCGACGAGGACAGAGGCCGGAGCGGCGACCAGCACGGCGAGGACGAACCCGAAGACCGTCGGCTTCGTCATGGCTGAAACGGGCTTCTGGGGGGACAATCCGCTTATGGGGAGAATCTCTCAGGCATCCCACAGGGACCTCCAGAGAAAACCCCTAGATAACACAACAGAGTACTCAAGAAGATTATGCTGATTTTTTTTCAATAGACGCGCTGTCTCAACAGGCTCTTTGTCGATCCCTCGTCAGCCACGCGGCGACTCTCTGTCTCTGTCTGTCTGTCTCTGTCTGTCTCTGTCTGTCTGTCTGTCTGTCTCTCTCTCTCTCTCTCTCTCTCTCTCTCTCTCTCTCTCTCTCGCTGTTATTATTCTCTATATTATTCTCTCACTCTCTCACCCTTTTCTCTCTCTTCTAACCTCCCGTCGGAAGCATCAACTACTTATCAGAAAAGGGTCCTATCAAGACGATGCTGACTTTTACTCTAGACGCGTTCGTCTCAACTGAGTGTCAGTCTTCGCCCTCTTTTCTCTCTCTCTGTCTCTCTCTCTCTCTGAGTATCAGGTCGACAAATTCTTGCAGTGAAACAAAATTTTGGTCACCCTTTTCACTATCAGCCAAGCAGTCAACATACATCCACTTATTTTTCTTTCCTATCACAATTCAAGTCAAATCTACGGAACATGGCTTCCTCGGGTAGTTTAAGAATAAACAATGATGCTAATGTTCTTCTGATCACATACTGTCGGAGCTGCTGCGCCTTGCACGAAGTAGCTCCTCTTCTCCGGCCATCTGATATCTTTCCCCAAATCTCTCAGACGTTCTCCCCAGGTGGGAGCTCAGCCAGCTTTGGAGGAGCACCAAGAACCCTATCCATGTCAAACCGAACCTCAATATTGCGGATGCCATAGCCAACCACCATCAACCAGAACAGCAGCTTGGCCAGCTCCGGAGCACTCGTCTCTGTCGCGGTCGTCTACAAGCCACGGTCGAAATGTGTCAGAAAATAGACCCCAATTTAGTAAAAACATCAAACTCTAACCTAGGAAGAGAGAGAGAGAGAGAGAGAGAGAGCAGCTGAGAGAGAGAATGACTTTTCTTATCACAGACTTTCTTGGGCCGCCGGAGATTCAGCTGCTCCTACTTGACTGTATTTTATAAGACTTTTCCTTCAATCTACCAATGCCCAAAGGAAATCTAACGTAATGCGAGTGAACAAGGTCACAAGGTCAACACCTTCATCTGTGCCGGATCTGAAACCGCCAGGAGGCGTTTTATGAAAGTATTCATGGCCACCACGACATCCTCTCCAGCACTGCTGGTCAACTCCTGCGTTCATCACATACATGCCACGTCAGAAATTACAAATATATTTCTATGATTCAGAGGAAATATGTTCACATTCTTTGAAGACTAGGAGAAGCGTGTTACCTTTAAATTCTGGGGTTCGAGGGACTTGAGATATTCTAAGAGTTCATTTTGTCCATTTGTAGATTTCCTAGCCACCTGCCGCTTCAGCTCCTCGATCTCTACTTCGAGTAATTCAATGTACTTGGTTGCGTCAATTGTCTCAGGGCCGGAGATTTTGTTCCACCTGATGACTTCACCCTTCACCTTTTTCTGTGTCCCGGGCGCATAATCTACATCATCCTGTAACGATCCCAAAACCATATAAAGATAAAATGCATCCACGCTGAAACAGAAAGATCCAGAATCAATGAGAAGTTCTTATCCAGTGATGTTTTCTGGACTGCAGAATAACATGGGCACCACTCAATGCGCATAAATATATATATATATATGCACCACTCCAGAAAATCTGATATGCTGTCAATGCAAGATATATCGCCTAATGCGGAAAAATCAAGAGCTCTCTCTCTCTCTCTCTCTCTCTCTCTCTCTCTCTCTCTCTCTCTCTGAAAGGGGTACAGGAAAGTTGAACTTTTCTGAGTTCCTTCTCTTCCATGGCAAACAGAGAAAGGCCATCATTACTGTATTGACTTGGCCCGTTTTGCACAGCATGATCGTCAACAAAGAAGTCAGCATTAGATTGACTTTTCCTCTGAGCTTTGGCTGCCTTCCCCACAGCCCCCAGTGTGTTGCTACAATCATTCCTACACAGTTTACTAAGTCGCATCAAGGAACCCTTGCGAGACCTTACCCTCCTGCTGATTTGTTTGTAGGTGACGAAACTTTAGCCTAGCTTCCAGGGTTGACCTTTACGGGCCAACCTCCTGTGAGTTGAGATCATTCATCCAGGAACGAATATAAGATAAATTATTTCTATTGACAGAAATTCCTGGTGGAACAAAAAGTTACAGCTTGCATTCATAATTTATTCCTTGACTTGCAATACACATTAAGGATGTTTGGTCATATGCCCAGGAAGACAGAACAAGTTTGTCATATTTCTTCAGACCTACTATCTATGTTGTGAGCCCAGAACAATGCAAGGACAAGTTTACCTTGGTTTCATTTGTTTCCAGAAGAGCAACCTGCTCTAGGCTTTGTTGTAGCTCCAAACGGTATTCGGCATTCTTGAACATATATCCCGTCATCATGACACTGTACATCAGCTGTGCGAGATTTTCTGCAACCTATGAAAAAAAAGCGTGAGATTCAGTTTTTTTTTTTGTAAGTTACCATCATTACTACAAATATCTGATGCGAACAAGTATGACATAATCGATAATGCATCATTACTACAAAGACGTGAATAAAAAGTTAAAAGCAAGAGCATCATCAAGCAACTGATCACCAAGAGCTGAAATGCTCACGCCAGTGAAAGGCATTCTGGCAAAAATGCATCAGTTGATTACTTTCGATATTAATCCAACTCCGAAGTCAATCTCCATTTTTCTATACAAGAACTTACGTAGATGAGATAAAGGTCAATTTATCAAGTAGCTCATATGTATTTCAACATAAATCCATCTCCCTGAGTTGATCCCTATTTTCCTGGGTAAGAACTAATGTTGTTGAGGTGAAGACCAACTTATGAAGTAGCTAATGCGCATCAAATGAAACAATTCAACAAGTCACCTGAGAGGGTTTGAACATAAATTCAGCTCCTAGGGTCAGCATCTACTCTCCTGTACAGGAACTCATGTGAATTTCAGGTAAAAATTCATTGATTCATACAGAAGGGCATGTACCGAAGGGCATGTACCGCCCATCAAAATACTCTATTTAATCATTATGATATAGCAGATAGTGTCCGATTCCATTATCAAATACGAAATTTCTCCCCTTTATTCTGACATGTTTTTCTTTGCGACCATCTTCCGTTAACAACTTGAATTTTTTACTCGATCTTAAAAGAACGACAATTCCTTCTATATATCCTCCCTCATTCCACCTGCCTTACGGAGTTCCAATCCCTATCAGGCTTATTGAAATCAAGAGGTGTTCGAAGAAAGGACCATTAGACTGATAAAATTTGTTGACTGACACAAATGGATGAAAGGAAGTACTAGTCATGTAGGAATGAATATGGAAGCAGCTTGAATATGGTCCTAGGACTTTGTGAACTTTAGCAAGAAATTCAAATTCTCATGAAGATATTGTACAGTATCAGTGCCAGTTTCACTAAAGAGGAACTTACATTATGAAATGTCATCTAGACGCATAATGTTTATTTTTTTCGTCATCTCGGAACAACATAATATATTTACAAATGTTCGCAGATTTTTCGGATGAAAGTTAACAACACAGAAGGACAGCCATGAAGTCAGATAGAAATTATGCCGGGATTATGGAAAGGCTCACAAGCGACAGCTATGACGAATTGGAAAACAGAACTGGTGAGGTATGGTTTGTGAAGTGTTACAAGTACGAGTGCAGGAATTTTTATCTTCTGTTTTCTAGAATGCCTCACAAGATGAATGCCTCTCTTGACGACATACTTATGTACTAAAAGTCGTCACTTGTGAATAAGCTGGCGATGTGCAGAAGGAGCAATCACTTCTGAGGAACATATGACGAGAATAGCATAGAGAGATCCCAGTTTCTAAAACTTTGTGACACATTATACGCTGCCAAATTAATGGTTGAAAACTATGAGGATATCCCACTTTGCAATGCTTCTCTCCACTTATATATGGTTCCCCCATTATGAAGACGCTTTGGTATAGGCTTGAATAGAACCACATCCAAGAAAATACAGTGGATTCCGATCTTCACGAAAGCTCTCCATGTATCATACGCAACAGCTTAGAAGCTACCAGGCAGAAAACAATGATATAGGTAATGGATCCTATCTGAAAGGCAAGCAAACAAAGACAAATCCCACTCATTAGAAGATATTATAAACTGCAACTGTTAGCATGCAGGCCATGCATTAGTCGTAAGATGGAGGATCAATGAACATGGTGCTTATTGTTTTCACAATCATACAAGAATATGACTTTTTTCCTGACAGAGAATTCACATGTTGTAGGCCAGTGTACTTGGGAAACCCTAGGTTGGCTGACTCCACCAATTGTATGAATCATGGACAAGTCAGATCGCGCTGGCAAACCATTTTCCCTGCTAAATGGACATTTTACGATAATATGATCAGGAGTCTCGTCAACAAACCCACAGAAAGGGCACTCCTATATCTGATATGTATGCCAACTACTTAGACAGAGGAGCCACATAAATGTCTATTAGATAGAATTTAGAGCCAGTAATCTGTCTACTCAAGTCCATCTCTTCAGCATTATGCATCCTAAAATAGAAATATCATTGGAATATTGGAAATTTCCAGCAAAGACCAACTATGAGAGTCTACAAGGCTATTGCAATCACCCTCTCATGGGCACTCATGAAGGCCAGAACCACACAATTCTTATTGAGTTTAACAGAGCTTTACGCCCAATAAAGTGGAAGGCGTCAGGACAATAAAACTGAAGAGGTTAGAGTGATTAACTGATATCCAGATATCAAAGAGATTATTTGTACCCCGCATTTTCGACCAGATTGCTTACCATCAAAGTAGTTGTACAACATGGCAGCCAACAATAAAGAAAAAAACATCTCCAAGAGTCCGAATGCTAGAACACCAAATGATGAATAACCTGGTGATATCTCACCGTGGTAACAGTCACAGCAAAGAACTGGGGAGGAAGTGTTCCAATCATATTTGTAACTGTCTGCCGCATTGCTTCAACGACCTTCAGAAAGAAAAAAAAAGGAAATGAAATACATGAATATTTTCATATTCACCTAAAGAGACATTACATATGAATAAAATGAATCCACACACAACTTATAGCAGCCCTGTATGCATCAAAAACGAAGTTGAGTGGATAAATTGAACCAAGGCAGACAGATGATCGGCATGCATTTCTTCCTGTAATAATGCAAAACAAAAACTAACCCTTAAAAACATGTGGCATTACAAAGGGCAGTGGTGTCTGACCTGTTTAGGGGCTTTTTTCACGAACAATTCCATAAATTCTGGTTGAATAGTCTTTACGTACTCCAGAAGGATGTCCCTCCTGCTCTGTAGACAAGAAGACCAACACTCAGCCTTAATGTAGCAGACAAAATAGTTATGAGGTATTTGTAGTAGCTGTATGGTTAGGCAGACCGTATGAAGTAAAAGGAAATAAAGAAATGACTCATAGTATCCAAAGGAAAAAGTAAAATAATATCCAATACATGCAGTCTTCCACTAGTTCAACACTTGAGAGCCCTAAAGCATAAACAACATTCGAAGGATAAAAAAAGAAAAATAAAAAAAGATGAAAGCACGATGATTACCATGCAAACCAATTGTTGCGAGCGAAAATTTACTAGGGAGACGGACTACGCGGCTAATTTTCGTTCCTCGCAGGAAAAACAGTAAACTCGATGCCGGAAACAAACGGGGATGGACGGAAGAGGTGTACCAGGGTCCCATTCGGGGGCTTGAAATCTCCGCCAGCAGCGGCCGAGCCGTCGGAGGCTGCGCGCAGTATCCTTCGGCATCGGCCTTTCTTCCTTGGGAAGCCTGAGAACGAGACCGAAGGACAACGGCAAAACCCCCGATGGGAGAGCACCGTGGGGGAGGTAGAAGAAAGGCACCGAGCGGATGACAGAACAGGCTCGAGGAAGCAAGACATAGAGATAAGGTACGATGTGGACTGCTCAGTACTCCCCGCTCGTCACCCTCCTCCTCAGGAAGCAATCTACGGCACTGGACTGATGAGAGCTCTGAAATCCGCCACGGTCGGGCGAGGGGGGGCTCGAGGAGGACTAACAGGTAGCGTACGTAGCAGCTTAAAGTCCTCCCCCCTGGTCGGCTGGTTTAACGGTCCGATCAGAATGAGGCACGGGAGGGCGGGTCAGAAGATTCTGATCCAGCCGTCCAATTAATGGACCCTTCTTTCCTCCTCGATCGATGGAGCCGCAGTTGTCCACTTGATCCTCGTTTGTCTGACCGTTGATCGTAATTTCCATCCAACGGTCGTCCACGGCTGTCGCTTTGGGCCGGCTGGCGTTTGATGGGCCTATAAAGAAGGATTGGGCCCCTTCTCGAACGGCCCATAAGTACCCAAAATAAGACACGTGGTTTAAATTGGGCTTCCAAGGCTTGACTCCGGCCTGGCCCATTTTACCTCTATCCACGTGTTCATCAATCTACAACCCCTTTTCAATCATTTTCAGAAATTTAAAATTAAAAAAACCCAAAAATATAGATATTATTTTTAAATTGTTATAATATCCTTAAAATAAAATTCGTGAATAATTTATGGTCAGCATCATTTGGTGCCAACAATAATTATAATAATAATAATGATAATAATAACAAGAGAATTATTAGTAATAATCGTAGAAAATATAGGACTAATTATCTCACAGTCACACTAAGAATATTCGCGAACGGACTATGACATATTAAAAAATTCAATTATAAAAAATATATGCACCGAATATATTCCCATGGGTTGACTTTTAATTGGATACGTATCTTTAAACGTCGTGGATGGTTGACTATTGACACCACGATTGGTTGTCGCACAGGCATCGATTGGTAGATGAGGCCAGAGAGAGGATTTTTTAAATAAACTCTATTTTAAAAAATCGTGAATTTCTACGCCCGAAAACATGTGGACGGGCCGATCCTACCCAGTCGCCTCGCCGCCCACCGACTCGCCGAGTTTGACGAGGGACGCCCGGTTGCGCATCGAGGAAATCAACGAGGTGATTGGACGGGCGAGTGGCCAGTGGGAGCCGTTGACAGACGCGCTACATCCCAACGACTGGACCAATAAAAAGGAAGTCAACCACCCCTCACTAGTTTATTCCCACAACGCCCCCGCCTCTCTCTCATTCTCTTTCATCACCGTCTCTTATTTTCTCTCTCCAGCGGTTGGATAAGCGGTGATTTGGGTTGTTAATTAGTCTGGACGTCGCCTAAAGCGGTTTTCGTGGGCGTGGGCCCAGACTGGTACGTAGCGGTGATCAGGTGGAACGCGTGCGCGTCGGCAGGAGGAAGTGTCTGGTCGGGCCCGCAGGATGGCTTTAGCACGAATCAACAACCGCGGCGGTTTGTTGCCGTCTGGGCACGTCGGTTCGGATTCCCAGCGATTTGGACGCGGGCCCGGTGATGGACATCATTTTTTGGGGATATTTTCTTCCTTTTTTCTTACAATTCCCCTAAATATCATTTTTAATTTTGAGTTCCCATATATTTTCATAAATATCTTTATACCCTCGTCAGCGCTCTCCAGACCTTTTTCATAATTTTGGAGCTTACTTTTACGATCATCTTCGAAAGCACCTTCCCAAAGAAAAGGAATTTACAAAATTGCGTTACCCCGAGTCAAAGTAAAAAAATTGTGGTCAAGGACACGGAGGGCATCTGGTCTTAATGAGAAAGACCATACGCGAAATTTTATAATAGTGAAGCCTATTAATAAAATTGTTTCATATTTATAGGAGAACTAAAAATACCGTTTTATAAAATCTAAATGTGTAGTTTTGGACTGGTTCTTCGGCTACGGACTCCAAGTTGCCGTTCAGAATGGAATTCCGGTCGACGGTGCTGTCCGTCATCCTTCCCGCCCCAGATGATGATGACGACGAAGAAGAAGATGGAGAGGAGGTCGGAAAGCGGGGCAGGGGGAGGAGCAGGTAGTGGAGCAGGCGGCACGCCTCCTATCTCTCCAGGTGATTACGCTCCCAACCTCACATGGGATTGGTGAGGGTGCACAGCCGCTCTCTCCGGATGGCCTTCCAAAGGCGCCGCCAGAAGGAGCGGCGTCGGATTCCGTGGTTCTCCACCGCGACGCTCGTCTCTGGGGCCGCGGTCGTCCTCCTCGCTCTCCTCGCATTGGTCTCTTTCCTCGGGCCTCCGCTGATCGATCACCCCGCCTTTCCCAGCTCCGGTCGCCACGTCCTGAGTAGTTCCACCCCGCCGATATTGGTAAAGTCGTGTTGTCTTTTTCTTTGAGTTCTCGACATTCTTCTTTTCTCTTTCATATATTTTTCCCGTGGTTTACATGCATTTCGGTGCTTCCTGTGAGGACTTCTCAGTTCGATGATCACGCCGTCGGAACCGAGAGAAAATTATCGGGGGCGTGGACTTTCGATGTGCCGGATGGATTTTCTATCACTTTTTAACAATTATAATCTGATGTTTTTGGTGGTTTATCTGACAGATCATAAATGCTATTTTTGCCTCTGTTCGTATTAACATGTTCGTAGTTTTCAACCATAGAGTGGAGATGACAGCTCGGAGAGCAATCTTTGGGAATCAAAGCTGTCCAGAAATTACCAGGGCTGCAGCGAACCGAGCAGCGAATTTGGTAATGAGCGATGAAATCTCATCGACTTTCTTCTCGACTTTAATTAGATCTTGCATGTATATTCAGTTTCTTTTGGAATTTCTATATCTGACGCACTTAAATCGGTCATTCAGCGTGTTGATAATGCCTCTTCCTTTAGAACTCCGGGAGTAAGATTTTTGTGTTCTTTGAAGCAGCAGGGTCTACCACATATTCCAGTAGGTTCCTGATGATCGCAACCAATGGAGGCTTAAACCAACAAAGAACTGGGGTACAGTTTCCGCCTCCTATTTGGGTTTTCCAAGTTTGTTTCTTCTTCAAGAGTATTCATAGGAACGACTATCGCCGGCATTAGAAATTTTTCTGTAGCCTGCCAATGATTGAGTCGCGTAAAATTATCAGGCCACAGTGATGGGTCAATAACATTGAGCGCGAAATACGAGACCGAAATTCTCTTGTTAAATTAATGGAAAACTTCACATTCTTTCCTTCCTTACAGATAATCGATGGGGTGGTCGTAGCTCGTATTCTGAATGCAACGCTCGTTGTTCCTAAATTGGACCAGACATCCTTCTGGAAAGACTCGAGGTTTGCTTCAAACTATTTACTCTGTTAATTCTTCAATTTTCACCTATTAAAAGCCCGAACGAGAGATCAGGACAGTAATGCCATTCATACTCTCGCGTTATGTGGGTAAATCGCCCACAAATTACACAACATCCGAACATGTGAATTAAAGTACAGAATATATCACAACATTAGGGGATCTAATCAGTTTTTTGAACTACTAATCTGAAGAACATTGATCCCACCTTTGCGTTCCAATGCAGCAACTTCTCCGACATCTTTGATGTCAACTGGTTCATTGAATCGCTCTCAAAAGATGTAAGAATTATAAAACAGCTCCCAAGGAAGAGTGGAAAAGCATCTCTCTATCCGTGGACCATCCGTGTTCCAAAGAAGTGTACTCCGAGATGCTATCAGAATCGTGTCTTACCTGCCCTTCTGAAGAAGCATGTAAGTGCCGAGTTCTCTAGCCTGGAACTATCTTCACTTGGGTTTTTCCTTGTCATTTCGATGACGGTGAAGTATCATCGGCAAACTGCTGAAATGCATGCATCCTAGTGCCTTTTCCAAGGCATAACCCATCTCAGTGATGATTTGTCCAAATAGGATGAAAGGCAGAGGAGATATGGGATCCCTTTGATGCTTCAGATATTGAAGTACCCACACAGTTATCCATTGATCAGAGAACCGAGGGATTTTATCTTCATTGCATCGTGAGATTTTTCTTGCTCAGTGGGGCTTCAATTCCAATCCCATCAGACTGCAAAACTTTACCTCATTGTTCTCCTGCCCTGTTTTTAGCGATGGATATACCTCTGAGAAGGCTGCCTAGTTGTCCAGAGTCGGCATCAAATCATTTATTTATTATGTTTCATAACTTTCACCCCATTCAGCATCCCTTTGAATCTAGTGGATGAATGACTCGACGCCTCTTTGTGTTGATTTTGTGGCTCAAATTTAGGCAAACAATGCGTATAATAATCTGTTATCTCCTCTGTTTCCTTTAATGCTCTGTCAAAATACAGTCAATCGCTTCCCATTTCTTCTGGCAAAAACCAACTGGGATCTTCTAGTTCTTGGCTCATGGCGTTCGTATTTTACATTTTTCACCAGTTTCTTGTTTTTTTTTATGTACAACTCGATCGAATTACGAGTTTTTCTTTTTACTTTAAAAGAATAGCATTAAATGCTTTATTTCGATGGTCTGATTTCATCCTCAATTTCCAGGTCGTCCAGATCAAGAAATTTGACTACAGCCTTGCAAACAAGTTGGAAAAGGATCTGCAGAAGCTTAGATGCCGGGTGAACTATCACGCATTGAAGTTCACGGGTCCTATACTCGAAATGGGCAACAGACTAATCGAGAGGATGAAGATGAAGAGCAAGAACTTCATTGCCCTCCATCTGAGGTACACGTCTGCGGGGCCCTTTGATGCCGCTCACGTTGACTAAACCTATACTAATATTATTGTTATTATATTAGTATAAGAAATATAGTATATAATATACATAAATCAATCATTTTTATTTTCAATCCTTTTTGTATATATATATATTTTTTATTCTGATTTATTTTTTTTTCTTTTTTTTGGGTCCCCTGGTGACAGATTTGAGGCTGACATGCTTGCCTTCTCTGGGTGCTACTACGGGGGAGGAGAGAAGGAAATCAGAGAACTGGGTGCAATTAGGAAGAGGTGGAAGACTCTGCATGTAAGATGGGTTGACCCCTGACCAGGTTCTTTTTTTTTAATTATTATTATTATTTATTTATTTTAAAGGAGCATTCTGTAGCAGCAGCCGGCATGTTTCTTCTTTGTGAATATGACAGACCAGCAACCCCGAAAAGGAAAGAAGGCACGGGAAATGCCCGTTGACTCCCGAGGAAGTCGGTCTCATGCTGCGGGCGCTGGGCTATGGGAGCGACGTCCACCTGTACGTGGCATCCGGGGAAGTTTACGGAGGGGAAGAGACGTTGACCCCCCTGAAGGCCCTCTTCCCCAATCTCCACTCCAAGGAGTCACTCGCCAGCCGGGAGGAACTCGCCCCCTTCTCCCCCTTCTCTTCCCAGATGGCCGCTCTCGACTTCATCGTCTGCGACGGAAGCGACGCCTTCGTCGCCAACAACAACGGTAACATGGCCAAAATCTTAGCCGGTCGAAGGTACTCTCTCTCTCTCTCGATCTCTATCTCTCTCTCTCTCTCTCTCTCTCTCTCTCTCTCTCTCTCTCTCTCTCTCTCTCTCTCTCTCTCTCTCTCTCTCTCTCTCTCTCTCTCTTTCTCTCTCGATCTCTATCTCTATTCTATCTCTCTGTGTTGCTTGCTGTTTACGGAAACTGGTTGTGATCTTCAGGAGGTATTTTGGGCACAAGACGACGATACGACCGAACGCGAAGAAACTGTACTCGGTGTTCCAGAGCAGGGGGAACATAACCTGGGAAGAGTTCGCCTCGAAGGTCCGCAGCCATCAGAGGGGCTTCATGGGGGAGCCTAACGAGGTGAGGCCCGGCCGCGGCGAGTTCCACGAGAACCCCTCTCCCTGCATCTGTGAAATCTCCGGGGTTCTTCAGGACGAGGACGATGACGATCCCGAGGATGCCAGAATGCATTCTCGGAATCGACTTTTGGCGCGTAACTAATTTTTTTCGGATATTCCGTCCCCCAGTGCATATATATATTATTTTTATTTGTAAAATTGAGGTAAGTTTGAGAGGGGGGAGAGAGAGGGGCGTAGATCCACGTGGAGGGGCTTTTTGGTCACAAGGGAAGGCTGTGGGTCCCACAGACAGAGTAGGACCAAGGCGGCGGAGTGGGATCAGAAGACAGCGGAGCGTCGTTTAGACTTAGCCGAATTAGTAGCTCATGTGTATGGTTGTTACGTCGTGGGGAGCGCCTCGCCTCCCCGACAAGCGGCAGGGAGTGGGGGGGAGTCACGTAGGGGGGGAGGGACGCCGCCACTCCTCCGCCGTCGGCGAGCGTCTCCGGCGGGGCCGACCGGCATTGCCGCCGAGGGGGAGATTCTTCGCCGGGAAGAGCAGAGGCTGTGGAGCCGTTCGAGTTTTCTTCTGCCGAGGGAGGTTTTTCCTGCTCGAGTTTTCGAACTCCGCCGCGTAGAGATCCGCGGCACCCTTCGTTTTAGGATCATCTTCTTCTTCTCTGATTGTCAGGATGGAATTGTCGTAGTTTGGGGAGGCAATGGACGCCGGTTCTTGGGGCCTCGTTGCTGTTGCCTCCCCACGGGAGGTTGGGATCAGCTCAGTGGGCTCGGTATTTCTGTTGCTGCCTTCCCACGGCCCGGACTTCTGTAAGCGGATGGCCAGAGGGGGGAAGGCAGAGCTGCCGCGTGGAATCGCGTACTGCGGGGGAGATTCCCCCGAGTTCCGGAGGCCGGGGAAACGGAAGGCTGCCTCGGCCGTGGACAAGGCAGATGAATGGCGCCTCGAGGCGAAAAAGAGCGTCCGGAGTGACCTGATGTGGGCGCTTCCGGCGATAGCCTTCTCGTCTCCACGGTAAATTATTATCATCTCTCATTTGGACATTGGCTATCGGTCAAGACGTGCATTGCATCTTTTAGCCGAGGAGAGATGCAATAGCCGGTCAAAAGTTTGGAATAAGCCGGAAGTTGTCTCTCATAGATGGACGCAGAGGGTTTTGGGTACAGCATCCTCCGACAATGTTGGTTTCTAGAAAGGGTCTGAATCTGCAGTCGGACTGAAACGAATTTCCCTTTTTCTAGATGTGTGATCTGTAGGGATCTATCAGATCCCGTGGAAGAGGCCTCGTTATGCTAGTATAAACCACGCTGCATCAATTGCGTTTTAAATCGAGAGCCAGTCTGAAAATTCCAATTAGGTTATTTTGCATGTCGACTACAAGAGGGTTATCTGGTCAGTCCTTCCCAAAGCTTAGGAACTTTTAATCAGGATTTCTTGGGTCAGCAATTTGGTAAACTCGTGACTATCCCCTCTGAATGATGGTAAAAACCGTCATAAATTGCTGAAAGCCTACTTCTTGCATTCTTTTGATATAACCAATCGATATACTCGTGTAGCTGAAAAGCAGGTTGCGAAGGTAACTTTTGTCACTATCCGTAAATCGAAAAACCTGAGTGTTTCTGACTTTTTTAATTTCTTATTTTTTAGATCCTTCGGTGCATCCAAACAACAAAATTTCTGCCTAATGTGCAGTTCAAGAAACGCCACCCCACAGTCTCGTGATACACCTCCTAAAAGAGGTCTGATCATAAAGTTAATTGCCGCTTCATCTGCTTGGAACATGCTTGAAATGTGTTAGATTTGGTTAATTTAATGTTGGGGATGATTCCGGCGGGAGCCCTTTTCTGCTTGCGAATCAACATGCTCTTCTTTCCGCTTCTGATTTTACTGGATTTCTTTATGAATAATTCCAAAGTTGTTTTCTAGTTTGAGACTTCTTTATTCATCATTCTGTCACTAAAAAAATGTGTCGACTATTTTTATGTGTTTGCCAAAGACACTGGTATTGCTAGTGAGAAGGATTGGGGGATCATCCTGTTAAATGAAACTGTCAATGAGTCTGGCACCAATGAAGATGGTAGTACCTGGTATCGAGAAAGTGGAGAAATTCTTGGTGATAATGGGTACCTGTGTCGTTGGGCTAAAATGGGAGGTCAATTACATGATGGTTCGACAGAGTGGAGAGAAACGGTACACTTTTTATTTATTACTTTGATGTTTTAATTTCTGTGAGATTTTGGATTCGTTCGTTTCTAAAATTTAGTACCAAGTACATTACTGTTTCTGGTAAAAAAAAAAAAATTATAATATCTCTATATCCCTTTTACTTGGAAAATTTAATGCTTCAAGTTTTAACCTCAAGATTCTCAGACTTAGTCACATGTTTGGGTTTCAGATGATAATAGCCTCAGAAGATAGTTGCCTTCTTGGTTTACTCCCCTGACCTTGATGCTAGGCCTATTATGCAAATGTAAAACAAGAAATTCACACGATCTTGTTCGCTCTTTAAAGTACCCATGGGTTTTTCTACCCGATTTTTTTATGTGGTTGTCTAGATGCTTACTTTCGTTTGTTATTTTGTTGAATTTTTCAAGCACGCCTGCTGGCACACCCTCTTTGAAGGGAAAACCCAGGTCTTTTGTGAGTCATGAAGAGCTCCTATCTTGGCAACCTTGTATGGTTAATGAAACAACAATTTCCTATCTTGGCAACCTCTTCATTGGGTTCTTGTCTTATTTGACTTTCATGATTAATTGATCTTGATGTTTGCAACTTATTTGGTTGCTGTTCTAATTTATCAATTTGACCCTAGAGATGAACTAAAATTCTTAGGAATTTAAGTCCGAGATCATGATGTTTAATGGGTGAAATATCATATCACACATTTATGATGCAGCTGTCGATCATGATGTTTTATGGGTGAAATATCATGTCACACATTCTGGATTTTTAGTGAACATTTAGGTGAGTTTTATCTGGTTAGTTGGAAGATATGTGAATTAGACGACTGCTACTCTGATGGACATAACTAGGACTCTGCGATTTTGCACCTATGCGATGGTTTGACAATGATGTCCGCAATCTTGAAATTTGTGATCTAGATTTCCTTAGTTCATAGAGAAAAGGCAAATGTTATATGTACGACCTTTAACAAAATTTGAAAAATGCTGTAGTTCTATATCTAGATACTGAGGTAGCTCTTTTGTTCTGGAAGCTACATCGTCGCCAACTTCCAGCGGCATTTTATCTTGTTTTTGAGAAATTTCATCTCCTTGAGTCTATCTCAACTGAAAAAATATTCGTTCGTTTTTCATGCAGCAATTTTTGCACGAAAAGTTCCCTTGCAGATGTGGTTTTTTTAAGCGAGGCTGAACCTTCCTTGTTTTATAAAGTATGTTTCCCTTAGTGAATGATTTTTGAAAATGAGTTCTAGGGAAATTACATATTTTTAATGTCATGAGGAAAAATGTCCCATGACAATGTGGATGACTTTAGTAGATGGTTGATTGAATTGAGCGAATATGAATTAAAAGTGGTGTTTTGAGCTGGAGTGAAGGGTTGAAGTTTCATGCCTATATTGAGAGATGACTAAATAATGCTTTTAGAAGGTCGATTCAGCTTTTTCGTTATGAATTCTCTTGGAGCTCTGGTGAACATGCAATAAATATAGATCCACCAACTAAATATGTATGTGATTGAAAACCAAAAGAAGCAAAGTTGTGGAAGTAGAAATGAGATATTATTTAACAAGGCGAAACAAGACAAGGCAAGAAGAACACTTAGGTAGCTGCATCTGAACTTTCTTCTCTTTATGTTTAATTGATTGTTTATGTTACGTTTCTAAAACATGATTCTTTTAATTGAATTATTAGCTTAAGGCTCTGGAGCCTTGAAAACTTAGCCGGTTTGAACAGCCCAAAATCTGTTGGAAGGATGACAGAATTAAGAATGGAATTCATAGTGGCGGTTTGCCTGAGAGAAAGAGGTGCGACCATTGTGGTGTTAGGTCATACGTAGAACCAATCCTCCTTAGTCAAGAGACTAAATCTACTCAGCACTGAGGTGACACTCGTCTACGTCGTTATGTAGTCATGTACCAGCAAAGTGATGCATAATATCTCTTCTTGATTCCAACTCGTAATGTCTCATGTAGTTTTTCATTTGCCATGGTGGCTATTCTAATGAAACCTGATGGTTCAAGTTTAACAGCCTGCGTCCACTATGCATGAATCGTCAAAATGTATGAATTATATGTGACAAATTTCCTAAGCCCAAAAAGTTCTTCGAAGGGTTTTTTTATAAATGACAAGTCTCTTGTTTTCATGTAATTCCTGTGTCACTGGACGGGGAAATGATTAATATTTTTATTTATTTATTTATTTTAGGAGAGAAATCATAGGACTATTACTCTATTAAATATTGTGGTTTTCATACATCTTTGGGAACAATGATCAGTCTTACCCACATGAGGAATTAATTTGTCTCTCAAATCTCTTTAACAGTGGTGGGAGAAGAGTGATTGGACGGGGTACAAAGAATTAGGTATCACAATTCTCCGATTTTTTTTCTTTACATAATTTGATTTTCTGATTCTTGCAATGACATCATTTATTGGTCATAGAACTAGCGATACTGTGGAAACTATTGCAACTACTCATGCCTTATCTCTTTTCTTTGTGTTATGTGGCCTTTTGTTTCTTGGAAAATGTCCTTTTTCGTCCATTAGATTGTCATAACAGAAATATGCGAGTTCTCTATTATTTATTTTGGCCAGTGCTTTTTCCATTCAGAATGTGCATTTTTTAAAAAATAATCATTTCTATCATCGATGTTTATCTTTTCAGGTATAGGGCCATTTTCAAATCGTCCTAAAAAAATTCACATAACGGTGAACTGACTTATTGAACATGTAGTCACCAATTTTTGATATCTTCATTATTACGTACTGAGAAAATTTTGGGTTAAAATGAGATAGAAAATAGAAAAGTAGAAATCTCATATCATGGAGCTGCTCCTTGCAATAAGAATAGTAAAGGCATGAGGCGGAAGTTGAATGACATTTTTTAAATGATTTATCGTTTATTTTATGCCGACCAGAGGACTCTTGTCAATGGGCTGGTGAGCATTCCCATAGGACCCCTAATGTTTTTGTGGCTGGCATTTGAAATGAAGTAGGGGTACTTTAATCGGGTAAAAAGAGAATAGTGTTCAAAAAGCAGTTTCCTCGTCCCAGTAATAAGCTTTAATTTTGGAGAAGTATCCTTCTACTGTATAGTCAGATAAAAATCTGTTTTAAAAAAATGAGGATTTGGAATGATGCATGAATTTACTTTATTTTGTCTTGGTGAGTCTCATTTATTTTTATAAACACGTAATTCCAATTTTTTTTTCATGGCTTGAAAAATCTTCCTATTGTAACTGTCGTTCATTTTGCCGCTAAAAACGTCCTTTTCTCTGCCTGTCGTCATGATGTTCATATCCTCCCTTTATTATCTCCATTGGTCATTGCCCTCCAACTAGTACTGATTACACCTACCAATTCTCCTTTTCCCCTTCTCTTGTGAAGTCATAATTGTGGTAAATGAGATCAGGATCAATGATTTAAAATGGTATATATAAATATGCATATGGTAAAGTCCATACTCGGACTTCTTTTATTTTTACTATTTTCCAATTAAAGTCAATAATTGATATACTCATATTTTATAAGGGTTTTTCTATTTTAAACATTTTTAGGATTTTTACAGACTAGTGCAAATGACGGCTCAGGTCAAGTTAGTTTAATTAATTGACTATTCAAGTTCGTAAAAAAATGTTAAATTGCACCGAAATTTAGCAAACTTGGTCCAGTTGAGCTTCAAGTTTGAATTAATCAAATATTGTTTTCAAATACTTTCGGAAATGAAATGGTATTTTTTAGGCTTGATGACTTTATAAAGATAATGATTGATTTAATGTCTGTGTACTATCAAAAACTGAAACTTTGAGTCAAAAGAATATCAGCCTAGTTTCAACTGTAACAACTCGTATGCCAACTTTTATGTCCATGTCCGAATTTTTTTGAAATCTACTCACGTAATATTTTGACTATGAGACGTTATTTATCTTATTACGTTAAAGAATTTTGGAAGTTGAAGATAGGTGAAGAAGAATTGTCTTTATAAAGTTTTGTCCCTTAAATAGGGGTCATCTGTAGACGGAAAGCATTCTCTTCGAGGATTTAGTCTGTTGAGTTGTACTGTCTCACCGCAACAACACTCTCCACAAGATCTGTTTAAATGAAGTACTACCTAAGACGTAGACGCAGATACCCTTATTACAACATTACTTAGTCACATTAGATCTGTCTCATTAGTATAATTAACACGGGTTTACCTAAACGAATAAGATCCATGTAGTTGGTTCTAGATAACCAATAACTTGGTTCTTGATACTCCAATTCCTTCTGCACACAAATTGGGGAGTCCTCTGGTGCTGGGATCAAGTTGCACTGAATATGTCAATCATAGTTTCAATCCAGTTGTCTAATTAAAGAGGTGTATTTCATTACTTTCACCCTTTTAAATTTTAGACTAACGTGTGAGGTCACCTATTGGCTACCAGTTTGCATCTAAAATGCCATCAAGATGCACTGATTTGGTGAATATCATAGTAGGGATTTTGGTATTGTTATCCCTCTAGACCTTTTAATTAAGTTTGCTTTGAACCAATCTCTTATAAGGAAGGGACGCGTTTTCACTTCTAAAATCTTGCCATCACGTATCTATTGCTATTTTTTTTAAATGATTCTTTTCATTTTTGTTTGCGCAGGTGCAGAGAAGTCTGGGAAAAATGCCAAAGGAGATTCATGGTGGGAAACATGGCAGGAAGTCCTCTATCAAGATGAATGGAGGTACACACTTTTGGATAAGAATTTATACTTCATTGGTTCTCATGCCAACTGTGGAGACAGCCTATTAGGTTTTGGCGATGTCAGTGCCTCTAGGCTTAAAGAGAAGTTGTTAAAACCAAAATTTGATCATCCTAATTCTACCATGAGAACCTAGTTCTGGAGGGGACACGATATTCTAAATCCGTAGGCTAAATGAGCCATAGTTTTTATGCGGATATTGTGACTCCAAATTTAGAGTGAGTACCACATTACAGGTCATAGAGAATAGTTGAAATATTTATTGGTTGAAATACAGCAATCTGGCAAGGATTGAGAGAAGTGCTCAAAAACAGGCAATATCCGGCACTGAAGCGGCTGGATGGTACGAAAAGTGGTGAGCAATCTTTTAGGTCAATCTTGAATTTAGTTGTTCATTCACGTTTCTTACACATTGGCAGATTCTTTTTTTATTCTTACATGTTTTCTCTACTATCAAAAATCGGAGAGTTTACTCAGGTGGGAGAAGTACGATGCAAAAGGGTGGACCGAGAAAGGAGCACATAAGTACGGTAGCTTGAACGAACAATCATGGTGGGAAAAATGGGGAGAGCATTATGATGGGAGAGGATCTGTCGTTAAATGGTTTTCTCAAGCTCATATCCCATTTTCTTTTATATTTTCTTATATTCAGTTCTCATTTGATGATAAATACCTTTCATTCTCAAGCTATTCGTGCTGCTCCATATGTGAACTACTTTAACTTGGTGAAAGTCTTTTGGAATCATGTCACTTATTAGATAATGTACTTTTTCCTGATTATAATATCTTTAACGTGGTACTTTGCAGGCCACTACATTTTTCCGAATGTCTGCTCGGTCCATTATAGATGAGATCACATTTTTTTTATTTTGCTGGGGAGCTTTCAGTATCACAGTGTTTCTTTCTGATGAGGAAATAATTGTATTCGTTTGGTGACCTGCAATCTTGGCTTGAAAGTATGAAACAGTTTGTGTACAGAAGCAACACATCTGAAATCATCGTAGTTTTTTGTGATGATTGATGTACCGGAATTGTTAATTCGTAGTTTATAGGCCATACTAAATTATTTTTCACTTGGCTTTAACTTTGGCAAGAACTTTGTTTAATTTTGTGCCGGGTTGGATCTCATCGATTGTTATTTTCTTAGTCTACTTACAGCCTTGTCGAATATCTTGATTATAAAACTCATCATTAGACTTAGGTCCCATAAGTTATTAGCTGTTGGCCGATGGCATGTGCTGAATAGCATATGTTCTAGGCTGGTCGTCAGTCAGTCTTTGAGGATAGATGCGCTTCATATGGAGCGGGAACGACAGGATTTACATTGCCGAGCAAATCAAGAATTGGGAACTCAACTCCGACAAACACGGCACAGATGGTTTGAGCTATATTTCAGTTACTATTATAGATAAAGATTTTCATGCAAAAGATATTGAACAAGAAATGTCTTTGTTGTGTGGATAACAACATTAATTCAGAGAGACTTGGGGCTTTCCAAGAATTTTCCACTGGCTCTTGATTCTGCTAATCAGGGCGTAAATCCGAGATATGCCGGGTATAGAAAGGTCATGTTCATTGATTACGCTGTGTTTATGCAAAGAAGTGACCTCTTGTTGGTATATATATACACTGATATAGTATTTGTATGTTTTTCATGTGAAACTCATGGAGTCCAAGTTATTTTTTCCACGATTTCTCTGCAGAAAAGTGACATTCTTCTAACTAATTTTCTCAGGACAGATAAATGGGCAGAGACAGAAACTGGTACAAAATGGGGGGACAAATGGGAAGAGAGATTTTATGCTGGAGTAGGCTCTCGTAGAGGAGAGACATGGCATGTAACACCAACTGGCGACCGTATGTTTCCTTAACTTTTTTAACCGCATATGGAGCCCATTAACGTGGAAAGTATTTCAGATTTGTTCTAGGAACCTGTGTTAAATTATTATAAATAATAATAATAAAAAAAACGTCATCTTCTGCTCATTAGCTCATTTGATTACCATCAAATTATCAGAACCTCTTTATTTCAAGCTATTGCTTATTTCTGATCCACGTATAGTGATCGAATCTGTGATTGGATTTATGTATGTCATCATCGTTACATTATCTACCATATCAAACTTTATAAACGGCGGATTGCCATTCACGACACGATCACTCCTTGAAATATTGGCATGGTTTCATGGTCAGAATAATATAATCTTTGTAAATATTCTTTTGGAAGTGGTTATTGCGTGTGCAATCTTGAACAATTACCAGATTATTGTTCATAAGAAGATTAACAGACTATTTAGAGGGGAGGTTTTCTTCGAATTGAACTGTTGTTCAATTTTCCAGGATGGTCGAGAACCTGGGGAGAAGAGCACCTTGGGAATGGGTAAGTGCCTTTTATCTGCCTGCCCCCGTATGAGGTTTCTCCATTCATTCCAACTAGGAATGAACACCTTGCGGCGGGGGGGGGTTCTCTTGTTTCAAATCCTATTGCCAATATATTTGCTGATCATGTTCGAATCTACGGTGATATTTTAATAGTTTCACACTAGAGAAGAAATGAAGGAAAAATAGACTGGATGATTTATCAACAAGAACACTAAACAGTATGATTTCTATTTTACTTATTTGGGATCCCTGAAATCCTATCCATTTTCCTGAAAGCACAGCCAATTCGAATCCGCCGATACGAGTCTCTGTCTTTTCTCCTTAGTAAAAATGCTTCTTGGTTTCAATTGTTCTTTATCGTTCACCATTTCTGAAGTCAACTGTTCTCCATCAAGCTTCTGGATGTTTTCAAAGTCAACTGTTCTCTGTCAAGCTTACCGGTGGATGATTTCTCTTTCCGTAGAACTCACGCGTCGCCCATTTTCTGGACGCTTTGACTGTTTCAGTCAACTGTTCTTCTGATGGCAGCCAATCCTCTCGTTCGTGATGCAGCAACGTACATAAATATGGGAAGAGCACCACGGGAGAGAGCTGGGACATCGTCGTTGATGAGGACACCTATTATGAGTAAGTGAGCAGCCGTGTCCAACCTGGGCCTCAGGGCCTGGCCTGAACCCTAAACTAAACCCCATGGTCAAATCAAAGAGATAAAAGGCTTGGCGTTGACTTCTTGTCCTTTTCTCTCTCCATGGAAGGGCCGAGCCTCACTATGGATGGGCGGACGTTGTGGGGAACTCGAGCCAGCTCCTATCGATTCAGCCTCGAGAGCGGCCGCCGGGAGTCTATCCAGATCTCGACTTCCGATCAACATCCGCTCTGCCTCCGGAAGACCCTCCTCCTCCTCCGGCCGTCTCCCCTGCCTCCTAGTAGGCTGTCGATAATAATAATTATATAATCATTATTATTATTATTATTATTATTATTATTATTTCTTTCGCTCATCTCATCTCGTTGACGCTCTCAGAATGTGAATATGTGAAGAATTAAACCACCCAAGACTATCTGGGCGGCAATTGACGGACGGAACTTCCAATCTCGGTGCGTTCCCTCGGCCATGGCGGGTTTCAGTTAAGGTGATGGGAATCCTCCCCTAGAAGGAGTTCGTACGTCTCACCAGCCGCTGGTTCTGCTTCTGGTTCCCACCCCCGAGTAGACTAGATTATCCATGAGTGTCTGAGCAGCTTAGTTGGGGGCGGCGGGGGCCAGTCTCACGTGCCCTCTAATTGACCTGGGTTTGGCCCCTATCTTAGAACATTACTCGTAGATATTTAGAAGGGATAGATAGAGAGAGAGAGAGAGAGATAAGATCGGATATGTACATGTACCTAGGGAGAGAGAGAGAGAGAGAGAGAGGAGGGGGGGGGGACATGCGGGCCTGTTGAAGGTAGAGAGAGATGTGGGTTTGGTGAGGATGAGGGTGATTTTGAGGGAGGTGGTCCAGAGAAGTCGTACTTCACGGGCCTTTTCCTGGATGATTGCACCCGGGTGGGGAAGGGGGGAGTCGCCACGTGTCGACGCTGCAGCCGTGCGATGTGCTCGAGGAGACCCAGGGAGCGACCTGCACCGTTGGATGGTCCCCGTGGTGGCCGCCCCGGGGTAGCGATACCGGCGGCGCCGGTGTCCCATCCCCGCCGAACAACTTCGGAGGAGACGAAAATGCGACCCGCCGGCTACTTGTGCGACCCCGTCTCTTAAACGACCACGAGGCTCACTCCCCGCCGCCTTTAAAATCCCCTTCTCCTTCCTCCTGTCGTCAACGCGATCACCAAGCCCTCCGTCCGAAGAAGAAGAAGAAGAAGAGACAGCTAGCGAGAGAGAGAGAGAGAGCAACCATGGCCACCAGTTCAAACAACGGGAGGCGGGTCTCGCCGATGGAGAAAGCCCGTCACGAGAGGTCCACTAGCCTGCCCAGCCACAGCCATCCGGTCATCGCCAAGCTCGAGGGCGAGGTCCACGCCGCCGGAGATGTGGCGGCGCCGCCCACCACTGGACAACGCTCCGCCGACTGGCTCCGCTCGGTACTGAGCCAGCTGCAGCGACTGCACCTCGCGGCGGACGACCTCCTGCTTCTCCCCTGCATCGGAGCCGCTCTCCGTCGCTGCCCCCGCCGCCGCCCCGCGCTGGCTGAGCGGCTCCTCGACGACCTGCTCTGCTACGCCGACGCCTTCGGATCGCTTCGCATGGCGCTCGTGTCGGTCCAGGACTTGTGCTCGGAGGCCCAGGCAGCACTCCGGCGGAGGGACGGCGCGCGGCTTGTCTCCGCCGCCAGGTCCCTCCGGCGAGCTCAGAAGGAGATCTCCGCCCTGCCGTCGGTCCTCCCCGCCGCCGCCTCCGGCGGAGACTCTGCGGAGCCCGCCGGAGACTCTGTGGAGCTGCCGAGGATCCTCAGGGAGGTGAAGTCGGCGACCCTGTTCTTGTCGACGTCTGTCTTCCACGGGGTGACCTCTGCGCTCTCGTCCGCCGTCGCGGCGTTGGCGGCTCCCCCCAAGTCGCCGTCCTTGTCTTCCTGGACAGCGTGGCGGAGGTGGAGGTCCCCCACGCCCTGCTGTTCATCGGCGGAGTCAGAGGAATGGATGAGAAGGGCGTCGCAGGGGCTGAAGGAACTGGAGGAGCGCCTGCTGGGGCTGGAGAGCGGCAGCGAGGCGGTGTACAGAGTCCTGATCGGTGCCAGGGTTTCCCTCCTCAACGTCTTGACCCCATGAACAGCAAGAAGAAGAAGAAGAAGCCCACACCTTTCCTGTAAATCATGTACACTACTCTGTTCGAAAATACGATCGAAAGATTCCGGAAAATGGGGTCGAGAATCAATTCTGGATTAGCGTCGACTGAGCTCAAAGCCCGGACCGTTCTTTCCGTTTTACGCTCGATTCTGCGGCTCAATCTGAGCATCCTGGGAACTCGTTCCCTCTGCGTCTTCCATGGTAACATCGAGACCATCGTTCAAGGTGTTGACCGGATTGTTGACCCCAGAGAGAAAGAGACAGACAGACAGAAACAGAGAGATAATCGGCCGTCGGCCATGTCGGCGGGAACAGCACACAGAAAAAAATGGGCCCACAGTCACTCGGGGGTGACTCCGGATTGTCTGCTGGTAAGAGGGACAGCTGTCTTTAAGGCGATTCCACTGACACCATAGGTGAGTTAAACTGCGATGCTGACTTTCAATGACATCTGGGGGGGGGGGAGTGTCAGCTTTTGAGGGATCTAAATGCAAAATAAATAGCGGGGAATTATCCGAATTGGGCCCTGATGCCACGTACTGGCATGTGATTGGCAGATCGCACAGTTGTCCGAATGCTTAGTAGCCAATGAAATATCAGCTGTCGTAGGTGATGCTGTTCTTCCCCCAGTTCCTGGACGTGTCATCAGCACGCTTGTCGTCCGACGCGTGTCATCCAAAACTGTGGACAGCTGGTCAGAGCTGGCATTGTCACCTCCTCTGTCGCCCGCCCGTGCGGCTCGGCATTTTTAAAATGTCCAAAATTAAACAATTTCAGATAAATCCTGACACTCCCACGTGTCTATTTGTCTCTGTCTCCTCTCTCTCTCTCTCTCTCTCTCTCATCGGTGGTGTAATCGGGACTGGCCCGGCATCGCCAGGCCCGACCGTGGCGGCCCGCGTGAGGGAAAGCTAGAAAAAAGGCTGGTGGCTGGGCCACCGATTCCCGGCCCATTTTTTAGACAGAAAAAAAGTGGGGGGGTGGGGGGTGGGGGAGGGGGGGGGGGAAGCGATAGTCGACCTTATTGGGCTGGCTCCTCCAGCCCACTTACGTTCCCCACGCATTTGGGGGCGTATTATCCCATTCAAAGGTGGGCCGGGGAAAATGGAACCTAGAAAGAGAAGAGGCCCACAGATTGAAGGGGCCTAGTCTGGGTATCCTCCCTGGCCTGGCCCGGTTACAGCTACGTGGCAGCTCTGTCTGAGAGACAGGGGGCCGGGGCGGGGGAAGTGATGGGGCTCGTGGGGGCTGGTGCCAACTGAGGCGGCGGTGAGTTTGGCGCGGGACCCACACGAAGGACAAACAGAGACCATAAAAGAACGTTGACCGAGGAGAGGGGGAGGGGGAGTCGGTCGCCGGGAGTTCTGTGGCCGTGGTCTTTACCAGTACAGTACCCGACTCTTTACACTCTTTGTCTGGGCGCGGGGGATCAAGAACACATCTAGAGAGAGAGAGAGAGAGGAGAAGGCCGTCCAAAACTGCTATCTTTGCTGTAGCCTTTACCCTCGGCGTACTGTTGGGTTCTCCTGCTCGGAGACTCGGAGATGGAGGCGATCGATCTGCTTCGGAGGTAAATTTAATGCCCCAAAAGCGAGGTATCAGAAAGGATCGGTTTTTTTCCTTTACCGGATCTGTAAAACCAGCAGAGGCGTATGGTTTACTCCCTCTCTCCTCTGCCCCTCTCTAGACTGCGCGCAGGCCCGCAGGCACAGCGGTGGAGGGCGCACGCCGAGATGTCCCTCGGCTGTGTATAAAATGGTAGAAAAGGTCAGACAAAATCTCCCAAGGAGAGCGTGGCGGGCGGCTGAAGGAGACCTCTGAGCCCTCATCGTAATTCACAAAACAGATCCATTTTTTTCCCTTTTCCATCTTCCAGCCGCTTGTGTTCTTCGACCCTCTTCTCCTCCGCCGTGCCCAAGGGGAAGAAACAAGGAGGAAGGAGGAAGGCAAGCCCGAGTGAGGGGCTGAATCAGGGGGGAGCGGAAGGGATGGGGTGCTGCTCCTCTTGCCTGACGGAGACGTATCCGGAGAAGCAGCAGCAGCAGCAACCTGGGGGCGCTCTCTCCGCCTCGCACCTTACCCCGGGCGTTGGGGTCGGCGGCGCCGCTCTCGAAGGGGGAGACGGCGTGCTGGCCTTCGCTGAGTTCTCCCTGGCCGACCTCAAGGCGGCGACCAACGATTTCAGCTCCGACAACATCGTGTCCGAGAGGGGGGAGAAGGCCGGCAACTTCGTCTACAGGGGCCGCCTCCAGAACCGCCGGTGGATCGCCGTGAAGAAGTTCGGCAAGATGGCTTGGCCCGATCCCAAGCAGTTCGCGGTCAGTTCCCCGCCCTCTCCGACCTCGATTTGCCCCTCCCCCACTTCTCTCCTGGTTCCGATTCCTTCGGGCTTTCTTCTTCCGCTCGGATTTTGCACCCTTTGAGACAGGATTTCTGCGTCGTTCACCTTCAGGAGGAGGCCTGGGGAGTCGGGAAGCTGCGGCACAAGAGGCTGGCCAACCTGATCGGCTACTGCTGCGACGGCGACGAGAGGCTCCTCGTGGCGGAATTCATGCCCAACGACACACTCACCAAGCACCTCTTCCACTGTGCGTGATTCCAGGAAGAAGGGGAAGCTCCTCTCCCCCCCCTCCCCCCTTCCTCTCTCTATCCGCCATTTTCTTCGTACTTCGGGCTGTGTCCGACAATTGGGCCGCATACGAACGTCCTTAGAATCCGAAGTAGCACATCCCGTTGATAGGAATTCGCTGCGAAAATCGCATATTTCTCGGAGGTCTTCATCGATGGCCCCATATTGCTCTTCCCCTATTTGCGGTGCATCCTATTTCTTTGGCTCAAAAGGCATGAACATGATCTGGGTTCGGGTTAGTCCCAGGGCCATCGTTGATATTAGATAGCCGCGTCCTGTAATGCTGCACTTTGAGCATCCGATTCTGTCTCTTGGAGCATCCCCATTTCTGAAGGGGGAGAGAGAGAGAGAGGAAGGCTTAGATTCTGGCTACCATCACTCTCTTTTGAACCATCCCTTCTTCTGTCTGACAGGGGAGAGCCAAACGATTGAGTGGTCGATGCGTCTGAGGGTTGCCTACTGTATTGCCGAAGCATTAGATTACTGCAATAGTCAAGGGCGGCGATTGTATCATGATCTGAATGCCTACAGAGTGCTGTTTGATGAGGTGAGAAATCTCCACACCCCGACCATGGTTTCTGTTTAGTTTTTCGCATCTGTTCTTGATCAAGGCAAATGCCTGCACAAAAATGCCCATCTTATTGGATCCTCCATGGCTGGTTCCTGGTCATATGCAAGCTTCTGATTGCTGAAAACTTCTCATCATATGCATGCTTCGGTTGACTCCATATTTGTTCGCCTGTATTGTGAAGTCTCAGGATAGTTGACAACCCTCCCCCTTCGGGGAAAAATAACAACGTGCCTCCATTCCCATTTCCTGCATTATTTTTTTCAACATCAAAGATGGTTTGAATTTCAAAAACTTTTATGTTTTCAACATGAAAGCTGTGCTATGTTCAGATTCCATCTTTTTTATTATTTACCCGTTGACTTTGAAGGTCGGCTCAGGCATATATATCATCCCAACCATGTTCTTGTTTGTTTCAAACCAACTTTGATTTGTTTCTGACTTCTGTCTTCTTCTTTTCTTGTGGCATTATATATATATATACTCTTTCCCTGTTCATCCCAACCAATAGTTTGAATTTTTTTAATTTTGCATTTTTCGGCAACTATGTCATCTGGGTCATGCGACTCTGTTAAAAAAAACTCTAAAATCATGTGACCGAATCATGCAAGTTATCCGATATTTAGTTAGTGGTGACTATGAAAAATGTGGTCAGTATATCTTATGAGTTGAACCGAATCATGCCAGGTTGAGAAGCCATGACTTGATGGCCATCATGTAGCAGTTGGGTAAAATCCCAGACTAATTAGAAAAAATGGTTTTTTTCGTTGATTTTGGCGCAAAACCCTTCTTTACTGGTGCTCTTGGAGAGCTGCATAAATGATGAATGAAATGGGAAAAACGGAGCATCATGATACCATTTCTCATGGAAAAAACGTTTCGGGTTGCAAACTAAAGTGAGAAAACAGTCGAATCTGAGAAATGGGTAGCTAAATTAGGCAACCTCTTAGTTGCCCTCCATCCATATTCGATCTTAAAAATTATATTTTGATCACTGGGCTTGAAGCTCAGTCTTTGTGTAATCCATCTATTATCATGGCCATTGCCAATCTTTCGTGGGTTTCAAGCAAAATTAAGGCTAAAAATGGAGCCGTCAAGTGGGAAGAAAAAGACGAAGATCCTTATTGAGAATAGTCCGGTACTGATTATTATTTGAATAAGTATGTAACTATAAGGTTTAGCCTATTTCTCTGGCTTCTGATTGGTTTTTCATTGGATGGCCCGATGACTGGTAACACATGCGATGCCCGAGTGATGTTGGGCTTAATGGGCCCATTTATGCTGTCCACGTGGCAGAGCCCTCCCAGGGGAGGGGGCCATGGCATGCTATCACAGAAGTAAACTCGGAGTTACAGAGATGGGAGGATAAAGTGGGAGCATATATCACATTTTGATGGAGTTATATGTGCTTTGAGGAAAAATATGGGAGTGTATAGTTAATCCAAGTATTTAATGGGGAATTAAAATAAATAAATAAATCAATCAATAAAACCTGAAACGCATCGATAATGTGGGTCCTAAACCTCGCATCCCTGTCTGTCCCAAGAGTAGACAAAAATCCCCAACAGTTGAAGGGTCTTCTAGCATTATAAGAAAGCAATTATTTATACTTTTGGTTCTGGGTTCTTCTTAGCCCAGAATCTCACTGTTCCCTGCCTGATCTGATCCTGTTCAGCTGGTGCCCGGCTGATGTGGCTTGTTTTTCTAATTAAATCGTACCCGATAGCCATATTATTTTGTGTAATATTTAATGGCAGATGGCGGCACATGACAAGCACATTTATAGTAAAAATATGGTAATTTTCCATGGATTAATCGCATCTCATGTCTCCTTCAGACCCTAATTCTGTTTCTTTGAAATCATTTTCAGAAAAGTCAATATTTGGTCGTTGCCCAAAAAAACGGCAGATGGAGGCAGGCAACAAGCCCATAGTTATTATCTAATATATGCGCATTTACCCTAAGAATAATTGCATTTCATTCCCCCTTCAGGGTCCTATTTTTCTTTTTTCTTTAAATCTTTTTGAGAAAAATCAATGTTTTGTCGTTGACCGGATGATGTGGAAATTACTGATTATGGGCCCTTCATGCAGGATGGCAACCCCCGCCTCTCATGCTTTGGGCTGATGAAAAATAGCAGGGATGGGAAGAGTTACAGCACAAACCTTGCCTACACGCCGCCAGAATATCTCAGAAATGGTACACGTCGGGTTTCTGAAAGCCATCTCCTCGGCTGATTCATTAATTTTCAATCTTACAGACATACTCCGAATGCACTGATTTCATCAACTTATGCGCATTTCAGTTCTGCAATATTCACGGGTTTCCTTTAGCTGCAGAAGGAGAAAAAAAAGTCAAAGGCATTGACTCTGTTGTTGACCTGTGAATGATCGAAGGATCTCTATTGTAGGTAGGGTTACTCCTGAAAGTGTGATCTTCAGCTTTGGGACTGTTCTTCTTGATCTTCTCAGTGGGAAGCACATACCCCCCAGCCACGTAATTTTCTCACCAGCTAGCTCCCTTGTCTTTAAGTAGCCGTTTTAATTTCTTTTTTTTTTTTTTTTTTTATTGGCATGTTTATGAACTTTGGATAATATTCACTTTTTTTAGTATATAATGTTAGCAATCGATTGGGTGATTTACATGAGCTGATGATCGCGGTTCTCCATGAGCATGCATGCAGGCTCTGGACATGATCAGGGGCAAGAACATCCTCCTGTTGATGGATTCCCATCTGGAAGGCAAGTTCTCGACGGAGGAGGCGACAGCGCTCGTTGACCTCGCCTCTCGGTGCCTGCAGTACGACCCCCGAGAGCGGCCCGACACTGTCAGCCTCGTGGCGACCCTCGCGCCATTGCAGACGAGGTCAGAGGTGAGGGCTCTCTCCTTCCAGTCTCCATCTCTGGTTTCGCCTTCTTCCTCCCCCCTTCCACTGGTGCGAGTTCTTCTTCTTCTTCTTCCTACTTCGGTCGCAGGTGCCCTCCCAGGTGATGCTCGGGATCACCAAGCAGGAGGAGGCCCCCCTGGGCCCGCAGCGCCCCCTCTCGCCGATGGGCGACGCCTGCTCCAGGAGGGACCTCACTGCCATCCATCAGATCCTGGTGACGACCCACTACAAGGATGACGAGGGCACCAACGAGGTACTACTACTGCTACTCCTCCCTGTTCGCCGAATTTGATAATTCAGAGATCTCATGGCGGTGTCTCTGTGCGGCGGGTCAGCTGTCCTTCCAGGAGTGGACGCAGCAGATGCGGGACATGCTGGATGCGAGGAAGCGCGGGGACTTCGCCTTCCGCGACAAGGACTTCAAGACGGCCATCGACTGCTACTCGCAGGTAGGGTTCTTGCCGGCGAATGACAGGTAATGGCAACAAGTTAGGGTTTTCGATCTCGGTGTTTGATGGGTTTGTGTTTGCGGGGCAGTTCGTGGACGTGGGGACGATGATCTCGCCGACGGTGTACGCGCGGCGGAGCCTGTGCCACCTGATGTGCGACCAACCCGACGCCGCCCTGCGGGACGCCATGCAGGCGCAGTGCGTGTACCCGGACTGGCCGACGGCGTTCTACATGCAGGCGGTGGCGCTGGCGAAGCTGAACATGCCGAGCGACGCCGCCGACATGCTGAACGAGGCGGCGGCCCTGGAGGAGAAGAAGCAGAAGGGCGGCGGGAGGGGCTCCTGATGGCCGGTGGTGGTGGCGTCTCCATATGTGTAACATTGATCTGTCCCATTGTATTACTTGGCTTCTGTTCTTCGTTTTTCTACCCTTCTGTGGAAAAGAATGGCGGTCTCTGGTTTACAGGAATATATTGCAAATGTGGAAAGTCTCAGGAGTTTGACTCAACAGAGAGAGAGAGAAATGGAGAGAGGGGCGGGGGTGGGGGGAGGCTCCTCTGTGATCTCAGGCGACGTAGAGCTCGGCCTTGCCGTCGATGAAGAGGCTCATGAACTCTTCCCCATCGACGGTTTCCTTCTCGAGGAGGAGCTGCGCGAGCTTGTGGAGGATGTCTATGTGGGTGTTGATGATATGGCTCGCCCTCGCGTAGGCCTTCTCCACGAGCTCCCTCACCTCCGCGTCCACCACGTCGGCGGTCGCCATGGAGTAGTCCTTCTGCGACGACATCTGCAACACCAGGTTCGCCCCAGTTAGGGCAGAAGAAGACGAAGAAGACGAAGAAGACGCAGAAGACGAAGAAGAAGACGAAGAAGACGAAGAAGATGAAGAAGAAGACGAAGAAGAAGAAGAAGAAGAAGAAGAAGAAAAGGGTTCTCCATTAATCGACTGTACTCACCTGCTGACCCAAGAAGGGATTCCCACCGCCTCCTCCAATGGCAACCTGGCCGATCTTCTTGCTGAAACCGAGCCTCTCCACCATCTGTCTCGCCACGCGGGAGACCTGCATGAAGTCGTTGGAAGCTCCCGTGGTGACCTTCTCCTTCCCGAAGATGACCTCCTCAGCCACTCTGCAAGTCCCCCGCAAGAACATTAGAAGCTCCTCTCTCGGAGAGGATCCCACGGAGGGTTTTCAGGGAGAAGCTGAGACCTTCCACCGAGGGCGACGGCCATCTGGTTCTCCAGGTAGCTCCTGCTGTAGAGTCCCGATTCTAGTCTCTCTTCACTGGGGGCGAAGAAGGTCAACCCACCAGCCTGCCCGCGAGGAACGATGGAGATCTTGGCCACAGGGTCATACTCCGGCATGAGGGCCCCCACCAGAGCATGCCCAGCCTCTGCAAACCCCCCCGAATTAAAGTCAACGTTCGAAGCAGCAGAGTATGGATTGAACTGAAAAATCAAAATCCAGGGGAGGCTGGGGATTGGATTTTACCGTGATAAGCCACCAGCTTCCTCTTCTCATCTGAAACGACGGCGTTCTTCTTCTCTGGGCCTGCTATAATCCTCTCCAGAGCATCGGCGATCTCGTCCTTGCTGATCTCTTTCAGGTCGCGTCTGGCCGCCAGAATGGCGGCTTCGTTCATCAGGTTCTGAAGGTCAGCTCCCGTAAACCCGGGGGTCCTCCTGGCGATCTTCTCAAAGTCAACGTCCTTCCCCAGCGCCTTCCCTCTCGAGTGAACCTGCCGGAAGAAGCGGAAAGAATTGAGGTAGGAGGTCAACCATCGCACGCCGCAACAATCATCCGTGTCCGAAGGGACTCACCTGGAGGATCCGGACTCTCCCGGCGACGTCGGGGCGGTCAACGGTGACCTGACGGTCAAACCTGCCGGGCCTCAGAAGCGCGGAATCGAGAACATCGGGGCGGTTGGTGGCGGCGAGGACGATGACTCCGCTGTTCCCGGAGAAGCCGTCCATCTCGGTCAAAAGCTGGTTGATGGTCTGCTCCCTCTCGTCGTTCCCGCCGCCGAGTCCCGCTCCTCGCTGCCTACCGACGGCGTCGATCTCGTCGATGAAGACGATGCAGGGGGCCTTCGCCTTCGCCTTCTCGAACAGGTCCCTCACTCTCGAAGCTCCCACGCCCACGAAGAGCTCCACGAACTCGGAGGCGGCGCAGGAGAAGAAGGGTACGCCGGCTTCTCCGGCGACGGCGCGGGCCAGCAGCGTCTTCCCAGTGCCGGGAGGGCCCACCAGGAGGCAGCCCTTGGGGATCTTCGCACCCAGGGCCGTGTACTTGTCTGGGTTCTTCAGAAAGTCAACCACTTCTTGGAGCTCCAGCTTGGCCTGGTCGGCGCCGGCGACGTCGGCGAAGGAGACCCCCGTCGCCGGTACCTCCTGGAACTTGGACTTGGACCGGCCGAAGTCCATGGGCCCGCCTCCGAACCCGCCGGGTCCGCCGCTGCCGCCGCCCTGCGCCTGCCGGAAGAGGTAGAAGAGGCCCCCGAACGCGAGCAGGGGGAAGAGGAGGTTGCCGATGATGCTCAGAGGGCCGCCCTCTGCGTCGCCCTCGGAAACCGAAATGTCAACGCCGTTGGTGGCGAGGATGTCGATGAGGTCCGGGTCGTTGGGGACGACGACGGCGGCGCGCCGCCCGTCGATGGCGATGAGCTGGAGGGCGCCGCCGTCCTTGTTGAAGCGGACGCGCTCCACCTTCCCGCTCTTCACCGCGTTGAGGAACTCGCTGTAGCGCCACTGGTAGCCCTCCGGCAGGCCGGCGGCGGCCGGCGACGGCGACTTGGGGTTCGGGGCGGTGAGCAGGGACTGGGCGAAGGGGTCGGAGGAGGAAGACGGCGCGGGCCGGACAGCTTCCGCCACAGAAGCCGGCGGCGAAGCGACGGGCTGCTGCTGGGAGGGGAGAGTGTCGACGGCGCCGGCGGGGGAGGACACGGCGGAGAAGAGGATCGCGGCCGCGGCAGCTTTCTGGGGAAAGAAGCGGAACAGGTGAGCGCCGCCGCCTGCGGGCCTCTTCTCCTCCGGGTCAGAAGGTAACAGCAGCATCGATCGGACAGGCCTGTGGCACCGCCACCTCCCTCCTCCACCGCCGGCAGCGGCGGCCGAGGAGGCGGCGCTTTTGGAGTTCACGCGGCGGAGGCGACCGCCGGAGACGGTGGAGGACAGAATGGAATAGCTGGTGGATGCCATGAGCGATACCCTCCCTCCCCTCTCAAGCTTCTCTCCCTTCAGGCGGTAATTTGACGGGGCTGAGCAGATCGAAGGGGGCTTATGAAGAAGCGGAGGAAGGAAGAAAGAAAGAAGAGATTTTTGCCCTTTTTGCTTGGACTGAACCAGCGCCGTTAGAATTGTGGATAGCGAGAGGAAGCGGGAGGGGTGACGTCGCTCAAGGCCCGCCGCAGGTGACGCCGCTACGTGGCCGCTATCCGCCCAATAGAACGTCCCGCTAGGAGAGAGAGACAGAGCGAGAGAGAGAGGGAGTATGATTGGGCCGTTATGGGCCAAGCCCATTTAGGAACTAACGGGGCCCACCGGATCCTCGGAGATATGGTTCCTTATCCTCGGACCACCTCCTTCATCTTCTCCCTCACTCCTCCACTCAAAACCAGTCTCCCGCCGGCGGCGCCGCCCACTCCCTCCTCCTTCCCTCACCTCATGGAGGCACTACTCGCGAATCCCTCGCTCTCCCGCCCCCCGCTCTTGACCTCCCCCCCCTCCTCCTCCTCCTCTTCCTTGCCCCCTTCTCACAAATACGCCGCATCCTCCTCCGCCGCCGCCGCCGCCGCAGTTCGCCCACTACGTCTCCGAGCTCCATGTTTCCGGTGCTATTCCGCCTTCCAGGACCAATATCCCGCGCAGTTCCCGGCTCCGGACGGAGCCGTAGCGGAAGATGACGGGGCCTCCGAGGACGATGAGGCATTCGGCGAGGTGAACAAGATCATCGGGAGCAGATCCGTGCCGGCAGCCGACGACGAGGAGGGAAATATCGTCACCACGGAGTTCCTGATCGAGTGGAAGGACGGCCACGCGCCTTCCTGGGTCCCTGCCGCCGGTATCGCCGCTGACGTCGTTGCCGAGTACGAAACTCCCTGGTGGACCGCCGCCAAGAAGGCCGACGACGCCGCCCTCTCCGCCCTGCTCTCCGATCCCGCCACCGCTCGCGACCCCGACGCGCTCGACTCCGACGGCCGCGCCGCCCTGCACTTCGTGGCGGGGCTCGGATCGGAGGCCTGCATCCGCCTCCTCGCCGGCGCCGGCGCCGACGTCGACCGCCGAGAGCGCTCCGGCGGCGGCCTGACGCCACTGCACATGGCGGCGGGCTACGCGCGGCCGGCCGCCGTGAAGGCGCTGCTCGAGCTCGGAGCGGATCCCGAGGCCGGAGATGACCGGGGGAGGACGGCGATGGATTTGGCGAGGGAGGTGCTGGCGGCGACTCCCAAGGCGAATCCGGCGACGTTCACGCGGAGGCTGGCGCTGGAGGCGGTGATTAGGGAACTGGAGGCAGCGGTGTACGAGTTCGCGGAGGTAGAGCAGGTGCTGGAGGCCAGAGGCGACGGCGAGAGGAAGGAGTTCCTCGTCCAGTGGAAGGACGGCGGCGATCGGGAGTGGATCCGCGCGAAGTGGGTGGCAGAGGACCTGATCTCCGACTACGAGGCCGGCCTGGAGTACGGCGTGGCGGAGGCGGTGGTCGGAGTGAGGCGTGCGGCCGGCGCCGTAGAAGGGGCGGAAGAGGGGAAGGTGGAGTACCTAGTGAAGTGGGTCGACATCAAGGAGGCGACCTGGGAGCCGGTGCAGAACGTCGACCCTGTGCTCATTCAGGAATTCGAGAGGAAGCAGCAGGAGGGCGGCGCCGCCGCCGCCGGCGGCAGCGGCGACAAGCAGGCGGCCGGCGCTCCGCTGGGCTGACCCCGCCGTGGCTCCACGTAACAATGAAATATTGTTGAGGCCTTTTTTCCCCTAAAATTCCCGGGTCGTTTGGTAGTTACCGTGCGACTGATCTCCAGCTTGCGACGTGGCCAGATATTTTCCATTCTAACCGCTCCGTAAATAAATTGAATGATTTATAAAATCCTATTTTCCTATTAGCTATATTTGTGGGGCTAATAATATTTCTCACATTAGATTAAACGTTAAATATAACTAATTTACACCGAGAAACAGAAAAAAAAGAACTACGAATTTATCGGTAATTGAAACGGCTTCGGGGAATTAAAAAATAAATATAATAACCAGAGGGCTTCAGATGTCAATGGGCCGGGCTCGAGCTCTGGTAGGCCCAAAAAAGCCCAAATATTGTCGCCTTCTGAGTTCCCTAGACATCAGTCTCTAAGGTTTTGAATATTTAATTAGTAATTTTATTAACAATTAATTCAATAATATGGAATTATTTTATTTCTTAATTTATATATTATCTGAGGGAAAGCTGGCGACCGGAGAGCTCCTTCATTGAGGGCAGGGTGGGTTTAGGGTATCGGGGAGGCCGCAATAGTTGAAAGATTCAGTGACCCGACATGCCGTTCCATCATCGTCATCATCATCTTCTTCTTCCTTTTCCCGTCTGTCAGAGAACCTGGTTCTGATGAAAACGCTAACCCTAGGGAGCAGCAATGGGCAGGCTGGGGGTGTTTAAGGGGGAGGGCATTCCATAAATGCCGTCGAACTCGAAGTGTGGGGGATGATCCTCCTGCGGGACAGAGCCGGCCGGGTTGGAAAGAAGAGGTGGAGGTTTCCGTTCGGTGAGCGAAGGCGGCGATCACCGGAGATCCTCCTGCGCTGCGCCCCCATTGAATGGCGAGAGAAACGGGCGTTCACGCAGGAGAGACGAAGGACAAGGGACTCAAACCCGATTAGAGAGAGAAAACTGTAAAACCTGCGAGGGAAGAGCAGGCGCAGATTTCCTCGGAGTTCAGGCTGATTATGATTTACGTGGAGTGAAAAGAAAGCATGAAGGGGAGAGTGCGCAGAGGGAGGCTGTCGCGGGAATAGAGTTGGGATGAACTACTGTACTGCTTCGAACCCACAGAGAGAGAGAGAGAGAGAGAGAGAGAGAGAGAAAGTAGGGAGCTTCGATGGGTTACCTGGGAAGGAGAGGATCAACATGGCTGATGGTCACATGGGCTTCACAAAGAGAAGCCGACAGAGCTCGATTGGCAGGATGCCCACCTCCATGTCCCCCACTCCTGGGAGCCTTCAAGACGCCAACTTCTCTCCTCTCTCTCCACCGGAGGCATGCAACGAGGGAGATAGCGAGAGAGAGAGAGAGAGAGAGAGAGAGAGAGAGAGAGAGAGAGCTTGAACGTGATTGCTGGAGCATGGAGGTGGACAGAATGCCAACGACCCTCTGTGAGAAACTCTTGGAGAAGCCCAGATGACTGCTACACCTCCGAACATGCCACAACTCAAAGCCCGCCCCCTCCTCTCCCTCTCCCCCGTCGTCCCCGAAGACGCCTTCTCAAGCTCCCTCCCTCTCTCCGACGAAGTTTCCCGTCGTCCCACTCTCTCCTCCCTCCCACACAGATTTATAGCGCTGAAAAACCGAGAGGGTCAGAGATGGACAGCTAGAGAGAGAAAAAGAGAGAGCGGGAGAGGATCGGCATGGGATTGTTCCCTTTGTAGGGCGAGGGTGCATTGAATGCGAGGGGAAGAGGAAGGACCAATCGTCCTGCTCCTCGAATCGACTGCGATCCGCAAGCAATTACTCCACTCGAACAACCGCGGCGGGGAAGCCGAGCCAACCCGCCACCATTTACTGCGGCGACGACCGGAGCTGCTGACTCGTCCCCCTTCTCGGTGACTGACTACTCGGGCTTCTCCTACAACGAATGATTAGAACCTGCACCACCGCCACCTCGCCGGAGACCTCCTCCTCCTCCTCTGCGGCGGTGCCGTACGGCCGAGACCTGCCCTTTTCTCGTATCTGGGGGAGAAGCGGCACGGCGGCGGCAGATGAGGGAGAAGCTGCCGGACGGCGGAGACGTCACTGGAACTCCGATCATTATGCGCAGAAGGGGGCCTCTCCCCACCCCGCTTTTAATCTCCCTGAAGGGGCCTCGCTGTCGACAGAGAGAGAGAGAGAGAGAGAGAGAGAGAGAGAGAGTAGAGAGAGAGTAGAGAGAGAAAGGCGGAGCATTAAATTGGAACAAGCGGGTGAGCGACTCCATTTGAATGTGTAGACATATGCGTTGACTGCCGTCATAATGCATTTGATCCAAAAAATGCATAAATTTAATGAGAAATAGTATACGCTCGTATATTCGAACAGTGATGCCCAGTACGTCAGAGGCATTCAGAATAATACAATCATAATTATATATCACATTCTTAAAAACATACTTGGGCCGGCCCATAACAGCCCGGATGGCCCATTTACTTGTGCCACACGGCGTACCTGTGGCCGCTGGTGGCTAGAGTCCACTCGCTGCCGCTCGGAGACCAAGAGCCGTCCCCGATCTTCATGCACACCTTCTCGTCGATTATCGCCGAGTAGAGGTTCGGCTGGGCCTCCAAGATTTTGATCATCGAACGGCTGTGGATGCCTTGACTTCTTCGGATGTCTACCTGGACGAGGATCACAAAAAAACCACCCCCCTTTCAAAAAAGCATAATTACCATCGAAAATATTTTATTATTATATTCCTGTCAACTGTATGTTATTGTGGATGATATAAAATAAAATATAATAATAATAATAATAATAATAATTAATAAATAAATAAATAAATAAATAAATAAATAAGAGAGAGTGAGGATACCAGCTTCACGAGCTGGTCATGGAGGGAATCTCCCCAGTCATAGAAATGGTCGTAGAAGATGGTGGGTATCCCCGGATGAGTTAGAATGTAAGCATACCCCTGTAGATATCATAATTTTTAGGATATTCAATCAATAATAATCAGCGTATATAATCACAAAAATATGTGGCCGTATTCACAAAAATACACACCTCCATGACATGGCTGGAAGGGAATGGCCAATGACTCTGAAAAAATAAAAAATATTTTCAATATGATATTAGCTAATTCTCATATTTACATAAAGAAAGACAATATCTGAAACAGATATCATTTTTATAATTATTACTGGTTCGAATATAAAAGGAAAAAAAAAATCCAACAGCTCCCATTCAGGATCATGCTGAAAAAGGGGCCCACCTGTGTTGATCCGGTGTCGTGGTTCTCTATGAAGGTCACAGCTCTTGAAGGCCACCACCCCATCACGCCTGGAGGCTTTCCCTGAGAATCGCGCAGGCGCCACAACTCGCCTCTCACAGCTTCCTGTATTGGGAAGGAGTGCTCACCGGTAGGGAGGGGGGGGGGGGGGGTATCGGTTCTTCAGGGTTAGAAGGAAAGGCACAGGTAGGGGTGATACCTGAAGAACTCCTTTGGTTGTGAAATCAAATGCTGTGCAGAGTCCTCCTGTCTTGTCTATCCAGTTGATAATTCTCTGTCTATGGGTGTCTATGAAAAATTAATTTAATCGTAAGTAAATTTAAAAAGAGAAAAACATAGCGCCCAAGGAATTTTACAAGAACGAAACATCGATGGATTGAATATTTTGAGCAATGTTTAATGATAGGTAGTCCTCTGCTGTCCATCCGACCAGCACTTGATCATTATGTTTATGGGATTTTCGTCTCTGCTACATCCAAAAAAAATTTGCTGCCAAGAAGATTTTAGGGTAATATCGACATAAGTTCCTAGTTTTTCTAAAGAAATAGACAAACATAAGGGAACAAAAACCAATGAATAAATACTAATTTATATTGTAGGCTGAAATAAAGGCGATGTGCAGTTCATCTCTATGAACCTTTAATGAAAAATAAGACCAGGTGCTGTAAAAAAATAAGAGCCTAGTCTCCACATTTTAAAAAGCACCTGCTAAATATGTGGTAAAAAATATGCGATTTCTGTAGTATAATCGCCTATTTATGTTAATCAAAAAATGTGATTAAAACAAAAGAATGCTTTTATAAAGGTTTTTTTTTTTTTTAATGCCGAATAAGAAGTTCCTTCTCAGGTGTTTCAGTTTCCCTCCCGATATAATTTCAGTTTACTGATAAAACCAAAAAGGAGAGCATGACTGATGGGAGTTTCAAGTACCTTGATCGCAGTCCAAGCTATGGCTAGATTGGCTGTAGTTGCAGCTATCCCAGTACTCTCCAACTGAAAAAATCGGCTTTGAATGTTCTACGTATTCTTTCACGAACTTGGGAGAATATCTACACAGTATAGAATAAGAAAGTCTGAACGAGCTTCCCTAAAGAAAAAATATATATAATTAAAGAGGTAAATATCTTTATTGCATACCCTTTTGCAAAATCGAAACGAAAATCATCGAATCCAATGTTCTTACGAAGCCATCTTAGCCATTCAATGATATCTGTCCGTACAAAATCTTGGCTGTGGTCTATGTTCGGAACACCGTCAAAATTGTCACCAGTGCTTCGGCTCCCCTGCACGTGAAACGGCTGATAGGAGTTAGAAAACGTGTTAGCAGTGCTGTGCATATTCTGTCATGGTCCTTGCTAAATCTTTATATATTCATATTTATTACTGATACAAAATCATCAAATGGAATTCATGTTGTAGGACTGGTCTTTTTTTTTTTCTTTTTTTCTTTTTTGCATGGCTTTATATGATGAGTGAAAGCATCAGGGAGTTCTAAGACAGAACTTGAGGCCTAACATGTCCATTTTATCTGAAAGGGTTATGGATAATTTTGATGCCCACAACACTTTTAATGAAAAAAGATACATGAAGTTTAAATGTATAATTCTACATTAAAAATAATAACCCTTTTAGAGATGATATTATTTACTTATGCTCATAAGATATATCCAAATCTCACACAAATTGAGGACACCTGCAATGTGAATCAAATGTGTTGGTGAAGATCTCACATATAATTTCTTATTATTTGTAGTAACCCTGTCAATTTTTTATGCTGTTAATAAAATAAACTGAATATCGAGACAATTTTCTTACCGTAAGTATCGACATGGAAAATTTTGCACCGTTTAAACATATAAATAATTCCAATAATACATAATTTCCATCGCTACAGCTAGAGGAAAAAAAATCCTGGGTCACATCAAGGCACCGCCAGGTTACTTAGAATAACCTCATTTATGCCAAACACAATGGCCTAAAAAGCTTTTTGTGCATTAATTTATTGTTCTGAGAGCTGATTTAATGGTTAAAAATATAGATTCTCATGAATATGCTTTGACTTATATTGAGTATTGAAGAACATTTCATAAGATGCAGCACAAAGAAAATTTCGGATTATCGTCACTAATATAGATTCATGTTGAAGAGATAAGGTTGAGAAGTCTGGCACATTTTACCATAAGACTGAATTTGATGCATTAGAACCTAGAAAAGAGCTCGAATTCGACATTTTAAGCAAATAAATCTTAGCAGTAGAACTTACAAGTCCGCCAGAACAAGATGTGACTGCGTGTTCATCCCACGCTAATGGTATTCCATCATAGCGGTTGTATGCCCCACCTTTTCCTTTCGTTGTCCCAACACGGTGATTAATGACTATGTCTGCCATTGCTCTGATGTTGTGGTGATGCAGTTTCTGTACTAGAGTCCTTAAAAGGTTCTCAGATCCATACGAAGAGTCAAGGGAGTAGAGATTCTGGGGTAGGTAACCTTCAAAAAAATATTAAAAGAAGTACAATCAACCTACTAAAACACAATGGAAAAAGGAAATTTGAATAAGAAAGCTAGATGGCATAGCAGTTAGAAATCTGCAAACCTTCAGGTGATAACGATTGAGTTGCAGGAGGCAACCAGATTGAAGTAAAACCAGATTTTTCAAGGTCCGGTACCTTCGCTTCTAAATTAGTCCACCAATCATGTTTATGGGATTCCCAATTGAATGCCTGATGGAATGATATTAGTTTAATCCGACACAACAGATTCACGGGTTCACCTCTTCTTGTAAAATAAAAGAAAAGTGCAAGATACAAGAATGTGATTAAAACATTCAACAATGGGATTGAACAATTTGATAAAGCAGGGAATCTGAACAGATGCCAATCCTTTTGTGCTTTTGAAAATTTTTAGCTAAGACAAAATCACAGATAAGAAAATTATCAGACAACATGGAAAGCATCTGATTTTGAGTCGTGCATTTAATTGGGCTTAATTTGTCCCTAAGTTATCGGCCATAATACTTAAAACTGACACTTTATGATCAAAGAGTCGAGGATCAAAAACCCTACATGTGTCGTCCACGCACTTTCTCTTGATATATCCATTGAAATCTCACAAATTTTTTCCTTGTATTATATCTTATGTGAAATTTCATGAGATAAAATATAGTGATCCATAGATATTTCCCAGTAACAAGTCCGAATAAGTCGATTAAATCAGACTTTGAGCTATCTAAATGGTTTTTTGGGACTCGAATTTTCGTATTTCTCCTCACATGAATTTATTGGTCTGTAACATGTATAGATCTGTAAGATAGAAATTTGTATTTATCAAAAGAAATAGGGAGCATACACTACAAGATCTAGCTTACGCTACAATAGAAACTAAAATCCGCACGACACATTCTCAACTGACTAAACTGGTAAAATAACTTTTTTTTTTGTGGTGAGATGATATTTCCTAAGATTAGGAACAAACACAAAAATGGAAAAGTTTATGTAATGTACCGGTCACAATTGAATTACCTGGAAAAGTATTTCTCTTCCCCTTCGAATTACTCCATCTACCGTGAAATAGAAAAACCAAAAATCGTGTGACAAACACGTGTGAAACTAAAATAAAACAACCATCAAGAATATTTTCTAAATACAATTTAAAAAAATTAAAATTTATTAGTATGAAAACCTTAGTGAAAATGCTTCATTTCTTGCTTACTGTCGCGACATTTTCTACAAAATTATGCAGAGACATGACATGAACATATGATTATATTGAATTTTATTCTTTAATTACTGATCAATTTCAACAAAAATAGACGTTTTTTGCTCTTCTATCATTTAGGTGCACAGTGGCACAATATTCAGTTCGAGATTGTGCAAAGTCTCTACACTACTGTCTGATCGTCTTTGAATAGGTCCTTCAGCTGCTAAGGGGCCTCTTGGTGATCGATATGGTTCTTACCTCCATATTACTGCGAACTCTGGCCTAGGCTGCGTAAAATAATGAAGATCACCGCCTATCAAGAGCGCAGAAGAACGTCGCGGTAGGACTTACACCACACATAATGCTTAATTCAGAAAACATACAATCCGTGGAAGCTTTATATTACGCAGAGAGGTATTGTACAAGAACTCTCGGACTACGAAGACAAGCAGATCCTTTTGTTTGGGAAACTCATACTAGAAAATAACACATTCTCATTCTAAATTGAGTACAGTGTAAAAAATGCGAATTATCTGGAAAAATAAATGAATTCAATTGGTTATGGAAGAGAGCAACGAGAAAATGGATACATTTCAAGACTTTCATCCTGTTAAAGTTAGTTTTCTGACTAAAACAAAATTTTAGGTCTATAGGTACATGTTTCCATTGTCATGATTAAGGGGTGAATATTGACAGAAATGAATAAATCTGAAATTTCCAGTTTTCAACCTGTCATTAAAAGAAAAATTGAATTTTTTTAAATTTTGAGGATGTTAAAATAATTTCAAAGTAATTAGTCGAAAATTTACTTTTCTTCCATACTTTTCTTAACCCACATTTGTGGTCTTCCTTTTGAGGACGGGTGACAACTGACACCCATCTTGATACTTATTTCATATTTGTATATATGAAAGACTGTTGATCAAGATTTGATGAACCTGGACAGTGAAAGGGTATTCGTATTCCTTGATACAGACTTGAATTCTGAAGATATGATTTCTTAATGAAAGATTTCATCAAACTTGGCAGTAAAGAATAACTGTATTCTTTGAAGACATTTACATGTTTCATAGTTTCCAGTGCCTTTTATTTTCAACCGCTCTTCATTCTCCATTATTCTCATCTTTTATGATAGCCCTATCTTCATTCTTCAGTAATGCCCTATCTTCATACGTGGTAATGATGGATCTATCCAACCAAGAATGGAATATTTTCTCTGTTCTTGAAGGGGTAGTATTTCTTTCCGTACCTATAAAACTTTCCTGGCACAAGTTCGCCGCAGGGAAGACAAGAAGATATGACTTATTGTGTAATATATTTTCCACTGTGAAAAAAAATCTAGATTGTGAGAAAGTATTTGAGTGAGCAAATGCTCTCTCTCGTGCTCTGTTTTTCGCTTGATTTGCATCTCTTATATGTAAAGAACTAAACACATAAACGGATATTCTCATACTTTAGAGTCACAGGTAAAACAAAAATTGTCAACGCATTCTAAATTTCAAAGAACTACTGCTAAGACTAGACGTAAATATTCCTTACCTTGTGGAGTATCATCCGAGCCCTGCATATTTAATTATTTGAGAAAAATTAGTAGGAAAATAAATGAATTCTTACAAATAGAGATAATTCACATGACAGAAGACAACGTAGAGATGGGATGAGAGAGAGACAGAGAGAGAGAGGTCATTTACGTGATCCATGACGGTCACAGGAACTGAGTCAGATGGCTCTAGAGACGAATATAAATGCCGAACACAAAGAAATGCCCTGCATTGGTGAATAAAGACGGCTACTGAGCTGCTATGTCTCAAGGCCATGCAAAAAGGTAGCAGAATGGGAAGAGATAGAGATGCTAACGCTTGGATAGAGATCAAGTTTCTTTAATTTCATACTAATTATTATCATCTTTGAGTCATTATCGCATTAAATGACGTACTGTAAGGAAATGAGAAAATAAATAGAATCATGAAAAGCAGACAAAAGAGAGGATGTGAAAATGTATGGTCTACAATGCGGTTTTTACCATCCGCAAGCCTGAATATTACAGTTTAAAAAATAATTCGTCATCAGTCATGAATGAAATTAATGATTAGACTTCAATTTTACGAGTACCGAATAATAACTTGAGACGAAAAATATGGAAAACCAGTGTGGATGCATCCCAATTCCATCATAGGGCAAAGGAGTCTCAAACTTAACGAAGCCCTCCATAAATAAGTATAACCACAATAAAATTTCCTTAAGAAAAATCTGGTTTGCAATACTCGTGAAGAATCGCTGCGGCGGTCGTTTCGTTCGTTTCAAGACGTAAGACGCCATATCAAGAGGGATTACGCACAAGAGAACTGGATATGGAATAGAGGGAGATGAGAATAAGAGAGAAAGAAACCTTAAGCTAGTGTCGGAGAAGCACGCAAGCTCTAGCTATGTCCAAAATTCGCGACCTCCTCCAGGCCATATATAATGGCTGAAAGACGCAAGAGAATCACGTTTCACCACGACACCTTCGTCCTGCACACAAGACACAGGGATCTGATCCCCCACCGCCAGCTGTCCTCGATCGGATTCATTTCTTCTACTCCAAAAAAGGCAAAAAGAAAAAACAAAAGAGTTCCAGCCGGCCAAACTCCAGTCTCTCGGGAGAGGTTCTCAGATACCATCGCTTTCACACTAAAAATCCTGACCTACACTTCGCCATCGTCCAGCAGTCTGCAGCGGAGAGGAGAGAGATGGACGGAATAGAACAGAATCGAAACAGGGCTCCTCACCTGATTGTCTCAAACGACACCACTGAGCGGATGAAGGCGCGACTCCTCCAGAGATCGAGAATCTGCGGACGGAACTGACGACCGAAGGCGGTGATGTCTTCTGCTGGCCACCGACCATGAGACTGAGAGAGAGAGGAGATTGTCGTGGCGCCGAAGAGTTCTTCCCGAACGATCACACTGGTGAGACATTTTGGCGCCTGAGGGTGGTGACAACGGGCACTAATTACGTCAGCAACGGCCCGGCCGTCCACGTGTAGACTGATGGGCCCAAGTACAATTCATAAAAAAATAGTTTTTAGGTACTGTAGTGCATGTGAAATATTAAAGGTCTTATTTGTAAAAATCCATGTGCATAGCTCTTCCTCGTCTCCTCGTCACTGACCAAAGAAAGGAAACGCAGGCCCCGATCCACCGTCTTTGCCCCGCCGGAGCAGCCTGTCTTTCCTCGTCTCTTCGGCTGCCGCCCACCCCCTCATTGGCGTTTCCCGTCCGCCATCCTTATCCTATTTCTCTCCCTCTCTCTCTCTCATAGCTTCGTTCAGATCCGCCAGTATAAGTCTGGTCAGTATGTTGTTTCCTATTTTCATTCTATAAATTTTGTTTTCTCCTGAAGATGTATGCATAAATTATTTTTCAAAACCTGTTATTATCCTGCCAGTTTTTTTTCCTGTAGCTTTTTCAAAATTTCTTCCGTAGAAAATGAACATCAATGTCACCTGAATGTTGTTTTTTCGTAGAATAGATGCCTATAATGTTCCATCAGTTTACTGATGAAATATTTTGAAATGAACGAGAAGGCTTAATTTTTTTTTTCTTGGATAAAAAAAGGGGAATTAGCATCAGAGAAAGAAGTTTTGGACAATATGGAAGTTTTGGATACAAAACCTGAAAGAACGAAGAGCAGAAGCAAGTACAGCATCATCATTCCAACTTATAACGAACGTCTAAACATCGCCCTCGTCACTTACCTCATCTTCAAGCATCTCAGGTATCTCATACAACAATCGGAAGGAAAACACTGGATTTTGAGTTCATTCGATGCAAATTCCTTATATGCTTCTGGAGCTAGATCAGATTACGTTTACAGTATGTCTTCATGAAACGAGGTTTTTTGTATCTTTGACCTGAGCCCTATCATGTTATTATTAAAGCATGTTGGCCTTTGGTTTTCTCTGGCTTCTGCTATTCATTATTAATAACCAATAGTTATGACGTTCCGTTCATAGTCTTAAAGAGGATTAACTGAATGTGGGTGCGTGTGATTTCTCTTCCTTTTTTTTTTTTTCTCGACTAAGATCTCTCTCTGGCTTCTCCCTAAAAGTCCAGAGAGATGGGAGCCTTTGAATTTCTCACTTATTGATGACAGGATGGAGCCTTTTTCTATTAACTGGATTAATTGTTATTGATGACAGGATTGATTTTTACCCCAGTGAGATCATACTGACACGTTATTTAATAAAAATTGTCCTTCCGTGTTTCATGGATTCTTTATGAATGACAATGTCTGAGATGCTTGCCGTGTTTTTTAATCCATGGACGACAATAGCTACTCCTTTCATAGCAGAGGAATTGTCCTTGAATTTTATTTTTTTAAAATTTGAAAATCCTCAGTTTGTTCTACAGTCTCCAGAGGGCCTTCAGTTGAAGACAACAACCCCCTTCCTCCACCCTCCACTCCCTGTGAAAAAAAGATAAGAAAAAAAAGGGCATACAGTTTTCCATTTTTTTTACTCTCTCTGATGTTCATTGTGAAATGTTAGCAGCTGAGGGAGGTAATAACGGATAACTCTGCTTTTTGGACTTTATTTTCTCCATGTACTGCATCAGTATCTTGATTTCTTGAATGCAACGAGTTATGTCACCACCTTTATCAGTGTTGATTACAGTTCTGAAAATAATTGGACCAAGGATGCGCGTTGAATGAATCATTGGCAGTGTAATGGCAATAGTCTTCTTAGCTTTTACTGATGACGGATCATTAGTCGATCATATTATATGGACGTCCTGCTTTTTGAAAGTTAATTTTTATGCTCAAACAGCCCATCTCTTGCTGATTCTTGACGTCATATCCTCTTATTTGAAATTATACTTTTTATCAATTTCTACATTAGATTTTCTTCTATCATTGTCATCTATCCATTCTTCAATAGGATATATTTCCTTTTTGCCTCGTTTTTATCTATTGAAGTTTTTTCATGTATTCCTGACTATCTACTAGGCTGGATGAAGGAAAGAACCACTGTTCTTTTTTTATGGAATACCCACTGTTGGGTATTCCATGAGGTCTCTCTCAGTTACCTTAAATTTCTTGGTGACCATGTTACACCGTGTTGATATTATTGTCCGATGATATTTTTAATTACTATTATCATATGCTAAACTGCCAAGGATCCTGACTGACTCCTATGCACAGTGGTAGAATAACCGGCATTGCTGATTTTGTTTGGTTATCTACTCTAGTGATGTAGATTTTGAGATAATTGTTGTGGATGATGGAAGTCCTGATGGAACCCAAGACGTTGTAAAGCAGCTGCAGAAAGTCTATGGGGAAGATCGTATCGTAAGCACTGTGTTATCTTCTTTGGAAGGGTTTAAACTCATTGTTATCCTTAGCAAACTTTCCTAGTAACTGACTTTCACTTGTTGATTTTTCTTCATTCCACTTCTGCTGAATGATGAATTGACTTAGCTATTAAGACCAAGACCAAGCAAACTTGGTCTAGGTATGGACATACCCATTTCTCTTTCGTCTTGTGAAACAGCATGGAGAACGGTTCTTAAATAGATCTATTTTCAGGAACTGCATATCGTCATGGCTTGAAGCATGCATCTGGTGATTTTGTGGTGATAATGGATGCCGATTTATCTCATCATGTAAGCAAAGAATATAACTTTTTCAAATGAATCCAAACAGATATCTCTGAGTTTCATTAACTCATTTCCTATTCTACAGCCGAAGTACTTGCCAGGCTTCATCAGGTGCACTGCGATACTACGCCTTACCTTATTTTCGTGAGGAGTACCCCTCCATTGGTTAGATGCACGTATTTAAAAAGGATGCTACTTAAAGAGGAATGTCTGATGGTTTCAGTGAAACCTTTTTCTGCATGTGTTTCTAATAAATTGATTAAAGTCCTGAAAAAGAATGGTAGCCTTCTGTACTGTGGTATTTTTTTTGTTTTTCCCCATGCACTAGTGGTTTTTTTGTATTTGGTGTGCAGTTTCCTTATCGACAGTGCTCCATTGCGCTTTTTAAATCCAAGAACATTCATCTTATTTAGTAATTCAATTGATCTTTCATTATATTCGATACGCCTTGATGAGATGTTCATTATTTTTTTTTTGTAAATCCCCAATAAACTCGTGATGATCAGGAAGCAGACAGAGACTGGTGCGAGCATTGTCACTGGGACTCGTTATGTTAGAGGCGGCGGTGTACATGGTTGGAACCTCATGAGGAAGCTCACAAGCAGAGGGGCCAACGTGCTTGCACAAACATTGCTATGGCCTGGGGTGTCTGACTTGACTGGTTCCTTCCGGTGAGTCACACGCATAACGGCAGATGCAGCTTTTCCGCATAGATAGAAGGCTAATAATGTTCGCCTCTGTTTCCCAGGCTATACAGGAAATCTGTTCTTGAGGATGTCATCAATTCCTGTTTTAGCAAAGGATACGTGTTCCAGATGGAAATGATTGTTAGAGCATCAAGGAAAGGCTACCATATTGAAGAGGTGAATCAATTAAACTTTAATGAACCTATGTAGGGTAGGTATCATCAATTTTTCTGTACCACTGCATTCTGAACAATGATGAAGGGGCCAATCTTTTCTTCTTCTTCATGCTCTGCAGGTGTGATGGTAATGTGGGTTTTCTTCTTTCACTGCATAATTTCGGGGAATCTTCATCGATTCCTTCTCATTCGTGTTCGTTGACTTTCTCCAGCAATACTTGGGAAAAAAATATTTAACTGTGGACTATCTTTTTTCACCTGTACGTTGACTTTTAAAAGATTAGGAGGAAGGGCTCTCCCTTGTTATATTTTCTTGTGAGGAAAGACTTTTTTGTCGAAATAAAATAGTTCTTAGCATTTTTGTCTGACTAAAACTCTGTAGTCTGATCATCCAAAATTTTAAAACTAATTATGTGGGTGCGATATTTTATTCTTTTGCTGCATAATTTCGGGGAATCTTCATCGATTCCTTCTCATTTGTGGTCTGCACAGCTTATTTTCGAATTTCTCCAGCGATATTTGGGGAAAAAAATTAACTCAGGGCTATCTTTTTTCTCCTGAACGTTGACTTTTTTTTAATGGGGAATAGGGCTCTCCCCTGTTATTATATTTATCTTGTTATGAAAGACTTATGATCGAAATAAAATGGTTCTTAGTGTAATTTTTTTCTGACTGTAAGTAAATCTCTGGTCTGATCATCCACACGTTTAAAACTACCTTGCAGGTTCCTATAACCTTTGTCGACAGGGTTTATGGCAGTTCTAAGCTAGGAGGATCAGAGATTGTCGAATATCTCAAAGGCCTGGTGTATCTTCTGCTCACAACATGAATGAAACCACCTCAAGACAAATCTATTTTGTGATATTTGATGAAAGACAAATTTCTTTGGATAAATGTCTTTTTTTGTTACTGACTTTAGCTTATGGGAAATTAAGTAATGAAAATATTTTCCTTTTATGCATCACTTGCCCACTGATTTCCAAACAATAGATGCAGCCGAATTGAGCGAGGGTACAATCATGCAAGAGAAAGGAGGGGGTGTTGTCAGTGGGCCCGGGTCATGCAAGAGGTCTGATTCTCTCTCTCTCTCCTCTTCTCTTCTCTTCTTGAGTCTCACTGGGCTTTTATTGGGCTTTAACGGGATTGGGTATACATCGGCCCATTAACCAAAATAGGTAATTTTGATAGAATAGCATGTAATATGTGGCCAGGCAATATAGTCCCACATCGGTAAATGAAAGGAATACGGAGGGTCAATGAGTATAAATTAGGAAGCTGCTGCTTACATCCGCCTCATCTTTGCGCTTGGGGCAATGACGCAGGCAGTGAGGTTATAACCGAGTCGCGTCAATTGCTGGTTGAAAACTATTTCCAAACCCCCTCCTCGGCCCCTCACCGGGCCGTCGAGAATTTCTGCAAGGGCTCCCTCTAACCCAGGGTAAAGCCCTACAATCCCAAACCCCCAATGATTCTCTCTCCTTTGACTCCTGAAACAAGAGCGTTTACTCTCCCTTTTGACTCCTCGAAGCTTGGAGATCAACACCTGGCTTGTCTAAATCCGAACAACCCAGGGTATGTCTGCCTTCAGTGCTGCGGTGACTTCCCTGTCGACCCCCGTTGACACAGACATTGGTCAACTCCTGTCCGAGGGACAGTCTGAAGGGGGATTGATGTGGGGAAAAAAAAGAGGGGTCTTGAAGCGAACAGAATCTAAACCCGAACAGCCGATACGTCGACTCTTCTTTTCTCCGGTTCGCGCGAGCCTTCGGTGCTGCGGTGACTCCCCAGTCGAGCCCCGTTGACACAGACTATGATCAACTCCTGTCTGTCCGAAGGGGAGAGAGAGAGAGGGGCAGCCTGATCATCTTGCAGTCTGAATGGGGGATTGATGTGGGCAAAAAAAGGAGTCGTCTTGCAGCGAACAGAATCACGAGAGTACCCGGGCGGAGGATATTACTGGCATCAATCGGCATCACACAAATGGTGTTGGTGGTGGTGGGGGCGGCGCATCCGACGACTACAGGTGAAGCATATAAGCCTATTTAGAGCACAAAAGAGCGAAAAAGGGAGGGAGCCGCCCATCGGGAGAAGCTGCTGTACAATTCAACCAGATATTTACTTAGAATGGGAAATTCCCCGGCGGGACTGATCGTCGTCAGTGGCTTCGTCTGAGGACCGAGAAGATCCCAGACGACTTCTCCTTGCGTTCGGCCTCGACGCCTGCCTGCCCGCCCCTCATCGGAAGTGAGAAAGATGATCAGGAGGAGCAGAGCAGTAGGAAGGAGGAAGGAGGGTCTCTTTAATGATGTACCTCTTTGGCGATGTGCCGAAGGTTCTCCAAGATCTCCGAGAAGTCGGGCCTTTCGCTCGGATCCTGCTGCCAGCATCGCTCGAGCAGCTCCTTCAGCTTCGGATGGGTGCTCTTCGGAATGGTAGGCCTCAAACCCTAGAAATCACCGGACGAGTTAGATAGAATCCCCCTCCCCCACCTTTCTTTCCTCGCTCAAGCACGCGATTCTTTATAAAAACACGAGGGAAGGTGACGATCGTGTTGGAAAACCTAGGTGAAAACCTATCTTCTGGAATGCTCGGCCTCGAAAACCCTAGAAATCACGGGAAGGATTCTATACTGCGACTGACTAGCAATAGAAACCTTCAAGAACACGTTCCGAAATAAAAATACAGGTCCCCTGAGTGATTATGTTCTAGGGCAACGATAAACAGATGAAATCAAAGTCATACCTTTTGAACAACTCCGACTGCTGCTTGCAATGGTGTCAGATACTCATAGGGGACCTGAAATCATTAGAGCAACCCAAGTTAACTAGGCTGTTGATCTTGAGCATGTAAGATGAAACCACGGGAGGGAATGGAAGACTACCTTTCCAGTAAGCAGCTCCCACAGCACAATGGCAAAGCTGAAGACATCAGCTTTGTGATCATAAGGTTTGTGTTCAATGACCTTCAAACGAGGAGAGGAAGATGACGAATGATTACAATATTTCAGGGAAACAAAAAAAAATTAATGGCATTAATAAAGCATAAAAAGGCTGATTACATGGATAGCAAGCAATTGAAAGAAGTAGAATATCTTTATTGAATATTATTGAATAATTTTAGGCATTGAACAGGTCGATGATCAGTTCCAGCCTGGGAAATGAAAAGATTTCGAGTGTCGTCAGTTAGATCAAAAGGAATGTTTTATTCTTTAGTATAACAAGAATAATAATAATAATGTTCGGAGGGGTGAGCACAGACAAAGGAGACGAGAACACTGGAACGAAGAATACAGCGAGCATGAAATCTCTGGAAAGAAGAGCCATTTCACCGATGAAAGAGAATAACAGACCTCGTCATGCAGATTGTGAAAGGACTAATTTTAACATCAAATCATGTCATCAGACATAAATATGATGGGCTTTCATCTTCTCCCATTAATATTTTCCGGAACTATAGGGATGGGATCATTCATTGACCATTCTTGCAATGTTTTTTGGCATGCGAAATTTGGTCACAGTTGAACAGTTACACATCTTTCCCAAATTATCATAGCAGGGATCCACCAGTTACCTCAGGAGCCATCCACCGATATGTTCCAGTTTCAGCAGTCATAACTCCAGACTGAGATTTAACTCTAGCAACCCCGAAATCAGCGACCTTGACAACCTGAAGCAATGAAACACAGGTGCATTAGCAAACCCTCTGTTTTATTATATCAAGAAATGGGTTTTTTTTTTAAAGTGTGCGAGGAGACATGGCGTGAGCCAACCTTGAAAGCACATGGGACAGACCTACTGGCATCAGAAAAGACAGACGTGAAAAAAAAAAAAAAAAACCCACAACTTGAGAAAGATTCATACCCTGAAATGTAGATGCAAGATTACTCGAGTGTTTATTTTATGGGATCAAATGAGAACTGTGAAAGCAACAGCATTACATTAACTTATGTCACAGAAGAAGGCTTTACCTCATGTTCATCAATTAGAAGATTGGCGGTCTTCAGATCCCTGTGGATGATATTATTTTGGTGCATATAGTTCATCCCTTTGGATATGTCAATCGCCACTCTGAGTAAAGCAGGGAGTTTGAAGACGCCCCTCTGTTTATGAAGAAAATCATATACACTCCCTCCAGTCATGAACTCTGAGAGCAAAAAAGCGCCACATGAACTGGAATTAGTTCACGAAAAGGAGGCAGAAACGCATCCCCAGAAACCCCTAGCACTCGTACCTGTGATGATGTACAGATTTGGGGGCCTGGTGCACGATCCAATAAACTGCACAACATTCTTGTGGCGAACTTTCCTGTAATAAATGGAGCAGCAGTCAAAACATGAGGAAGCAAATTCCTTAGGAGAACTGCACGGATCTTTCTTTCTCTTCACGTGTTGGATGCAAGAACTAAGAACATGCATTAAAAAAAAAAAACTGAACAGAAAATATTTTCATGCGGTTTCTGTAATGTTTAGCATATCTAGCCTCCACAAGCAGTTGAACGGGACTACCTTGGCTCTCTTCTGTCTCTATAAGTTCATTAAGCTGGTTTGCTACTTCTTCACAGATGTCTTCTAAATTGGTTCTTTTTAAACAAAAAAAATCCAAAAACGTTAAATTTTAGCCAGAGAACATGCTATGGATTAACATGAATGTTTACAACATTTCCAGAGATTAAACATGAACCAAGTTCCAAATAGGTGACCCTACTGTTGAAGGTCTGCGAGATTGAGAAAGGCAACCGGCAGGACACGAGATGATGATCACTCCAAACAGGGGTGGAACTTCAACCAACATGATCTGGCAAACTACTGCGCGGAATTCTGAATCGAAGGTAAATTGAGAAATCTTTCAATTCAAACCTCATAATGTAGACCTCCTGTGCAAATTCCCGCTGCATTTCCTTATTTATGCGTTCAGGCTTCAATACTTTGATGGCTACATCCTGGCTACAGTAGGACCCCCTATAGCTGAAAAGGATTTCCACCATTTAAGTAGTGAATCTGTAGAACTAACACAAACACAACTCAGTTCATATTACAACAACTTACAGATCACCATAAGTCCCAGATGCTACTTTATCACCAAACTTCAGTTGCTTTACATCAATTTCCCACACATCCGTCCCATCTGTAGGGATTTGCAGTGCTTTAAGAGCTGATTCCTCTATGACTGGACTGTGTTCCATGATAGGAAAGACCTGATGATGTATTGGAGCATCCTCCTGCAAGGTAATAATATTTTAAACACAAGATAACCAATGATAAATGAAGTTTTTAATACTTTGTACTAAAGGAACGATAGAAACCCACAAAGGAGCCTACTGAGCAACAAAACACCCCCCCCCCCCCATCTCATCGCAACAGCAGTAACAAAGCAGAAAACTCTAGTAGGTCAGGATTTTCAGCATTACAAAGCAAATAAAACTGCTTTTCATCAGTCAGTTCCAGGGTTGAAATAAAGCCGTACTTGAGCCTATGACATCAATAAGATCCGTTAACAAGATAAAGAATCAGTTGACATACTACCATTATCGAAAAATGTTGTCAAAAGCCATCAACTTAAAAAGCTTTTTGTTCTAAACTTAAAAGGCAGCATGTGACACATCTTTTAGCCTCTTGAATTGAAACATAACAGCTCAGCCACCATACGAAAAAATGGCATTAAATCAAAAGCAGGGGTGCCGCCGCCATTGGTGAGAGTGAGAGAGAGGAGACAAGAAGGTGAGAAGGCGACATTGCAAACTCCAACTAGGGACCTGGTTGACCGGTTATAATAGGCAGCAGCACATGGTTTCTGACATTGGATAGTTTTTTAAGTCCAATAACTCAGTTGAGAAACAGCTTAATGACTTAAAAGCAACAATAAAGATCAGGACAGAAAATCTCTACTGAACGGACAACAATAAGAAAGAAAAGCCAGGAGCAGAAAAGAGTATACGAATTGAGATCTATTGCACAAGCGAACAGCGCTATTTTTTAGAATTATGCTTACAGTAAGAATATAATGGGTAGCATGAACATTAAGTAATCATCTTAAAAAAATATATACAAAAGTCATCATCTCAACCTTACGAATCTCGCTTTGAATCGCACGTCTAAGCTGCCCAGTTTCCTGAAAGAAACCATGTGATTTTATCACGAAATCAGCATAGGGAAAATTGTCAAGAAAAAGGAATCGACAGTGAAATCAGATTATAGAAGTACAAATTTCCCCAAATTTTGATTATTAAGTCAATTACTTAATCTAGTAGTCAATGTGCTAGTAAAAACTAATAAAGATCCATAAAAACTTCAGGTTGACAGGTATATGGGCATATGGATAGGATGAAATTATGTTTCGGTCGCCAACACAGGGCAGGCTGCCAGACGGGAAACACTGACTTGGATCCTAAAAAGAAGATCCTAGGTAATAAGTCATTCATCTTCTTCAACAGATGATTTCCATTAAGAGTAAGAAATTAATTCTTCATAATTCTTCATAAAAGTATGTTGTGTCATTTGTGGGCTTTGTTTCATTATAGAACTTTCCATTCTATTTACCAAACGAAAAAAGAATGATGGAAGACTTCAGTAAACTATTTTATAAAAATATTTACAGAAAATCACAATTAAATTCATTTTTATTAAGAGCACGAATTGAAATATGCAAAATTACCTCATCAGACCATCCAGCAACAACAAAGACGTCCAACGAATATCCATCATTTGTAGAGAAAGCATGTGCTTCTTGAATGTTGAGGCCAATGTCGCCCAAAAGAGAAGTCAACTGCAAAACGTCAATGCATTTGTCTATAATCAATAATTGATATGGTGATGGGATGGCGGATACGAGCATCGAAAATCCACCACCAGCAGGAGGAGAAGAAAGCAGGTCAACCGTTGAAAATTCAAAAGGACCATCGATTTCTTGGTTCTTCTTATAAATTAGTTTCACTGTTATTATCCACCAAAAATATCATCCCCGTGATTAGAGATTGGTGATTTTCGCGCCATCAATGTTTATCCTTTTGAATAAATGGATAAACCTCTGATGTTTTATGGAATTGAAAAATTAAAAAATGAAATTAAAATAAGAGAGAATGGTGATGTCGTAAAACACAGCATCCACCCACAAGGACGGATGGAGTTAAATAAAACGCTAAATCGGATGTAGCCTAGTGGATCAAGGCAGTGGATATGCATCGTGAATATGAGGCCCATTAGAGACAAAGGAAATTACATGACTGAGAAGCTTCCGCTTGTCATCTGCAGCAAAAGTAATTTCGTGCATGGCCCTGTAGAACATCACACAGTAGAACATAATTGATCAGTTCGAACTTCATTCCAAAGTAAAAATGAAGTTAGGGAATCAGACAGTGGAAACTTTACAAAACAAGGAAAGAATGTAAAGAATCCGTATCGGGCTTGTCCATGCAAACCCAATACAAATCTCATTTAAAGAGTCTTAGATGCACTGGGTTGAAGCCAACATTCTGTTTTGATGGTTGGATGTGCTCAGCCGAAAAAAAAAATAAAAATGTTATCAAGAGTGGCTGCCGTGCCCAGCTGAACAACACAATCCAAGTCGAAGGGGAGGATTCTCAAACCAGTTCCGCTAATGGGTCACATTGTGAAAGCTCAGAAAGGCTAAAGATTTCCTAGGTGTCAAGACATGTTTCCCCATCAACTTCCTACCTCGGATGGGACGGCAACAGTTGTCTTCCAAAAATGCCATCCTATATTTTAAACACCACATAAGCGTAATAACCATAGAGTTGTAGAAAGTGATCTACCTGGAGGAGTCCCCATTAGTATTGGCAACGCTGGCTCCATCATAGACATGTCCTCCACTAGCTTCAGAAGCTAGGGCTTCAAGATTTTGAGACGAACCAAAAGCAGGAGGAGGGTGAATGCTGTAAGTCTTAATCACTTTAGTACAGTGGAGAATAATAAAGCAGAGAGGGAACAGATGATATAGGACAGAAGAAGGCAGCCACCTTCGTCGACTAAACTGAGTGGTAGAACTCTGTGCATCTTCTTCTTCCTCTTTCAAACTGGACTCTGAGGAATCCTGAACTGGTGGAACCTACAGAAACAAGAAAAAAAAATGTCTCAATTTATTTTCTTATGGCGTATCAATTCCTGGGATGAAAGAACTAAGAGAAGACCAAATGAACTAAGAGAAATTGGCTGGGTTTCTCAGAGTGGCTCATCAAAAAGATTAAAGAATGTCCTCTGACCACGGATTAAAGTGTTTCACAATGAGTAGCAATCGCCAAATCACAAACTAAGTGATTACCAAGGGTACTACTTTGGGGCTGCCTCGATCACTGAACACTGAATGAGGATCAACTGATCAGTCAGGGTTGAATGGAAGACTTGTGACATTTTTCCACCTCTAGAAACTTACCTAAAGAGTTGCCATATGACTCTCCATGGGACCCATAGGAATATTTCTGAGACCAACCCAATGCCCCAGTAAAATCCAAGGTTCCTAGAAACGTTTCTTACAGAAACCCATCATCCCCTAGAGAGTTGCCATATGACTCTCCATGGGACCCATAGGAATATTTCTGAGACCAACCCAATGCCCCAGTAAAATCCAAGGTTCCTAGAAACGTTTCTTACAGAAACCCATCATCCCCTCCGACAGGAAGGAAGAGTAGTGGGGGGTCAATTCGTTGTCTTGCTCTGATTAAATGAATCCCTGTATTTGTCATAATTGGGCATGAGCAACGATCAATAACTAAGTCAACTAGTGAAACTCGAGCAAGAGGGCTTTCACCTGAACAATGCGAATCTCAAAGGGGAGCTTGTTCGCCGGATCCGCAGCCATCTCCAGCAGCCTCTTGTGCATCAAGACATCTTGAGCCCTCTCCACGTTCACATCCATCGCATACCTGCACGATGAGCAATCCTTCTCACTTCAATCTTCCAACAAGATTCGATGAAAAACCGACAGGAAGGTTCCCTCCGACGGCTTGTCGTCTGCAGTAAAACTCTGGAGCCCATATTATGTCGGAAAGAAGAAGACGGATCAAGAAAAGAGAAAGAGGGAAGCATAATTTCTCACAGAGAGGGCTGAAAAGAATGCTTCAATCCCTCTCCCCCCCCCCCCCTCCCCCCTCCTCCCGGCAGAATTGGGAGCAAATGAAGGAGGAGGAGGAGGAGGAGAGATTAACCTGAACAAGAAACTGAGGAAACCCGTCGCTGGCCGAGCACCGGGGACGCGAGGAAAGAAGAGAGGAGAGGGAGAATTACCGGGCGGGGAGGCGATTGAAGTGGGCCCAGATCTCGTCCTCAAATCCGGGCAAGCGTGCCTCCTCGCAGTCCTTCAGGCGGCTGAGCACCTCGTTGTAGACCTCAAGCTTGTACCGCTGCTGCCGGGGCTGCATCGGCGAGGAGTCCACCGATCTGCTGCTGCAGCTCTCGATGTCGTCCATCGCCATCGCCTGCGTCTAACAGGAGACCGACCGATCAAGGTTCCCCCCACTCCTCCCACCGACGCAGACCCCCCGCAAGAACGCACCCGATCACCCCGCAATCTCCGATTCCTCGCGGGACCAAAAAGCTCCGGTCCCAGAAACAACCGCGGAGACACCAGCGAAGAGGATGGAGCAGAACGATGGGCGGAGAAGGAAGAGAATAAGGCAAGGGGAGAGAGAGAGAGAGAGAGAGAGTAATAGCAGATGGTCGTCGAGGCAGTGATATTTATACATGATTGTCATTTTCACCTCGGCGGTAAGTTCACGGAATATGCTGCCCACCTTCGAGAAGGAGCCCCAATAAACTTCTCCTCCTTGTCCGGCGTGGTGCCGCGGCGGCGAGTCTATCACGATGGCCCTCGCCAAGCGACGGAGGTGACCGGCTCCGCCGGCGGGAAGCCGCGCGCCGACACGCGCTCGGCCTTCAATGGACCGACCAATTTACATTGAATTATCGATTACCCGGTGGTTGGTATCGCCGGAATTGTCTGCCGTTGCATTCAAGAAACGACTTTCTTAGGATTGGTCGCCGGAGATCAGGCCCGCCGCCGCCACCCCAACGGCGGCGAATCCCCGCGGCGGCGCCCAGAAACGGTCTCTCTCAAACCAGGTTCCTGATATTTTTTTAAAAAACTCAACTTTTTTCGCGAATCTCTGTCAGTGAGTACGTTCAACGAGTAAGATCCAGCATCTCACTGCCAAGGACCTCCTCCCCTCGGCGGCGGCGCCGCCGTAACAGGCGGAGTCGGATCAAGATCGGATGAAAGAGTAAAATCTTGAACTTGATTTCGATTGGATAAGATAATCCGATCGAATGGTTGACGGGGGGGCGTCCAAGTTCGGATCAGAACGGAGGATGGGAGGAATATCTCGCAGAATCCGAGGTCCCTCTTAGCTTGTACACCAATTCACGCCAGCTGGCCGGCGTTGACTACGCCTCTTGCTTCACAGTCCCCTCCTCTGACGCTGCCATCTTATCCTCTCTAATCCTGTCCGGGAGAGGGTCACAAGTAGAGCCGTTACACCAGAGAACGAAGGCCCCTGCCGGCGACGGAAATGTCGATCTAAATGGCGTCACCGGCGTTGACCTTTCTCAGAAAAATAGTTGCGGCGAAAATCCATTTGGGCTCGTTCTCCCCGTAGGAGACAAATTAAACCAGTTCTCATCGCGTGTTGGTCAACGCGACCACGTGGGCGTCCCAGCTACGAGACCCGTCAGAGGAGGCCAACACCGTAGACCCCACCGCCACCTCATCCGGTCGGCACGCCCGCCGGCATCCTTCGACACGCCGTCCGCCTGTCTGCCGCCGCCGCCATGGGCTGACTTGGTTGCATTCCGCGCACATGGCTCCTCTGGGTCTCCTCGAGAAGCTTTGTTCTGACTTAAAAAAGCTCTAATTTGAGGCTCGTCCGCGTCGGAGAAGATCCTCTAATTTGAGGAGTCAACGTCTACCCCGAATACTTCCGTCCCCAGCTAAGCTAGTTTGCCCGTCTGAGCTCCCCGAGTCAACCCCGGGAACCGAGTCGGACGGACCGTTACACTCGGCAAAAGATGACCGGATGCCAGCCTGGTGCCCCACCTGGAAAATCCACGTGTCCATCCATCTCCGGCATAAAATTTGCCGACAAAATCCTACTTCCTGAAATAGTTTGCGGTAAATAGTACCGGTTAAAAGCTTTAACCGTCCAATAGCAAAAAGAGACGTACGGCGGCGGTTGGACCTGAAGATGCCGGCACCTGATAGCGCCGCGCGCTGGTCCCAACCGTTGACGTGGATATGATGCGAGCTACCTTTGGCCCTTGACCTCTCCAAGGGGCGCCGTAATCTAAGGGTTGATTGGCTTCTTGCACGCGGTTGACTTTGGGCGAATTGAAGGCGGGCGACTGCAGGCCGAAATATCTGCGCCCCCCCAATAAAAAAACAGAAGCGTACCTTATCCGGATCACGTGAAACACGATAAAGGGTCCACCGCAGTCCTCCGGGGACCCTTCGAAGATGCTGTGGAAGAGGAGAGTTAGTGGGTGGGTTTGCTCCTACTCGGTGAGTTGGATTGGGCCAATTATTGGGCCTCGCTCTCCCTATCTCTCTCTCTCTCTCCCTCTCTCTCCCTCTCCCTCCCTCTCTCTCCTCCTCTCTCTCTCTCTCTCTCCCTCTCTCTCCCTCTCCCTCCCTCTCTCTCCTCCTCTCTCTCTCTCTCTCTCTCTCTCTCTCTGGGCCTGGGCTCTCCCTCTCCTCTCTCTCTCCCCCTGGGCCAATTATTGGGTCTCGCTTCCATATATCTCTCTCTCTCCCCTGGGCCCAATTATTGGGTCTCGCTCTCCCTATTCTCTATCTCTCTATCACCCTCTCTCCTTCTCCCCTCTCTCTCTCTCTCTCCCTCTCTCCCTCTCTCCCTATCTCTCTCTCCCCTCTCTCTCCCTCTCTATCTCCCTCTCTCTCCCCTCTCCCTCTTCTCTCCCTCTCTCTCCCTCTCTCTCTCTGTATCTCTCTCTCCTCTCTCTCTCCCTCTCTCTCTCCCTCTCTCTCTCTCTCTCCTCTCTCCCTCTCTCCCTCTCTCTCTCTCTCTCTCTCTCTCTCTCTTTCTCTCTCTCTCCCTCTCTCTTCTCTCCCCTCTCTCTCCCCTCTCCTCTCTCTCCTCTCTCATTCCATTCTCCCTCTCTCTCTCTCTCTCCCTCTCTCCCTCTCTCTCTCTCTCTCCCTCTCTCTCCCCCTCTCTCTCCTCTCTCTCTCCCTCTCTCCTCTCTCTCCCTCTCTCTCTCCCTCTCTCTCTCTCCCACTCTCTCTCTCCCTCTCTCTCTCTCTATCTATCTCCCTCTCTCTCCCTCTCTCTCTCCCTCTCTCTCTCTCTCTCTTTCTCTCCCTCTCTCTCTCTCTCTTTCCCCCCTCTCTCTCCCTCTCTATTGTATAGTAAATCACACAAATTTAAAATTTATAAAACTAGAAATATAAATTTTTAAATATTTAGAAGTATTTCTAGAAAAATATATCAATTATAATTTAATAAAACTTCCAAAAATAATAGTAATTTTCTAAGTTGATCACAAGGATGTAATATAATATCTAATAACTATTAAATAAATTCTCAAAGAATACTATTTTCTATGAAATTTATATTAAGAAATAAAAAGGAAATATATTTAAAATTCACGAAAAAAAGAAATAAGAGTGCAGACGTCAAGATGACATCAGCACCTGACAAACACAAATCAGGCAGAAATAAAGTTCTGCTCGGTGATTCTTATGTAAGCAATTACATACAATTTAATTGATCAAATTAAGATTTATAAAAGCTGAAAGAATCGTAATGAAATGAAGTATATCTTGAAAATTTTAAATCACACAAATTATCACTAAATGAAGTAGAATGTAAGTTGAAATTAAGAAATCAGAGTTCCGGTGTCGCGACGGCGATGTGTCGACGATGCACTAGAATCCTGAGCGTTCAGGAGGATCGTCGTGCAGTGTCCACAGTCTCAAAGGCTCTCCTTAGACAAAGACGACATGGGCAATCTCTAGATCTCCTTGCAAAGTCTAAAGATCAATGAAATGGGTCGTCGAATCGTCTCCGGCAGTTGTCACCCGACGGAGCAGAAAAACGATGACTTTGTGGCTCTCTGGCGGCTGTCACCTGATAGAGAGGAGCTAGATAGAGGTTGGACGCGTGTTAAGGAGCTTCATCTTTAAGTTCACATAGCAAGAGGAGGCTCTTCATCGCAACTGGTATGCTCTCAGGAGGTGGCGACTCGTCTCTTAGCAGATCGTCCTCTTCTCGATGACGGCTTGTTCATCGATCAATCGAAGATGATTTACTCGATGGATTTGCAATCCTTTTATCGCGAATCGTTCAGCAATTTTAGTAACAATATTCCGCGAATCGCATTGACAAGATTTTTGTCAATGATTCATCGATTCTGGTTGCTTATTCCTTCACTGGCAATATGTAAGAAAGTCGCGATAATCAAATAAAAAATATGAGTTTTGACTCTGAGAGGATTCGAACTCACACCAGTTGCCATGCCCTTTCTGAGGAAGATGATACGAGTTTAGTCCCACATCGCTTGTGCGTCGAATTTTTGGGCAAATATATAGTAATGTTATATTTGCAAGCAAGTCTCTTTCTCCCATGTGTACGACCACTCTTTGCCTCACAGCCGTCTGGCCACCAATGACGTGGAAGGGGAGTGACGCACACGTGCCCCTATCGGTCCAAGCCGCTCAAGCCCCTACTCGCGGCTACTCCTCAACTGCGCTTTCAACCCACTTGTGGGCCCAACTGGCCGGCGAGTTCCCCCAATTTTGTTATATTTATATTTCTTTTTCTTTTTCTTTATTTATTTCAAAAGTAAGACAGTAAAAATCATATAAATTCGTATAAAATCACATAATTACCCAAAAATTTACATTAATCAACTGAAAACCACTTTTCATATTTTAACACAAATATAAGTCTATTTATCATGAGTTAAAGCTAAAAATATATCATTTACTAATTATTAACTCATCATAATGAAAACTTATCAATAGGAAGTCGCAAGGTTTAGGTTTCAGGCATAGAATCAACCCAAGCCCAGGCCCGATTAATCCAAGGTTTGGGCTGGGCTAGGGCCAGCCCAGATCAGACATCAACTCCCCCCCCCCCCCTCCCCAGATAATGTTCATAAAGTATGTTTTCCCCTTTCAGACATTATATTCCAATAATATGCAAGAAAATTCGACAAACCCATGTCTAAGGGGCCCTTTCACCCCTGAAACCATATTCTACAACAATCTCCGAATCAAAAAAAAAGAGAGTAGAGGAATCCATCTCAGATTCCAAGAACACAAGGTGATGATGGTAAGAACAGGGGCATCATCTGCTGTCAGGAGGATTGAGTCGGGGGAGCTGAGCTATTTTAGGGAATTATTTCCCAATCCAGACATGATCAGAGATATATGGTGCATTATGGTGGAGAGAACCAATGGAGGACGTCGCCCCAAAGGCAGAGAGCCCTGCGGAAAACCAATCTATTATCTAATACAGTAAGAAATTCACGCAAGATCCGATGAGTGTCTGATAATTGCAGGAGATTTGATTACCGAAAAAGCGTAATCGCGAGCAAAAAACACCTGGGATGATGCTCCAGGATTCTACTGATAAGGATAGGGGAGATCCACCTCAAAAGCCCAAGAAATCTAAGGTCAACGCTGAAAAGGATGCACGAAAGTGAAATTGGAACGAGCAAGCGATGCTGGACGATCGACGTCCATCATTCTATTCGATAAACATCAATGCAAGTATCTATATATGTTTGAAAAAATAAATTATACGATTGGTGACTTCAATGAATCGATTGGTAGAACCAATCACTCACTCTGCCAGAGGAAGTTGTCGAATCTCCCTCGTTCCAGGGTAAACTTCTCGGCTCCCATGTTCGTCCATGTTAAGAGAGCTGGACCGACGGTGAGCCAACGAATTGGGAACACCTATCACTGTGCTTTGAGGGAATAGGTCCTGCGGTGCAGCCTCTCCAGAGAAAGAGAAAAAGAGGATTACGATTAGGTTTAGGGATTCCAGAGCGCCATCAGCGAGAGGAAGATAACTAGAACGGATCAGATTTCCATTGCATCATCGAGCCAGATTCCTTCAACGAATGCGAGCTGAGAGCTAATTTCCATCATCGAGAATGGACACAAGTGAGCTCATCCCTATCTCCAGAAAAACCATGAAATCTTTTCTCGGACGAAACAGGAGGATAGGCAACAAGACATCCGGATTCTTCCTTCTCGAGGAAAGATAACCTCTAGCCGTACTTCCCATACTTGTGCCAGCAGAGCAGCATCACGACGCACCTCCGGATGATGTAGAACCTCGACCTCTGCTCCTTCGCCACCGCCAGACACCCGTTCGTCTCGCTTGCCGACGGCGAGCTCTCCCACCAGTTCCGGCCTCCCTTCGCCCTCCGGGAAGCGCATTGCCCCATCTCCCCCGAAGTCTCTCTGCGTCTCCTCCGACGGCCAAAATTCCTGGCGGGAAGAACGGGCTTCCTGTTACGCCAACTCTCTCTCTCTCTCCCTGTTACGCGTCCTCTTCCTCGCGAGGGATGATCTCGGAAGGCATTTTAGTTCGCCGGAGCACAACCGCGTTGGGTGTGGTGGCTCGGCGACGCGTGGCGACTCATGAGAGGAGAACAGTTCAGACGACGGTTGAGGGGAGGGGAGGGGAGGGGAGGGTGGGTACGTCGGTGCTGTGGAATGGTCGTGATGAGCTGGACATTGGGATTTTTCTAGCCTGCGAGTTTTCGAATTTATCCACAATCCTTCCACTGATTGGGGGGGAAATTTCTCTTTAGGCCCTCATTTTTTAAATTTATGTCTACATCGAGGTCTATTGTTTAAAACCCAATCGGAGTTGACCCATCAGAAAGTCAACTCTTTCATCTCGCGCGAAACATTTTTTTCGAATCGTCCTAAAAACGGTCAAAATATTTTTTATGCCCACAACGGGGACACATGAATCAACGAGCAAAGAGAAGTGGGAGGAAGGGAACTTTGTCGGGGTTTTTTTTATTTAAATAGTCTAAAATCAACCGTAAATCTCTTAAAAGAAAAAATATCACGAAAAAAAATTAAATTCATTCTTCGTCGGGGATTTTGGGCCTTTTTGGGCCTTTTAATGTTTGAAACCTATCCTTAAGGCTTCCAAAACACTTGGCCCACCAACTTTTGAGTAACCCAAGCAACAACTAAAGGAAACCCGGCAAAGTAACTCAAAGTCAACTCCAGATGAGCCCCCACTCTGACTTGACTTTTCACCTACGCCTATTTGAGAGAGAGAGAGAGAGAGAGATTCTATAAGCCTTGGCGCAGAGAGTCGTGGCATCTGCATACTTTATACACAATCACCATATTACTAAATTACAGATTGCGCCACCCGACACCATGTTACGAAATTACAGATTGCGCCATCCGATGATCTTACACTTGAATCAGAGAAGGGAGGAGATTCGGGTGGTTTCAGAAGGGTCGGGCTGTACAGACAAGCAGAGTTGACCGAGGGCGGAGCCGCAGGCGGCCTTGGACTTCCTCGGGCATTCCTGCGGAGCCGAAAATGGAAATAAAAATAAGAGAAACCAGAAGCTTCGATCCGTTATGCACCCACCGGGTAGGACGGATCTGCGGGTAGATTCCCCAAGGAATCTTCCATCAGATCCGAGCATTCCTCCATCGGGGCCGTGATCTGGAAGAGTGATGGGCGGTCTAAGCACCTCCGAGGCTAAGCTATGAGTTGAGCCTCTTGAGCCGGAGCCTGGCAAGTTTGTCTCTGCAGGTAGCTGCAAGAGTAAAGAGCGAAGTAGGGTTGAGAGATTCCAATTTTTCCTTAAATCGAATAAGATTAAACATTAACAATAACTAAGATTAAATTTATTAAATATATAAATGATCTTATTTTATAGACCTGCATCTTCGAATCTCTCCTCTGTGACCGCCACGTTCAACTTCCCAATCAGGTCCAGCTCCTCAGCAAGCACGTCAGGGCCATCTGGCGCGCTGGAGTGGGAGTCAAAGTGTTTCAGTCCTATTAAGCAACTGGAAGGGGAAGTTCGGATGTGGGTCCCACAATGGGGGTATTTTCATTTTCATTTTCATTTTCATTTTTTTTTATTTTTAAAAATGTTCCCATTACCTGTCCAGCAAAACGTCGTACACAGTCTTCACACTGCTTCCTCTCCATGTTCCGTAGACGATCTTAATAGCGTCTTTGAGGACGATGTCCTTGCTTATGTAGATGGGTACCTGCACAAGGATTCAGAGAGAGAGAAAGAGGCACTCGATATCAATGCAACAGTGAGAAAATCGGTCACAGAGTCAAAGTCCATACTAAGAAAAAGAATATCTGCGAAGGGGTAAGACCGTTGTCGTAGTCTCTTGTGGTTTTATCAAATGTATACAATATAACAGCTACAGAGTGCGTTGACTTGACACATTTTCTAATCAAATTATGATCACGCTTCTTGGGGTAAAGTTCTTGCAGTGTAAATCAAATTTTCCATGCAGCGGCGAGGCCCCAAATAAATTAAAATTTTTATAAATAAAAAATAATTAAAAAAATCAGCTCGTGAATTCCGGACAATGGATCACAAAATGCTCCTCAAAGTAAGTAATTTAGGGCATAATCCGGGCTCGAGCTGGGGGTTTGGCCAGGGTTATGTGACATGAATAGAGAACAGAACGGGTTCAGCCTACCATGAAACTCAAGAGCTAGAGCCAGTTCATGGTATCGGAGTGAGAGGGATTTCCACCACAAAAAGATTCGACAATCGTTAGCAGCCAGATCAATTTAACATCCCGTTCCCATTCTTTTCGGCTGAAGAGAACAAAATTATAATCACTGAAAAAAAATCCAGTCTTGTTTGTTTGCCCAAGTATCTTCGAATCATGTTTACTTGTTGACTGGACCATCACCATCACCATCACCCACAAACTATTAATCGATTCGTGTTTATCTATTTGTCTGTAGGGGGGGAATCCTTTTTCAAATAGTTCTGCCACACCCAATTGTAACACTGGCTACGAGGCATCCCTGTTGATCAGGATGCGTGAAAATAAAATAATAAAAAATCGATCGAGCTTATTAGTACCATGGCACAAGCATAATCATAGAAGAAACTGAAAAACATAGCCATATTTTGTCGATATACCTGACATTTAATTGCCAGATGAATAGCGTCTGACGGACGTGAATCTATACTTAAAGTTGCTCCTTCTGAAGGCTGCAAATTGCAAATATCGAAGGTAAAAAATGGGGAACGATTCGGCGTTATTAGTTAGTTAAACATGATACCGAACGTAATAATACTGCTAAAATTATGTTGACGATGAGGCACTGGCAGGGGTTTTTTGTTTGTAACCTTTCCCAGGAATATCCGTGCATGGTATGTGTTGACAACTCTCTTAATAATCCGCACCATCTTTACCTGAGTATGCGAAAAAATAGGTGAAATGTAGTTGAAGAATTCCACATAACTCGCACAGCTATAAAATGATCGCAGGTCTAAAGAGTTGGGAAGGTTTTCCGATTAAAAGCTCCGGTCATTCCGAAAGAGCCACAACGGCACCAATAATGATCAAGAACAAAAGAAACTCGGCAAATTAGTGGCATTGACTCTCACAGAAAAATGTGCAATGAAAAATCATACTCAATGTTTAACTATCAAGCATTTCACAGATTGAAAATTCAACAATGATTGAGCACTGTCAGTAACGCCTTTTGCGTTGAAATTTTCTGCAATACCGCAAATCGATCTATGTGCATCTGAATTAAAGAGGAATTTAAAGCCCAATAGGAAAATAATTTGATAATGAAATAGCGAGCTTGATTCCAGTCTGACCTCATAGCCGAGAGTGCCCACAAGATTTTTGACGAACTTGAATTGATCAAGGGATCCCTGCATATGCCACGTCAGTTTCTAGATCTGCTTTTAAATTCCAATAAACAGAACAGTAAGTTAAAGCATTACCTCATTATTCTCATCGCTTAAAGTATCTACAAGTCTTTCTATAGCAAACTCTCCTGTACAAAAATAGCTCACGTACAAATCAGAAATACAAGTAAATTAAAAATCACAGAAAGATCACACTAAAGAAGAAACAGCATACCAACAATAATGGGCAACAATAGGTCTCCATCACAAGCAACTTTTAGGAAAATGGTAGGGTTCTGAAATTGACGAAGAAAACCATGGCCGATAGATCGAACACCAGGTTTGGATCCCTTTGCCTGAAGAGAAAGAGGAAGTATCTGACTGGAGGAGTACCATCTTGTCTCCTCAAAGAACCCCTGCTTCCGCAAGTTGTAGTGTCTCATGGTTTCTGCACTAATAAATATAATTTTATATCCCTCAGGAAGTTTGATGGAGAAATTACTCATGTTATCAAATTTCATAGCATCAAGCGGAAAAGAAAAACGATCAATAGCATTCAACGTAGAGTAAGATGAATAACTAAGCACCTATCCTGAAATGGATACCAAGTGATGTAAAAAATGGTTTCTATGATGAAAATGTGCATACGAATAGTATGTGCCTGCCTAACAGCGGGGAAGAAGTTTCTAAATCCAGTAAATTAAGCAAAAATGAAAGGGGAAAAAATGTGCCTCTTTCAGACTGAACGACAAAAAAGTACTAACAAAAGTAATTATCTGAGCCATGGATGTGAATTGTTGATTGTATCGAGTTTTCCACCTTGATACAGAAGAGGTAGACATCATTGATGATGGAAAACGAAAGAGCTTTGATATATAAAAACCTAGATTTTTATGATTCAGTTTATCAATGAATATGTCGAAAAAGGAAAATAGGGAAACCTCATCCAAACATATTAAATGAAATCGGAATCATTACTTGTGAAATGAATCGAGCAACACATCCTGACGTATTAGCTCAGTGAAAAGATCAGATAACTTTTATACAGTTAAAACCTCTCCTCTGCCCTGACGCTACATGCCTGCTCAGAATTTCAAAAAGTGAGAAACAATTCCGTCCCAAATCTCTACACAATCAGATAAACGGGACGATAAGTGATCACCCATGTAGCTTGAGGGCAAACTAATGGCAGTGACACAAATCATGAGCTCTCATTCAGCAAGCATGAATCTGAGACACGCCATCGCCCAACCCCGCGACGCCAGTGTTCCACAGAACATGTTATACGACACATGTCGACATCAGCATAGCGATATCCGACAGGTGTACGGAAAACGGAGGGAGAGGAGAGAGAGGGACCTGAAACAAGGAGAGACGCTTGGATGAACTCTTCCTCGTCCTTCGGCTCGCGCGGTTCCGGCGTTTCGCCGGCCCCGCCATCATTGCTCTCCCTGTCGCCCCCGATTGAGGCCTTGCAGCAGGGGAGATGGAACTGACCTGACTTCCCCACACAAGGCTGCCGGAGCCGCCGCCCCCCCCGCCGCAGCGCGTCGGAGGCAAGATCGACTCGCAAGGAGAGCCTCGAGGTTGCCGACGCATTCCGCGGATTCACCGCGCAAACGTGCGATCGCGAGTCCACCGGACCGCGCGTTGCCGGCGACGACGACGACCGGCAACCGCACGGCGCCATGTGCCGGCTCTGGATCCGGATCATCTCCTCCACCTTCCGCAGATCGACGATGTAACCCCCCCCCCCCCCCTATGCTAACGCTCCTAGATAGCGCTAATCCGGCGATCGAACAGCATCTACGCTGTTAAAAAATCTTCCCGCCTTTTTATAATAATTCACCTCCGCGAAAATAAAATAATTAAAAGACCCCGATTTATTTCTCTCTCGTACCCCCGCGTCGAGAGGATGTTGTCGACGCACGAGAAAGTGACGTTAGGAGCACATCTACTGGGATACAGTCACCGGCTCAGTGGGACCTATATGGTGGTGAGATCCCGACGCTCCGCCGTCAGTTTCGCCGGCCGACCGGCCGCCGCGGTAACCGAGCTGAATGGATACCGCAGGTGTCCAAATGAACTGAATCCGGAGCCAAATCGGCATGACGTGGATGATGTGGGGCTGAGTCCAGAATAAACTCGCTGAAGGCTGCTTTGTTTGGGAAGACGTGCTCTTGTTGTTCTCTTGCTGCTGCGGCGTCAATACAATTCGATCGATCTAACCCCGGCATCTCGTGATAGTCCCACGCGAAGCAATCTGTGAATTCTTTGAGTAACCCCTCGGTCGGTAGTCTGGCGGGGCATCTGACGTCGGCACACATCGAACACGCCACGTTGGTGATACCGCCGCCGTCGCACTGTACACGTGTATGAGAGGAAGAATGAATGAACTCTGCAGGAGGGAATACCGTCGGCACCGAGAGAGTGAGTGGCTGGCTGAGTCAGCTCTCGGCGTGGCCACGTCGGACGGCAGCTCATCCAGTGGGCTTCGACCTGGGCGGCTCCTTGAGCAGCTTAATCAGCTCGAAGGTTCTCAGGTGATGGCCGGAGTGAAGGCAGAGATCGAGAGGCGTCCATCCATCCTGGTACACCACCAAACGAAGAACAATAAGAGACCGAAAGTAAATAATTTCAAAAAAAAAAAGAGCCCATATCTCGTTTGACTTTCTACGAAGAGGAGAAGTCAAACCCGGGTTTTGGAAGCCCTGTCGGCGCCCTTTATCAACAGCAACCTCACGACGTCGGTCCTGAGAGTCTGAACAGCAAGATGCAAGGGGGTCCAGCCGTCCTGAAAGAAGAACCCAGAGGAAGAACGCCTTCAGACTACCGAGGTCCACCCCCCTCCCTCATCAGGGTCAACGGGGAAAGGAATAAATATGGAGGGCATACTTCATCCGGGAGGTCAATGTCAACGTCATATAGTAGAAGGATCTTGATGATCTGGGTCGATGCGTTCAACACAGCGTAGTGCATCAAGGTCGCCCCATCCTGTGGCAGCAGAGAAGAAGGAAGACATGGCGGTGTGATCCAGACGAAGGCCAAGCAGAGAGAGAGAGAGAGAGAGAGAGAGAGAGCTTTTGCTTCGCACAGAAGGGGAGAACCGGTAGACTCATCTCTCATTGATGCATTAAACGGGAGTGCGAGCGAGCAATGAACGAAATCCAGCTCCTCCTGATATCTCAGGATAATTTACTGGTTTAAAAAAAGGGTCATCGCCTCTGTCCATCACATTTATGTCTGTTTATCTTCATTACAATTTAGCCATAAAAAAATTACTATTTACAGCACTTTTAGCCGGTAAATTCACGTTTTTCCTAACACTAAAAAAAATCAAATCTCCGATTTTAAAAAATGCCCAACATCACAGTCCATCACATTTATCTCTACTTATGTTCACTGTATACTTTTTCACTGTTTATAGAAAATTTCATTTCTCTACTAGCCATAACAATCCCAGTCTTGAGACACCCTACATCTCTCTCTCTCTCTCTCTCTCTCTCTCTCTCTCTCTCTCTCTCTCTCTCTCTCTCTCTCTCTCTCTCTCTCTCTCTCTCTCTCTCCCTCTCCTCTCTCTCTCTCCCTCTCCTCTCTCTCCCTCCCTCTCCCTCTCCCTCTCCTCTCTCTCCCTCTCCTCTCTCTCTCTCTCTCTCTCTCTCTCTCTCTCTCTCTCTCTCTCCCTCTCTCTCTCTCTCTCTCTCTCTCTCTCTCCCGCTCTCCGTCTCTCCCTCTCCCTCTCTCCGTCTCTCTCTCTCCCTCTCCCTCTCTCCGTCTCTCTCTCTCTCCCTCTCTCTCTCTCTCTCTCTTTCTCCCTCTCTCTCTTTGTCTATCTATCTATCTATCTATCTATCTATCTATCTATCTATCTATCTATCTATCTATATCTCTCTCTCTCCCTCTCTTTGTCTATCTATCTATCTTTCTCTCTCTCTCTCCCTCTCTTTGTCTATCTATCTATCTTTCTCTCTCTCTCTCCCTCTCTTTGTCTATCTATCTATCTTTCTCTCTCTCTCTCCCTCTCTTTGTCTATCTCTCTCTCTCTCTCTCTCTCTCTCTCTTTGTCTATCTATCTATCTCTTTCTCTCTCTCTCTCCCTCTCTTTGTCTATCTATCTATCTTTCTCTCTCTCTCCCTCTCTTTGTCTATCTATCTATCTCTCTCTCTCTCTCCCTCTCTTTGTCTATCTATCTATCTTTCTCTCTCTCTCTCCCTCTCTTTGTCTATCTATCTATCTTTCTCTCTCTCTCTCCCTCTCTTTGTCTATCTATCTATCTTTCTCTCTCTCTCTCCCTCTCTTTGTCTATCTCTCTCTCTCTCTCTCTCTCTCTCTCTCTCCCTCTCTCTCTCTCCCCCCCCTCTGTGTGAATAACTTAGCTCATAGTCCCAAACATGGGATGTTTTTTCGATCCCAAAGATATGTGGACTAAAATCTAAACAGAAACCGGGAAAATTGTTCAGAAAATGAATCCATGCAAACACTCACTTGATCCCGGACAAAGGGGTTTGCCGACTCTCTCAAGAGATAGTTGAAGACGGCCACCTTATTGCCCAGTATCGCCCTGTGGATGGCGCACAAGCCGTCCTGGAGCAAAGAAGATACCGCCGTTGATGAAATATTATAAACCGACGGAAGGTACCGGAAAATAAATAAATATTAATCTCAACCAATCTTGGATCTCCACCTTATCAGGAGCATTGACGTCCACGTTGTGCTTTAATAACGCATCCAAGAGGTAAAACTCCCCAGACGCAGCAAAAGCATGCAGAGGTAGCCATTTGCTCTGAAAATAATCACGCCAATATGGTTAAAAATGAGCAGTAAATCTTCTTCCGACAGCACACATATATGCAAGAAAAGATAGAGAAAAACAGTAATTTATACCCCAAGAAAACGGGTTTACAGGTGTAGACTTCCGATTGAGAAGTGAGGATTCTTGCAGCGGTAGAAGAATAATAGTAAGAAATCCATTAAATTTCTCTATCCATTAAATCCATTACATTTCTCTACCCATGAAATCCATTAAATATCTGCAAGAAAAGACAGAAAAACAGTAATTTCTACCACAAGAAAACGGGTTTACAGGTGGAGACTTCTGATTGAAGAGTGAGGATTCTTGCAGCGGTAGAAGAATAATAGTAAGATGTCTATTAAATTTCCTTTTTTTTCATTCCAAGATTTATTTTTTTTATTTTTTTAAACAGCCAGAATCAGTCTGGACCTGATCTAGGCCGGAGGAGAAACCTGAAAGACATGACCTTTGTAGGATTCTTATGTATTTTTTTCAGGCGTGCTAGGAAAAGGGCCAGTGAAAAGTCAACCCAATTATAGAAAAGATCATGCAGTGATCTACATGAACTGTGGCCAGCAAATGAGGAGAACTCACTGATGTGGCATCTGCAAGATTAGGTATCCGTTTGTTCAAGAGAATCTTTTCCTCCTGGGTGAAGAGCTTCCTCTTGCCTGTTAATAGACAGGTAAAAGATCATCAAGCAAAACTCAGGTCAAAGGAAAAGCAGATCGAAAGCACGTGCGCAGACCAGAAGAGGTGAGAAATTCCCTAGAAATCGCAATTTTTCTTAAAAGGACTATTATAGAAAAGGGACCGGATGGAACTAAACAGCATAAAAGTCAGCTCCATACAGATGCCCATCGACCCACTATAAAAGTCAGCTCCATAAAAGTCATGATTAATTTCATCAAAATCAATGTTGACCCACTATGAGTTCTTAGTAGTTTAAAATTATTTCTATCAATTTAAAATACCCATAAAAAGTTAAACCATTAATTTTATTCATTTCAGTGTCAACATAAATAAAATGACTGCCACCATGTTTATAAATGGAAAAAACAAAAGTTTAGAATGTAATTATCGGCGCTGAACCATTTACTTGGGATTTAGATTGACAAAATTGAAGAGAAATATCGAGATAACACAACAAAAGGAATCAAAAAATAGATGATATGTCTACCAAATAACAGAAAAAGGAATTTTAGAATATAGTAGTAAGAGCAGGAGTAAGAGCACTGGATTCACCTGGTTTCTTGTCATCATCGTTCTCTTCGGGAACATAATCACGGCTGTTGAAGAAATTGGAGATGCGATCCAAGCTCTCGTCCTTGATGGCCAACCTTGGGTTCTTTGGTGACACCCTCCCACCTGAAGGAGTGGGAGGACCAACCTCCTTTGGGGATGGAGGGGGAAAGTCACGGGGGGTGTCGAGGAAAACTGGCTTAAGCTGGGACAGCTTCAGCTCACGGTAGGTCCGGTACTCTTCGAGGTCGGGCATGGGGAGCTTCTTCCTCCTCTCTAGCTTGCTCCCGAATTTTAGCTCCTGAGCGATCTTACGCTTCTCCTTCTTCGTCATGTTGATCTCCTCCACCGTCTCCCTCCACTTCTCCGGCACCAGACTCTCGACCTTCACTTCCGCAATGGGCTTTGCTCGCTGAGGCCTCCCTCTATTCTCCTCTCCGGAACCATCGGAGTCGAGAGAACCGAGAGGATCTCCAACCTCGAAAGCACCCTCCTCGAAGACGAGACAGTCGCCAACGACGCTCTGTTCATCCTCATAATCTTCCCGTCCCCCAGAATTAGGGTTCCTCGGCTGGTACTGGAACGGCAGCCGGGGATGAAACGCGTCATTCGAGGAAGGCGGGGGCGAATTATAACCGTAGGAAGCCGAGGTCGCGACTATCCGAGAGGGCGAAGCACGACGACGACGGATCCCTAAGGGGAACAGCGCCTTCAGAAAAGCAGTAGACGAGACCGGCTGATGGGAGGAGAGAGCCGGGCGGACAAGGAAACCTGCGGGAGACGACGGCGGAGAAGGTGAAGACACAACCATTTGTGAACGAACACTCTGGCCTTGCAGCTTCTCCTCCCTCCCTCCCAACCCGCGCTTCACCCTTCACCTCTCTCTCTCTCTCTCTCTCCCTCTCTTTCTATCTCTTAGAGAGTTCGGAGGAGATGAGGGAGAAGAGAGATGGCGGGAAGCGTCGCCGGAGAGGTAGAGTTTTCCCAGGGGAGAGGAGCCGACTCATCTCCCCACAGGATAGGGGCCTAGTCCTAGCAGGGTTTCTGGAACCGTAGAACGGGCCTGGGCCCGAACCCGCCGCCTCAAGCCCGGCCCAAATCCACCCTCTAATCAAATGTACCATCTTTTATCGTAAAAACTTAATTTCCACTTCCAGTGCATACGCAAAGCGGGCCCGATTTCTCTGCCTCAGGTCCGGCCGCAAGTCAACCGTTAAGTCAAATTATACCACCTTAATCGTAAAAACATTGAGAAGAAAACCTTTTAGAGAGCGAGCAAGAGAGAGAGAGAGAGAGCTAATAAAAAAGCCCGGCCCGTCTACAGAAAAGCCCACAGCTTTCTCACGAACGAAAACGCTACCAGTCTACTACCACTGGCTTCTCCCAGGGGAGGTGGCGGCGCCGCCGTGTCGCGGTGAGAAGGCCTGTCTCATCGGCCGTACACATTGCGGTGCCGCCCGTAGCCTCCTCCCTCTGGGCTACCGTAGGGAGAATACGGCAGCGACCGGGACCGTTCCCTCCTCGACTTCCCGCCTCCCCCGTAAGGCGGGGAGTAGTCGCCCCCTCTGCCGCCGCCGCCGCGATAGTAGGACCGCCTTGGAGACCGGCGGTAGCCGCTGCCGCCGTAGTCCTCCCGGCCATAGTCTCCACCGCGGTACCCATTCCGCTCGTAATAGCGACCTGAAAACCAGCCGACACAGCAAGAAGCATTACTATAAATGAAGAGAGAGAGACAAACACAGAGAGAGAGAGGGGGAGTGGGGGAGCTTACTGGTTTCTCGAGTGCTCTTCACGCCAAGGTAGTTTCCAGGGGTTGGAGTGCGGGGGCGCTTCCTCCTCGACTGGAAGGCAGACGACATTCAGAGAAGTTTAGTGAACATGAACGAGAGAAAGTGGGAGCTCTGAAACCAGAAGAAGAAGAAGAAGAACAGATTGCACGAAACGGGGAGGCGAAAAATCTTCGATAAATGAGGAATAATCGGCGAAGAGGAGAAGAAGAGGGACCAGTAGTAGTATGCGTCGATTAGTTGTTGTTCGTGTTGTTGTTGTTGTTGTTGTTGTTGAGAGAGAGAGATAGAGAGAGAGAGTTGATTGCTGAGGTTGTTTAGTTGGGGGGGCGTGGTTGGTGTTTTTAGTTGATGTGGTGAGGAAGGTTGAGATGAATTGGGCTCATCAGCTCGGTCGCTACATGCCCAGCTGACGCGATCATCTTCTGAATGTAACCAGAGACCTCAAAAAAGGAAGCAAACCAGTCATGCTGAGAAGCTGGATGATCCCTTCAACTGGGTAACATAGAGGGAAGACGAGAAGAAAAAGAAGAGATGGAGAAGAGAAGCGCGCGCACCTTCTCGACGGTGATGTAGCGGCCCTGAAGAACGGACTGATTGAGGTACTCGACGCAGCGATCCGCGTCCTCGACGGTGTCCATGGTCACAAAGGCGAAGCCTCGGGAGATGCGGGTGCGGGGCTCGACCACCAGGAAGGATTTCGCCACCTGGAGACGCGCAAGACGAGTGATGAGACGGATGAAATCTGAGGCCCGCGCTTCTTCTGAGAAAGGACGCACCTTTCCCTCCTTGGAGAAGTGGATCTCCAGGTCCCTTTCGGTCACTCTAGTGGACAGCCCCGTCACGTAGAGAGTGTTCCCGGGATTTTCGGCCTCGGCCCTGTCATTTTATAAAAAGGATATATTAAATTAAAAAAAAAACTCCCTGTTTTGGACAGCTTAAGAAAGTAGGGTCGGAGGGGAGGGGGGGAACCTGCCGGCGCTGCCGGATCTTGAGCGGGACCTGGCTCGACGCCTGGATGGTGAGGGGAATGGGGAGTGGGATCGGTGGCGCCCCTTGTCGGGACGAGGGGAGTAAGACCTGAGAGATAATTGCGCCCATTCAAAGGTTAGTAAGGCAATTCATTCGTTTATGACGCAAATAAATTGTGTGATGGCAGTAAAATTCATTCGAGACAAGAAATGAGACCAGTCGTCAAGCTTGGAGAATGACTGCCGCTCACACAAAACCCGGGTTTTGCCAGAAAAAGAAAGATTTAGGCAGTTCATGTACCACAGATTTATCCAGGAAAGGGAAAAAAAAAGAAAGAAGAGGCGTCTACCCAGAAAGGTGACGTTTACAGGCAACCATTAGATTTCTTGTTTTAATGCAGTTTTGCGAATAACGAGTTTTTCTGACAAATGAAAGCATCCACACAGTATTTTTGGTATCATATTCTACTAGTTTTACCGGTAAGGGTTCCAATGCCATGATAAAATATTCTTCGGACGTTATTCTATATTTGATGTCGGGTGCTGGTTGAGCCAGCGAACAGTTGGGAGAATAAGGTTTGTAATCTTTTAGGAAGAAATTAAGCAAATAATGGTGGTGAATAGAAGAGAACAACGAATGGTCACAGACAAACGAACGCCTTGTCTATCCCCATCTCTCTTCCTGATCCATCCCTGAATAGACATAGGCTTGATGGGAAAAACATGAAAATGAACGCCCGACTGAAAGAAGGGCAAATGAATAAGTGAATACAGTTATTTAAAAATGATTGAAAGAAACAATGTATGAAACACAATGAAGATGAAAAATGAGAAATAAAAGTCTGAATTTAAATAAACATATATTTTTTAATTGGCGAACACGTTACAAAATGGATGAAGAGAGAAAGGAGGAAAAACCTATAAAGATAAATCATCTTTAAAAAGAATCTTAGGCTTCGAAACAATGAACATAGTTCTGAATTTCCTGACTAAAACAGGATCTTCAAGTCTTCCATTCTCTGTTATCAATGGCCAATCCCTCAAAAGACTCACACAATCGTTAATTAGTTCGAAGTGGTTCGTGAAATCCTCTGCAGATAATTTTTCTGAACTACTAGCCATTTCCCACTAAGAATCACACTGCATAGAAGGCAGAAGCAATATGTTGATCATATGGGTAAAACAAAATATGTCATGCAGCTTTTGGAATAGCATGCGGCCATATGGGTTTGGTTTTGGTCTTGGATTCACCCCCCGGTGGTCTTGGTGTAAACATCCACAGCACCACTAGACGAATGCTCGAATGTCTGCAAGAATTCTAAATAAAACGTCTGCTGCCAAAGGAGTATCACATAGACTTCTCTAATGTATAGGGTTTTACAATGCTTTCTCAAACACCAACCCAAAGGGAAGTTGCTAAGTCCTTTAAAGTCAATAAGATCTTTCTGAAAATTACAAGTTTAAAACATTGCGAGGCCAAACATAAAATAATGTATCACCCCTCAAAAGCATTGTCCATCATGCGACGATCTTAAATCGTCGGGCTCTCAAGATGTTTTTATAACTACATAAATGCAAAGTGAACAAATGTGACAGTCATAGCAAAGCAAAATCCCCTCAAGCAATTCGATTGCATCAAATACAAAATTAATTTTTTTGTTAAAAAGCTCATTCAAACCCTATGCCTTTGAAGTCGTGATCGACCTCATGTACCATCTTGAGATTACACAGCGTAAAACGGCATCCAGGTCATACTTCAATCTCCCAGATTGCCCTTACAGTCAGGTCGACTGTTCACTCGTGTTCCTTTCATTCCTCGTTGTCCTCTATTCATTGATTTGACGATGGCTCACCGACCTAACGTCTCTCATTCTCCTGTAGCTACTGCGATCAACTTCATTTCCATTTAGCCTATCTGCTTCTGGTCTTCATTCCAAAGTATAATCAGACCAGGACAGGACAATACAACGTCCCGAGATAAACAATCGAAACCAAAAGGAATCCCTCTGCCAGCCGAAGCACGGAGAGAGAGAAGAAAGATCGAGACTCTCACAATGTAGACATTAGATATGGAAAGAAATATACGAAAGAAACATTGGATAGGAATATAGTGTTACCTCTTCCGGGGAGAATCCGCCTGCAAAATCATCGTGGAAAAAGATAACCGTCATCAAAAGGCCAAAACGAGATAACCGCATAAAGCGCGGTACGCCGGAAAATGGGAAGAGAAAGACGAAGAGATTGTACCATCGGATGCACAAGCAGAGCGATCTTCGAAGCTGAACGTCAACTTTCTTCGTTAAGAGCCGCACTATTTATACTGATAGGGATTGAGTGCGGTGTAATTACCGACTCCGGATGGGAAAACCGCCGCGGTCGGCCTACCGCAGGCCAGAAGGAGAAAACCGCCCGGTTCGGACCGCCCGTCTTGTCAATGCTAAACCGGAGAGTGTGGGTCGTAGTAGATGGTAGTGGTCGAGTCAGATTTGGTCAATGGGCTTCTCGGACAGCCATTTCCCCTTTACAAAAAATTTAAGAGATTTTTATTTTTTATTCTTCATTTGATCTTCATTCATAAAAATATTTTTATCGAATTAATTATGCTTGAAATATTTATACTCGTGCTTATTATTTATTTATGTGTTACATAAATACAATAATCAAAAATATTTTTATTTAATTCAGTTTAAGCACCAGGCGTGAAAAAGATCGAGCGGAAGAGAGCGAGTGGATAATTTATGACGTCACAAGCTCTTTAAAAAAAAAAAAGCTATTTAGGGGATGCTCTAGAAATCTCCTCATTCCGGTTTCTTTTTTTCTTCCCGCCTTTTTCTGCTCTTCTTGCTTGCTCGTGTAATTCTGCGATTATACTGACTCGGAGCAGTGATTAGGGAACGACCACGATGTTTGCTGATTCTGCGTGCCACTCTCGCCCCGTTTCTCGAGAAGTGGAACCTCCTTCCGGCGTTTTCTTCGATTGCAGGTGCTCGGATCGCCTCTGAATGGTGTTAGGGTTCTTCCCTCATTCGCGCCGGACGTGTGAGGCGAGGGTCTCTTCCCCCGGCTCCTCGTCTCTCTCGAAGGATGGCGCCTCTCGATCGGTGTCCGCCTTCGCGTGGTCTCTCTTAGCCGAATCCCCTCGCTGCAGGGTTCGCCTGCAACATATGTTGTCAGAGCTCCTCTTGGGCCAAATGCACACGCCGATGGAGACGATCTCTCCTCAGGTAAGTTCGTCCGATCATCAGACGAATGATCTTCTCTCCTGATTGATTGAACCTGTCCTGGTAGTGTCTGATCTTAGTTCGTCAATCATATCCTCGATTTTGCACTCCTTGTATTGGCTGCCACGTCTTTCACTCTCTGGCGGCAAATCTCAGTCTCCTCCGCGTGATCAAATCCTCTCTTCGATCCTAGCTTCCATTGCTGATCTCCACTCTGATTTCTCGGACCAGCATGGTGATACTTACTACGTTCACTTGTGGCGCTATCCAGACTGTCGGTGAGGAAATCGAGCACAGAAACTAGCAATTTCGTCTCTTCTCCTCCCAGACCGAGGACTATCGGCATCACCGATCCCGACTAGGCGGAACCAAAATCAGTGCAAGTTGCAGAGACCAATCAGTCATCCTGCTCGTACATTTCAGCGCAGAGCCATCGGATTTGGAGGTACAAGATTATGATTTCCGTGCATTTCAGTTTACCTCACTATAATCCTCAGTTCCACATCTAACGTCTTCGATATATGATCATCACTGATCCTGACCAGACGAAACCAAAATTGACGCAAGTTTCAAAGACTGATCAGTCATCCTACTCGAACATTTCAGCGCAGAGCCGTCGGATTTGAACGTACAAGATCCAGATTTCCTCGCATTTCAATCTACCTTTCTATAAATCTCATCTCCTTGTCTAATTTCTTCGATATATGATCATTACCAATCCTGACTAGACGAAACCAAAATCAGTGCAACTTGCAGAGACCGATCCTGCTAGGACAGTTCATCGCAGAGCCGTCGGATTTGGAGGTGCACGATCAAGATTTCCTCGCATTTCAGTTTACCTTTCTATAATTCTCAGCTCCTCATCTAATTTCTCCGATATTCGATCTACAACCACGTCGCCTTCGTACTGTCTTCGGAAACTGTACTTCCAGTACACTAGGGGAGAGGAGGAGGATAGGATCATCTGGGGCCGTGAGTACTGACTGATTTGTCTGGACCGGTGGGCGTGGACCGCTCGCGCCGGTGGTAGTACAACCGGCCGAGTCGTACGAGCCCGCCATGTACTGGCGGTGCCTTGTACTACCCCGAGCCCCAGCCCGAGCCATATAAGAAGAACAGCAGGCCGAAGATCGGATGTCTTTAGTTTCCCGGCTTTCGCGCTCCTCTACGGTGTGTTGCGCCGCCGGAGCAGCTTACCGGCGCTCTGCGGGTCACCATTTAAGCCAGTTCTCTCCTGGCCCTCATGGGGCCACGTCGGAGGATATCGTCGGCACCGGAGCCAATGGGAAGGGAGGTGCTGCGGATTGCCCACCGGTGGCTGAGGCCTCCGTTATCCGATCCCTCGCGATGGCAGCCACACAATGCGGCCCCTTTCATCTGTATATGAGGAGCCCCCCCAGGCAATCGGCCAATCACCGCTCTATCGCGCCACTGCCAGCACCAACGTCTGTGAAATCGTCTCCTCCGAGTTAGCAGCAGGAGCATGGCGAGCTTGACGGCGGCAGTGGCGGTCACCGTCCCTAGATTCCAGGGTCTGAGATCTTGTTCATCTCCGGCGAAGGTAGCGGCGGCAGTGGCGCCGGCGAGACAGGCGGCGTCGGCGGTGGGCGTAAGGGCGTCGCTGAAGGAGGTAGGCGTGGCGCTGGCGGCGACGGCGGCGAGCGCTCTGCTGGCGAGTGGCGCGCTGGCGTTCGATGTGAAGCTGGGCAACGACACCGGGGGTCTGGAGTTCGTGCCCAAGGACTTCTCGGTTGCGTCGGGGGAGGAGATCGTCTTCATAAACAACGCAGGGTACCCACACAACGTGGTGTTCGACCCAGACGACATCCCCGAGGGGGTCGACGTGTCGTCGATCTCCATGGATGAGGAGGTCCTCCTCAACGGCCCCGGGGAGAAGCACAGCGTTGTCTTGAAAATCCCCGGCAGCTACAGATTCTACTGCTCTCCCCACCTGGGCGCCGGCATGGTCGGCAATGTCGTCGTCAAATAGAAGTGTCCTTCTCTCTCCTCTCTCTCCTCTTCCCTCAGAAGGGAAACTTTCCCTCCTCCGAGAGAGAGCGAGTCCCTTCTGCCGAGTAAGCGATCGCCAAATACATATCTCCGTTTGCCCTCGGTCTTCTCTTCCGATTTCCGCGGAGTGTTTCGTGTTACATCCTGCAGTCGGAGATCTCCAAGATCCAAAGATCCAAGATCCTCTCTTTGGACCGAGCGGCTCGAAGTCTGAGCAACTAGAATTGGGCTTCTGTCTAGGAGAGGGAAGAGAGAGAGCGAGAGAGAGAGAGAGAGAGAGAGAGAGAGAGAGAGAGAGAGAGAGAGGCAGGGGCACCGCACGAATCGTCAACGGTCGAGGCTCCCACAAAGCGGACAATTGTTAATTTTTTTCATTTTCTTTTTATGCGGACGGGTTATGGTCTCCGACGATTCGAGAGTCCTCGCACGTGCGATGTGTGGGTAGGGCCGGTGGGCTCCGTTGGGGAGCGACAACTCAGCTTGACACCCACGTGATCGACTCTGATAGATAATAAAAAGGCCTTAAATTTCTGAAAGGGCTTCGTTTTTTCTTGCCATAAATTCGTACACCTCCATTCAAGTCGTCGTCCGAATTAGTCTCTTTATTTTCTTTTCGTATTTCATCCATAAAAACACCAATTAATGATTTTTAAAGCTCGTTTAATCACACCATCGCGATGGGAAATAAAAATACTATTATAGTAATATTGAGTTCTTTTAGGCAATAAACTGCTGATCAGAGTTTATTATCCTGCCATGTCATTTATATTCAGACTAAAAAAGGTTATTTTTGTCGATAAATATTTTTTCGACTTTAAAAAACATTCTTTTAATATACATCTACGATTCACGGTTTTTTTTTTTAAATCCTTGTTATTATAACCCGGATATTTACTTCCTCTAATTACTGAAAAATATGGATAGGGAGATCATTTTTTTTTATAAAAAAAAAGATGCCTATGAAATCCAGTAAAAAAATTATAGTATCGTGAATTTACAATTCTGCCCACCCCCTCTGAAATCGGGTAGATAAAAAATAAGGAAAAGAAAAAGTTGGTGGAGGAAGAAGAGGAGGAAGGTGGGGGATGGGGGCGCCTTCTTCTCATCTCAGTTGCAGAGGTCTGGGGGGGGGGACAGGTCTCCTCTTCCAGAGATTCACCTCCTTCTTCGGCTCCACGTCGCCGGCATACCAGACACCGGCGAGGAGGACGTCTCCGCCATGGCGATGATGATGGTCTCCTTCTCGGTACCTGCCCACGTCGTCGTCGTCGTCGTCGTCTTCCCAGTCCATCTCCGGCGAGTCATCGGAGAAGTAGTCTGCCGCGAAGCCAGGACAAGACATGGCGTAGTGCCCTCCCCCGAAGGTGGCGATCTCTCCTAGCGGCGGCGGCGGCGCCGGTGCTGGCGAGGGGGGTGATTTCCTTGCGCAGCAGAAGCCCAGCAACTGCGCGGAGATTCTGGCGATCCTCTGCAGCGGCCCCCGCCGCCGCCTCCGCTGCTTCCCAGCCACAGGAGGCCTCGCCGGCGAGCGGCCCTTGATCTGGCCCATGCAGGAGACCTCCGGCGAGGTGGGCTCGGGCGTTTCTGAGCCGTCCCCGGCCGTCGGAACGGCGGAGCCCAGAGCCCCGGAGAAGCCCTTTTGGTCGGGGAACCTCTTGCGGCGGGGGCTGGAGGTGGGCTTGGCGGCGGCTATGGCGGCCGCCTTCGGCACAAGCCGGAGGACCCTGTAGCCCTCCGCCGTCGGCGGTCGCTTGTCCATGATCAGAGCACCGGCGGACAGAAGAAGAAGAAGACGAAGCAGATGCAGGAGAAACTGGAGGAGGAGGAGGAGGAGGAGGAGGAGGAGAGGGGGAGGGGAGGGGAGCAGACCGCCGCCTGATGAACACGATGGGTTGAAGAGGAGGGCGGAGGGACTTATAAGAGCCGGAGAGGAGTCCTTCAGCTGGGCCTCCGACGTGGAAACGTGGGTATCTCGTTTGCAATTCAATCAAGCGGTCAACGGGTAGACCCGGGCAAACCCGTCAACGGAGGGGACCGCCGGCTTTAGCAGCCGAAGATGAGATCTTGCAGGGTCCGTTGAAGAACGAGACAAAGTCTAACGCGCCAAAAAATTCTATTATTTTTCCATTTTTATTACTTACCCGAATAATTTACGAAGAAAATTGATGCAGAAATTTTATAAGATTCAGACGCAGTCTTAGGTCCGGAAAATATCGCATTCTGACTACGACTACAGCCAATCTATAGTGGGTAGATAGGGGACCCATTCAATAATGGGTTGACTTTTTATACGCATGTTTATCACTCCACAGTCGTCCTGAATGAAGAGCTTGGTCGTAAACCCGGCTTGGTCAAACCACTTGCGTTTAGAGAGAGAGAGAGAGAGAGAGAGAAGATAAGGTCCCCGAAAGACGGCTACTAAAGGAAACAGAAACCTCGACGGAAATGAATATCACACAGCCCGGAGGGCGGCGGCAGCACATTCTTACAAGTGCTTTCCATATATGGTACAATAAAAAGATGAGCCACGGGCCGGGGGGGTGGGGAGCGCGGACCTATGACCGACGTCAACGTCAGGACCTCTCGAAGGCTACTCAATAACCCTTGGATGCTTGGAAATGACGGATGGGAGGTGGGAGTCGAGTTCTCTCTCGTACAGTATGTGGATTATGCAGCCAGAGAGATGTTTCGGCAGAGATCGGCCTTCTCTCTCTCTCGTTGTCCCCTCCTCCACTCTCACCGTCGCACGCTTCCCTCATCCTTGTTGCTGGCTTGTGGGCTGAACTGGCTGGTGGAAGACGGCGAGTATCCCGGGGCTGTCGGCGAGTACCCCCCACTCGGGCTGAGCATGAGCATTGTAAACGAGTCCAATTTTAGAGAGAGAGAGAGAGAGAGAGAGAGAGAGAGAGAGTGAACATGAACATTATGAATGCGGCCAATTTCAGAGAGAGAGAGAGAGAGAGAGAGAGAGGTACCTATACTGCAGAGAACTGGGACTGTAGTCTGGGCTGGCGCCGGAGTTGTACGGGCTGCAAAATCAAAAAGCACAGTTTGTTTTACAAGGGAAATCAGCCCATCTCGCGTCGTAGAAATAACCACAAAATACCCACTGAATCTGACAAAATACTCCTCAAGAAGCTCGCAAGGTGAGCCATCGGAAAATTTATTAACGAAGAACATAAAGGAAAAAACACAAGCAAGCAAGCAAGCAAGGAACACAAGAATCTTGCGTCCTGTGTGTTTGCCGCAGACAATGGAGCAAGCAGTTACCCCCTCCGCAATCCGATCTCAATCTGATGTCCACAGATTCATAATTTTCTAAAGACGACTGATGCGATTATACATGACAAGTATATAGCAGGTGTCTGTGATTGGGGTGGGCGGGGGGTTGACTTTTACCTTGTGGGACTGTATGTCGGACTCGGAGGAGAATATGATGGAGACGTTGGGGAATGTGACGGCGAAGTTGGGCTGTCATAGAATCATAAGAAGCACATTTAATCAAACCCATTCTCCGCCGGTATTTATTTCATTAACCAGCAAAACTTGCTACACAATAATCAAAATATCATGCAGTCTCCCACTTTACCTGTAGTTTGGCGACGTAGGACTGTAAGGACTTGACGGCGATAGTCTCGGACTGCTCGGTGAGTAGGCCAGTGAGGGGCTATATTTTGCCGAAGAAGGATTGTAGCTTGGAGATGTGGGGCTGTAGCTGGGGGAGGTGGGGCTGTAGCTCGGTGAGGTTGGGCTGTAACCTGGCGAGGTGGGACTATAAGCAGGTGATGTCGGGCTATACGACGGAGACGTCGGGCTGTATGAAGGTGAAGTTGGGCTGTAAGACGGCGACGTCGGGCTGTATGAAGGCGAAGTGGGGCTGTATGACGGTGAAGTGGGGCTGTAAGCAGGAGAGGTGGGGCTGTAGACCGGAGAGGTTGGGCTGTAGACTGGGGAAGTGGGGCTGTAGCTGGGAGAAGTGGGGCTGTAGCTGGGTGAAGTGGGGCTGTAGCTGGGAGACGTGGGGCTGTAGCTGGGAGAAGTGGGGGAGTAGCTGGGTGAAGTGGGGGAGTATGAGGGGCTGGTGGGTGAATAGGCAGGGCTCGTAGGGCTGTACCCAGGAGAGCTTGGGCTGTATGTAGGAGAAGTTGGGCTGTACCCAGGCGAAGTGGGGCTATAACCAGGTGAAGTGGGGCTGTAGCCAGGTGAAGTGGGGCTGTAGCCAGGTGATGATGGGCTGTAGCCTGGGGATGAAGGGCTGTAGCCTGGTGATGAGCTAGGAGAGAAGGCCATTCCACTGACATAAGGTGAGAACTGGGCATCTGAAATGGGTGAAGCCCGGATGTTTGGACTGAGCAGATAGCTCGGCGACATCATCCCCTCGTGATATGGAGTCCCCATGATCGGCGAACGGGACGGCGTCATGCCATAGTCCAAGCCCTCCATGTAGCTTGGAAGCTGTAGTTCGATCGCCTGCTGTAACATCTGGTCGTTCAAGTACAAGGAACAGCCCCCTGTGCCAATCGGAGCAAGCTGGCCTAGCATGATGTTCTCAGTGACGCCTCTCAGGTTGTCTGTCTCCGCATAGACGGCAGCATCCAGGAGGATATCTACAGTTTCCTCGAAAGAACACCTCATCAGTGGGCCAGTGTCATTGCGATTGATGCCATGCCTGGTAATGGCCATCAGATGTCCCCTGTAGGTCATTGTGTCACAGAGAATAGCCAGGTGGCGGTAGTTCACATAAGATCCATCAAAGGATATGACGGCGCGCATCTCATCAAGAAGAGAACGCCTGACAGCCTCTATTCCAAGAACCTCTATGACTTCGATCAAGTGATTGCTTGTGGTCCTCGTGGCATCAACATCTTCGTGGCACATAACTGCCAAGAGATTAACACCCTCTGTGTCAAGAGCCCATTCATTAACAGTCTTAAATCCTTCATTTTCTTCAAACTTGTTTACTTTGACAGGCTTGATGAACACTTTATTGATGTCAGGAATGCCTCGAAGAGCCATCTCTGTCAACATATTGCTTTCGATTTTCTTGAGGAAGACATCATCTTCGGCAGACTCATCTTGGAGCTCCCCCTTGGGGGCATCATCGTTCATGATCCGGATTCGAAGAATCAATTTATCCGCATTATCATCATTAAATATGCAAGTCAGGTCGTCGTCGAATTCCAGGTTGATCTTCTCTGCGATGTCTGCCATGCTCAATTTCTTATCGACCATCATTTCTCGATTCAATTCAATCCTGAGTAGCCAAGGAGATATCTTCTCCGGGGCAACCTCTTCATCAGGCATTTCATAGTATGATCTGACAAATTCCACATCCTCCTCAATAATGGTACTCATTGGGTCGGGATCATACCACACCTCGGTGGCCTGAGTTACACTCCGAAGAGTGGTGTACTCCAAAGCACATTGCACATTTTTAGCCTGCTCCTTGGTCTGACTGACATCGGGTTTCAGGTAGACAGACAGTGAAGGCGTTTTGATTTTCTTAGCGACATTAATGATCTCCCTCAGCCTGGGAACACCGAGAGTAACATTCTTTGCACTGACACCAGCATAGTGGAAGGTATTCAAGGTCATCTGGGTCGCAGGCTCACCAATGGACTGGGCAGCCACACAGCCAATCATTTCACCTGGTGCAACTAATGACTGTAGAAAACGGGACTCTATCTCTCCAATAACCCATTCAAAAGCTTCACGGGTGAGTCTGTACTCCTTCAATACACGTTTGCTGGCAAATGTGCTGCGAAGCAAGATGTTGAAGAACAATGTTGCATTTTTCTGAGCCTCTATGCTCATCATATCGTCACCGGGAACTACTTTTAACCTCTCTTGAAGTTTGTCGACTGCCTCCACGATTTCCATGGGGTGCATATCAGATGGCCTCCTAAGATCGACTTTAAATGTCTTCTGTGCATTCCAGATGAGCCTCTTGAGATTCACAGGAAGAGGCCAAGAAACATCACCAGTCGTAGCAATTTCTGTGGCAAGTTGGTAACGATCGGCCTCTAATTTCTGAACTTCAGCATCAAATACGTTCCTGAATTCTCGAATCGTCTTCAAATCCTCAACATGCTCAGGTAACATGTAACCCGGATTCCAATTTTCATCATCAATCTCATATCTGAATAGAGTGTCAAAATCATTTTTATTCATCTTCAAAGTGTCCAACTTTTGTCCCTCAATCCAAACGGAATCCATGCCATCTTCTCCATAAAGGAACTGAATGACATCTCCCAAAGAGTTCCTAACAGTACCATCATACTTGACCATGATGTCCTCCATTGCCTTCACAAGACGCCTCTGAATGTAACCAGTTTCTGAGGTTTTAACAGCTGTATCAATCAAACCTTCCCGGCCTCCCATAGCATGGAAGAAAAATTCCTGTGGAGTTAGCCCTCGTAGATATGAGTTCTCCACAAATCCACGACTCTCAGGTCCGTAGTCGTCCTTTGTGAAATGGGGCAGCGTCCGACCAATGAATCCAAAAGGAATCCGTTTTCCTTCAACATTCTGTTGCCCCACACAAGCAGTCATTTGTGAAATGTTGATGAAACTCCCTTTTGATCCAGCTGTGACCATAGCTTTCAGATTATTACTTTCAGATAAGCTCTTCTGAGCACTGCTTCCAGCTTCGTCACGTGCCTTATTCAAGACCTGACAAAACGAAGAACAGTTAGGAATCACAGAAAGGCGATATCTGACAGATGACATAACAAAAGATGTCGAACAACATAGTGCACCTGGTTCACTTTGTTCTCAAATGACTCCATCATGGTTCTCCCAGGTTCAGCTTCTAGCTGCTTTTCTTGAGATTGTTTAATGAGGTCCTTCACAGCATTCTTTGCCCTAGATATTGTTTCGTTTATCTTCTCCATGGTTGCTGCATCAGCAATCGTATCCCCAATGCCGATGCTGAAGCCATTTTGCAGAAGCCAATAGTTAACAAGCCACTGAGTGTGGCCCAAAAATTTGCGGGCTGCATCAGGACCAACCTCTTCCCTGCACAAAAAGTATGCAAATTCAATAAAATGGAGAGGTAGTATATTGGGTGTGAAACTCGTGTGAAACTATTCAATACCAGATAACATGAATGAGGCTGCCTCCAGATGTTCCGAGGGTTTTCTTGCACAAAGTGCCAGCAAGAAGCTCGCCCTTCTCTATTCGCACTTGTGTATCCCCAGGTGTGATAAATCCTTTTTCTTTTTCATCATGCCAGGCGGCATATCTGATAAGATTAATTTGCTTGGGAATAATAAGATTAAAAACCTGTTTCCCTGTCCACAAAGGCCTAGGCTTCAAAATAGCTGGTGCCGGTATCTTCCCATCAAAGTCTTCCCACCACATCAAGATGTTCATAAAGACATCCTGCAATAAGGTCAAATCGCATAAACCTTGGGACGACATTTCTGACGAAAAAGACAATAACGAGGAAAAAATGACGTTGTACAAAATTGAAGAAAGACAAACTCCATTCACCTTTTCTATGAAGGTATCTCTCTTGGTGATCTTCCGGCAACCTAACAGTGTATCCTGAACAATGCCCATAACTGGTCGATTGGATTGAGGTGAAACAATGCACTTGGGTACCATCATCAGCTCCAATACTTCTGCTCTGGTTTCAAAAGACTGAGGAACGTGCATGTTCATCTCATCTCCATCAAAATCTGCATTATATGGTGATGTAACAGACAAATTCAAGCGGAAGGTCGAGTATGGCATGATCCTGATTCTGTGTCCCATGATAGACATTTTATGAAGGCTAGGTTGACGATTGAAAAGAACAAAATCTCCATCATTTAGATGCCTCTCCACCTGCCAACAAGATGGTACTACTTCAGATAACAGAAATCCTCACAAATTAAACACCGAATAAAATCTTCAACAATGCTTACCTTGTATCCAAGCTCCAGATGATGATCACTACTTTTTTTAAGATACCGGAGATCAAGCCTCTGGCCATCTTCCCTGATGATATACTTTGCCCCGGTTTTACCAGGGGGAGGGTGAGGACCATATTCCACAAGCTCCTTCAACCTAGCCAGCAAAAGCATTTACCCTTAAATATGAAAATTTGTAGAGAACAAAGTTCAAAGGTTTAAACTCTGAAATTAGCACCTCTCAATGTTGTAAGGAGTCACAGTTTCTGGGATTGTTAAGTTAAGAGCAATACTCCACGGAACTCCCAGTTCATCAATATTAATTGTTGGGTCGGGTGTAATAACTGTACGCGCTGAGAAATCCACACGTTTTCCCATTAAGTTACCCCGGATTCGGCCTTCCTTTGCCTTAAGTCTGCTGCATATGGACTTGATCGGACGACCTGACCGCTGCGTAGCCTGCATACCAAAAGAGAAGGATGCATCAGAGTTGCCATCTAAAGTTTCATTTTAGTTGTGAGTTCTATTGTCATACTCTTGGCTGTCCAGGCAACTCGTTGTCAAAATATGTGGCAATATGAAACTGCAATAACTGTGCAAATTCCGAAATTATATGAGCAGGTGCTCCATTCCTCTCCTGTCTCCTGAGATTTTCATTGTGCCGAATAATCATCGCAAGCTGATGGGTCAAATCATCCTGATCAATGATGTCATAAGATCAAGTCAGAAAGAAATATTGTTCCTATCATTTACAATCAACTCAAATGCTGTATTTTGTTAAATACGTAGAGAGAAAAAATAGTTAAAAACTCAGACTTCAATTCGTTGAATAAATGATGGGAAAAAACAAAAAGATGAGGATAATAACAAGCCAAAAAGAAAAAAAAACTAAAGGGCGCGTAGGGAATCGTTTGACGAAGCTTTCAACTCGTACATAAAAATAGTTTCATCTAAAGAGATAAATGCATGATTTTTTCCAGCTCGTAAACACCCACCTCACTTCTTGAGGATGTATCCATCATAACAGAAGGTCTCACTGGAGGAGGAGGAATTGGAAGGACTTGCAATATCATCCAATCCGGTCGGGCATATTTAGGATTTAATCCCAATAGCAGACAGTCTTCGTCACTAATCCTCTTCAACACACTCAGAACCTGGTATAAACGTACAGACAATGGAAACGAAAAACAGTAAAATTTCAAATTGAATAAGCTCAGCAACTGCACAACTAGACACAGCATAAGCCATCAATACTGAAAAGGGAGCAACATAGAATGCTCGTCCAAAACTTACCCTTTCAGCGGAAAGCACTTGTTTTCTTTCGACAGGTTCAGGAAGTTGCTCTTGATCTTCATTTTTCTTCTTTGGAGCTTTGTACTCAGCAACCATTTTCATACCATCAATGGTTATATTCGGCTGTTGGGCACCACAGCCTCCTCTTGCCTTTTTTAATGGTTCCTCCGAATCTTGCTGGTTCTGCACATCAATCTCATCGCCACCAGCACATTTCCTCTTGCTCTTACAAGCATCATAAATCCTTTTTAGCCTATTTTTTGGATTTCTAATTTTCAAAGCTTGTTTAAACCTAGAATCTTCCTGTAGAAGTTGACAAGTGACAGAATTAGGAGACTAGACACATTTGGAAAATGCAACACATATAGGACTAGATCTGAGCAGATGAGGCAGAAGTAGAAACCAAGCAAGTTGGGAGATCATGGATCATGAGCACTTGTTTGGCGTACTGAGAGACATGACCTCAGGGGTACACATCCTTAATTTACATACAATTAAAGAAACACATCGACCTGAATTGATGCAAGTTAAGGATACCAAAAACTGGAAGTTAGGCAGAAACTTTGGTTTTATGAGTTAGCAACATAGCACAAACACACAAATAAACGACATCAAAGCTCAAGCAATACTCCCGTAGAATCAAAGAAAATAAATGGCAACAGAAAAACCATCAAATTTGATTTCTGGGAACAACAACGCGTCTCACCAGAGAAGATGCCAGAAATATTTAAAAAGAAAAAACCTATCTAATTAAAAGTGATATCTTGTGGACAGAAAACATAAGCAGAATTGTCGGCTTATCATTTCCATCACAAGAAAAATACTCGTGAACCTACATAAACGTACCGAGGTTGTTCAATCTATGGTAAATCGATAGGACTAGTCGAATGTCTAGTCCTAACGATATTACTTAGGCTCCAACTTATAAAAAAAAAAATTGAATCAGGTGATGAACCCCACCAGAGACATCAGAAGCTCACCAGAAGGATACGAAATCCTGCTTGTTCCAAAACCCTTCAAATACAGGAGTGCATAGTAGACACGAGGAATATATATCGTTATTTAGGACTTTGAATCCTCTGCCTTTGGCAACTGGTCACCTAAATCCAGCTGGGTTCTACCAAGAAGGCTTAAGAGAAAATTCAAAACGTAACTAGATGATGTGTGAGCTCCTTCAGGTTAAGACAACCATTAAACTGTTTCACGCGTGCTAGTCCGGGAAATCGGCCAAAAACACTGATGCACTCGGTGTACCAAACACACTCGAAGCATCCAAGAGGAAATACCTCGTCAGCTAGTATCTTGGAGCAGTTAAAGCAGACACAGCGCATGATGGCCAGGACAGTCTTCATGAATCCAATGTGAAACATAGGTTTGGCCAGCTCAAGGTGCCCAAAGTGACCTGGACACTCTGCCATGTTGGCCATACACGTCTCGCACTTCATCTTCCGGTCTATGGTTCCGAGTCGCGGATCACTGAGCCCCCCGACCTTCGGTTTCCCCCTCTCCGTGGTCTCGCTGTGCTCGATCTGCGCCACGGACATTTGCCTCTGCCACCCAGTGAATGAGACCCAAACCTCATGTCAGACGACCCGGACAAGACAAAGAAGAACAACCGAGACCGGCGAAGGACGGAAGGTAGGAATATTACTATCTCGTCCGGGCTGAGGATGCCGAACTGGACCGTCCGCACCTTGGCGACCTCCGCCGGCGAGTATGGAAATCTCATGTCCATGGTTGGCAATTCTGATTACAACCGCTAGGGTTTCAGAATATCAGATACGCTTCAATCCAGAGAAAACCAGCTCACTCTAGACGCCCTCAAGATTCCACCAGCTCCTCTCCTCGTACTCCCCTCCTGATAGGAGGGAGATATGGCGATGAGAGGAGAGAGAGCAGATGCACTGAGATCAAATCCCCTTCGAGGGGAGAAGACCAGAGGCGTCTGGGGACGAAACCGAAGTTCTGCCCGCCTCGATCTCTATTTAAAGACGGAGCCGCCGCCGCCCCTTTTCTGGCCCCCTCTTTTCAGCCGTTCGATTCTCGGGCCCCACTTCCCCCTATTCAAATATCCACCGTCCGCTTTCCGTTACTTAAAAGCAAACTTTCCATCTGGACCGTCGATGAGGACATCACATCACACGCACTATCCACGGCTCTTCGAGGCCCGGGAAAACCTCACGCGGAGACTTTTCTGCCCTTAGGCGGGTAATTTGGATTATACGCGTTTAATTGGGAGAAAAGCTGCCTTTTCCACGTGTCAACGGATTAAGTCACCGGTACTTAAAGCCCGCCTTCCACGGGAGAGATCTTTTTATGAGTTGACTTCGGTTAGTCAACGTGGTACACTTTAGAATACCAAATAAGAGGTCGAACCCATATTTCTCCATAATTAATAATCGATATAATTTAATTTTATATTTATAACAATGTGCAAAGGTCATGATTACCACGGTCAACGCATTGCTTCCCATAGTTGACTCTGAATATTTGTCTCTAGGTTTGCGTGTCCTCTTAAGATGGACTTTATTATCATAAAAAATCATATGTTGACATTTGCACTCGCCACACTCATATGAGTCATAGATGGAGGCAGACTTTAAAGTGATATACTGGAGAGTCTCAATGTTCCCTATCCAATCACTGTTCGACTCCCATACGGCAGTGGGGCCCATTCGATGAGCCCAATCTTCTAAGCCCTCTCAAGACAAAAAGTCAAACCTAGGCCATTCAAGAACACGATGGGATCAAGATCGGGGCTCATAAGACTTGTAAGAATTGACTAAATTATCGTCATTATTTGACTTGTAATCTCTGAAGAATTGACTAAATTATCGTCATTATTTGACTTTTAATATCGTAAGAGTCGACTAAATTATCGTCATTATTTGACTTGTAATCTCGTAAGAGTTGACTAAATTATCGTCATTATTTGACTTGTAATATCGTAAGAGTTGACTTATCGAGTACTTGTGAAATCGTGATGGAGGGCGAGACCGCTCTAATTAAAGAAAAAGTATACCCCTTTATCTTCTATATCAGTGGATGATCTTGTTGATTTACAAAGGAATAACAGCTGGGAAAATGATTGCAAACTCCCAGAAAAAGGAACGACTTACCAGTAATCGCCGCAAGAACAGGATCCCTCCTTGAAGTGATGATAGATCCTCGAATCCCCCACGGTTATGTGCCGCCGGCAGACTTCGGAGATCTGCTTTATAGCCAGGTGGCAGTCGTCACATATCCTCACGTTCTTCTTCACCAGTACGGGGGTTCCAGGTGACGAGGATATGAGGCCGAAGCAGACTGCCAGTCTCACGCTGTGCTGACAGGGCGAGTTCTTCTTCTGCGCCAGTGCTTCCTGCACGTTGAACGCAGCGGAAGGGACCTCCCCAGCTTCTCCAATCTTCTTGGAGAGGAGATCCGACACTTCATGGGTCAAGCTTGCCTCAGCATGAGATTTGTCGCCATTAATGAAGCAGTAAGCTTTGTTATCGAGCTCGACCACGCTCCTGGCTGTTGTCCTCAGTAGCCCATGATTCTGCATCGAAGATCTCACCTTCTCTGCATCATCCCATCTACCGAGATCAGTGTACAGATTGTGAAGGATTATGTAGCAGCCTGTATTGTCGTGTTTCAAGGGGAAGATCTTCTCAGCAGCGGCTTCTGCAACATCGATTCTCTTGCTCTTTCTGGATGCTGCCAGCAAAGATCCCCATATCCTGGCCGTGGGGACCAACGGAATCCTCTCTACGAAGCTCAGGGCGAAATCCAGATCTCCAGTTCTTCCGATGAGGTCAACCATGCATCCATAATGCTCGATCTGAGGAGAAAGACCGTACTTTTGTTGCATCAGATTGAAGTACATCCAGCCTTCGTCAGCCAACCCAGAGATGCTACAAGCTGATAATATGGAAACAAAGGTACTTCCATTAGGCTGCGGCCCATCTCTCTGCATTCTGGAAAATAGTTCTGTTGCAGAACTCCCCTCCCCGTGGATTGCACACGCCATGATCATCGCATTCCATGAAACAGTATCTCTGCACAGCATGCCTTCGAAGATCCTTCTCGAGGTTCGAAGATCACCGCATTTGGCATACAAATAGATGATGGAATTCAAGATGAAAGTGTTCGAACTGTACCCAGATTTTACAGCATAGGCATGGATTTGCATCGCTTGCTGTAGCAATCCGAGCGAAGAGAATGCAGAGACGATGCTTGAGATTGTGTAGATATCTGGTTGTAGTGACTTTTCTTGAAGATCCAGGAAAAGTTCCACGGCTTCCAGGTTCTGATCATTGTGTATATGGGCATTGATCATGGTGTTCCATGAAACCAAGTTCCTCTCAGTCATCTGGCTGAACACCCTCTCTGCAGACGTCAGATCTCCACACTTTGCATACATGTCCACCAAGGAGGTCTCGAGAACTAAATGAGGTAGAAAGCCTCTTCTAAGAGCAGCTCCATGAATACTTTTACCCTGCGATAAATTACTCAACTGAGAGCAAGAAGGTAGCAGACTCACCATTGTGACTGCATCCGGTTTGACATCGTCATACTGCATACGGATGATGCATCCAAGTGACTCGCTAGGGTGATTATTGGATGTATAGCCATAGATCAGAGCGTTCCAGGTTACCACACTTCTTGAAAACCTACACTGAAACAACCTCTCTGCAGAGATCATGTTCCCAGACTTACAGTACATATCGATCAATGAAGTGCAGACCCTGCTGTCTGATCCATAACCATGTCGAAGTGCATAGCAGTGGATTTCCTTACCTTGTTTCGGGTAGGTCTCCGTTGAACAGGCTTTAAGCGCAGTAATAATCCCAATACGGTCGGGTTCCAGAGAAGAAGTATTGCGCATGCTCCGCAAGCACGATAGGGCTTTCCCTCTTTTGCCACTGGAAACGTAGGTTCTAACCATGGAGTTCCAGGAAACCAGATCCCTAAGGGGCATTTCATTGAACACCCTTTCGGCAGAATCTATCTCCCCGAATTCCGAGTACATCACTATGAGAGAATTGGAGATGAAGACATCCGAATGCAATCCAACCTTGACCAACGCTCCGTGGCACTTCAATCCCTCCTCGGTCAGCAGCGAGGCGGAGCACGATTTGATCACAAACGTGTACGTGAATCTGTCCGCGCGGACCCCCAGGACCTGCATCTTCCAGTAGAATCCGATCGCGTCTTCGTACCGCCCACACCCGGCGTATCCTCGGATCATGGCGTTCCACAAGAAGGAGCCAGGGTTCCTGACGCTTTCAAACAGACGGAGAGCTTCCTCCATGGAACCCGACTCTGCGGCAGAACAGATGGCGGAGAACTCCGACGGCTCGGAGACGACTCTCGAGACAATGGCGGGCCCCGGTATGGCTCGGTCTGCTCTCCCCGTGACGATTCCTCGACTCTGGAGCTTCAACTGGGAGACCTGAGGGCTTTGCGGCCATTGCGGCCATTGCGGCCATTGCGTCCGCCATTTGTTTGACGGCGAGCTCTGTAGGAGGCCGCAGGCGTGATATCGATGTGTTGTCCCCGCCATATGCGGCTCTCAGAACGTAGCCGCCGGATTAGGAGGCAATTTATACCGGTCAGAACAGAGAGGAGAGTGACTCCCGCTTTTTGGCGGGAGTGGGAGAGACCATCTCTCTCTCTCTCTCTCTCTTCCTCTCTACTTAAACTGAATATTTATGTTAGCCTGTGTATCACGCATGGAGGTAACCAGTTTCGCCGGTTCTTGGACTCGGACCGTACCAGATTTTCTCTCTTTCTCTCTCCTTACATCGTCTTCCTCGTATCTACTGTTTCTTCATCATCTTCTTCTTCCGAAGCTCTCTGAGAGTGGAACCTGAGGCAGAAACCGTCGTTCGCTTGCCTTACCCTTCTTGTTTTTCTTGACGTCGCAGGAAGAGGAGGCTTCCCCTCCTTCGTCGTTGTCACTCCCGAGTTCAGGAATTGCGGTTGTGGGGGGAGGAAGATCTGATTTCCCTGCCTGGCGGAGGCCAGTGCGGTGGTCCGCGGTGCCTCGAAGAAATGGCGAGGCCTTCAGTGCGGAGTTCCCGGGTGTTTTCCGGTAGGAGATCGGCGTCACCAGTTCCGCTGGTTCTAGGGTTGCTGCTGATGATGTCGATTGTTCTTCTCGTGCTGCTTGCTCTCGGCATCCTCTCGCTTCCTGTCTCCGCCGACTCTTCCAAGTTGAAACCAGTCGTGGTGCGGGGCCTGAAGGATGCATCTGACGAGACTAAGATGGGCGCAACGGAAAGGTACCTAAGCTATCCGCTTTGTAGAGATCGGATCTGAGGTGAATTACCTGCCAGAGGTGGCGTTGGCCGACGGATGCTGAATTGCCTTTGCATTTCCTTTGCAGTGATGAGCTTTGGGATAGAGAGGAGCAGTGGTCAGAAATCCTCTCCTGGGAGCCAAGAGCGTCTCTCTATCATAATTTCCTGGTATGGCATTTTCCCACCTCTACCGTACGCATGTTCCTCTTTTTTATTTCTATTGCTTGGTTTATGATGTAGATTAGAGGTGGCAGCTGTTCTAATTAATATCTTCCCCCCCTCCCCCGGATACTTTATTGAGAAAGTCCTTTTTAGATGAAGTTCAGTAGAGCACATCATGTAAAAAAAGCTCTATACTAAATATACTTTAACAAGCAGTTTCATTTGTTTGAGGAACAATATTGTTCAGAGTCGTTTTTTTTCTTATTTTCATTAATGGTAAAGTTTGGTCTTCAGTTTGGTTGGTAGCCGTAGGGGGTGGGGGGGGTGGTGTTCAGGTTCCGGGGATACTTTAATTTTCTTAGAGATGGACAGTGAAAAGTTTCAGTCTTTGATTACTTGACAATATTTCGAAAATCTGTCGTGGCTGTGATAATCTAAGCTCGGAGATAATACGACTTTTATGTCTTCAATTGCTTGGATCTTTTTAGGCATCAATCTCTCCTACTCATTGGTGCGTCCTATATCTTCTGACCGAATCTTCGAATGATCTCTGTTTAGAAGGATGAAAGCGAATGTTGATACTGGGATCTTTAGTTTTCTCTGCATGAAATTTCTTCGCATCCCTTACAATATTATGCTCATAAAATATCCCCCTCTTCCTCGTGACAACGTAATTTTGAAAGTTTTTCCTGGCTTCTCAGCCGTCTTTATGTTTTATGTTTGTCTTCAGAAGTTTGTCTATGGGGAAATCGGCAACCGTGATAGGACTAAATGCTGTCTCTTAGATTCCGTAATTATAGCCCTCAGAATTAAGCACTTATCCCTTAGAGAGTGGGAGAGGCGGAGGCCTCCAATATTCGTATCACAGATACTGGAAAAAGATAAATGGGACAAGATATCTTTGTAATCTGCAGATGTAAAAACTCCATTTGGTTCAAAATCTTACTTGACAGTGTGTTCCTAGTCACATGGTAATGTAGCCTGATGATATTACATGTTTCTGTGACTGTATAGAACAAAAAGCTATGGATATTGCAGTGCTGCATCCTTTTCATTGACGAATGAATTCGTTTCAAGATTGAGTCATAATGGACAAGAGGTTTATCTGGAGCTTGCATTGCTAAAGTGAGTTCTGTGAGTTGCCATCTTCTATCAATATTGTAGTCAGGGAAACACTACGAATGTTTTTGGAGAGTAAATATTTTTTTACTTTCAAGGATTAGAACCTTATTAAGGCTGTTGGGACAGATTAACGAGAAAATAGTGCGTCTTTGTGGTGGAGGCTCGTTGAGATCCTTGGTTTTTATTCAATAATTTCTTCAGCAATTATTGGAGATAATATGGCACAGCTTAGCATGATTTTGTGCTTTCGAGATTTCCAGAGGTAGCTTTAGCATTTCTCTATTCTGGTCTGTATGTCAGGGGTAAATGCTCTCATATAATATTCTTACTCTGAACATTTTTTGCCCTTAATGGCACAAGTTGTGTAATTTGCCTGGGAACTAAAATTTTTTTTAGTAAACGGCTGAGAACTGCTTAATTTTAGTCAGAACATATCTGTTTTCTAATTCCTTGTACAGTCCAAGGCGGAGTGCGAACATTTGATTCAGCAAGCAAAGCCTCGCATGCATAAGTCAACAGTTGTTGATAGTAAAACTGGGAAAAGCATGGACAGCAGGTATTTGTCATTCACAAGTTCAACTATGGAACTTCTGTTGATCTGTTGTTAGGAATGACTCGTGTATATGTGTCGATGTTTTCCTATCTAAGATAGTCTCACTATTCTTTTCCCTTTATCAGAGTTCGCACAAGCTCAGGAACATTCCTGAAAAGAGGTCGAGACAAAATCGTTCAAGCCATTGAGAAAAGAATTTCGGATTTCACATTCATCCCTGTAGGTTAGTTAAGGCATACATTAAAATTTGGGGGTTTTAGTTCAGTATGTCATTCAGTTTTTGAGTTTTGATACCAGGTTTCGAAAATAAATTACAAGTTCGCTTTTTTCTTTTTACTTAACCCAAGCTTCTGTAGTACTGTCATTCAAAAATAAAAAGTTGTAGTAAATCTGAAAATTGATATGTACTGATGACGGGAAAATTGTACCTATAGTTCCTTTTAAATGATGTAAGTTTCTTGTTAATTCCATTCGTATGCGTAGGTTAATAAATTTGCAACATGAAATTTGATTCTCAAAGATTTGAAGATTAAGGGGAATAGTCTTTGTTTTACCGTTTTATCTAGGAGAACGTATTTCCCTGGCCCCCAAGGTGAGTGGTTGTTAGCGAGAGAGGTGACCATCCCTGGAGAGGTAACGTAGCCGAAAAAAATATCCCTTGGAGAAATTAGTTCTAGTGCCCTTTTGACCATTACCCCATTTCTTGGATTGTACATGGAGAGGAGTAACACACTGCAACTTTTTGGTTGGGCCTACACCTTTGCAACTAGTGAAGTTTTTATGTTTGTTCGCAGTAGGCCCAAGGGACAGGAGAGAGAAACACATCCTAAAGGAGGGGAAGCCTGCAGTGTATCATGAAGCTGAGAACCTTGTGACCTTGGGGGGCATATGGATGGCTGAATTACTGTTATTCGAGCAGAAGGAGAAGGGATAGTGATTTGGAGGTGTTCAGAGTGTAGATACAAGTGGTAGACACAGGTGGTGTTGGAGAGGCAGTGAAGGATACAGGTCAGTGGAACAGTACTTGTTGGCACGAAGTTCCTTTTAATGATTTTAGCATAATCTAGCAAAAGCTATGGCCAAAAGTGGTAGTTAGCATGGCGCCTCGCGTTTGCCTTTAAAGGAACTTGAACTTATGCAGGGGTTATCAATAACGCCAGATTGAAAAGGGTCTTTCTCATCTGGGTCGGTATCACTTTGACCTGTATGTTTAGAATACCGTATGGATACGCTTCGTTTGGATGTTCACTGAGAAAGGATTTCAAGGCAATATGCCCCATCTTAAAGGTCGCTGAGTGCGGAGGTTGATACGGAGATCTTGTCATTTTTAGCGATACCTCCTAGGGTTATATGGTTGCATTGCGAAAGGTTCATCTTCCTCGTGATAGACAATCATTGAATGGCATTGGAAATTAAGTGATAGCTAGGATGTTTTGGCTTCTGGCATAAAATCATTGCTGGAGAAGTAGTGGAGGAATAGGGAAGGAGCGTTGATGGGTGTTGTCTGCATTCTGGTTGGTCTAGTGGTACCTGAGAATTGTCTGTGGACATATGCATTGAGGGTCAGTCATTTGTCTCATGTTTTGGTAACTGATTGGATGTGAAAGGAGTTCAATAGCCACTGATTGGATGTCTCCATTGCCCAAATCCTAGTCAACTGTATAGGTCAAGAGACCTTGATTTGTAGGGCGATGTGTGCTTGAAGATTTATCTAGATTTCAGCGTGTAATTTTGATGCAATTTTATTTTCTTCACCTCTGGCAACGGATTCATTCGGTTTGATTCTTTGATTCTGCTTAGATTGTGTTATTACTCCATTAAATAACTCTTTTATTTACAGAGCATGGTGAGGGCCTTCAGATTCTTCATTATGAAGTAGGACAGAAATATGAACCTCATTATGACTACTTCCTCGATGAATTCAACACCAAGAACGGGGGTCAACGGATAGCTACTGTGCTTATGTATCTGTTAGTATATAGTCTATTTTGTACATTTTTTACATATCATTATTTTTATGCAAAAATTAATCCTTTGACTTCTCATCGAGCACAATCTGCGCACCATGTGTTTTCAATTTTCGCTGTTGGTACAGTTCAGATGTTGAAGAAGGTGGTGAGACGATTTTCCCCGCTGCCAATGTGAACAGTAGCTCTCTACCATACTACAGTGAGCTATCTGAATGTGGTAGAAGGGGGCTTGGTGTCAAGCCCAAGATGGGAGACGCATTACTTTTCTGGAGTATGAGGCCTGATGCAACTCTTGATTCATCCAGTTTACACGGTTAGTGCTTCAGCTATGTGGAAAGTACAAGAAGTCAACCCAAATTTCAGTCATCTCGACGGTTTTTTATAGACATTTGACTTTATCTTGAGAGACTCTGGTACTGAATGATTTTTATTTTTTTTTTGTTTAGTTTTTTTTTAGATCTCATGCATTATAAATAGCAAATAAAGTCCTGCGGTAAGATCGATTGGCCCCATTGGTTTTAAGCTGAGATGATATCAGATTTGAAGGCTATCCATGGGACGTTATCCAATAATCTGGGTATAGTATCGGAGTCAATGGTTGTTCCTGGGCTGTATGTGTCCCATCTATGTTGTCGTCTGCATGTCATGTCAGAAGTCAACGCGGATTATAAAGCAAAGTTAGAACAGCTCTATATAAGAACCTGGTTATCAGATAGGAAATTTCCTCCGCTTATTGCCAATTAGCTTTGAGTTGAATAGCCCGAGTTTGCCCTGGTGGGGGGTTGACTCCCATGTCCGGAAGCTAGTTTTATGTGCATCATCATATGGATTTTCTCTAATTGCATATCTTCTCTCTCTCTCTCTCTCTCTCTCTCTCTCTCTCTCTCTCTCTCTCTCTCTCTCTCTCTCTCTCTGTGCCCATCTTGCAGGAGGATGTCCTGTGATCAGAGGGAACAAGTGGTCCTCAACGAAGTGGTTGCATGTACGTGAGTACAGGACCTGATCAGGTGTGCGTGCAGAAGGTAGATTTCAGCCTATGTAGAGCTACATGAAAAATAGTCTCATATACCTACTAACCCTGATCTGCATATCGATGTTGATCCTTGCAGTATCTGTGGAAAAGAGTTGACGTTGTTCCTTTCCCCGTCCGTTGTTTAATTCTACTTAAATGCTGCTCTGTTTTGCTCAGGCTGCTCTGTTTTGCTCAGGCTGCTCTGTTTTCCATTCCCTCCTCCGTCACTAGCTGAGAAGAGTCTTTTTCTTAAGACGTGTTGTCCGCTGATCATGATCATTCATTCACCTGGCACCCACTTTCTCTCTCTCTCTCTCTCTCTCTCTCTCTCTCTCTCGCCAGATGGGGTGAAATGATGGAGGGCCAGATCTATCCGGCTTCATAAGGGTCTGTCCATCTCAGGACACATTTTCTATAGCATTCCTTTTAATCAAAGACGCCTGAAGAACACACTATGATCTGAAGAGAGCACCGGGCCAGGTCCCTTTGGCTACCCACTTCACTTCGCCAGTTTTACCAAGGGTTTCACTACTAAAAGAAGAAAGAAAAGTCACCGAACTGGCGACAATCTTGATCAAATCCACGAGTATTATTCTCTGGGAGGTTGCATGAGAAACCCTAGATCCAGAGTGGCCCAGCCTCACCTCACACACCATTTTCATGGCGTCCCCTTATTCCAACCAGTTTCTTAGGGGGGGAGGGGCAGTAAAACGGTGCAGTAAAAATGCCTCACTGGTGCTTCTGGGGAGGACCCGCTACTCAGAGAGACCACCTAATGCTTCGCGTTAGTCAGGTTCCTAATCACGTAGGGCAGAATCCCCCCATGGCTGAAATAGGCCAGCTCGACCTGCATTCAGGAAGCAGAAGCTCATTGAGAAAGATTGAGAAGAAGAAGAAGAAGATCAACTTGAGATGAAGGGAGACGAAAGAAAGCCATTGCCTCAGTGTCGAAGCGGACGGTGCAGATGAAGGCCTTCCCGCCGTCGGTCCCCACGGTGACGTCTTGCCCAGGCCGGATCTCGTCAACGCTGCTGGGGAGGTCAATGGTGAATCGTTCGTGGCCGGTCAACCCAAGGGTCTCTGCATCTTCCCCGGGCTTGAAGCAGAGGGGGATGATGCCCATTCCCACCAGATTGCTGCGGTGGATCCTCTCAAAGCTCTTAGCTATCACTGCCTTCACACCCTGCATCAAGAAGACATTTTTATGAGCCCTTTTTGGTAAAAAAATCCCGGGCATTCAATGGTTGGAACATTTTCCAACAACTTACATAGAGAAAAATGTTATTCGACCATGGTTTAGTTTATAGTTTAGTTCAGGAATAAAAACTGAGTCTTTGGGTAGGTAGAAATCCCTCGGATGGAACAACTGAACAGTTGCAACAGTCTGGCATAAGTTCCGAGTCCATGCTTTCATTCAGAGAAACACGTGTGGGCATGCCAGCTCAGTCTTTGGGTTGACCCTCAGTCAAGAGCCAGCCAGTACGCAAATCCTTCCAAGTCAACACTGACCCACATTTTGGGCAAGTTTTTTTATTTAGAAACTGATATAGCCTGTGATTTTCCTTCTCCTTGTGCCATCAATCCCTGACTTCATTGTTTTTTTCCACGGCTAAACTCACAAAAAGCACCAAAAGAGTAGCTTTTCTCTTCGCCGCCTTGAACAATCCATATATTTGGTCAACGCTTGATGCAACTCTCATAGGATAATACTAGTATTCATCGAGGATCCCGGGTTACTTACCAGGAGCATTGGCCCTTTCGCAGCCCAATCACGAGAACTTCCACTTCCATATTCTGCACCAGCCAGTATGATTGTGTCATGGCCCTCGCTCTTGTATCTCTGCGGGATGGTAGAAGAAACCATCAGCCATGAGCAGACCAACCAGAGAAATCACACAATCATGCGCATAAACATACACATATGAACGTAAAAGTATCCAGACTTTGACACCCATCAACCCATTTCTTTGTTCCGAAAAAGGCAATGAGATGCGGATTTACCATGGCTGCATCAAACACGTAGAGCTTCTCTCCCGAAGGAATATGAACTGTCTTGGGGCCAACTTCTCCCTTAATGAGCTTATTCACAATGCGGATATTGGCAAAGGTTCCCCTCGCCATCACCTCGTCGTTCCCACGGCGGCTGCCATACGAGTTGAAGTCCCTTCTGTCCACGCCGCGCTCCATCAGGAACTTGGCCGCAGGGCTGTCCCTGTGGATGCTCCCAGCAGGGGAGATGTGGTCCGTGGTGATGCTATCTCCAAAGTTGAGCAAGCAATACGCGTCTCTCACACCATGGGAGCCCGGTGGGGACATGGTCATCTCCTTGAAGTAGGGAGGCTCGTGAATGTAGGTTGAGGTAGGGTCCCACGAGTACAAGGTGTTGGACGGCACAGAGAGATTGTTCCACATGGGATTCCCTTTGGTGATGGATTCATATGTACCCCTGAACATGTCTGGTAGCACGCTAGACTGCACCACCTGAAGAGAGAGAGAGAGAGAGAGAGAGAGAGAGAGAGAGAGAGAGAAGGGGAATCACAGAAATTAAAAGATAATAATGAATTCCTTGCAAAATTTAAAGAGTAGAGTGGATGCAGGAGCTCACATTGGCAATCTCTTCATTCGATGGCCAAATGTCCCTAAAAAATACTTTATTCCCATCTTTCCCTGTGCCCAGAGGTTCAGTCTCAAAGTCAATGTCAACCTGCACCAGAAGTCAAGACGCGTCAAAGAAGAAGCCCTGATTCAGCCATGCCCTTTTTGTTTCAGGAGTACAGTTCATTGACGAGGAAATCAACAGAGGATTCAGTATCAAAGAATATGTAGAAAACTTCACATGGGATGCTACCAGCAACAGATAGAGCTCCCAAGTTTCAACTGGTGAAATCAGTGATGGGGCACAGCTGCACTGATCCTAATGAGCAGCTGCCCTCCTCCCCCCCCCCCCCAGAAAAAGAAAAGGTTGGTCCATACCGTTCCAGCAAGGGCATATGCCACCACCAGAGGAGGCGATGCAAGATAGTTTGCTCTGGTTAGAGGATGCACACGACCCTCAAAGTTCCTGTTGCCGGACAATACCGCTGCTGCAACTATGTCTGCCAAAATACAAGTTCAAAGTATGCATAAATAACCCAAATAATTAGCCCCAATGTTAGGCTTGTAAGTTGTACACATCGACTTGAACACTGAGATTACCACTGTCGGAAATTGCTGCCGCTACTGCTTCATGAATGTCTCCTGAGTTTCCAATGCACGTTGTGCAACCATACCCCACAATATGAAAGCCTAGCTGATTCAGATACTTCTGCAAGCCACTGCGAATGAGAACCAAAGAGAAGCTGAGGAGATCCCGACGAGCAAACCCTACCCAAAGTATTACTCATCCACAGAGCTCCTCCCTTCCATTATACCTTTTTTCCAAGTATTTAGTAACAACTCCAGAGCCAGGCGCCAGACTTGTTTTAATCCACGGTTTGACCTGGTTCAAAAGGAGTTAAAATATAGTACATGTACAATGATAAAACTACCAACAACCAAAAAGGCTCGTATTTCACAACGTCTAGATGCAAATTGTCATCAAGTGTGCATATCTAAGTATGAATCTATATCTGCTTGCGTGCGTGTGTGTGTTTGTGTTCATGTTTATACTTAAGATGCTTGTAGTGAAACTAAAACACAGCATAATTCTTACCTCGAGACCTAATTCACAAGCTTTCTTGGCGACCAAAGCAGCCCCAAGCATCACACTGGGATTTGACGTGTTAGTACAACTGGTGATCGCTGCTATGACAACATCACCATGTTTAATCTGGGCGGATGTCCCATTGAATGAAAAACCTACTACTTTGTTCTGAGATTCTTTTGGCACAGCAAATCCCTGCAGTACAAATGAAAACGATTCAGAAACAAATATGGTCTTTTCCCACACGCCCAAAAAACTGTTTTAACTTGAAAATTGAACAATAACCAAAGTTCGTCAGCTTCAGAATTTGTATAAAATTAATAATAAAATATTAATGCATCTTTCCTTATTTCTGAGCTTTATGATTCCTTGCGTATCCCACAGTTTTATTATAAATATCATATTTATCGACCAAGTATGAAAAAAGCAAGTGCAGATCCCTAGCATCTGTCTTACTGCTGATCACATCCCTAAACAATAAAACTAACACTTTAAATTGATGAGGAATGAGTAAAAGGTCTGAACACCCTGGATATGATCAGTAGGAAGACAACATTGCAGCTACGTACTAGAAAAGCTATTTGCACGATCTTTTCAGCCATCAGCTATTAGCATAGAAAGCAAGCCTTAAAAAATGGTGAAATGAATCATCAGCATGAACTAAATTCATACTACAATGGAAAAACAAGTAAATATTGTGCGAGTATTACCTTGAAGCCAACTTTGTTATCCAAGCAAGAGTGCCAATCCATCTTCATTTCCTTCAGTGGAACCCGGTCATGAGGCCTGAGAAGAACACAATTCCATGTAACATATCAGATAGCTAGAATGGCTAAAATGAACTTGGGAGTTTTGACAAGGGTTTATTTACCTTTTGGGTCCAGAGATACAAGGTTCGACTTCCTCAAGATTCAATTCAAGATAAGACGAATATATTCTTTCCACTTGCGGCTGATTATGTATTAAATTTTGGGTTAGACCAAATCCTTGAACAATATCCCAAATGATATGTGTGTCTCAGCAGCGTTCAGATATTAGTTCTCACCTGGCTATAATCAACAAACATATTGTTGGCCCGTAGATAAGCCTCTATCATCGAAACCTAAATTGATAAGCATCAGTACAAGAAGAAATCCATCTTAACAAGAGACACACGTCAATGTATCATTGTCTCACAGTTTCATCACTTCTGCCCGTCAATTTCAAGTACTGAAGTGTGACATGATCAACAGGAAAGAATCCCATTGTTGCCCCGTATTCAGGTGACATGTTTGCAATGGTAGCACGATCAGCAAGTGAGAGTTCCTTCATCCCTTCTCCTGTATTCGAAAATTTGGCATAATTCATGAGAAAAAATGAGAATAAAAAGAAGAAATAGGAATACAAAAAAAAAACTCCCGAATTCAGTTTACTGAAGCGAAAAAAATAAATTGGTAGCAAAAACTACCAATTTTACTACTTTCACGTACCATAAAATTCCACAAACTTTCCCACAACCCCATGCTTCCGAAGAATCTGGGTCACTGTCAAAACCAAATCTGTGGCTGTCACCCCGTCCTTCAATTTTCCTGATAATTTGAAGCCAACAACTCCAGGCAATACCATACTCATTGGCTGCATCGGGACAAGAAGAATAGCATATTCATTTCACATGATTCGATAAGCTTTCTGCATTGTTCTTCACCATTCCTCGGTACATTTAAGTCGAATGAAAAAAAAATTCAACAGAGCCAACCAGAATTAAAATACAGCTTCACAAGATGAGTAGACCAACGCAGACAGTCAATGCAAAACGGTATGACGAGTGATCCAGTTGGACGGGGCTCAGGGAAATTAAACATCCACAGGCTTTAATTATTTGACTATTTTGAATAATGCATAAATTTGAAAAACCACCTATCACACTCTATAAAGATTAGGCAACTTTTGAGTCATTTTTAGATCGCTTAGATTTAAAGCAAAAATGCCCAGTCAGTGTCTAATACGGCAAAAGAAAATGTTATGCAGAGTTGTCAACCTGGCCGAGCATTGTAGCTTCTGCTTCTATTCCACCAACTCCCCAGCCAGCAACACCCAACCCGTCAATCATAGTTGTGTGTGAATCAGTGCCAACCACACTATCTGGGTAAAGCAGTCCTCCACTATTAAAAACAACACGGCCAAGGTATTCTAGGTTCACCTGTGAATCAAAAAGATAGGAAAGATAGCAGAAATGAAGATCAAACCGATGGATATGGACAACCTAGCGTGCATCAAACATTTTTACATGAGACATCAAGTTAAAAATAGCACAATCGATACCTGATGAACAATCCCTGAACCAGGAGGAACCACAAGCATATTCTGGAATGCATTGGAACCCCACTTAAGAAAGCTAAATCTTTCCTTGTTTCGTTGGAATTCAAGCTCCATGTTTGCCTGCAGTGCATTTTCTGACCGAGCCACATCAACCTGGACCGAATGATCAATGACAAGGTCCACGGGAACCTGCATTCAAGTAATTGGAGTTTTCTATTATTTTGATGTGGAAACAGCAAACTGCACTGCATTTTTACATTGATGATTTAGTTTGTAAAGTAAAAACAGAGTTAGAGTGAAGGAAAACTCGACACTGTTGCCTTAAGGATGCAGTTTTCCAAAGCTTTCCAGTAATAAGGGTGATTGAATGATATACATAGCATACTCTACGTCTTCTGTGGGTTTAAATAGTGTACAAACTCGAAATAAAGTTGAAGAGCTCAATAAGCATGTCAAATGTTAACCAGATATTTCTGCAATTGCTATCCCTTAGAAACTCTCCTAGTTTCTTATCAAATATATTTAAATCCATCCGCCACACTGCCAAGGTATCACTGACAGAAAAAAAACTAATACAAATATTTTTAGCCCTCTACAAGTTTAAAGAATCCTCAGTACATCAGCATGATGAATCTAATAACCATTTCAAATAATATCCATAGATTTTCCCATATTGAGCTCCTTCTGAATTATCTACACATCTTATTAAAGTTACCCATTCTCCCTGTTTATGATTGAATCAATCGTAATTCTACTCACTATGTTAGCACTACTGGAAACATGAACAGTTCATCCAATTTGTGTTTCGGTTGCAGCTATCAATGACTTAAGGAAATGATTACCATCATAGTAATCTAGTGAATGAAAATCGGTAGAAAAATTTACGAAATCCTTGTGACTGAAAATAGAAAGAACAAGATGATTCTCGTTTACCAACGGATTGATCCTGTTCGGATCGCTACCAAGCTTGTTCATGGCATCCCGCATAGCTGCAAGATCAACCACTGCAGGCACACCAGTAAAGTCCTGCAAGTAAAAATCATGTCAAGAGAAAGAGCATGTACCAAACTCGATCAACTTCTCATTCACTATTAGTTTCATAGTGAAGTCCCAGTTAGGACTTTACTGACGATAATATGGCAACTAAGAAAAAAAATAACGCGTGTAAGCTAAGATTAGTTTTCCCTTCTCACAAATTCCAGGGTATCAACACAGACTATGAGAAAAAATCACCAAAAAAATTCAAATCTTAGGTGTAGATAATATGATTTACAGAACCGAATCGGTCGTGATTTCAGCCAGAATCTCAGAAGCGGTCGGGGATAGGAATGGAACCTGGAGGAGCACACGGGCAGGTTTGAAAGGGATCTCGACTAGCTTCGGAGATGTGTTCTCCCAATCGATGATCTTCTCCACGTCCTTACTTGTCACCTGGAACTCATCACAGTTTCTGATCGCTGATTCCAGCAGTATCCTTATCGAGTAAGGAAGTCTATCTGCATCACGTCGTCCGAAAATAAAACCACAATCAGTTCTGTCGCTAAGAAACTTAGATCTCAATGATTCCATTCAAACCTGAAGAAAGACGACACTACCGGGACAAATGACTGACCTATCCTGGGATCGTTAAGGGCCGGCAAACTGTAGTACTTGCCGAATTCCCCACCTTCAGGCTTGGAGAGGGAGGTCAAGATTCTCTGGAACGAATTCTGGGTCGCTGTTTCGCAATATAACGAGAAAGAAGACGATGAGAACACAAATCTAATCAGATCTAATAGAAACAAATGTCGGGCAGACCCAACAACAGATTCACGAACAGCGGAGCCTCAGAAAAGCATACCCATGGTCGCAAACCAACTCTCAAATGTTTCGACAACCGCCGGGGAGGAGCGGATCAGGGCCTACTGGCTGAGAGCTCCCCTCTAGTCACCGATGGTGGGACGGCGGGAGTCAGTGAGACCTCGCCGGCGGCCGGGACGGCGCCGGAGACCACGTCGGGCTGAAGGGGGACGATAATGACGGCAGGCAGGTCCTCGTCGACGCGGCGGCGGAAGACGGGCGATAGAAGAACCCGAAGACAGATCGCGGGTGAGATCCTACTGCATATATAGGAATTGTACCCACACGACGGTATAGAAAAAGGAGAGTTGGTGGCACCTGCCAAGGCTCGCCTCCCCCCCCCCCCTTTCCCTCCTATGTAATATCAGTACCGATCTCTGGTCCAAAGGTTGAGCCCCATGGCCCCCACTGTCAGCTTCCTCAGGGACTCAAGATAACGCTCCAAGAAGAAGGATTATGAAGCATATAAGATCCAGAAAATGCCAGATATAGGAGGGCGACTCCTCCCTCAGATGGTGAGATCTTTCTTATCTGAGAGAGAGAGAGAGACGGGTCCAGACTTTGCCGGTCGAGGAGGGAAGAGTCGTAGACGGGATATTTGACCGTCTGATATCAGCTGACGTGACGCTTCGTAGACGGGATATTGGACGCAGGGATTTTGTACATACACCCCTGTTAGGTCAAACTATTATATTTACGTCCTATATGAGAATTAACCGGGTCCCACCTGGTTTTTTTGCGGCTAAAGTCAACGAGATTGGAAATAATGAGATTCCGAGTGACAACACCTGGTCAACCATGATGATCAGCTGGAGTCGGGCGAGAATGCTGGACTGAATCTCTGAAGGTCCCCCAAGACCTCCGAGGAGGCGGGCCAGAATCAAAAGAGCCGTTTAGCCCACATGAGCTCACAACAGCCATGAACAATGAATGATTTTTTAGGCGGCTGAAGTCAACGAGCTTGACACTAATGAGATTCCAAGTGGCAACACTCGGTCAACCCGAGGTGGGGGGAATCACCTGGAGTTAGGCAAGAAGGCTGGCTCTGCAGGTCCCCCAAGAACTCTGAGAAGTTCGGGGGAGGAGGGCCCGAATCAAAAGAGCCTTCTAGCCCACATGAGCCCAAAACAGCCACGACCAATCGACGATTTTTTGAGGCGGCTGAAGTCAACGAGCTTGACATCAATGAGATTCCAAGTGGCAACACCCGGTCAACTCCGATGATCACCCGGAGTGAAGCTCTGGAGGTCCCTCAAGATCTCTGAGAAGTCTGACGGAGGTGGGCAAGAAAAATTTGCCTCCTTTCCCGTGTGGGGATGCCTGAATCTGAAAGATCAGCGACGACTTTCAGCCGGGAAGAACATCGCCAGGCCGAGCGCATACCGGAAATGGCAAATTACCCGAGTGAGAGGGCGTGCAGGCAGGGCCTCTGCAGCTTGGACACCGTCTGGTCAACCCTGGCACGGTGAGCAGAGGGGCTCCTGCTCCTCAGGAGGGAGAGAGCCAGGCTCTTGGTCCCTCCATAGACCTCGTCCCCCAGTAAAGGTATCCCCAGGTACTTGGCGTGTACGCGGATCTGCTTGGAAGCCATGAGAGGAGCAGTGAAGAAAGCCCGTTACCTTCAGATCCCACCTGAAATGGAAACTCTCCAAGTAAGTACCTGGTGTGTTCGGCCCGTTTCTAGTCTCCACTCCACCAGAGCAGAGCCGCCCCCGGCAAGAACTTGAATCACTTTGTACCTGAATAAGTCAAAGTCAGCGGTGGGCCAGAGAAAGAAGAAGAAGAAGGGATCTTACCTCCATGGATCATCCAGAACCAAGGTCCTTTCATACATGAATAAATATCGACACAGACTCATAAATATATATATATATATGGGAAAAAGGAGCTCATATCACCTACTGGCAGCAAAGCGAGCGCCTCTGGCGTTGCTTAGCCCAGAAATAGCAGTCATTCGAATCCGATTGATGGGGTCACGAGCAATCGGAACCTCTACTCTGCCGGAGGTCGAAGAAGGGGTTCCAGAGGTGAGACTGACGTATACTCTGCGAATTGAATGCTCCTTGAACTGTTCGGCCAAGTGAGCGTGGGAATGTTCGTCCTACAATCAAGAAGAACAAATTATAAGCAGATTTAAATTCGATCATTATTAGGCTAATTTATCTGTAAACTTACAGTCATTTTTCTCAGCCATGTCCATTTTTCAAGAAGCTATTAATTATAGATCAGCCGCTAATTACAGTTATTAAAAACGAGAAACAACAAATGGGTAGTTGACTTTCTTACTAGCATACAGAAGTTGACTTTTTCGCAGCGTCATTATAAGCAGATTTAAATGCGATCATTTCATGCTGGAGAGTGCTTATGCAACTTTCTGGAGAAAAAAAAAAGTCCATTAAGCTAATTTATCAGTAAGCTTACACTCATTTTTTTTAGCCATATCCATTTTTCAACAAACTGTTAATTACAGATCAACCTCTAATTATAATTATTAAAAAAAATAAACAACAGATGGGTCGTTGATTTTCTCAACTTCTACTAAATATTAAAAATATCAACGTACAGACGTTGACTTTTTTGCAGCATCATTATTTGTCATGCTTAAAAAATTATCGTGTTGGAACACAGAACAAAACAATGCCTATGAAATCCCTCATCACTTTCAAGCATCCAGTTGATCAAACCTCAAAAGCCTTAGCGATGGGAAGCCGTATAAAATCGCATTAAATAGTCAAGTTAAGAAACAATTACCCAAATAAGCCATCAATAATGTGGATGTTCACTGTACCAGGGGAGATACCAGAGGAGAGGAGAGGGACTGACTAAGAACATTAAGAGAATGGGTAGTAGCTTTAAAGAGCAGAAGAAAGAAGCTATTCGAGGGGCGTATGGTGAAAGCAACAAGAGATATATTCCATCATGCAACACGAACATGCATCGAATCCACATGGGTAGCTTATTTCTTCGATAAAAACAGAGATATGCGACTAGAACCAAGCTTGGGCAGCTCTAACCTTGGCAACAACGAGCAATCCGCTGGTCCCTTTGTCTAATCTGTGCACGATGCCTGGACGTACAGAAGCCTCCAGGCTCCTAGACATCACATCAATGGAGAAAAAATCACTAGAATCTCCATCAGAAGAGTCAGAGCCACCATCCTCCCCATAGTCTGCGCTCTGGTCCAAACAGGTAATCGATGGAAGCTTGCAATGGTGGAGAATTGCGTTCACGAGTGTGCCGTTTGCATTGCCAGGAGCAGGGTGAACAACCTGGAGATGAATCAGAAAGAAGATAATGAGAGAGTGGGAGCCTCAGAAAAAGACTAAGAAAAATGGTTATTTGAGCATGGAGAGACCATATTTGCAGGTTTGTTCACGACGAGAATGTGGGCATCTTCGTAGACTATGTCCAGAGGTATATCTTCTGGCTCTGCTCTCAGGGGTTGCAACTCGGAGATTGTACAGCTAACCTTGTCCCCAGATTTGATGATATGCGAAACCTGGTAAGATTGAGGCGAAAGAGTTTCAAGCAGAATCATGGAATCCTTCCCTGGAGATGATTATCCACCTCAAATTTAGGTCAATCAGCAGAAGTCTGCAAATGAGAGCGTGCGGGCAACCTTATCGATGGTGCGGCCGTTGACCGAGACGAGCCCCGAGCGGATGCTGGCCTGAATGCGGGCCCTGCTGACGCCGCCAATCCGAGATGAGATCCACGCGTCGACCCTCGACCTGGTCGTGCTCCTTTCCACACTCTCCTCCAGGCGAACGCCGGCATGGTTGCCGCGAAGAGCCTGTTTCTCCGGCGGCGGCAGCGTGGGAGACGATTCCTGGGAAGGAGAGGAAGAGCAGAAGAATCTGGGGAACCCGCAGCAGCCCTTCCGACGGAAGAAGAGCAGGGAGGAGGAGGAGGAGCAGGGGGAGGAGGGCACTGCGGCCGTGAGCGACAGCATCTTCTTCTCCACAAGGAAACACGGCCCCTCTTCCTACATTCGGGCCCTATGAAAATCCCGCCACCGGGGGCTCCATTAATCCGCGGTTGGGCCCTCCGACCTAAATCTCGTATGGCGAGTCCACCGCGCCACAGAATTTTATCCTAGAAGACTCCAAAAATCGAGTCTTTGCTGGGCGACGATCACCCAGATTGTTTTCGTCCTGTTCGTAATCTGATCGGTAGAATTCACTCTCTCATCTGCCGGCGGTCAACTTCCTTGTGGGGATCCCCTCGAAAGCACCATTTCTGTTCTTAGATATAGGGGAAAAAAGAGAGATCGGACGCCATCCGGAGGACGCGCTTGTGAAATTCATCAAGATTGTAGACCAACGAGAGCGATACTCAACAATCTGGAGGAACCCGAGTGGTAAGATCGAGGGCTTCGTCACTCTCTCCGCATCATGGCGACGAATTCTGCGTAGTTTATCCTCCCATCCTGCGAGCTCCGAGGAAGAAAATATCTCGATGAGGAAAGTCAACAGAAGACCCACTTGGGGCGAGGAAACCCGAGGAAGAACACAGCCGCCACCCACTTTGTCTGCGTCCACGTCGTCGATAATTTCGTCGATGGTTGCGTCGTTGCCCATCCCGTGCTTCGCCAAGGCCTGCTTCAGCTCCTCCCTCGTGATTAATCTGACGCCCAGAAGACCGGAGAGATGAACCATTAAAGGAGACATTTTTACCGTTTTCCAAAAAAGCTACTGGGTTCATGATGCCGGTGGTGGTCTTTTTACAATTTTTTAACCATAAATATATAAGTTTAATATATGTAGGGCATTATTATGAGAAAGAGAGAGAGAAATAGCGTTGACTGACCCGCTGCCGTCGTTGTCGAAGTACCGGAACGCCTCGAGCAGGTCCTCTTCCTTCAGCGGCTTGTGTCTGTGCATGGTCGCCGCGATGAACTCGGTGTAGTCAATGGTTCCGTTCTTGTCCACATCCGCCTGCCGAGGAACCCACAAAAAGGTCAACGGCTCGCGCGGCCTTTACATTCCAAAAATGGCAACTGGGGACACCTAGTCAACCCTCTTACGGCTTCCATGAGCTGCTTCACTTCGGATTCGGAGAACTTTGACCCCAGTTTGGTAAGCCCGATCTGCAGCTCCTCGTAGGTGATGGTTCCGTCGCCGTCGGCGTCCATGTTCCTGAACATCACATTCAGGCCCTTGATCTCCTCCGTGGAGAGGTTCTCTGCGATGACCTTGCACACCCAGAAGAGGAAAACGTTTACCAAAAAGGAAATTCCGTTGAAGGAGGAAAAACAAAGAAAAGGGCTCACGTTTAGGGCTAGTTTCTTCAGCTTGTTCATGGCCCTGAATTGCCTCATCCTGGTCAACACCGCGCTTCCAATGGGCTTGTTCGACGCCTCCCCGCCCACCCGGATCCACGGATGATCTGTCCCATTTTGACCGACGTGACCATGGTTGACTTATGATCCGAAACGCTCGTGGTTGACTTACCGAGGGCCCGAGCAGCGGTTATCCGTTGCTTGGGGTCGCGAGTCAACATCTTCTCGACGAGGTCCTTGGCGGCGGGGGAGATGGACGGCCAGGGATCGCTCTCCAGGTCGAGCTTCCCATGCAGTATCGCGTCGAATATCCCCTTCTCCGTCTCTACCGCGAAGAAACTTAAGATTCCGGCCAACGGTCAAGCAGGAAAAGAGAATGCATCAGAAGCCCGGGTTTTCCCTCTCCTTCCTTACCGGCCAAAAACGGGGGGACGCCGCTTAGGAGGATGTACAGGATGATTCCCGCGCTCCAAACGTCGATCTCCTTCCCGTAGCTCCGGCGAAGGACTTCAGGGGCCACATAATACGCGCTCCCCACGATACCCTGGTACACCTTCCCTGCGGCAGAAGAGAGAGAAACACGGCGGCGATAAGAGGTCAGTGCCCGGCGCCGCCGCCGCTTTTCGGCGGAGGAACTGAACTGAACTGACCTTCCTCGATAAAGACAGAGAGACCAAAATCCGTGACCTTGAGCTCGGAGCCCTCGCCGGCGCCGGAGAAGAGGAAGTTCTCCGGCTTGAGGTCCCTGTGCATGACGCCCATAAAGTGGCAGACGTTCACCACCGTGACGATGCTCCGGCAGACTGCGGCAGCCTCCTTCTCGGAGTAGCTCCCCTTGGCGACGATCCGGTCGAAGAGCTCGCCGCCGGAGCAAAGCTCCATGACGATGTAAACTTTCTCATGGTCTTCGTATGCTCCTCTGAACTCCACCACGTTGGGTTGCCCTGAGAGATGTTGCAGGATCGTCACCTCCCTCCGCATGTCGTCGATATCTCTCCAGTCGACGAGCTTCCGCTTGGAGACGGATTTGCAGGCGAAGCTTCCCCCGGTGGCCCTCTCGGTGCAGAGATAGGTCACGCCGAACTGCCCCCTCCCCAGTTCTCTCTCCAGGATGAACATTGAGGAGAGATCGCAGAGGGGCATCTGCAGCACGGGTTCCATCTCCGCCGACGAGAACTTACTAGAGAGAGAAGCCGGCATGGCCGAGGGGAGCTTCTCCGGAGTCGAGATGATAGGTATGTCGCAGGGGACTCTGTGGAAGATCTTCTGCAGCATCCTGCGGACGCAGTTTCCCATCGAGAAGAGAGAGAGAGAGAGAGAGAGAGAGAGGGAGGCTGTTCTTAGCTTGGGGCGTGCTGGTTCGGTCGTCGTGGGTTTTTAATATCCCTTGGGAGTGATGGGGAGGAGCTCGAAGAGCTGGATTCTGGTTCTTTTCTTCGCCTGCTGCTCCTTTCTTTGTGCCTTCCTTCTCCGTCCGAACTCTCCAGAGTACTCCCCCCTTGCTTCTCGAGGCTGCTCAGCACATCACTCTCGTTGGCTCCCTCCAGAGAGAGGAGATAGAGAGAGAGAGAGAGAGAGAGGAGAAAGAAAGATAGGTGACTCAACGGTGCTAAAAGAAATATTCGATTTCCGACACTTCTTTACTCTTAAAATGGGCCGGGCCGATTTTGGACGTGAATTGTCATCGCCGACCATCTCCTTCAAATGCCTGCGTATCCACGATTTTGACCCATCTAAATTTCCAAAAATGGACCGGGCCGATGTTGGGCCGAAGTCAACGCAGCCCCCTACGTGTCTTCTTCTAGAAAGCATTCCCCGGGGGGGGCACGTACGCAATGTCCCACCAAGTCAACCAAATTGGTATCATCCTTCAATTTTTTCCCTCCTAATAATTATCTCGAGCCCTCACAAGCATTACAATATGAAAAACTTATCTTAATAAATTAGTAGACATCGAACAAAGTCATTGACTTATGGACTTATCAGTTATATCCAACCCATTATATTTATATACCGTACTACATCTGACACCCACATCCCATTTTTCTATTTATTCGTAAATAAATACATGCAAAACCGCTATGAGAAACAATTATCGAAAAAAAATAATATTCCAAATATTTAAATTCGGAAAAATGGACAAGTCAACATCGACTTTAGAGGGGATTAAAACATTGACTAGTAAAAATTACCGCTCATAAAATAAAAATGTCGCGGGGTAAATTAGTACATTTAATTAATCGTTATAATAATTAAAGTCTAGCCCTCGTCAACCACCCTCCCATCAAAGTAATGGCGATAAACTATTGTATATGTAGACGTACATACATCACATGCATTAAAGTTATGGAGCTATGTTACTAGTGGGCGCGCGCCCAATGTGGGAGGCAAACGTGGAGATGAAGTCCCAAAAGAAATTATCTATATTTAAATCATGCAATCATTTATAGATAAAAATGGGCCCAACCCGTCTGAAAATGGGCCACCCCGTACGAGGGCCCGGCCCATCACAGTACAAAACTGTGTCGGTTAAGTTCGAAAAATTTAATCCAGCACGACTCTCGTGTACGAGCGACGAGTGTTGCTGGGCCCACACTCCCCAAGGAACCCGCTAGATCGTGACCACTCATCACCGGTCATTAAAGTAGCGAGAGAGAGAGAGAGAGAGAGAGAGAGAGAGAGAGAGAGAGAGAGAGCCGTGATTCCGGCCCACAGGATCTGACCGGGGGGGTCCTGTTGCCGTGCTCCGGTGAAATGAGTCTTGGGCCTGAACACGTGGCTCAGACAGAAGAAAATATCGCCTCCGTGGTTTTTTTCGTATTACATCCCTAATATTTTAATTCGGCGTGCAACGCCCCAGATAGAGGTATATTTTGCAATGACATCAGCCCGCCCGAGTTGACTCGGTGGCCCGCCGCGCGACCACTCACCGGATCTGATGGCTGCGAGGCCGTCAATTACCGCCGCCGGGAACGCCACGGCTCATTGAATATGGGACCACTGGACTGAAGGCTGATAATAATCGCACGTGTGATCCCTCCTTATCCGGGTCCGCACGTGAGAAACCCTTTTTGCTTTTCCTGGGCCCTCCGAGTAATTGGCTATCGAGAAGTTGACGACGACCAACGCATAGCGGGTCTTCCCCCCCACCCGAACCGTTACGATACTGCAATCCACGTGGAACCATTAAGGTTCTACTTCACCCTCCATGCCGAGGAGGGTGCGTAATTTCGGACGCCACGTGGATGCGAGCGGAGGGAGCGGATAAGAACTTTTTCGGCTACACTTTTACCCGGGAGATGGAGGTAATCGAAGATACAGCAGGTCGGGATGACGTGGAACACGCGTGGGGAGATATTTTGGTGGCCTGCGGGGGGGGGAGAGCGGGACTATTCCGTTAGACTTCTGTGAGGCGAGGGGCCGCATAATAAATGTCCCCTCTTTGCCCGTCGTGGGAGGGGGGCGCCGCCGAAATCTGACCGTCCACGTCAGTTGACGCGCCAAAGAGACGCGGTAACAAGGCCTGAGAGTCGTCGTGGAAGGAAGGCCGGAGGAAGAAGGAGAGGAATTGAGATTGCTTCGTAGCACGGCTTTCAGAGCTGCAGGCATTTAATGGCGTCTCTGGTCTCTCTAGGAGGTAGTTGGCCTTTTATTTCTCTCTTTCTCTCTCTCTAGCCTGCCTCTATATACAGTTCGGGCGTGCCCTCCTGGGAACCCTTGCCTTCAGCTGGTCTGATAATCCTCTCTCTCTCTCTCACTTCTCTGTATACGACACCGCCAGGCTATGGATTCTCTCTGTGCTGCATCGACTACTTCCTCTTCACAGGCGTCGGCCCCTCGGCCGCCGGTTGATTCTTCTTCGTCTGCTGATTCTTCTGCTTATGCGGATTCCGCGGCGGCGGTGGCGGCGGTGGCGGCGATGGGGAGTGGGGAATCTACCTTCTTGGGTGGCCGGGGAAGCAGGGGGAGGGGAACCAGGAGCGGCAGTTCCAGAGCGTGGAAGATCGCCGTGAGGCTTTTCTGCGGACTCCTGACCTGCGTCTTCGCCATCGGTACTACCCCTTTCCTCTCTCCGATCTGGAAGATTTTAATATTGCTCTGCGAGATCTGTTCAGGCCTCTAATGGCGGTTCCTCTCCTGTTCTTTCTCTTCTGCAGTGGGTTCCTTGGTGGGGGCAGTCGTGGGGGCCTTGATCGGACTGGCCACGGAGAGCGGGTTCTTCCGAGGTGCCGGAGTGGGAGCCATCTCCGGCGCCGTCTTCTCCATCGATGCCGTCGAATCGACCCTAGTCATCTGGCGATCCCGCGGGATGTGGAGCGTCGTCTACGTGGTTCGTCTTCTTCCTCGTTCTCTTTCTCTGAAACTCGGATCGAATGAATCTTCAGAAACCCTAAATCTCCTCCTCCGGCATCCTGCAGATCGACATCATCGTGAGCCTGCTGAGCGGGAGACTCGTCCGGGAGAAGGTCGACCCGGCGGTGCAGAACGCCGTGCAGAGCCAGGTTAGATCACGAACTCTCTCCCTCTCTGAAAATCTTCTCATGATTCTCAATTCCGGCGAGGAACCTGACGATGGCTGAACCACTGGTTTCTGCAGATGAGCGCCGTCGTCTCGCCGTTCCACGAGCTCCCCGACATCTTCGAGACCGGCGCCGCCGCCACCGGCATGTCCAGAGCCTCCGTCGAGGAGATCCCAAAGATCGCCGTCACGGCGGTGAACTGCGTTGACTCTTGCGGGGAGAAGATCTGCTGCTCCGTATGCTTACAAGACCTGCAACCCGGCGAGAGCGTCAGGAGCTTGCCCCACTGCGGGCATATGTTCCACATCCCCTGCATCGACGGCTGGCTGCTCCGGCACGGCTCCTGCCCGCTCTGCCGGCGGGACTTCCAGGGCCTCCGCCCCGGCGCCGCCGGCGCCGCCGCTCCACCGCCGCCCACGGCGGTGGAATCCCTGTAGCTGCTCCTTCCTTAGTCCAGGCCGACGAGAGGGTGGGCCCCCTTCGTTTTTGTAGAGGCTGCGTCGTCGTACTTTGTAAAATCCGCCTGAGCCATTCACCCACCAGCAGCAGTACATATGAACGACCTTTTTTATCTCTTCTTCTCTTCTCTCTGTAAACATCAACACACTCAACACTCTGCGCCGCCATCCCAATTCACATTGGGCTCTCTCTCTCTCTCTCTCTCTCTCTCTCTCTCTCTCTAACACACAGAGAGGTAAGTGGGCGTGGAGAGTGAGTTGGAGTGGTATTTCGTTAGAATTTTCCTCAAAGAAAGGGTCTTTGCTGGGCTAGGAATGAGTGGGCATGGCGTTGCCCCTCTTTATGGGTACTTGCGGCCATTAATTCGTTATGTCCATGATCTTGACCAACAGAAGACAAGTAGACTCCATAGTCGTTGACATGGGCCCTCCTCCACATACTTACGACATATGGAAATTATGTTCTTTCTGCCAACGCCGAAGTTGACCATGTTGCAATCTTATGTGATTCGATAAAATCCTTTATTTATTATTAGCATAGTTTATTGAACGTAGGGCCATCAATTAAATGGGGGCAGATGTGATCCAGTTTCATTCACCTCCTCGCAGATAAAAACCACCAGAAAACATGCCCACCGAGCCAAAGTCGCCTCATTTCTCTTGGGTCAAACTAGGAGCTGGTCTACGTGCTAGATCCAAGACAGGATCGAATTGATCTCGGCAGTCGTGCCATTCCGGAGGGTTGACTCGCGGGGACAAGTTACTAGGAAGTGATGGATTGACCGATGGTACTGGTGACATTCAATACAGTGCCAGATTAGTACGTGATTAGGCCAAATCATTCGAAGGGATAAAGCGCCGATATTTGAAGACGTTGACTGGTGGGGTCTGCTCGTCCAATTCCATTGAGATCGAGACCCACAGCTCGCAGATCTAATTTTCAGCTGGTAAGAATCTGTGTCCCATGATCGGGCCAAGTTTTTGGGTACCGATAAGATTGAATCGTAGTGCCAGATTAGTACGTGGTCAGGCCAAATCATTCCAAGGGATAAAGCGCCATTATTTGAAGACGTTGACTGATGGGGGTGGGTCTGCCTGTCCAAATCCCATTGAGCTCGCAGATCTGATTTTCAGCTGCTGAGATGAGAATCATTCTTGCCCCATGTTCGGGTCAAACTTCTTGTCCCATTCTTGTAGGATTTTCAGCTGCCAAGATGAGCTGCAAACCAGCCGTGTAAAATCAATTTCTTGGCACATCGGGTCAACTTTTTGAATAATTTCACCCAGCAATGAACAATCTTAGCCCATACCAGGTTTGGTTCTCGACTGGGTCAGTCTCAGTTCCTAGATGGGAAATCCGGCAATAAATATGCCTTCAAATCGGGCAATAAATATGCCTTAAAATGGCAACTTAGGCCAAAAACTAGGGACCCCACTGGATATGATCTTCTTCTTCTCCAGAGCGGCGGCAGTCATCGTCTAAGTCGTCGGCGGAGGCGCCTGTTTTGGCGGAGGGGGAGGAGAAGTCCAGGCAGACGCCGTGGATGAGGTCGCTGTAGGATTCTGTGAGGTCCTGGGCGGTCAGCTGGTGATACTCCACGAGCTGGTGGAGCCGCTGGTTCTCCCTCGTCAGGGTGGCGTTCTCGTTCGACAGCCTCGATTTCTCAGCCAGGAGCGCCTCCACTTGAAGCCTCACCTGCGGAGTCCCAATCCAGCAATATATAAATAAATTACTGATTTTGAAGATGCCATTTATGAATGCAACCAACGAAAGGGAAAATTTCCGAGCTGTGGGCTCCCCCATTTCGGATATTTTAATTTATTTTCTGGCTTTTTCGATCTTGAGAATAAACAAGATAAAAGTTCGGCCATCGCGATCCTCTGATTTCGTGGAAGAACAGCACCGGCGAGTTCAAGACGAAGAGGACTGATGAACACCCATGAATAATCTCATGTGGATCATGTGGATCTTTGGACTTCGCTCAACGAGGTCCTCTGATTTGATCAAGAAAATAATAGCATTCAAAACGAAAGAGATGGAGCACCAAATGGTCCCCGAATTCCGCATCTAAGAGGGCTCATTGATCCCATTCAAACTGCGATGGGGAATCTGGGCAATTTGCCAGCTGATTCTCATCATCTTCCAAGATCATCATGAAAAAGCATAATTTTTTTTTTCGTAGAAGGAATTCTAAAGCATGTTGTGCACAGTTTCAAAGATGACGATGCCGGCGTTAATATCTATCTGATATCTGGGCCCTCTGAGATTTAATGAAAGCTGACAGAAATGGGTTTCTGCAATTGCGCGATTCAGGACAGATTAGCACACTCACCAGATCATCCTCTTCATCTGGCCTCGGTCCTTTCTCGCCTCCATATCTGAGCCTCCTGTTCTCCTCCTCCAGTAGATCACAGCGCTCTTGCATGAACCCTAGCTCAGATCTGACTGCTTTCAGTTCCCGAGCAAGCGAAGTCGCTTTGGATAGCATGGAGATCGCCAGCTGCCGAGAAGAAACGCCCAAAAATCGAGCGAGACTCGTCAAAATTAAGACATGATATTATAATTACTTTCAGAAATGAACTCACGAGCTCGAGAACGGCATTCACACATTTTTTGCCTTTTTAAGCGTCCCGCCCTTCGCAGCATCTACGGGGTGTTCTTTGCTAATTTTCTGCTCTTCTTCCTCCGCGGTGGCTCGATTCTTTACTTCCTCGTTGCTAGGTTCACGATTTTCCTTGGAATCATCGGACGCAGACTGACAGCTTGCTGTCTTTGTCACCATTTTCTCTTCGTCAACTCTCTGTCCTTCCCTTCTCAGTACGTCAGTGAGAGATGGATGAACCAGATTTTCTACTCCCTGACTCATGAAAAACGAAATTTACGGTGAGATCTAAGAAAAAAATGAAATTCTCGATCCGTGGTTCGTCAATCGGACTCGGAAAGGCGATACACGATACTCGAGTCAACATACCTGAGAAGCGTCGTCTAGGGTTTCTTTAAGCTGCGAGAGAGAGGAGGCAACGGAGTCGAGTCCTCTGATCAGAAGCAGGGAATCCTCCCTGATCCTCTTCCCACACCTCGATTCCGCGCCACACTGCAGAAGAGCCGCCATACCGAAGCACAGAGGGACAGGTTACTACTGATCGGAGGCATAAATGGGGGAATGGCGGACGAAGGGAACGCATACTGTTGGAGTCGAGGACCAATTAGCGTGCCGCTTCCTCCCCTCCAGAAGAGTCTCAACGCGGCTGCGGAGAGCGCTCCAGAGCTTGTGGTCCGATGATGGACTGCTCGCCACTGGAGATGACGAATCCATGGAGTTCAGAGAGAGAGAGAGAGAGAGAGAGCGTCGTAGAGTCTGTCTGTGAGGGAGAGGAATGAGGAGCCTGTGAGGTAGAGCCGGAGAGCCAACGGCTAGTGAGCGGGGGGGTGGGGGGGGGTGGTGATGGTATATCAGAGACGACGGTTGGTGTTTTTTAAACGGGTCGGGGAGATGGGCTCACTTCCAACGGTCCTGAAGATAGACAATTACCAAAAAGGGCTTCATGTTTGTCCGAAATGGTAAACCTGAAGTCCATCATTATTGGCCGTTGGTTACGAGATGGGCGTCTCTGATCTTGGCCTTCCCCGGTGGGGCCGGAAAGGCTATCCTAACGTCTCTCAATTGACATCTTCTCTTAAATATTATTTCTAAAATCACTATTAAGGATAATAGTTTCAAAATTGACTCGTACTAACTTTATTTGTAAAATAGGCCTCCTGACGGACTTGTGGCAGCTCTCTCTCTCTCTCTCTCTCTCTCTCTCTCTCTCTCTCTCTCTCTCTCTCTCTCTCTCTCGGTCTGTCTGGAATCTTCTTCTTCTTCTTCTTCGTCATCATCTCTCGCTGTTCTTAGGGTTCGGAGTGAGTTCGTCCTTCCTCCTCTAGCTCCGGATATTACGTCGCCTTCCGTCGGGCGATGGAGTTCGACGAGTACGAGTACCTGGAGCAGACGGTGGAGAAAGCCACGGCCCCAGTGGAGAAGGAGCCATTGGTTAATGGGATCCAGTCGGATGACGCAGGCTCGGGCAAGAGCTCAAAGAGAGCAGCGGAGGAGCTTGATGGTGACCCGGATCTCGCGGCCAAGATTGCTAGATCGGAGGACGCTTGTGCCCCTCGGGACGACGATCTTCAACGGGAGAAGAGCTCCTCACGCCGGCGATCTTCCGACGAACACCGCTCGAGGAACGGAGAGGGGAGTGAAAGAGATAGGCACAGGAAAGAGGATAAAGATAAGGAGAGGGAGAGGGACAGAGAGCGGGACAAGGAAAGGATCAGGGATCGGGATCGAGAGATGGAGATAGAGCACGAGAGGTCGCGGCGCAGCAGGAGCCACTCGGATAGGCACCGTGATGAGGAGCGGGAAAGGTCACGGCGAAGTAGGAGCCGTTCTGAGAGGCATCACGATGAGGAGTGGGAAAGGTCACGGCGCAGCAGAAGCCGCTCGGACAGGTACCATGATGAAGAGCGGGAAAGTTCACGACGCAGTAGGAGCCGCTCTGAGAGGCATCGTGATGAGGAACAGGAAAGGTCACGGCGCAGCAGGAGTCGCTCGGAGAGGCACCATGTTGAAGCGCATGATAGGTACAGGGAGAGGAGTACGGACAGGGAACTTAGAGAACGTGAGAGAGAACTAAGGGAACGAGAACGTGAAGCTAGGTCAGTGTCTGCGTGTTTCTATGTTGAACATGCTCCTCTTGTTTCTCTGATTCGCTGACTTATGAGTTGGTGTTTCATTGATTGGCACTCCAAGATTGTAGTTCTATTGCAGTTTTTGCTCATTCTCTTCCAAGCATATTGTCTTCAGCAGTGTGTCTAATGCGTAGTTGCTTCAATTTTGGATTTCAAATGCTGATTTGCAGGCGATGTATGAAACACCATTTAATGATCAACTATACAGTGTTACGACGTACAGAATGAAATAAGTATCTACTTATCTCTAATTCGGTCTACAAATTGGTTTCTTGAATGACCTTCAAGTTGAGTGGTGGGCAGGTAAAAGGTTACAACGCCCATTTCTTTTTTAAAGTCTTATTATGGTATATTGTGGTGCGAAGCTTACTTTTTGGACAGTAAAGATAGAGTGGGTCAAATGATGCTTGAGAGTCACGAGTAGGCAGGAGAACTATCCCAACTCTAGTTCGACGGTGAATTCTTGAAAAAATGGCTAATAGATTCCTATTCTGGTGCTTATAGAACAAACATCAGTGTTACGATTACTTTGCCTGATCCCTTCAGCTGATCATTATTACATCTGATTCTCATTATGTCTGATTCCTTTGCTGATACTAACCAATTCTCTATTGAAGTTCGATGGGCTATATCTTTTGGGATCTGAAAGGACTCCCACTACCACCGTGACGATTCAATAGGACTGCCTGATGTAGATACCATTTCTCGTTTTATCCCCGATGAACTTTAAACTTTGCTCTCAGGAACATGCTGGAAATTGATTAATTCTGGTTTCGTCTGGCTGGTAAGTAATGAATGAGTCTGGGAGAAATTCAAAACTGGTTGTTTTTTTTCCAAGGTGAAGTCACTATTACGTTGATAGGAAAGATCAACAGGTAATGGGATAAGAATTTCCGCTCATATCCTTTACTAATGGAATTCGCTGAATAAATTCTGAAAGAGTTCCTGTTTCTCATTGAATTCTTCTTATATTCCTTTCGCATGATGTTGTCCATAATGCAGTTGGTAAGAATAATTTCCCTCAAGTTTCCTCCTATGTGATATGTAAAAGATCCCGTCCCTGTTGTTAAACCGCTGTATTTCCATTGGTTTTAATTTCGTCTTTCACAAAACTCGAATAATTCTTCAACGGGGGAAATTTTCTGTGGTTTCTCTTAATATGCCACAGAAAACACCAGTATAATTTACATAATGGCTAAATTACATGTTTCTTCCGGCAGTAGGGATATCATAATGTTTACTGAGAATTGGTATCATGTCAGTATGGGATTAGAACGTCCGCACTGTTTCTTTATAACAGAACAGGTGGCCTTGAACAACCCTCAATCTCCTTCGAAACATGCTTTAAAAGTAAGTTTGATTCCGTAATTTCCTAGGGTAATTCAGTTGGACTAGCATTTCGTTTTCATGTGATTCCTGAACGTGGGGAAATGTTTCACTCCTTGAGAGCTGAGAACGTGCCATTTTATGAAACAGTAATCCAAGAGGGCACTTCTCTTTTTGATTAGTACGTTGGACTTACTTTTTGATTAGTAGTTCTGGTCCTCTTTTCGATGTCTTTGCATCCTGTTTTTATTTTTATCCATCATTCTTGATAATTCAAATGGTCAAACAACAGGTTTTGGCTACTGGCAGATGTGCCGACCTTTTGACGTCTATTATGGGAACAGAGCCTGATTAGGAACTCAGATCCTGTTCCTATTTATTATCCATGATATAGTTCCTTAAAAATATTTTGCCCCGGGTGGGAAGCTTGGCTGGTGACTTTAGGGTTTTGAACCGATTAGTGACGTTGTGCTATGATTTTGGTAATCCTTCATTGGGCTGGTTGCACATTGACTCAGTTATATGTGTTGTCTTGCAGACATGCTGGTGAGTGGAATCTTGATCTTCTTCACTCCCGATGCTTATGAGGAATTGGGGGTTAGAGTACATTTTTTTCTTCTTGCTTTGGACATTTGTCCGCTGTAAAACAGAAAACTTCAGGCTTTTGTATAACCTTAATTTTCTGATCACATATTAGCCTTTTTTATTTATCAATAGAATATGCAAGATTCTGAGGAATGCATACAGCTTCTTACGTGGGAAAAAATTATAATTCATTCCGTTCATTTATTCTTAAGAATATGCGTTAGTTTCCCTCTTTCCCAGATTTTTTTCGACATGGATATAATTCTCTAACGAAGTTTTCATATTCTTAGGGATATGTATTCAATTTCTGTGAGAGGGACTGTTGAAAGTCCCTTTCTCAACAGTTACTGTGCCATGTGGTGTTGTATTAATTTTCTCCTTTTCTTTTCTGTTTTTTTTTTCTCATTTTCATTATTTTCAAAACTTACCTGTTGATATGTTCTAACATAAGCATTCACTAGAATTTCCAGCTATTAATTTATGTTTTATTCTCGTGATTTTTTTTGGATTGTGAATTTATAAAATGCATTTTTGTTGTGGATTAGATCGTCTGGGTAACCGAACTTTATGTATTCTGCATGTTATTCGTATTAAGTTGGAAGAGTTTGCTGCATTATCTTGTAGATCTTATTTGGATACTGACTACCGCATCAAAATTCAGTTGAATGTGTAAACTTCTGCTATGGATCTTTCACATGATTCCTTCTTTTCCTTATTGCTTCAGTTTTGCTTCTCTGTTGCAACGTTGGTTTTACTGGAATTTTTCTTTCTTGCAGGCGTTACAAAGAGAAGAAGGAAGAAGTAGCAGAACCTGAGGCCGATCCTGAAAGGGATCAGAGAACTGTGTTTGCCTATCAGGTTATCCATTGCAATATGTTGTGTTCTCTGTTTCCCCTTGTTAGTTTTACGGACTATTTATTTATGCATGTGATTCTTGATGCCCATTTATTCCTCTGAATGTTTCTTTGACAGATTAATCTGAAAGCTGATGAAAGAGACGTATACGAATTTTTCTCTAGGGCTGGCAAGGTAATTTTTCTCGAGTGTTTCATTTAAATTATTCAGATTGGATGTAATTCATCTTGCTCATTATAGAAGTTGACTATTACTTAGTGTCTCTTATTGGCATTGTCTGATATCTTGAGTTTGTCGAAGAACGTATCAAAAGAATGTAGGAATCATATTCACTGAAAGAAGGGGGAATACCAGTGTGTGAAGTCTATGCCATTTGGTAGTGGTAATATTGAGAAAACTTTGTGTCGTTTATAGCATGGCTAAACTTTAGGATGCCTGAGTTTATTCTACCCAAATCAAGGATACCAATTGGTTTTGAAGGGTAGACGCCTGATCTTCCTCTTTTAGTGGGTTGACACCACAATAATTGTCTTATCGCTGGTCAGCTCGAAAAATGCTCTGCCATCGTTCTGAAAGCTCTGATTTTGCTACCATAGATCAATGAAGATGTAATTGGAAGAATTAAAGAAAGAAATGAGAGAAGGACGGAAGAGGAAGGGATAAAATTAGAAGTAGAAAGGGGAGGACAGAGAATGTGAAAAAGAACTGTGGAGGAAGAAGAAGGCAATGTGAGCCACAAAAGATGAAGAAAGATGAGTGAGCATTAAACTTGCCACCTACTTTGCAGTCATTCCTTCTGCTCCTCACCCGCTTCTTCCTTTTTATTTTTTGATCCTCGCCCACAAATGCCACATTTGCTGTCCTTTGCCTGTTTTATGTGCTTGCTTATGAATGAAGCACCAGTGGATATGAGGTGAATTGAAGATACGAGGCATGAACATCAGGGGATTAGAAACGGCTTTTATATAATGTTTTTCCCTAAAAAAAATATAAGATTTTCTGAAAACATATTTATAAATTTATGCTCAGTGTTCAAAGAAAACTGTTTTGCATATTTTGGTGAATGAGCCCCTTTTTTCTGATTTTTCAATCCTGTTCTGGATCTGATCAAGTTTGGTTGAACTTGGAAGCAGATTCCATTGTGCAATCTTTGATCAAAAGATGTGATTGGAAATTCATGATAGGGAAGGTAAAGATTATGAACTTGGTGAACTGCCTGCTGCTTTTTTCGAACTCAGCAAATAAACCAATGCATCGAGGAAACATTATTTTTGCTGAATCTCGTGACATCATCGCAATGAGATTAAATTCTTGAAACTTGAATTTTGAAGACTGGTTTTCTCATGATGTTATGATCTTGTATGCCCATTTTTCTAATCGATGTCTGTGCTTCTTATGCTTAGGTTCGAGATGTCCGTCTCATTATGGACCGTAATTCCAGGCGTTCCAAGGGAGTGGGGTACGGCGTTTTCTTTTCTGTTTTCCTTTGTTGAACATTTATTCTGGTATCTTTGAGAATAAAATAAAGACTATCCCTTCTGTGTTTTCACTTAAGAAGATTTTTTTTCAGCGGTTGTGAGAACGCGTGTGTAGCTTTCTGTCTCTTACTGCACATTTTTCCCTGTCATGGTGACAGGATTAGTGGCGTAGTTCTTGGTTACGAGCATTTCGTTTCTTTTCGGTTTCCTTCTGTAGGTTTTCGGTTTCTCGTTCGTTTCTTGTTCGGAATCCTGACCCAGGTGCATAACTCAGTGGAGCATATGCTGATTGTACTGACGTCTCTTGTAGGTACATTGAATTCTATGATGTCATGTCTGTCCCTATGGCGATTGCTCTCAGCGGCCAGCTACTCCTTGGTCAACCTGTTATGGTTAAACCTTCGGAAGCTGAGAAAAATCTCGTCCAGTCAACAACGACCACTGCCGGAGGAGGGACGGGGCCCGCCTCTGGTGTGGCCAGAAGATTGTACGCCGGCAATCTCCCAATGAACATCACTGAAGATCAGCTCAGACAGGTGCAGCTTGCGCCAGATGGATAGCTCTTGTTTTTAGCTTGAGGCTCTTCAGACGGTTCCCTTAATACTCTCCCCGGCACAAATTCTCTGACTTCCTGGTCTTTGCCTAGGTTTTTGAACCGTTTGGTTCTGTCGAACTGGTGCAGCTACCTCTTGACCTAGAGACACGGCAGTGCAAGGGCTATGGGTTCATCCAAGTACCATCTTTGAAGCATCTTCTTCTTCTTCTTCTTCTGATGCAGTTGCTTTGCCCACCCTGTACTGATCGCGTCCTGTTGATTCTTCCAGTTTGCCCGGCTAGAAGATGCACGAGCCGCACAGAGCTTGAATGGGCAGCTGGAAATCGCTGGAAGAACTATAAAGGTTATTAAAATGGCAAACCATACCATTGGGACAAATTGTTCATGTTTTCTTCTTTTTCCTTTTTGACTTCATCTTTCCTCTTGTAGGTTTCTTCGGTGTCCGAACACGTCGGCATGCAAGATGTCGGCACAAATGCGGGTGATCTTGACGACGATGAGGGAGGCTTGGTAAGGTTTCAGCTTTCCTCTTCTCATACAATTCCCCAGTAGTCAACTTCTGTATTGTTTCCATAAAAAATAAAATAAAATCCGTTGCTCCTATTTTTAGAATAATGGGCCATGCAACTCGATCCCAATTGGCAATGAGTAGAGCAGCAGGTTATATATATATATATATAAATAAATAACTGTATAAAACCATAGGTTCTGAAGGAAATGATGCATGAACGTGTGATATTCACAACTTCTATTCAATTTGTAGGCTCTAAATGCTCAGTCCAGAGCCCTTCTCATGCAGAAGCTGGACCGCAGTGGCATAGTCACCAGGTTTGTGATGCCAACACTTCTCCATTGCTTCTTTCTTCTTCATGCCGCCCCGCCCCTCTCTCTCTCTCTCTATCTCTCTCTATCTCTTCTGGATGCACGGCAACTCACTCCTCTCCGCATGAAGCTAGAGCATGGATTGTGATGCCGACGACTTTCTAAGTCTTCCTCTGCTCTTCAATTGTAGGCTCCTGTTCCTGGACAGTTGCCTTAGCCAACAAACGCCTGCCAAGGTCTACTGTTTATGAGTTTTGCCGTGCCCACACTAACTGCTGCTCCTCCCCTTCACAGCGTTGCCACCTCACTAGCGACTAACGTTGCCGGCAACCCTGCAGTCAGCATACCGGCAGCGCCCATCCTCAGCGCCGCCGCCCTGCCCGTCGTTGCTCTGCCAGCCCCCGCCGACGCCATCGGCCCGCCCAGTGAATGCCTGCTGCTGAAGAACATGTTCGACCCAAGCGTGGAGGTGGGCATCATCATCAGCATCACCATCATCATTCATTCCAAATTGGGCAATCATATGATATAAAAATATGATAATTTTCCGCAGACCGAACCAGATTTCGACCTGGACATCAAGGAGGACGTCCAGGAGGAGTGCTCCAAATTCGGCGCCGTCAAGCACATCTTTGTGGACAAGTACGCCATCAAGGCCCTCCATTGTTTTCCCTAGTCCTCTCTGGGGTGGGCGGTCTCTCTCACTCCCTCTCGTGTGGTCTGGTTCTCGGCAGGAACAGCGCCGGCTTCGTGTACCTCCGCTTCGACAAGGCGGCCTCTGCGGTCGGCGCCCAGCGGGCTCTCCACGGGCGGTGGTTTGCCGGGAAGATGATTTCGGCCACCTTCATGGTGAGATCCCTTCCCCCTTTTCTACCTTCCCTTCCCCTCTTTTATACTCACTCACCCCGTTCTCTTCCTGCAGCTCCCACAGGCTTACACTGCCAAGTTCCCTGGGACCGGTTAGCTAGATTGTACATGCGACGTAGATTATTCAATCCGATGAGAGAGAAAGTAATAGAGAGAGAGAGAAAGAGATGATGATGATGATTTTGGAACAGTGGGACGTTGATTGCTGAGACCAAGGGTGCCGTCTCTTCTGCATGTATTTATCACACCCGCCTGTACGGCATTGGCATGCCCTGGCCGTTGGATTTGATTCTCTTTCATCTAGTGCTCTGTGATTGGCGGATCGAGCAGTTAACACCGCCTGATCTGATTCCAGGTGCTTGGTTTTATTTTATATTTCCCAAGCACTATATTTGGCACTCTTTTCTTTTTTTTAACCTGAAAATGCACGTGGCTAGCTATTTGGCCGCCACGTCGCAGGGAGATTAACGTACACCTTTATACCACTTATGGCATTGCTGCGTTATTTAGCTTACACGAACGAACCAGAAGTAGCTCAGTGAATTCGAGGGGATTCCCATCTCAGCCACCAAACGGGAGAGGGAATGAATGGCCTTCACATTCTCCGGTCCCGTGACTCGCGGGAAGATTATTTCAAGTGTATTCTGCTCATGCGCAGTGGCTCTGCCTTCGGGGAGTGCTAGCTTGGTTAAGAAGTTCCGACGGAGCCTGGTACCCCCCCTTCGCACGATTTATTTTCCCGCGCCGAGGGATCGAGGGAGGGGAAAGGAATGCAGGCTATGATGGCGGCGCACGACGACGAGGACGACCTCGGTCTCCTCCTCTCCCTCCGCGAGAGAGTCCCCGAAACTCCCCCAGGATCGCCGCGTCCGTCATCCTCTTCCCGTCTACAAGGTTTGTTTCTGCTTTCGACGTCAACAGCTCCTATTCTCTCCGATTTATCGCCGACGAGGAATGCGATGGACGAAATCGATCTCGTTTGCAGGGTATGAGTCCGAAGATGGATCCCCGAAGAGGCATGGTGCCACGGCTGACATGTCCGCCTTCCGACATGCCGTCGAGGACTACATGTGTGTTGAGAATGATGCCGCGGCTTCAGTATCCGCGATCTGTAAGCCGTGCAAACCCCAGAAATGTAGCGGGTTTGTGGTTGAGAAGTTCTCGGGACTACGAATAAGGTGGGTATTAGATGCAACATACAAAGGCAATGGGTTTATATTCGTGTATCTATTTTAACTTGGTCATTTGGGTATTCTTCATCAGGGATCTTCTTTTGTCGGAAGTCGAATTGAGTAACCATTTCTCCGATGTCCGTTTTATTAATTTAGCTGCGATAAGGTTATGACTATCCCTCTCTGGAATAATTCACTGTATGTTGTCGCTGCGGCTGCTGATTGTAGTTTCCATAATTTTATTTTGTATTTTTTCTTTTAGGAATTCGATGGTTGGGGATACAATTTCTGGTCACTGGGCCACAGTCGGTGTTCTGACAGAGAAAGGAAGTCCGAAATTGAGTTCGTCTGGGAAGAACTTCTGCGTGTGGAAGATAGGGTGTCTGGACGAATCTGTCGTCCCAGTTTTCCTTTTCGGGGATGCATTCAGAAACAACTCGGGAGAGCCTGTTGGCACAGTTTTTGCGTTTTTTAACTCTTCTGTTAGGAAAGATGTGGGTGAATGTCTTCCCTTGATGTTCTCACCGTAACAATTTTCCCAGGAACTGGTCTTTTATACTGATTCTGAGTTCTACAGGGAATAGGTATTTCCTTGAGCGTGTTTTCAGCTGGCCAGTTGCTTAAAATGGGGACCTCGGTTGACTACGGTATTTGCAGAGGGAAAAGGAAAGATGGGATGCCTTGTACTATGGTCATAAATAAGTATGTTTTCTTCATTCGGCAGAACATCTCTCCAGTGTCAATTCATTTAAGTTGCGTCAATTCTCTTTGTAGCCGTCCATGGTATTGTACAACCTAGTCAGCCAATGCAAAACCTATGTTCTCGCTGCCTCTTCTGTATCCTCGGTCTGTGCACCTTCCCCCCCAATTGCACCGTCATATTTTCTCTTAAAGCTGTTGGTTTCAGAATGTATTTTAACGCTTGCTCTGAGAAGATATTATCATTTCATGGAGAAGTATAATTAACATATCTATTTTCTGCTCAAAATTTAATTGAACTTTTCATGCATTAAACACATGTTTCAGTTTCTGATTCGGTGGCGTATATTTCTTAATTCGATTGAACTTTTCCATATGCCATTTCAGGCGTCAAGTCACATACTGCAAGTATCATCTGTTGGTGAGGAAGCAACTTCAGTTTGTGTTTTAGGTTAATTTCCCACAAATATCTTTCACTCAGTAAAATTTGGAATTCGCTGCAGAATGCATCCCAGAAATATTCTACAATGCGGTCGGAGCTCAAGGGTGGGTAAGTTGTTCATCGTATCTCGTTGTTCTTCATTCACTATTTGTCACTTATAATCCAGTAGCCGTGACCTCCCAAAAACCAGGCAAAATTTTTGTTGTAGCTTGAGACCACCCGGTCTTTAAACCTATCGCTGTCACTGTAGAAACTGAATGTGACACCAATCATGAATGCGACCAGATATTTATATTGTCCAATAAGGGAGGTCGAAAACAAAAAGGATTGAAGAAGGCTTCAATAATGCGAACGAGCAATATCTCTTATTTATTTTCCTGAAGCTTCCTTTGCTTGTGGTCTACAATGGGTGGTTCTTTTCCTTCTCTCATATAACAGATCAAAGATTGACCTCACAGTTGTTATTCAAACTTCATTTAAGACATTGTCTTTTCCGCTTGATGGTTGTAGTCGTTTTGTTGCTGCAGGAACCTCAGATCCACATTTAGGCCACACTCTCTACGTGGGATACACATGGTTGACCCTCTAAAAGGCAAGTCAAACTCGTCAAAGTCAGCACAACCAGTAAAAGTGTTATCCGTTGATGGGCTTAAAAGGGTCCTCAGGTGAGCATGCTCCAACTGAAGATATTTTATAGCCCACTGCCAGATAATTGCATGCTCGTTTTACTATTTGTGACTTTTAATATTTATTTCAATAATTCTCAAGTTTGCTAATGCTTACCCGTGGTTTATATGGCCATAATTTGGTTCAGGAACCATATTATATGCCTCAATTAGTCTCACGAAAACACAAAAACTTGAATTTCTTGCGCATGCTTCAACTCCTTAATCCCCTTACCGCAGCAAGCATACGCCCATACCTGAAGCCCCAGCATAGGAGGTCTGTAGTTGAGTGATAAAGTGAGCGGACGAACATGCCATGAGCCAAGCAAGAATAGCGGTCAATTCTGTTGGGAATCTTCAAGAGGTTGAATTAGAAATCATCCACGTCAACTGATGATCACAAACACCAAATCTGAGCGATTGTGCAAGTGACCAGATCATCTAACTCAACCTAGAAAATGGCTTTCTCTAATATGGAGGAACCTCGTCTTTAGTCAAACAGATTGGCATGTGCCGTTGTTATCTCTAATTACCCTGTGGGGCTGCATTATATCTCAAATCCTATGCTAAGCTTCCACTAAAAGATCCGTCTAACTTTATAATGGAGATATTGTTCGGTGTCTATATACGCAATATGCATATCCAGCGTGGAAGGAAGTAGCTCCGATAGCTTTGAGTGAGCTAATGTGGAGAAAATTAAGATTCTTCCAGAGCTGGGTCCTGGGTCCTGGGTCCTGGGTCCTGTTCGGGATAACCTCATTGATGTTATGGAAAATCAGGGCTGTAGTCCATCTCGCCCTTAAGTTCCATGTCTCCAACGTGGATCTTCCCCTCTTTCTCGTACACAAGGCACATTTCCCATCTCTCTCTCTCTCTCTCTCTCTCTCTCTCGCTAAGATCTATCATTGTACTCATTCACCCACCCACCCACCACGTTCACTGTATTCTGACGTGTGATGACGAACAGTAATGCAGGCAAGGTGACCACCAAGAGCAACTCCCAGGGGATAAGATTTCTATCCGAAGTCACCGGTAATTCAAACTTGCTCCTCTCTCAAGTCTTCCGATCAATCTTCTCCCCTCCTCCATGACATCATTCCCCTTTCATAATCCTCGCCAGCTAAATCAGATTCGAAGAGCAAGAACCCGAACGAACTACTGAAGCCAAACCTGCTCCATACAGATCCAGAGAAGAGGCGAATTGTCTTGTAAATGCGGCGGCTCTTACCTCATCACTTGGCTTTCCATCTATCTCTGTTCGAGATGCCTTCCTACTGACCTAATAAGCCTTGCCCTCTTTCCTCTCCAGGTCGCCCTCGGACTTGAAGATGGCCTGCTGCGGGTCGGCAGCCCACGCGAACCAACACCCCGAAGCAAAAAAAAGGAAGACTTCAGACAAGCTTATAGAGCTAGAAGTCTTCAGCTCCGAGGATGAAGGATGAGAGATGGAGGCCCGCACAAGCCTCCAAGAACGCGCGGACTGAATCGACAAGAATTCATGGCCCACAATCTCATCCTTCCGACGGAGGGGAGAAGAAGCCCACTTTACCCACTGTTTCATGAATAATCGGGATCCGCCCCCGCCCTCCATTACTCTCCATATCTCTTCAATTCTGTTCGTCGTCTGATGAAACAGCTGTTACGCTGCAAGCCATGACGCTTTCATCTTATTCAGGCCGAGAAAAAAAAATTGCGGATTGATTTGCGTGTCATTTGTAACTTTGGGTGTCTGTAAGAAAATCTATATATCCATATAAACTCTTTTGGCATTACACGCAGAAGGTGGAAAATCCTCGCGCAGTGAGTGTAAGCAACTCAAACGTACACACCACCACCATCGACTACACCGCCCCCACTCCACAACTTCCCCCCCTCCCTCCCCCTTAACTTCCTCGCTATCACAGGGAAAAGACTGTTTGTGTCACCGTTGTCCTCAAGAAGAGGTGGAACAAGGAAAAGAATGAAAAAAAATACACCTTTTCCCAGGCCGAAGAGGGCTCTTGGTTAGAAAGGCACCACGTAGGGCAGCACGTGGATTCCGTACTCGGGGATGTAGCTGGCCCGGGCGGAGGCAGGCCCCACGCAATGCAGCGGCCCTTCGCCGGCAGCGGCGGCGGGGGCCAGGCGCGGCTTGCTGGAGGCTCCAGCCATGAGCCAGTCGAGGTCTTCGTCAAATGGGCTCTCCGTCAGGAGAAGGGGCGGCATCCAGTCCCCTATCAACTTTTTGTACTGCCGATCCATGTCGCGGGCGCGGCTGCTTCTGCGGCTAACGCTGCTGCTCTCGCAGACTGTAGTGGCAGCGGGATGAGCTACGCTCGGCTCCGGAAGGGCAGATTTGGCATGAGATGATGATGCTTCCGATGGTGTGGTGGTCTCGATCCTCCCTGAGAAGCATGGCTGCCCCGACGAGGAAGAAGGCGGACGGGGGACGGTGGAATGCCCGGGGATCTTTAGCTTTTCCTTGGGAGGAGCTGCCGAGCTTGGTGTTGTTCTCCCTGAGAAACATGGTTGCTCGCTGGAGGTGGGGGATTCTACATCCTTGTGTCTCAGCAATGGCAGCCGAATCCGGATCCCGCTTCCTGATCATTGGAGAAAGGCGAGGATTAGCGTTCCAAGGGCATGACATTAATAAGAGGAGAGAGGGAGGGAGGGAGGGAGGGAGAGGGGGAGAGAGAGTTAGAACACGAAGGGCTTACCATGTGAGGTGGTAGTATCAGAGAAATCCTGCTGGCTTTTCTTGACGGTGTTCTGGGTGGTGGTGGTGACAGCATCAGAGAAATCCTGCTGGCTTCTCTTGAGGGTGTTTTGGGTGGTGGTCTCGGAGAAATCCAGCTTGGCTCTCTTGCTGCTGTTTTGGGTGCTGTCTGAAGAATCATAGAGGTTCTGAATCGCCACGGGGCATCCGTGCTCCTCTGTGAGGCTGCTCCTCTCCAGCTGTTCGTTCTCATCTTCTGCAGTCTGCTTGTAGTCCCCTGCTTTATGTGTTGACTTGCTTGACTCCTCACGGTGCCTCTTCTTGTGGCCATGCTTCTTATCTTCAGTCTTTACCTTATCCCCCTTAGACTTATCCTTTTTCTCTTTCTTTTCCCTTCTCTTCTCTTTCTTCCTTTCTTTCTCTGTCTTCTCCCTTCCTTTCTGGAGCTTCACAGCACCAGAATTTGTCAATTCCGGAAAGGAATAGACAGAAGCAGTGAAAGCATAAGAAAGGAGAGATGGTGCGACAGTGGGGACCCAGCATATTCAAAAGGTTTGCTTGTCAGCACAAAGAATTATTTGTCCGGATACATTCTCATGTTCTTTCTGAGAAAAACTTTGTAGTCTTTTACACAATGATGATAAGTTCCCCATCATACAAAACCATACAGAGACTGAAAAGTTGAAAATTGTGGGGAAGTTCACTCAAATAAATCAACAGACCAGTTTTTACAGGTAGACACATCTCTCTTAGAAAAGATGGAGTTGCACCATCTAGAAAGTTTCAAATTTGAAAATAACCACAAGAAATACACTAATAGATTTGCAAATACCCTGACATAACAGGACAATTAAGGCGTACAATACTTTTGTGAGTACACACGAACCACAACAATTTTGTGAAAAATTATCATTAGTCTGAATTGCTAATTTAACTAGACAAGACAATGTTCAAATAAATCGCAGGTAATTGGCTCGCATATCTTGCCAATTAAAATCGGCATCAAGGACATTCTACGATTCAAGAAAGTTGATCCAAACATCGTCTACAAGGACATTCTAAAATTTTGACAATATTCTACAAGCTTCATCGGAGTAAATAAGTACCCACACGCGCTAGGATCACACAATTCTAGTCCCTTATGCGCAATTCCCATTGCTCCGAGAATATGAAATTTTCCCAAGACAGCTCTGTAAAACCTTCCTTAAAATGACAGGAATGAAAGACTGCTTATATTGTAAATATTCAATAAGCCAGTCCAAAAGGTTCAAGCCCCTTGATTGGCAACAGAATCCACACAGGTTGACATGCGTTAAAAAAATGATAGGGCTATCTATTGCACATATCTTCCTTCATTTTCCAATCCATAAAACATGCCACCAGAAGCTTGAATAACTGAATAGAAACACCAATTGAATGGCTACAGAATTTGCACTCTCATGGATGCCATCGCTGAATTAAACCAACGACTACATTCCATCAACATGTAAACCCCCTCTGCTTCTCAGAATCAACCTCACAGAAAAATATTGATCCATTTCGATCAAGATTCCGTGCAGCTGCACCTGATGAAATGGCATATTCCTAATCTACTGATACGAAATCTAAGGCCACTGATTTCAGAAGCATTCTGCGGTTGCATTCAAGACTTCTATCAATAACAAGCTCCGGAACCAAATATCACGTTCAATCAACCAAAAAAATGACGCATAACATGGAAAACTATCCTTCATCTATAATTGAGGATTTCTCGTCGACCTAATTATCTGGTCCGGACTGATTATTAGGTCTACAAATATGGCACAGGACGGGGGAAAGAATCTAAACCTTAAGCAGTCGAGTAACTTAAAAACTGATTGTATAGGGGTATCACATCGTGTGCCTCAATAAAATTCCAAGGTGAAAGACTCATGCAACAATATCACCACTCCCGGTTCTATATCAAACAGCTAACGATCAAGGCTTATGTAGAAATTATTTGCGTCATGCACGGAAGCTCCTCCCAAACCTGACCTAAATCCCTGTTACCGGCATCCAAAGGATCCTCAAAATATCCAACTATATCTACTAGAAAGCACGGCGCGACACAGAGCCCATCAGTATCATAGGGAAGACCCTTCGATAGAGCAAGAACGACAGCGATAAATAACGGTGTGCGTCTCCGCTTTCAGACTTCTTGCGACGTCTCCAGTCATTTCTCCCTCTCGGCCTCATGTACACATCAACAGAGAGAAACCCCAGCTATCAATGGTGCCATCAGATTTCCAAGAGCCGAGAACAACAAGAATCGCACCAGACGAATTGCACGGGCAGCAATTAGGTGTTTGTCATGGCTCAACGACACAAACCTTTATAGACTCGATCAAGGCCAAGCTCTTCTCATAGCCCGGAGGAGGGTATGGAAAGCACCGAGACATCACCGCCTAACGGGATTCAACAGGAAGAATCCCTCGCTCCGATGCGAAACCTATCAACGGAGCAGGAGGAGGAAAGATTCCGGGAGGACAGATCCCGCTGATCCACCCGGCGACGCGACCGAAGCACGCGCTCTCCTCCTTCCTCTCCCTCCCTCTTCCCTCCCGCCCGAAAGCTAGGGTTAGGGTTTGCTCGACGAGCAACACCTATTGGAAAGAGGGAAAGGGGGAGAGAAATTCTGCAATCTTCACCCTTACCCTCTTATTTATAGCCTCGACGGCCGCCCACCCCAGCGGTACCGTGTCCGCCGGAAGACTATAATAGCGATGATCCGGACGACAGATACTGCAGAACCCACCAATGAGAAAACGACACGTTTAATGATGCGATTATCCGCAGGTTCTGTTTATGCGGCCTGCCGAGAAACCCGCGTTTCCGAAAACTGGCTGGCGCCACACCGACACCCACATGACCGTACGAGCGCCTTAGAAACGGGCCCAAAAATATGATTATGGGCCCAACAACTTCCGAGGTAAAGACAGGCCCGCCCCTCAACGTGTACGCGCTTACATTATTATATATATATATATTTATATATTACATTACGTCCAATCAAATTAACGTGTACCCTGCAGCTCTGGTAGTCACTTCAACGGGCCCATGGAAGGGGGTTCGGATCCATCAAAGAGAAGAAGACGAGTTGATCTTCTCCACTGATAAAAAACCAAGAAAAATCGAAACATGTGAATCAATCAAGAACCGCAGAGATTTTCTCCTCTGCGTAGAGAGAGAAGATATTTCCTTTTTTTGATACATCCGAGAACAAAAATTTTATTTTGCAGGAAGCAAACAACCAAATGGGCGAGAAAGAGAGAGAGAGAGAGAGAGAGAGAGAGAGAGAGAGAGAGAGAGAGAGATGTTCCACTGCAGGAGCCCAAGCCAATATTTACATTGCAGGTCCGCCCATCCCTCCTCGGCCTCTGCAGAGAACTAAAGCTGAGACTCAGAGAGCAGCAGCAAGGAGAAGCACAGCGAGAGAGAGAGAGATGGAGGAGAAAACAAAGAAATAACAGCAAGCGCTGCTCGAGAATGCTCGCATGAACTAAGTCGCTTGCCTGCCGGGGAAGATTAGCGTCGACTGCCCGCCGTGGAGAGGATTCAAGGGTCTCTGGCTGCACGGACTCCGGCTGGGCAGAGAGCAGAGGACTTTATCGTCAGAAAGATGACACAGGTGAATGTACGAAGAAACTCGATGAGTAATTATGGATGCAAATACGATATTCTTCAGAATACTAGAAGAGGAATTCATTCACATCAATTAAATGAACAGCAAACGAAATGCAAGAATGTGCCATCAATTACAGCCCCAAAAATAGACAAATCTTCAGTAGCTTTAGCTGATCCACACGCCATGGCCTATCCATATTTGAGATGTCTAGACTTTCCATAAATAAAAAAAAGAACCCAATAAGAAAGGAAGTGAGACAGACATGAGATCGATCAGTGAGCATGGACGATCTCAAAATGGCTAGGGTTAACGCAAGAAAGAGGAATGAACATCAGAAAGTGCGGTAGATAATCACCTACTAGAAACTCCCATTGTCACCCAGTTCAGAGGAGTATCTTACATACAACAGGATGCCATGACTACTTCAGAATTTTCTACTTGGAACGACAGGATCTCTTCAGCTCCGGAGGTATCATACGAACTGGGTAACTCTTTATCAGAACACCAGTGTCCCAGGGCCGAATGAATAACAAATATAGAAACTTATTTGTGTCAGGTTCTAATATTAGCTACATGGGACACTTTCAAGAGTCATTATCCCAAAGGCAAGGACGTCTAAATAGGTGAACCACTAAGTTATAGCGAATGCCATACGTTTTCATCTGACCAGCCTTGATGCCGAGATGGGCATATGATTTAACTTCTTTCTGTAGCTTTCCTTTTGAAAACACCTGGCATTTGGTAAAGATTACCAACGCTTTTCTAATTCTTATTTATAGATTAGATTCCTAGGGGCTACAACCCTTCTAGTCTTGAAGATTTGGCGCTACCAAATACAATTATGATTCTGCAAACTTCAAACAAATGTCTAGAGCTTTCCATTTCATTTTTAAAAAACCGATAGATCATTACAATCTCAAGACAATACATCCATTCCAAATTGAACAAGTAATGGATGAGTAGACCTGTTTTACGTTCACACTGAATTCTATTCTGTGAGAGTATGCCCCACGGTGGAGGCACACAGTTTTGCCAGGAAATTATACTCTAATTTTAGTTGCCAAAAAATAAATGAACAGCCTTGAGTACCATCTAATTAAGAGGATGTTCAAACCGAAACCAATAGCAAATACAAAACAGAGGAGTAGGGCCAGGTTAGAGTTGCAGTCAAAAAGAAGATCATGATTGTGTGCAATCCACAATGACAACAAGAAGTGGCAATAAATGAAAGAGGAAATAGCCTTCAGCAGCAGCAGCAACAACAACAACAACAACAGCAACAGAAACAACAACAATAAAAAAAAAACCCGATATTGCTTGCAATATTTGATCACTCATCTGATTCAAGCACAATTTACCATCTGACGTCATACCTAGCAATGCTAATGTTGGAATGATACCAACTAGTGTAGACAAACGAGACCAATGGCAGCCAATTAATCCATGCTAACTAGCAACTCATAGTCCAACTTGACATTGAGCCAGATCTCTTTCCTATTTGCTAGTTAAAAAACACAGGGACACAGGCTCGTTCGGGACCCACATAATCTAGAGTTTGGCAAGTCTAAAAAAATGTTTCTGAACTTACCGTTTCAAAATGAGTAAGACTGAGGAAAAAAAAAACATTGTCATTTACACTGTCTTGATTACCATATTTAAAGATATCATTACAACCTATATTATCTTCATAAATTTGGAAATTCAGAACGAAACATAGCATGGAAGTATAGAATGGAAATTAGCTCATTTTTTATGTAGAATCCTTTTTCCCCATACCCACAATGATTCACCTGCCTCTTTCTAATGGCCTAATTACCATCATCCATTTATTGCCGAGGAAATTGCTATACCAGATTATTCTACACAAAAGAAAAGAAAAAATACTACTCGCAGAGTATCATTTCCGAGCTGTTTTATAACAAATAATCATCAAAGTACAAAAGAGCATACTGGAAAGGTTGGGTAGAGGATTCACATCTCCAGTGAAGGCAATATTTTTCATTGAAATTGTTAACTAACTAGCAATATTTCATATCGAATAATTAGATAAATTTAGGTTTAAAAATCTAATTTCTCGTAAATAACATCATAGGTAGGATTCATAAAACTACAGACAATGTCAAGCTAAAATATTATAAAATGGGAAAAATTCTGCACACTTGTTAATACGAATCCTGTTCCAGAATTTTTTCTCATAAGAAACTAATAGAAAATAGTACTTCCTGGCGTTCAATGATATCCTACGCATAACTAGGGAATAATAAATAGGACGGATAAAAATTAATTATACAGGTGAGTACAAGACACCTGTAAATTTAATATTTTTTCGTATTTTAATTCAGCGTTGGTTTCTTAACAATGATTGTAGTTCACTACTATAAGATTTAGGCCTCAAGAATAAAGTGAAATTCTCTTGTGCAGAAAAATTCGGTGCAGAACAACAAACAATCAGAATTTGAAGAGCACCCGCAAGGACATGTTGAAGTTTAAATCACGATACCCTTTGCCTTTTAAGTTCAACATTGTCAGACAACTTTCCTTTGGATTCCACCCAGACAGAATCATGATTTCCTCAGATTAAGGGCATCAAAAGCAATCACGTTAATGACAACAACAAAGCTTAACCTAAATGGCTTCAGTTGATAGCCCTTTAGAGCTGACTAAGAAAATAAAAAGGGAATTCCTACAAACTTCCTTGGCGTTGGCGTAGACCTACATGATTGCAGCAGCTCGGTGTAAACGATAAATAATTATCAGAATGTTTTGTGAACATGGAACCGTTACTAACTTGGACGGAAACAAATTGTAAATAACATATGCTGAAACAATATTGATGGAAAACTAAAGTTTGTTCAAGGAACATGATGCAATTGGATGCTGGTCCTTGACTGACAGGAGGCAGCATTGCTACTGAAGTAGAATTACAGATTATTTGTGGAAAATCAGAAGGAGAAAAAACGATATTGATGAAATAATAAACCGAAAAAAGATGTTTGAACACCTAGTTACATGGAGAAACAGCAAGAAAAAATTTACCCTTTTTCCTATTGGCACTTGACACACATTCGGTGGGTAATATATTTCCACGTCCACAATTCCCATTAGAACCACACTGGATTGTACCAACATCACATATGCCAAATCCCTGCGCGCTTTGTTCTTCGTCTTCACATTCACCCTTCCCCTGCATCTGTTGACAGTAAACCTGATCGCTGCAGCGCATGTCGCAGGAATTCAAAAAGTGCGTCCCACCGGAATTGTTGGCATGGAGAGAACCTGCCGCAAGGTCCCCACCACCCTTGCCTGGTTTCTGGTAAGGGAAGGAGCCAATCTCCGTTTCAATCCTCCCCCTGATGTCCACCAGCAGGCACCTAAGCCTCATCACCTCCGCCTCGAGTGCGGCCTGCCCCTGCAACCTCTTCATTAACTGGCGATTATGCTCCCTTAGTTGCGCGACCTCATCCTCCAAGGAAGCCGCCCACGCCTTCTTCTTCTCTCGGTACTTGCGGACAGCCTCCCTGTTGCCGAAGGGGCGCTTCTTCGACGTGCTCTTCTCCTCAGAATCAGCGGTACCGTCGGTGGGAGCGGATAGGATCTTGGTGTGGACATGAAAGCAGGTATGCGTATGCGAAGTGTCGGGCCCCGGCGGGTTGCATGTGTGGGTGTGGGTGCAGGCGTGGGTGTCCTTCAGGATCTCATCGAAGAAGCTCTCCATGGAGCAGCTGCTGGGGGCCTGCTCCGCAATATAAAAGCTCGAGAATGCCTCTTGATTCGAGATTTCAATTTCCCCATTATCCATGGCTGGACGAGGGCAAAGGGGCTAGGGCAACCGACGAGGGAGCCACCTCAGAGAACTCCTGCGGCTCTGGTGCAGAATCCGGGCGCCCTCGCTTGCGGCACCCGCCGCAAAAGATGCGATGCTCGCCGCCGCACGCCGCAGTAGCGGCGGAGATCAAAAGGAAGAATCTAGCGGAGAAGAGGATTCCGGGGGTACCCCCGGGGAAGAAGATATCGTAAAATTAAATGGAAAGGAGGAAATGGTCGTCTGTATGCGTCTTTGCTGATATATCCTCCAATATTAAACAGTTGACTTCATACCCTGTAAAAATAAAATGTTAATTTTTATCCTATCCAAACACGTTACTGTACAGAAATGGTCGGAGTGGTGGAAGTGTAGATATACTCTTTTTTATGGGGGCGGAAGGAGCCTAATCGAACTAATCGCAGACACAATGAGCTGAGAAGGAAGAGAGGGTTGGGGAACCAAATGAGAGAAAAAGTGGGGATCCGAATGTAATTTCGTCGTAGAATGAGATCAGTTGAATGAAGATGCACGGCGCCGTCGACCAATCACGGCCCGTATGGACGGCCTGCCGTCTTCCCAACGCGTGACCAGCCCGGTCCCACCCCCAGCCCAAGACCCTAAACAAAACCAAAAAGACCCGATTCTCTCTCTCTCTCTCTCTCGATATATATATATAAAATAATTAATGAATTATAATAAGCACGTATAATTAATGTATTTTTTTATTGCTACATACAATATAAAGGGTGGAAGGAAAGAAAGGATATCTGATTGGAGAATGGGCAGAACATGCACCTAATTTGAGTTTTTAAATCACAGATAATATATTTTAAATAAAATAAGAGAAATAATTAAATAATTCTCAAATCCTCCCTGCTAGTGTTCGTATGATATGATGAGGTGGCAAATACGATCTCAACAAGACCACCTACAACTAATGGGCTTATGTGGATGGTGAGGGTGTTGACTTTGGGTGGTCATGTAACCCCTTTTTTTCCCTTCTCGCTCTTCTTCCACTGAAACGGCTGAAAATGGAAATCGATTGGATCAACGATGGCAGCAGAGAAAGAGAGATCTAACACCAAAGAAGACATTTTAAGTTGAGATTGGACCTTGATCTGGCATCTATTGATGGGTTCGATTTTGAGCTCCTAAGAGGGAGTGGTCAACGTTGGGAGACATGGTGGCTGTAGTAATGGAGGAATATAGTTCACAAAGCTTGGTGGTTGATCTTGGCCTGTTTTTGTTTTGAAGACTATTGATCGAAGGAGGGAGATAGAGAGAGAGAGAGAGAGAGAGAGAGAGAGAGAGAGAGAGAGAGAGAGAGAGAGAGAGAGAGAGAGAGAGAGAGAGAGAGAGAGAGAGACGACGACGACGACGACGACGATGAAAGGTAATTAACCCCGAAGACAATACCAAGAACGCCATCCTGACCCACATAACTGTTCTTCAGTTTGGGTCATTTTATCCGCTATAGATCTGCAAGCATACTGTGTCGATTTCTACTTGCATGCTTTTAATCGGGAGAGAACCAAAACGCAAAAACATTATACACGAAATGACAGTTTGCAAGGCTAAAGAAGGATCATTGGCACAGGAAAACGAATCAAAATTTCGATATATTTTACGTGCTCGTATATGATAAATATTCCGAGTTACATCTAATGGGCGCTGCCCGGACGCCAGTTTAACCCAACCGGCGGAAAAATCCACTGAAGCTGTCATTGCAAGTAGATTCCAGCTTTCAGTCAAAGGCCCCCCCCCCCATGGGAAAGATACCAGACAATTCCCACAGCGCATTAGATGAATGACTCCAGAACTCCGTCATAACCATGATAATGGAATCATACGAATCTTGAACAGTAGATCACTACATCCGTCTCATTGGGTAAATAAGTCAAGATCGGATCGAATCGAATCAGAAAACGACGAACAAGTGCACATAACCCATGCGATCAACGCCAAATTAGAAGCACAGAACCCATGCGAGGGAATTCCGGCGTCTCTCACCCGAGTAAGGTCAAGGAGGGTGGCTCGATAGACGTCCACAAAATTAGCGTCCCAGGCCTTGAGGTACTCCTCCCCGACTCCTCCAAATCCGCTGCCGGCCTTGGAAGATCCCTCCGTGTGCTTCCTGCAGAACTCGATCACCATCGCCAGGGTCCTCCCGGCGATGTTGCGGAGCATGATGGTCTCTTCTGTGAAGTCATCCGGGGTCATGTTCCTTAACGTCATCGAGATGTCCCTGATCGTTGTATCCACCACGAAGGTCTGCCCGTCGGAGCTCCTCAGCGTCAGCGTCTTCGAATCGGCCGTCAGCGAGTCGGGCGGCGTGCTCCCCCTCCCACGAGGCCGAGGAAATCCCAGAGAGAGAGAGAGAGCGAGAGAGCGAGAGAGAGAGAGGGAGATTTTAACTCACGAGCTATGTTTCCACTCGCTCGAAAGACTGAAGGTTAATCTTCGTCTTCCCGTGGATTCCACTCGCCTCCACTTCTCGCCATTCTTGGACGAGGTCGCAGAAGCAACATATCAAGTGGGAGAGGAAGTCGTAGCAAAGTCCGCCCTGCCGCCGACGTCACAGGGGAGTAAGTTTCCATTTTCCTTTCCTTGTGTCATGTCAAGGAAGAGAAAAAAATAAAATAAAATAAAGAAAAACAGTTTCTCAAGAATTTAATTACATCAATACGGTTATATAGCAAGGTCAATTAAATTCAACAATGCTTTGACCAAATTTAAAAGTAAAATTGAAATCATGCATAAAATTGGAAGTAAATACACATGTAATCTATTATGAACATTTTTGTATTTTTTCCATGTCATGTGGAGGAGAAGCAAGGATTTAAGCCAATTTGAATGAATATAAATTACAAATTACTTCTAATCAATATGTATTGAATCCTAATCCTAGTTGAGAATGTTGCATCCTTTCCATGTCAAGTGTAGAAGTTTCATGTTCTTGATTCAAACATGAATTCAAAATGACAAGAAAATATTTTTGTAAGAAACTAGAATATTGCGTAGATAGATGGAAACTCAAATTCAGATATGAGTAAAGAATTGAAATGTAATTAATTAAAAATGGGAAAAGACTTATAATGAAAAAATCATGCTATAATTAATTGTAAATGAAAATACTTACAAGAAGAAATCCTTTAATGACACAATAAAGTTCCTACACATCTACTCAAAATGAAGAAGCATGCCGTTGTTCTTAATCTAGCTTTAGCTCTTCATGATCTCCCCCTTAGACCCTCAATATGTTCCTTATATAAGTGTTAACCAGCACTCTTGATGAGAAGGGGGAGGTTAGAACCATCATAGAAGCTTTTGTTACACACTTGTTTGGACCCTTAGTTAGGTTCTAAATATTAAAGAAAAAATTATAAAAATTCATCTTCACTCTCAAAGTGTAGTCACATAGTTTCTTGATTTAATAATTTTTTACTTTAAGGCTTTTGACCTTAGAAACGTGTTAGAGTCTATGAGAATATTGAAATACATAAGAGTCAAGAAATATTAAATATTCAATTAAATTGTATTTTGTTTTAAATCATTGTAAAATATGTAATTAGACTTTTAATCTTACAATAATTACTTATATTTACTATTTCTAAGCACAAAATTTGGCCTTATCAATTATGTAGACACCCCAAAAAATCAAAATTAAATATAATGCCCTTGAGAGATTTACTTCATCGTAAAAATCACATAACTCAAATTTCTTTGTCAACACTACTCTTCACTATAATTTATGTCAACGAAAACCCTTAAAACCACACATGGTGATAATAGGAGCAACATTATGGTCACATAAATACCTCATAATGTGAGAAATTAGAGGTTTCATCTTTCACCCATAAAAATTAAATCATGATGCCCCTTGGGTCTATGCTTATCTTGTAACTAGAAATACTTGACTGAACACTATTGTTGGCGAGAGCTACATACACTAATGATCTATAAAGATGCACCACTTAACACTGAGGATAATAAAGACAATGACAATTGTACTGAGGAAGATGACTTCTCTAACGTAGAAGTATCAACTAGCTCACTAGTTGAAGAATTTTTAATTAACTCCTCAAATTTTAACAAAAATCAGCAAAATATAAGTCATGATCCTCATTGTCATCAAGACTACTCATAATTTTAGATCATAGAAAGCTCCTCACATCAAGTATCTTATATGACCATTTCACATTTCTAAGTCATTATAGAAATATTTGAGAAGGTATAAAGAGCAATTGACCATGATGAAATCATTCTAGACCTATAGGTTTTTATGGTGAAGGAAAACTTCTTAATCGTTCTTCTATAAATTATCAACCTAGTGTTGGGATTAAACGAGTTGAATTCTATCAAAAAAATGAGCCTAACTTCAAAAATTGAATGCTCACTCAAATGATTGAAGATGAGTGAATCACTTTACATACAATACCCCAACAATGTCAAGTATTTTACTTAAATTTTTATCCAAAGTACTTAAACAAAGAGTATTAGTTGTTAAGTTCTTTCAATTCAAACAAGAGGCCATAGCCTTATGGACAAGCCAAAAGGAACCATCCTCAATGATCACTTTTGAGATTGATTTGTCATTGTATTTAAACCACATATCAAATTACCCCCAATTAGTGAAGTGGACCACATGATACTCCCAAAGGCCAATATGACACTGATCAACATAAGGCTTTTTTGTTACCATATTTCTTGAAAAGAGAGATTAAGAAGTTGGCTCATAGATGTTGACTGTGAGGATCATCTAGCACAAATGATTCATATTCCAGCCCAACTCTATGTGCTAGGAGGAAATATGGTAGTTTTTATTGCTGCATAGACTACAACATTCTAAACAAAGTTATGAGGCTTGATTAACACTTGATTCATGTCATTGAGGAGTTGTTCAATGAACTGCATGATACAATAATTTTCTCAAAACTAGAGATATGATTATACTACCATTAGATTTTTGATAAAAACTAAAGACATTTCAAAGATTGTATATGACCCACATGAGGGCTGCTACGAGTTCCCTCTTCACTTCCTTTGTATTTTTAATTGCACTGGTGACCTTTTAAGCCCTCATGAACCACATCCTTATCTTAATTTTCTTTGATGACATTCTTTGAAAAACACTTAAGTATGATATTCACCACCCTTTTAGTTCATCAACTACAAATCACCCCCCAAAGAAATATGCTTTTGAGTGATGAAATGTAGCCTACCTAAGTCACCAGATATCCATATAAGATGTCTTGGTTGACCAGAGCAAAGTGGAGGTTGTGTTACAATGACTATCTCCAAGAAATCTTCACAAACTTAGAAAGCGACATTGACTATTATCATTGATTCATTGTAAGAAATGAGTCTTTCATCTAGACATTGACTCAACAATTGAAAGACATATTTTTTTAGAATTTCAGAACATAGATAACCTTCAAACTCTTAAAATAAACCTCATCTTGACATCCATCTTGGGCCTCACAAATTTACTTGGTAATTTGAATTGAAAGAGGATGCTTCAAGTGACTAAGTGAAAGATGCCCTCATATATCAATGATGTTCAATTATGTTATTCAGGTAGGCCTTATTTTGGTCAACAAGCTAAAGATTATTTAAGAAAGAAAGCTAATGGTCATTGTCCTCACTATAGTCAAGCAGAAGTATTATTTCTTAGGAAGAAAATTTATTATGTTTACATACTAATATAACTTGACATTTATCTTAGAATAATAATGTGCACTTCACGATTACTAGAAGTGACTTTCTAAAATTCTCAACTTAGAGTTTTAAATTTATTACAAAGTGGGGACCAAAAATAAAATTATTGATGCACCATCAATGTGGGCTGATTGGATCACGATCCAAGCTACATAACCATCATGGGTAGAACTATTCGACATAACTACATTGCCCATGAGCCACTTTACGATCCTTACCTCTCGTGGATCAATGAAGAGCTTCCATAGGGTCAAGGCTAATGCAACAATTATTCGCTTCATCAAGAATTATTGTTCTGCCAAAGATGATTGATAATCTCACGTAACTTATTTTTACTCTCTAAAGTTTTTGAAGGAGACTCTGACTTCTTGAGAATTTATAAGTTAAACATTCAAGATATGCATTGTATTGAAATGAACAACACTGTTAGACAGTATGTGAGTCTTGCCCCATCTGCTAATAGAATAAAATGTACTCCCTCTCTCCTCCAACTAGGTTGCTATAACCTTTGCCCATTACAAAGAAAATATGAGAGACATTTCAAAAGATTTCATAGAAGATCTACCAAAATTTGATAGTTTCAACTCTATATTAGCAATGGTTGATAGATTGAGCAATTATGCTCATTTCTCACCCATTAAACACATATTTACACAACTCGAGATCTCTTGCATATTCATTACATGAGATTCTAGCCTCAATCAACACTCATGATAGAGCCTTTATGAGCCCCTTCTAGATGAAACTATCTAAATTACTAAAGTTGACATTGTAATGAAAATGCACATATCATTTATAGATTGTGGGTCAGACAGAAGTAGTCAACTAAGGCCTAAACTCATTTGGACAGAGTTTTGGGTTAGCAAGAATTTTAATTTGTTGTCAAGAATGGTAACCTTCAAAATCATATATGGGTGAGAGATGTTGGCCCTAATATGACATGGCTCGCAGTCTATAACACCAATGAGGTGAGGTGATAACTACATGATTGGAATGTGACACTTGACTAACTCAAACTTCATCTGGCCCATGTCTAAGCTTGAAGGAAGGCTTTTATGGACCAAAAGCATCGGGAGTTTATAATTTGCTATCAATAATCTCATCTAATTTTGGCTTTGGCAGTAATGGTGGGTTATTACAAGCCATAGTGTTTCAATGCATTGGATTAGTGGCCTATCATCTGAATCTCCTAGCAACAACAAGCCTTAACCCTATATTCAATGTGTTGCAATTGAAGAAAGCCTACATGACAAACTTGTAAAGTCCTCACATACCTCTCCTCATGGATGATGACCTTAATTAGGCAATTATTTTGACCAAATGAGAACAAGGTTCTAATAAAATGGAAGTACCTCCTTACTTTAAAAGCCACCTGGGAATCAAGCTGAGACATTCACCAGCAGTTTCTTGAATTTTACCTAGCAGACAAGGTAAAAGTCCAAGCCGGGAGTATTGATGAGATACTCTCCTCTTGAGGGCATCTATATTGGAAACGATCATGACTATCACTTGGGGAAGATGACTCTCTGTCAACGACAAGAAAGTTGGACGGCAGAAGATGTCAAGACGACACAGGGATCAAAATGGCCCGACCCCCAGCAAAGCATTATGAGTAGGGTACCACGTCACCAAGGAAGCCAGTGAGTATTTTAAAGCCATCTCTCTAAGGAGAAGCTTAGATACTGACCATCTCAAACTTGGTCTATCAACAAAAATTCTTCCTGCAGACTGCAGATGTTATCTCCTTGTCATGCTTCTTTCTCGTCTTATTAGTTCTCCCTCTCCATATTGTCCCTCATCCTTATTGTCATTATTGGGCCATCTCTCCCCTCCAGCTCCTCTCCCTCCCTTCTCCCTCTCTCTCTCTCTCTCTCTCTCTCTCTCTCTCTCTTTCTCTCTCTCTTTCTCCATCAGTCTCCTAGAGTAACGATACCTTAATGTCAGATCTTCTTCCCAAGGTACATTCCGACGTTCACAGTAATGCTATTCACATACTGAAAAATGACAAGAAATGCTCTGTTTGTGACTATTTAGAGAGAGAGAGAGAGAGAGAGAGAGAGAGAGAGAGAGAGAGAGGGGTTACGATGAGATAATATCTAATCTCATATCAAGCTAAGAAGAGAGGTGCTCAGACAGGTCCTTGAGGAAGTCCATTGTCGAGGAAGACGACTCCATTCATCCACCATGCCGGCAAAGCCATCCAGCGTATTATTCAAAGGCCCACTGGTTCTCCCGGCGCACCTCTTCCTCTTCCTCCGGGGTGAAGTCGTTCTTGATGTTGAAGGTCTTCCTGATCTCCTCGGGGGTCTTCCCTTTGATCATGTCTGCGACGGTCTGGCAGGTCAGGTCGAGCAGACTCTTGATGTTCAGATAGTTCGCAGCCTGCGAGAACACCACATAAGAATCATAGCACATAAGCCATCGACATTCACCAATATTTGTTGAAACGCGCTGGAATCGACTGCAATGCCACCGAGATTGGGGAAAGATTCAAAGAAGGAAAACTTGATGAATTAAGCTGATATTTGCGATAAAAAGTTACCGAGATTGGGGAAAGATTCAAAGAAGGAAAACTTGATGAATTAAGTAGATATTTGCGATAGAAAATTATCGAATCCCCCGAACATGCGAGATAAACGAGTATTTTTATGACATCAGGAACAAAATCATTATCTATATCTCGATTTCGTTCCCGATTTTTTGAAAACAGGCATAGAATTCAACTTGCCACAAGATAACCTAAATCTAGTGTGATGTAACCGTGATTATGACCGAAGGTAGCATTATGATTCTCTCGTGATGAAAAGACAAAATCAGACAATGATAAGAAAGCAGATGAGAAAGAGGGGAGAAAAGCAGACAACGATATGAAAGCAGACGAGAGGGGTAGTCACAGGAGGAGGAAACCACATACAGCGAGAGAGAGAGAGAGAGAGAGAGAGAGAGAGAGAGAGAGAGAGACGATGATGTTGATGATGAAAGGTAATTAAACCCAAATACAATACCAAGAACGCCATCCTGACCTACATAACTGTTCTTCAGTTTGACTCATTTTATCCACTACAGATCTGCAAGCATATTGTGTCGATTTATACTCGTATGTTTTTAGTCGGGAGAGAACCAATACACAAAAAAATTATAAACGAAATGACAATTTGCAAGGCTGTGGAAGAAACATTGGCACAGGAAAACGAACCGAAATTTCGATACATGTTACTAAGGTATAATCGATGAATCAAGGAATAAACAGCATAAGCCAACATGTAACTTTCTCGTATTTGGAAAATATTCCGATTTAGATTTAATGGACGCTACCTGGACGCCAGTTTATCCCAACTGGAGGAAAAATCCAATGGAGTTCTCATTGCAAGTAGATCAGCTTTCAGTGAAAGCCTCCGCATGGGAAATACACCGGACAAGCCCCAGAGGGCAATAGATCAAAGACTCCAAAACTCCGTCATAATCATGATAACGGAATCATACGAATCCTGAACAGTAGATCCCTACATCCATCTCGTTGGGTAATAAATGAAGATCGGATCGAATCGAATCGAATCGCCAGTTGTCAGAAAATGACGAACAGGTAACTAGATGAATCGTCGGGAAGATGAGAAACGGAGAACGAGAATTACTAATTCCATAAGATCAACGCCAAATTAGAGGGGCATTACTCATGCGAGGGAAACTGGCGTCTCTCACCAGAATAAGGTCGAAGAGTGTGGCCCGATCGACTTTCACAAAACTGGCGTCCCAGGCCTTGAGATCCTCCTCCCCGCCTCCTCCAAATCCGCTGCCGCCCTGGGAAGACCCCTCCGTGTGCCTCTTGCAGAACTCAATCACCATCGCCAGGACCCGCCCCGTGACATTGGGGAGCGGGATGCCGTTTTCTGTGCAGTCGTCCTCAATCATGTTCCTTATCGTCACCGACTCCATGGCCACAGCCTCATCCACCACGAAGACCCCCCCGTCGGAGCTCCGCAGCATCAGCGTCTTCGAATCGGCCGTCGGCGAGTCATTCGACATGCTCCCCCTCACACAGCCGAAGAAACCCCAGCCAGAGAGAGAAAGAGAGAGCGGAGGACGAGTAGGAGTGCAAGACCCAATTTGCTCTGAGACCCACCATTTAAGGCAAGCAACAACTCCAGTGAACGGTCGCCGATTAAAACGGAAAGCCAGGCGCGGAGAGAGAGAGAGGCGGGAACAGTACGCTTTTAATTAAACGTGCCACTTGAATATCCACGTAAGTAAATCCATCTAGTCGTAAAGATAACGACAGAATAATAAAATCTCAATTTACAATAACACGTGTCGAGAGCCTAGAAGCTACATGTTCCCGAATAGCGGCGACTTGTCTCCTGAAACAGAAGGGGAATCTAGTCATTATGAGTACTTCTACGCCCGATTTCACGGGCTCGGGCCTGAGAATAAAGCAATAGGCCCAGGCCTGGGACCCCTCTGCGAACCCTCATTCTGGGGCCCGTACAGGATATGGGCGAGCCCCGGCCCAACATGCTCCCAGACTGTAAGAGAGAGAGAGAGAGGAGACCTCATCGCTTGCTACGATTCCATGCGCTGGAGGGATGGCGGGCTAGTCTTGGTCTTCCCATGGATTCCACGGGCCTCCACCTCTCGCCATTCTTGGACTAGCGCGCAGTAGCAACAGATCAAGTGGGACAAGAAGTCATCGCAAAGTCCACCCTGCCACCGACACGGGAGAAAATTCTCAGAGTATGTTGACTTTGAGAGCTAATCACAAGGTAATTACAGAGATGTACCGTCACTAACTCGGTTTCCACAAAAGGGGTGAGAGTATGATTACCGTGATGTTCAGCATCTTGCGAAGCTTCCTCCTCACGCAGCAGGTGTAACAGCAGCAAGATAGAATCAATGAATATGCCATCAGAAGACTACAGGCCTTCCCTGGAGCTGATGAACGATCGAGCAGGTCAGTAATCAGTAAAACCAGCAAACTTTACCTTAATAATGCCTGCGATCGGATTAGACACACACATATTTGCCTATTTCTGGCAACAGACGCTATCTTAGAGAAAGTTCCGCAGGGACACAGGAACGTCTTCATGCCTGCGAGATGTCAAGTGGATTCTATGGAAACTAAATCATACGAGATAATGCGATGGACAAATATACTATGAACAAGAACCGAATCATGGCAGCTGAGATTTTTAGTTGACTTACACAAAAAAGGTTCTGCGAAACAATCGAGCAGGCCAAAACGCCATCCTTCGCGTCGGTGTGAGACAGCTGAGATCGAGTCATGGCCTGATGATACTGAGGAACCACACCTGCTGAGATTGAGATGGCAACAGGGTGCACCCCGAAAGAGCTTGTCAGAGTAAACACCATTGTCAGGGTGCACAAGGTCTGGTAGCTATCAGGAATAAAGCGACGGAAATGATAAACTCTTGTGCTATGTGTTATTTATCGCTTCACATGTGGCCCGAAGAGGACTCAAGCAAACATCTTTAAGAAGAGAATGTACCACCGGCGAGAATCATTTTCCTTGATGCTCTGAGCCTTTGAACGGGATTCCTCCACGTTATTCGCGTTCTCGAGCCGAGAATCCTTGTCCTTTAGAGAATTTGCCAAGTATTGAATCACTACAAGCAAATGCTGAAGGACGTCACGGTGACTGATATCCTGTGATCTTTGTAGTTCTAAACTAAGCTTCTCATTCTCTGCCTTCAGGGCCTTATCAAATGGCAAGTTTGGGTACGAGAAAGAGAGGGACCTCTTGAGCACCATCGCACCCTCATCAGAAGGATCACGGTTCAGTATGACATCTTGAACCTTTCTGTCCTCTTCGTCCAAAGTGTACTCACACTGATCCCTTTCAATGCATTCAAGCCTTTCCTGAAGAAGTATGAAAACATGAAAATATTTAAGAAAAAGGACGACTGTAACAAGTATGATATGCATCAGAAATCGGAGACAAACTCTATGTGAAAAGAAAGAACAACAGTCGTAGCATTTGGGGGTAGAGATCATCAGACCGAAAAGATCTCTAGACCGATAGCGCTATCATCAGCCATATGCATCTCTAGCTTCTTATTACCATTAATATACTTCAACTATGCAAGAACATGCCAAAAAGGTGTTTGCACTGATGGGTTCCTATCACCGGACAAAGAATGTAAGAAAAATGCCCACCTTGACTCTGGAATTGTCAACGAGAGTGATGAGGGGGACGAGCTTCAGATACCGGTCGATCTCGGTCTGGGCCTTCTTAAATTGGTCAACGATATTCCGTCCCATGGCCAGTAGGTACAGGTAGCTCCGGTCCTGGCAACTGTTCACCAGCACGTAAGACCTTCTGAGAGCGTCTTCCAGCTGCTCCAGTGGTTCTCGCGTCTCCGGATATTTCTTCAGCTCCGAGATTTTGAGTTGCTCCAGTAGGTTCCCGATCAGATTTAGGTGCTGAGCGAACTGCCGGCAGCTCGTCTTGTGCATGCGGGCCGTGTTAGCAGCCTGGACGATCATCCCGATCAGGCGGACGGCGTCGAGACCCACTAGCTGGCCGGCGGTTCCGATCTCGCCCAGTTGCTCCCATGTTAACATTTTTTCTCCCTTCCCAGCAGTCACGACAAAACCAGATTTCAAAGAACCTGTAGCAAAGTTGGTGAGGAATTAAATCCAGCTATATCACGCAGAAGCCGAAGCTCGATCACCAGAGAGTTCACAAATTATGAAGACTTCTGTTTTCCTTCGGCAAATACAGAGTAAATCCGGTGTAAACCAGAAGACTGTATATCCTATTGGGCAACAGTCAATATTAGAGACGTCGGCAGATTGTTGACATCGTTGATTTCTTTGTCTACTACCCAGTCTCGAGCAAATCTTCTCTCTTATCTCTGGGAGGTAGCTCCTTGTCCTTTTCCGAGGACGACCACAAAACTGGTGTGACGGTGGAAACAGCTCGAACCCGGCGATGTGAAGAAAGAAGAAATTGTCCCAACCAGTAGTCTGGAAAGACAAGAGCATTGATGATTTACACGTAGTCGAAGAATAAGCCCAGTGAACCCGAGCGGCTACTCCCGCTCTACCGTTGACTATGCACCTTGAAATGCTGGAAAAGAAAATCAACTCTAGGGGAAAGGTAAAAAGAACACCGAGCACACTCGGGAGAGAGGGAATGCGATCGGGAAGGATCAGCTGCCGGGAGCCCATTCTCCATCAGGTATGCCGTCCAAATCACATCTCAAAAGCCTACTCTCCCCTCTTAAACCGTATCGCCGACGGTAATCATTGACTGAGTCTCGAAGTCCATGGGCCAGAGGAGAAGAGAGGGGGGATTGAAATTTCGGTGATTCTTGCGGCATGAATCTCCGTGGTGGGCGTCCTACTGCTGGACCTCTGACTCTTCACTGTTGCCTCTCTCTCTCTCTCTCTCTCTCTCTCTCTCTCTCTCTCTCTCTCTCTCTCTCTCTCCCTATTCATCGGTGTGTTGTGTTTCTTTTGAAGGATTTTGTGTGAGCGGGAGGGGGCGAAAAAGGATCAGTTACCGGGTCATTCGGTCGATGTTCTCCACAGCCGCGGCGATCTACGTGAGCGGCCGGCACCATGTAGGAACATCAAATTTGGAAGATTCAGGCCGCAGAACTGATGTGTTCTTTATCATGTGTGGTTCTTGCCTAACTATGGCACACCACATTATAAAATTGGGAGGTTAACAAGCCACAAGAGATGAAATCCGATAGTAGATAAATTGATTACAGGATGAGAGATAAATTCAAGTGCAAAAATTAGACTCACCTGACCTCCGAGATCTAGCTTCTTGTCTCTTTGATTAACGTTATAGATCCAGTCAATCGTTGATCTCCTTTTTTGCTCTTTCGAGAGTAGAGGAACTTCAATTCCCTTTACTGTTATTCCAAGAACAATCAACCATCCATTTTAGCCGCCGCCCCCAAGAGTATACTGACCCTAGCGAGTCAATGGGCTCTTCCGAGAACAGGAACGTATGGAAAGAGGAAACCTAATAACTAGGCTAAAAGTCAAAGATCCTAAATTGGGCTATAAAATAATTCATTTTTTATCCCCTCTTATCCCCTAGAGAGTTACAATAATACCCATTGAAATAGACTAAAAAGAAATTAAAGCCATATCTCTTGCTGCTCTACTTTTGGACCAGTACATAATTTTTACAGTCTTGGAACAATAGACCAGAGTTTTGGGATTAGAACCTCGCAATTAACATGAAGGAAAGCAAGGTTAATGGATGGATGGTCATTAACCTCAGTGCACGGCACAGACGCGCATGGCATGGGCGGCAGGCGCGTAGCACGAGGGAGCACATCGAACAAACCAAAGAAATTCAGAAGGAACGAGGTTTCCGGAGCTAGATCAATTCTCTCAGATTTGGGAGGAGATCAAAGGATCCCTTGAGCAGACTAAGAAAGGATCTGCAAGGGAAGGCGGTTACAAAGGAAGGCTGAATAGGGGGAAGTTTGTCAGGCCTCTCCCTCCATAAATAAGGAGAAGGAAGAGAGGAAGGCGCATGCGAGAGCAGCAGAGAGAGTGAGACTCTAGCTTGTAGAGGAGGGAGACTTTTGAGTGAGAGAAGCATCTAGGAGGAGCTGAGGGAGCTGTTGCAAGGCTACGATGTGAGAGGACTCGGCTATGAGTAGAGAGAGAGAGAGAGAGTTGCGAGCCAAGAAGAGGAGAAGAGAGGCTATACAAGGCTCTTCTCCCTCCTATGTATTTCCCCTTAGTTGAGGTAATAGACATGTCTTAGTACCCTATCCCCACAGTAGGATCTTGATAAGTTCCAGAAGTCAAAGAGAAGGCTGCTCGGCATCGACAAAGTAATGGTTGAGGCTGATCTCAAATGGTGAAAGCAGGAGGCTTAGTCACCTTGAGACAACAACCCAATGAACTTTTGATAGTTCTCTTTGTTGTACCTGATTGATATGTGAGCAATGTCTCAACAATCTCTATCTTGAAATTTTTCATAGTCAACCTTGAAGAGCTCTAGCCTGATTTTTCTTCTGAGAAGATGTTACACCTTTTCAACAAGTTGAAACATGAAGTACACAAGATCAAGATAGTGATCGTGTAAAATTGTCAACCCATAATTTACTTTTGTCATCTTTATCAGCCATAAATCAAGTAAAAATATTCTTTGAATGTTATTGATGACAATCATATTAGTGATGCAAAAGTGAAGTCATTATCTATTAGATCAACATTTCATCATTCACATGGATCAACAAAGCTTCAAATTTTTGTTTGAACAATGAAAAATTATTTGATAATATCAAATAATGGTTACCAAAACTTATAGAATTCTACCTTGACATCAGGTGCAAAACAATGGTAGAAAATAAGGGGGCAAATGTGTTCTCATGGATGTCAAGACAAGCAAAGGTTCAAACAAAAGTAGTGACATTCAATTGAGATCTAGACATAGATTTTTTAAAAAATGGCTTAAAAAAATCTAAAGTAATAGCACATAATATGGGAATCAGAGTAAGGGATGATGACATGGCTCAAATATTTCATCCATCAAATGTTAGTGCTTTATTGAGGGTGATTGGTGCTCCCAAAGAGCATAACTTTGATTATAATCCTTTAAGAGTACCTTGCTACCACTCAATGTAGACACTAGAGGTTTCCTAAAGACATACAAATGACTTGTTCAATAGATCTACTAGAGTGGAATAAAATAAAATGTTAAAAACTTTGTGGAATAATCTGTAACCTATCAATAGAATAATTTTTAAACTTTATTATAAGAAGACTTTTTACAACTCTACCATTGAAAGAGTGTCCATATCAAATGACAACAATTCTATAATTAGTTGTGGTGGATACATTGAACAAGTTTAGTCAATTACATAACTCAAACATCCTTACACTGTAAATAAGGTGCTATATTATATTTACGCAAGATATCATCTATGACTTCACTAACTCTACTATAATTGACTGTATTCAGATACTCATTAATCAGTTTTGATGGAAGCTTTTCATGTTGCAGTGTAAAAAACTCTATTGCAACACAACATACTATCCATAGATGGATGAAAAATTAAAACTAATACATAGTTACTAGAAACTTATTTACATTGTTTCAAAGGTGATGGGCTGTGAAGTTGGAAAAAGTGGCTCCCATGAGCCAAATATTAATATAATATGAGGTATCACTTCGTCATAAAAATCATCATTTTCAAAATAATTTATAGGATAAGGTAATATTAAAATAAATAAAGTATCATTTGACTCACACATAAGGATGAAAACTCAAGTTTATGTTGAACATCAAGAATTGCTTCATGAAGTGGGAGAATTTGTTTATCTCAAATTTAAACCCTATGGTCGTAGTTTCTAAGTTGTCAACAAAACAAAAAGATATGTATCATTATTTAGACCTTATTAGATTGTAGAAATATCAACCTAATTGCCTACCGATTCACATTATTACCCACCACACAAATTCACCTTGTTCTTCATATCTTAGAGCTCAATAAATCCTTTAGTGTTGATGACAAAAACCAATAATCTAGTTGAGTGTTGTGTGTCAAGCTCAACTTGATTATTAAGTCACATAGTGCTTACAATTTGTCATATATTTAAAAGAGTGGAAGGGCTGATCTAATATGAAAACCATCAAAATTTTAATTTGTAGCCACCTGTGAGTCACACAAAGGCACTACAACATTTCTCAAATTTTCATCTTATAGACAATATGTCCCCTGCAAGGGAAGAATAATGATAAATACTTAGTGAGCTGAACTCTAGATGAATAAACAAACCCAACGGCCCTTCCTCAAGATGAATTAGTGGGGGATAGTTAAGTCATTTTCCAATAAAGGGGAGGGATATTGGCATTATAACAAGGCAAAGTAGAGGGGGACCACATTTTTGAGAAATCAAAGGCAAAGAGTAATGGTCATCTCAAGTGACCATTCTTATGTTTTCAAGGTTCTTATAAGCCTAGAACTCTATTCCTATTTTTGGTGTTTTTTCCCCGTACTAAGATCAAGAAGAGGGGACTGAATTGATCTCCCTTTTTATTTTTTAGATGATCCTCTAAAAGATCATTCTTCTCTTAGGATGATGAGCGTGTGAAATTTTTAATTGACTTTGAAACAATGTTTTTTATAATAGTTTGACTCATTGTTTACCTTTACTTTTCAAGAATGAACATATTTTTAGATTTTGCTATCACTAATAATCTGATCATGATTGTTGATTAATAGTCTTAGTTCCTTTAAAGTTTTACCTAAAAACGTTTTTTGGATTCACAACTATAAGAAGCCTTTCATTGGGACAACTCACACTCATAATAAATGAAACATGAATGTCATGTTTATCTCATAATAAGGAAAAATGAGCATCTTTGTGGCACCTTAGAAAAGTTATCACTATGAGATGACTTCAATGACTGATGTTGACTTAGGTTCCTTGAAATTTTATTTTATATTCATAACTCTAGAAGACCACACTATTGTTTCATTGGGACAATTCACACTCATAATAAATGAGACACTAATGTCATGTGTATCACATAATAAGGCAAAATGAGCATCTTTATGCTACCTTAGAAAAGTTATCACTATGACATGACGTCAATGACTGATGTTGACTTAGGTTCCTTGAAATTTTATTTATATTCATGACTCTAGAAGACCACAATGTTGTTTCATTGGGACAACTACACTCATAATAAATGAGACATTAATGTCATGCTTATCTCATAATAAATAAGCTATCACTATGAGATAACTTCAACATTATTGATGTCTTGTTATGAGTGTTCATCCTCTTCATGTACAAGAATTGACTATTCACAAAGTTCACTCTAAATGAAAGTATTTGAATGACGATTCCAAGGATTGATAAACAATGCTAGATTTAAAACTTTCTTGACCTTTAGCAGCTACTTTACACTTCACTCATTTTTCATTGATTTTTTTATGTAAATGTTACTTTCAAATTTGAAGTTCATAGTAAAGAGGTAGATGTATGTTTACTACTAGTTCTTCATTCAAAAACTTTGATATTTATGAGTGAATCATCTAACAAAAACTTGCCAAATATTTAAAATATTTGATATCTATTTTTCTGGGAATAAACATAAATTTGAACAACTGAAAGATTCAACACAATATATATCTTAAATTATTTTTAATATTATTATATGGAACAAACATAGGATATCATAAAGTCATAGCATTCTTATTCATTTCATGATAGTTTAAAATAAATAAGCAATAATATAATTGTAGGACCAATGACATGTCTTTCTTTGACATAATAATTTAGCATCAAACTTTAATAAGTCAGTTTAATATACGGTTCACTCTCAAGTGAATGTTGATTCCCTTAGTTTTGATACTACAAATGAAGATTTATTTATTAAATATTTAATTAATATTATGAGAGCTTGTGCTAGAAGATTAATAATTATAAGAGTCATTTAATGAGTATAATGATGATGTATTGTATGATCCTCTAGCTAATAAATTACTTAAATGAGTTATTCCTTGACATATTTATATTTTAGAATTAAGACATCATCATAAAGTTCAGATTTAAGTACATGAAAATGATAACGCATGTGGAAATACTTGAAAATATCAAAATATGATACTCACCTACAAAATTCAAACTACAAACCTGAACAATACCAACCTAGAAGCATCAATGAGTAAAATATTTGAAAATCACAAAGTAACAAAGACATGATTTGAACTCAAAACTTGAACAAAAAAATGTCAGAACTCGGAACTTAAACAACAATAAGTAGGAAATTTAATGTGATTTAATCAATGTATAATAAATCATACAAAATTAAAATTTATAAAATTAGAAAATATAAAATTTAAACAATATATACTTTGATCAAAGGCTCCAAAAATGGTAGGCATTTTCTATGTTAATTACAAAGATGTAAGATAATATCAAGTAAAATTTAAAAATTATTCTCAAAGAATTTGATTGTTTATGATTTTTAGACTAAATGATGAAGATAAAATATATTTAAAAATTCACAAAAAGGAAAATTCAAATGCTGACATTAAGATGAGGTCAACACCCCAATGAACCTAATTCAAACTGAATTAGTGTTCGACGTAATTTTTTTTATATAAATGATTATAGATGATTATTTGATGAAATTAGAAATTATAAAATATAAAAGAATTATAATTAATTAAAAATGAATTTTAAAACTTTAAATCACATAAAATCTTATTAATTTAAAGATGAATTAATTTTAAAGTATGAAAGACAATTTTAGTATCACGCCATCAATTGCCAAAATTTTGAGCATTCATGAGGATTTGTGTATAATGTTCAAAGCCCTAAAGGCTCTTTTAGACATTCACAACATAGACAAATTCTATATCCTTTTGTTAAGTCCAAAAATTGATGAGGTAGGTTAATGAATCATCTCTAGTGGCTATCACCAAATGGAGTAAAATTTTGGTGACTTTTAGATCTTTGACATCTATCACTTGGCGAAAATGAGTTGATGAAGGTAGAGCACATCTTAGGAAGCTTTATTTTTAGGTGCACATAGTAAGAAGAGGCCTATATCACATTCAATATGCTATGAGGAAATCGCAACTTATCTCTCGATGAATCAATTTTTCCTAATGATAGTCAGTTCGTCGATCAATCATAGATGATTTCTTCAATGAATTTGTGATTTTCATCCACAATCTTTTGTTAGTTGATAATGATGCTTCATGAATCGAGTTGATGATACTTTTATTGATGATCGAGTGATTCTAGTGGCTTGATTATTGACCAACATATGCTACAAAAAAATCATAATATAAGCAGATAAATAAACTTAAATTGTGACTTTACTAGGATTTGAACCTTCCTTGTTTACTTGGCTATATGAGAAAAGATTACCTATTTCTCATAATACCTTTAAATAGTGATGTAATTGATGTATTTTTCTCGTAACTCAAGGGTATTTTAAATAATAATTTTTATGACCCACATGTGGTGCCCCCTAGGTTAGTTGGCAGGTCTCAATTGGTCAATGGGTCTCCTCTTTTTCTCTTTTTTTTTCTTCATTTTATTTGAAAATTTTGAATATACAAGTTATAAAAAATCACATAAAATTAATAATTAGCTAATAATTCACATTAGTCAGCTAAAAACTTATTTTCTTAATTTAACACAAATATAAGTTTATTTATCATGAGTTAATACATAAAATATTTTATTTACTAATTATTAACTCATGATAATAAAGACATTAAAATTCTAAGTAAAGAAATCTATTAAAACATCAAAGAATCAAAGTGATGAGGCCCTTGCCTCATCAACCACACCATGTAGATGATGGCATTGATTGTTGCCATGTCAATTGAGGGCCAACCTCAATTATTGCCTACCCAAAAATTGAAATAGCAAAAAGTCAAGATGATTCTAAAATAAATTAAAATACTAAAGACTAGTAAAAAGTAATCTGATCCCCATTCTAGAGTTAGAGAGCTTATAAATCTCCATGTGGACCAAGCAAGAGGAAGAAGTTATGAAGTCTCACTTGCTCAAAGGATGCTTTGAGAGTTTGACTTACTCTAAGGGTCATTATCCTCCTCCTCTCCCTCCCTCTCATAGTATTTTCTATTTGTGTTGTATCCTTTGTCTTTTTGTGTGAGTCACTAAATATTTATTGTCCATCATGCCAATGTGTCCCATGACACTACCCTTCACATCTCTTGGCTAGATGGACAATCAAATTTCCTCCACATCCATCTAGTAGGATATCACCATTCTCCCTCTCTCTCTTCAGTCGACATATGTCCTACCCTCTTTCTCTCTACACTCAAGTAGGTTATTGTCTGCAACAAAAATATTTTTACCCCTCTTACATATCTTCATACCCATCAGAGTACTTGTTGTCTCTTAGGCTACCCTATTACCTTGGGACCTATCATATTAGATACATGTATTGATACTTGATGTGATTTAATCGTTATATAGTAAATCACGCAAATTTAAAATCTATAAAACTAGAAAATATGAATTTTTGGATATTTAAAAGTATTTCTGAAAATATATATCAATTATAATTCAATAAAACTTCCAAAAATAGCGGTAATTTTCTAGGTCGATCATAGGGATGTAATATAATATCGGGTAATTATTCAGAATTTTTCTCAAAAAATATTATTTTCTATGAATTTTATATTAAGAAATGAAAATAAAATATATTTAAAATTCATGAAAAAGAGAAATAAGGGTGCGGACGTCAAGATGACGTCAGTGCCCAGCAAACGCGAATCAGATAGAAACAAAGTTCCACTTGATGATTCTTACGTAAGTAATTATAGACAATTTAATTGATCAAATTAAGATATATAAAAGCTAGAAGAATTGTAATTGAATAAAGTATATCTTAGTAAATTTAAATCACACAAATTATCACTAAATGAAGCAGAAAGTAAGTTGAAAGTAGGAAATAGAGTTCCGACGTCGCAGTGGCGATGCGTCGGCGATCCATCGGAATCCTGAGCATTCGAGAGGATTGTTGTATAGTGTCCACGGCCTCGAAGGCTCTCCTTGGACAAAGACGACGTGGGCAATCTCTAGATCTCATTGCAAAGTCTAAAGATCAATGAAATAGGTCGTTGAATTGTCTCCGACGACTGTCACTTGGCGGAGCAGAAAAACGATGACTTTGCGGCTCTCTAGTAGCTGTCACCCAACGGAGAGGAGTTGGATGGAGGTGGGGCGCGTGTCAGGGAGCTACATCCTCAAGTCCGCACAGCAAGAGGAGGCTCTTCATCGCATCCGGTACGCTCTCAAGAGGTGATGACTCGTCTCCTAGTAGATCGTCCTCTTCCCGATGATGACTTGTTCGTCAATCAATCAGAGAAGCTTTACTCGATGAATTCACGATCCTTTTATTGTAAATCGTTCAACAATTTTAGTAATAATGCTCCGTGATGTGACTTAGTCGTTGTATAGCAAATCACGTAAATTTAAAATTTATAAAACTAAAAAATACGAATTTTTAGATATTTAGAAGTATTTTTGAACAAATATATCAAGTATAATTCAATAAAACTTCTAAAAATAGCGGTAATTTTTCAGGTCTATCATAGGGATGTAATATAATATCTGATAATTACTCAGAATTTTCCTCAAAGAATACTATTTTTCATGAATTTTATACTAGGAAATGAAAAGAAAATATATTTAAAATTCACGAAAAAGGGAAATAAGGGTCCGGATGTTAGGATGACGTCAGCATCTGACGAACGCGAATTGGACAAAAATAGAATTCCACCCGGCGATTCTTACGTAAGCGATTACATACGATTTAATTGATCAAATTAAGATATGTAAAAGCCTAAAGAATCATAATGAAATGAAGTATATCTTGGTAAATTTAAAATCAACAAATTATCACTGAATGAAACGAAAATTAAGTTGAAAGCAGGAAAACAGAGTTCCGGCGTCGTGGCGGCGATGCGTCAGCGATGCACCGAAATCCTGAGCATTCGGGAGGATCATCATGTAGTGTCTACAGCCTCAAAGGCTCTCCTTGAACAAAGATGGTGTAGGCAATCTCTAGATCTCCTTGCGAAGTTTAGAGATTAATGAAATGGGTCGTTGAATCGTCTCCAACGGCTGTCACCCGGCGGAGCAGAAAAATGACGATTTTGTGGCTCTCCAGTGGCTGTCACCTAACAAAGAGGAGCTGGATGGAGGTGGGGCGCGTGTCAAGGAGCTTCATCCTCAGGTCCACGCAGTAAGAGGAGGCTCTTCATCGCATTTGGTACTTTTTCAAGAGGTGGCGACTCGTCTCTCGACGGATCGTCCTCTTCCCGACGACGGCTTGTTCGTCGATCAATCAGAGATGCTTTACTTGATAGATTCGCGATCCTTTTATCGCAAATTGTTCAATAATTTTAGTAACAATACTCCGTGAATCGCATTGGCGAGATTTTCGCCGATGATCCAAGGATTCTAGTTACTTAATCCTTCACCGGCGATCTGCAGGAAAGTCGCAATAATCAGATAACAAATATATATTTTGGCTCTGGGAGGATTCGAAGTCGCACCGGTTGCCCGCCCTTTCTAAGGAGGGTGTGACGTGGGTTTAGTCCCACATCGGTTGTGCATCGAAATTTCTGGTGACTATATAGTAATATTACATTTCTGATCAAGTTTCTTTCTCACACGTGTACGACCACTCATTGCCCCATAGTCAGTTGACCACCGGTGACGTGGAAGGGGGGTTGTGCACATGTGCCCTTATTGGTCTAAGCTGCTCGAGCCCCTGCTCGTGGCTATTCCTCGACTGCACTTCTGACCCGCTTGCGGGCCCGGCTGGCTAATAGGTCCCCCCCCATTTTGTCTTATTTTTATTTTTATTTCTTTTTCTTCATTTATCTCAAAAGTAAAACTGTAAAAATTATATAAATTCGTATAAAATCACATAATTACCCAAAAATTCACGTTAATCAACTAAAAACTACTTTTTACACTTTAACATAAATATAAGTCTATTTATTATGAGTTAAGGCTAAAACTATATTATTTACTAATTATTAACTCATGATAGTTAAGACTTATCACTTTGCAAATCGCGTTGACGAGATTTTCGCCGATGATCCAGCGATTCTAGTGACTTAATCCTTCACCAGCGATATGTAGGAAAGACACAATAATCAGATAAAAAATATGAGTTTTGGCTCTAGGAGGATTCGAACCCGCGTCGGTTGCCTACCCTTTCTGGGGAAGGTGTGATGCGAATTTAGTCTCACATCGCTTGTGCACCAAAGTTTCTGACGAATATATAGTAATATTACATTTGCAATCAAATCTCTTTCTCATGCGTGTACGACCACTCCTTGCCCCACAACCGATTGGCCATTGGTGACGTAGAAGGGGAGTGGTGCACATGTGTGTCTATTAGTCCTTAGCCACTCGAGCCCTTCCTCACGGCTCCTCCTCGACTGTGCTTTCAACCCGCTTGTGAGCCCAGCTAGCCAGTAGGTCCCCCCCATTTTGCTATATATATATATATATATATATTCTTCATTTATCTCAAAAGTAAGATTGTAAAAATCATATATTTTTTTATAAAATCACATAATTACCCAAAAATTCACATGAATCAACTGAAAATCACTTTTCACACTTTAATAGAAATATAAGTCTATTTATCATAAGTTAAGGCTAAAACTATATTATTTACTAATTATTAACTCATGATAATGAAGACTTATCAATACCCTTAAAGTCGACCTTAGTGACTTGTGCTAGAATCTTGCTACCATCACTAACTCCCCTTGACAAGAGTTTGATTCCACCTAGTAAGAGATTACCTCCACCCATCAAGATATTGACTCACTTTGGCATGAGCTTTGACAACTCTCCATGCTTATGTAAAAATTGAAGGCCCTATAACAACCATATGTGAGATTCCCAGATCACGAGAAAAAGTTAGTCAACTCTCCAGATGATTGGCACGATGCTTCCAACTCCAAGGACACCAACTACATCCCCCCCTTGTTGGCAGTGAACATTCCAACCCTTTGAATGGGTCAACATCTTCTAAGGCGAGCCCTTCCATCCCAAAGATGAACTAGAGTAGTGGTATGAAAAATGACAACTTTAGCTTCCCTTTTTTTATGGTGAAGATATAAAAGGATGGGTCTTTAGAGTGAAACTTTTTTCTCTATCTATAGGACCACTATATTCATCAAGTTACAAGCTATCGAGGTTTATCTTAAAGGTAAGTCACTTGCCTAGTTTCAATGGATACATCAATGACAACTCTTCTACATTTGAAAGGACCTTCTCTAGGAGCTCCTTACCCAATTTGGCCCCAACAACTTCAGATGACTATACCAATTTTTTCTTAAAAATCAAGCAAGAATGCTCAATCATCAATTACTACAATGTAGTTGTACTCATGGCCTCAGTCGTATGAAATCTTCTTAAACATGTTCTTGAAAATACCTTCTTCAACAAGCTCAAATATGACATTCAATGAAAAATCACCTTCATGTCTTTGATGCAATCATCGGCTCAGCCTAGAAGGCCAAAGCCAAACTAAACATTTATGAGGAGGAACTGCCAATTGCCCATGTAGACATGGTCACCATCAGAACCATTCACAAGACCTTACAAGGATCTTTACCAACCACAACACGATGGCTACCCCACGAGTCACCCAAACAAAAGTTCTCCCACGTAGTGATGGGTTCATATGACCTTGTCTTAATATGAAGCTTGGTGGGCCAAGGGATAATGATTTGATTTCAAAAAAATATTTTTGTGCCACCAATATCATAAAGAGTTGTAGGTGCTAGTGGTCTAGGAAAAACTCATTGAAGGCACACCCATGACAAACAATGAGGAAATAGCTAAAGTAGATGAGGCATTGGCCACCTTAGAGGTCACCCTTAGCTCACTTATCAAAGACACCTACAAGTGTCCTCAAGTTTATCAAATCAATCTAAGATCACTCCCCCTCTCCATACTTGTGGACACGAGTGCCTCCCATAACTTTATATTCATTCTTATCACATAACAACTCATATTACCCATATCTTGTACAAGTTTCATGTTCACCACTAGCACAAGGAAAAAGACCACCATCAACATTATGTACCACAATGCAACAATGTAAATCCAATACATCACCATTATGAAGAATTTCCTCACACTTTTTCACATCCCATTAGATGCCATCCTTGACATGTGCTGGTGATCATTTCAAACCATTGAGGGTTAAAACTTTCAAATTTTAAATTTATAATAACTAAACACTAAAAATGATCTTATATGATAGTGAAATCTAGGTTGATCACAAGGAAGATTTTCAATCTTCCATGACTAATTAAAATCATTTTTTATGATAATACAGCTTTAGATATGAATATGCATAAAACATAAGATTTTTTTTCTTTTTGGACGAATAATAGAGATAACACAAAGTTGAAATGAATAAAGATGAGAAATTTGAACGAAATGAATGAAAAAGAGAGTATATTATTGGAGAGATCATGTTTTGAACAAGAAATTATACTTCTTTTTCAAAACAAACACCTTCTATTACACAATTCAAAACAAGATCTAATTCATTGCAATAGAAAGAGCACAAATATAAAATTCAATTTTTTTATCAAAATTATTCATAGATTGCCAAGAACAAAACATAATTAAAAAAATAGAATCTCTCCATTAGTATGACATCTATAGAGAAGCAACAAAGGCCATGTGTAGTTGACTTAAATTCCTTGGACCTTGATCTACTACACCAAATGGGGATGAAACATGGCTTGAAAACTCTAGTTTCTTCTAGTGTAGAATAACTAAAGTGATCCTCGAATGTAGAAGTCAATGATGTGACTCATTGATAGAAGAGTAAGAGATTAAATACCATATCAAAGCTTCAAATGGCATCAAGAATGAAGAAGAATGAAGCCCAAAGTAAGAGAGCTCTACTAGAAGAGGGGGAAGAAGGCTATGAATGCCTTCTCTCTCTTCTCCAACACCCTTTTCATCCTTTCGATCTGAAAATTCAGTACGTAACCAATCATTCCACATTTCTACTTCTTCTTTTTCTCCAATATTTGACTTCTATTTTTGGCCATGAATCTTGTAAATATATATATATATATATATATATAATGCATAAACTCATTCATGAATGAAAAATGGAGCTTTATTTAAAATTTCAGATCAAACAAACAATCAGTCATAGAGAAATTGTAGTTTTTGGATCAATGTAAATTTTTTAATGATTTTTTTTCTATTTTTTTCTAATATTTTTCTGTAAATTTACAATTGTTTTCATTTGTTTCTTAGGTTTTCTAAGCATTTATGGGGTTTTCAGCATATTTTTTGTAGGTAAATGGTCAATCATTTGGACCAGCTCTCACAACATCTTAGTCTCACATCAATTGTTTTTGAAAATTACATATGTATATATTCAAAAAAATTATAGATATTGAGTTCTTACCCCCTAGAAGCAAAATGCCTATGACCATTTGGGGGAGAGAAATAAAGGTGGTCCGACCCCACTCTAATATGTATGATGAGATCATACCATTGTCCACGAGTTGACTCCTACTAGTGACATGGAAGGGGAGTGATGCAAACATGCTTATGGAGTGGGTACCACTTAGTTGCTAGCTCATGGTTCCTCCCCACCTAGGTCCACCCATTAGAGCAATCCTTGAGGTAAATTGGGGTCAGTTGACAAAAAAAATGTAAAGTACAACACAATAATTTTTAAGAGGGATCTCAATTTGTGTAGATTTAATATTTCTTGAACTACTTGTAAATAATGTATTGATGGAGTTGTACCAACTGAACAAAATAAGTGAAACATAAACTTCCTTAAGCCGCACAAAATTAGTAGTATATCTCAAGGAAAAGCTTTTCAGTTGTTTCATCAAGGGTTGTCCTCTATTAGAGAAGTTGATCATGCAATAAACTTATGGCCATGTGTACCCAATTTTCCAAAAATATAAAATTAAATGACTAATTAGATAAATGTGTGTATTAGTAATTATTTAACTATCCATTAACCCATATTTATGTTTAGTATTGCTCGTTAAAAGAAAAAAAAGATAAGAGATGGAGGTTTCGTGTTGGAATATTCAAGCTTAAATATGAAACTATTCTTGACAAGTTTCTAATTCTAGTGGTGAATGAACTTCTAAATACATTACATGAGGCAGCCACATTTTCCAAACTAGACTAAAATTTGATTATCATCAGATCCAAATGGAGTACATTTCCTAGACAACGTTTTAGACTTATGAAGGGCACTATGAGATCTCAAATATCCCATCCCCCTTTCAATCTCTCATGAATAAAATATTTTAATATTTTTTTATAAATCATATTAATCTTTCTGAGAATATTTTGGTGTATAATGTGGACTTGAAAGCACATGAAAACCAAATGAAATAATTTTTGACAATATTAAAAAACATAAACTAAATATTAATTCCAAGTATTGTGTGTTTGAGCATAATTACATTTACTTGGAGCTCTGAGTACCAATAGAATGAGTGTTAGTAAAAGGTTTAGAGACTCATTGGCTTGTGTAAAATATTTGTTATAAATTATGAGAGATTAACTTGGCCATTAATGCAACAACTAAAGAAAGACATCTTTAATTAGGGTACAAAAATAGAAAAGGCATCTCTTTGGTAGCTGTCACCTGACGGAGAGGAGTTGGATGGAGGTGAGGTGCATGTTAGGAAGCTTCATCCTCAGGTTCGTGCAGCAAAAAGAGGCTCTTCATCGCATCCGATACACTCTTAGGAGGTAGCGACTCATCTCTTAGTGGATCGTCCTCTTCCCGATGACGGCTTGTTTGTCGATCAATCAGAGATGATTTACTCAATAGATTCACAGTCCTTTTATCGCGAATCATTCAACAATTTTAGTAATAATATTTCGTGAATCGCGTTGACGAGATTTTCGCCGATGATCTAGCGATTCTAACAGCTTAATCCTTCACTGGCGATCTGTAAGAAAGTCACGATAATCAAATAAAAATACGAGTTTTGACTCTAGGAGGATTCGAAAGTACGTCGGTTACTTACCTACATAAGAGAGATTGAAATAAGCACTCTAATGTCTTTATCAAGTCACGTCATCATGATATATCTCTGTTATAACGAAGAGGTAATTTATGTATTAAAATCTTTGAAGTCTTTCGGGGAAAGGTGTGACGCGGGTTTAGTCCCACATCGCTTATACGGAATGATTCCCTTTCTCCCATATGTATGACCACTCCTTGCCCCATAGCCGGTTGGCCACCGGTGACGTGGAAGGGGAATGATGCACATGTGTCCCCATCGGTCCTAGTCACTCGAGCCCCTACTCGCGGCTCCCCTTGATTGCGCTTCCGACCTACTTGCAAGCCAAGCTGACCGGTAGGTCTTCTCTTTTTGTTATATTTTAATTTTAATTTTTTTCTTCATTTATCTCAAAAATAAGACTATAAAAATCATATAAATTTGTAAAATATTACATAATTAATTAAAAATTTACGTTAATAACTTGAAAACAACTTTTTATAATTTAACATAAATATAAGTCTATTTATCATGAGTTAAGGCTAGAATTATATTATTTACTACTTATGAACTCATGATAATGAAGACTTATCACTCATTATGACCATAGTTTTAGTATTAGCATTACCAAATTTTTCACGTGTTTGAGATAAAGATTAACACACCAAGTACACAACATTAAGATAGTTATCATTTAAAATTATTAACCAATAATTTACTTTACTCATCTTTTTTAGCCATAAATTAATTAAAAATAATCTATGAATACAAGTTAGATGACAATCATCTTTTTAATACAAAAGTGAAGTCATCATCTATTGGATCAAAACTTAAAAAAAAATTAGAACAATAATAAATTCTTTCAAAATATCAAGAAATGGTTACCAAAGTTTATGGACTTCTACTTTGAAATCAGGTGCAAAGTAATGATAAAAAATAAGGTGGAAAATATGTTCCCATAGATATCATGACAATTAGAGGTTTACACAACAATTGTGATATTCAATCAAGATCTAGACATGTAGAA